GCAGGTTTCATTTCCAAGTTACTATGAGACATATTTATGACCAAACTTACATGGATGATACATCTTAGGATGCATACTATCAAATTTGCTTCGGATGCTGAATCTGACCTACATTTTCCGGTTGAGTGAACAGGTTTAAGTTTTTGGTGATGCTTTCATTTCGAAGATATTTTGAGCCCTATAATGACCAAACTTGCATGGATGATACATCTTAGGATGTTTTCTACTAGACTTGCTTCGGATGCTGAATCTGACCTGCATTTTCCGGTTGAGTGCACAGGTTAAAGTTTTTGGTGCAGGTTTCATTTCCAAGTTACTATGAGACATATAATGACCAAACTTACATGGATGATGCATCTTAAGATGCATACTACCAGCCTTGCTTCGGATGCTGAATCTGACCTACATTTGCCGGTTGAGTGAACAGGTTGAAGTTTTTGGTGAAGGTTTCATTTCAAAGATACTTTGAGCCCTATAATGACCAAACTTCCATGGATGATGTATTCTACTAGACTTGCTTCGGATGCTGAATCTGACCTACATTTTCCGGTTGAGTGAACAGGTTAAAGTTTTTGGAGCAGGTTTCATTTCCAAGTTACTATGAGACATATAATGACCAAACTTACATGGATGATACATCTTAGGATGCATACTACCAGCCTTGCTTCGGATGCTGAATCTGACCTACATTTTCTGGTTGAGTGAACAGGTTAAAGTTTTTGGTGAAGGTTTCATTTTCAAGGTACAGTGTAATATGAACCCTATAATGTCTAAATTGCATGGATGATACATCTTAGGATGCACACTAATGGACTTGCTTCAGATGCTGAATTTGACATACATTTTCCAGATAATAGACCTCGTAAAAGTTATGTGTGCAAGTCTATCACCAAGAAACTATAAGGCTTATATAAACCAGTTGCACAAATGATGCATCAAGGGATGAAAACTCTCAATCCTTTTTTCAGATGCTGGAGTTTAATTACATTTTCATGATGAAGAACTGGTTTTCAGTTTTTATGTAGGTCTATTCCAAAGTATCAAAATTGCATAAATTTTGCATTTTTGGATGTATACTTTTTGTTGGTTAATTGTGTGACTTAATTTGCCTTACTTAAAGACAACACACGTTGAGGTGAGCTCTGTAATCTCTGATTACCTATGTTTGGGACTTTGTTGCCACCATGTGCATAGTGTTTTACACACATAATCATATCAAGTAAACTTGTAGACAGTCTTTTCCTGTAGCAATGTTACATTATATTTAAGCTAAAAAAAAAAGAAATTAAAACTAGAGCAAAGCTCGTTGCAAAGCAACGAGTAGGTCTTCCGTCCAGTTTTGACCGGAAGTGCCGGAAGTAACGGAACAAAAGAAAGCAGTGAGCTTAGTAGTCTCCCGTGAGTTTATAATTTCAATTTTGCATCAAAACCTTCAAAATAAGCCATTTTTCGCTTCTTCCGGTTTGACCGGAAGTGACAACGACGGACGGAAAAATTACTTTATATGCTTCCAGAGACATATGTAACCCAAAAACTTGTCAAGAACGGCAAGAAAAACGCGTTTTCCGACTACTTCCGGTTTGGCCGGAAGTGACGACGTCGGACGTATTTTGATGACTCCAATAGATTGAGCTGGACATTTGAAACAACTTTGCTTCTTTTACGTATTACAAATTCTCAATACTTTTTGAGATACAAAGGAAAATCTTTCGGCCCCTCTAGGCCCTTAATTTTAGGGGTCAGCCCTTTTTTCGAGATATCATTTGAAAGATCTTGATATTCTACACTTCTTTTATTCTATATGTTTTAACAAAATATTTGCAGGTAAAAAGATATTTTAGAAAAGGTGTCAACAATTTTGATATTCGCGATAGGACTTTTTTCGGGCCATAGCAAGCGCCGTCGTGCAGCACTTCCGGAGAAAAAGAGTGGTATGTGTCACATCAGCACATGTTGCTCTATCATCGCTGAAAATTTCATGCTTCTGTGTTGAGTGCTTTTTGAGAAAACTGACGGACAAAGTGACACTCTAAAAATCACTAAATCGCAAAAATCTCAAAACCGGAAGTGACGTCATCAAAACAAAAAATTATATATCAGGTTTGTTTGATGTTCTATCAGTTCTGAAAGTTTCATGAAAATCGAGCCAGCCGTTTCCGAGAAATCGCGTGCACAAAATCGGTAAGAAAAAAAAACAATAATAATAAAAATAGTGGAAAAGAAACCTAAGAATAACAAGAAGGTCTTCCGCTGAAGACGGAAGACCTTAAATAATAAGAAACAGTAGAATCACTATAAGGTCTTCCGTGAAGACGGAAGACCTTAATAAGAAACAGTAGAATCACTATAAGGTCTTCCGTGAAGACGGAAGACCTTAACAAAGTAAAAACAATATGTTCCCCAACTTCGTTTGGGGAACATAACAAGCGATGGAAGGAATGATTGGTCGCGTAATTGTAAACAAACACAAAGCCTAGATAGCTGTTTTAGATAAACATGTATCGCAATCAAATTTAAAACAAAGATAAGCCAACATATTAATCTCAAATATCCGACAATAATAATTTTCCATTAATTGTAAAAATAGTTTTAATACACCAATTATTTTGTCTATGACTACGGGGTCAATGGTTCGCCGCGGTGTGTCGCTTTAGATTTTCTTGGACACGTGTAATCGTAAGATTACACAATGGTACACACGCTAAAAATCTGGGTTTCAGGTGAATGTGAGAATAGCGAGGTAAATAATTTTTGTATAATTGGATTCTTTGAAAGTTCTTTTTATAAGATCCGGACGTGTATGATTTTCGTTCATATTGTTTGTGTTCATATTTTAACGAAGAAAAGATACTCGTGCTTTTTCTAAAACTCTTTCTCTTGGAAAGATCTTGATTAATAAAAAGGAAAATGATGCCATTGAATACTCTGAACGGGAACCAAAGAACACATTTAGAACCTAATTAAATAAAAGAGATATGATACAGCATTGTAAAATATTTATTACTTACGGCAAGTTTACTTCAATTCTGCGCATAAAGACTACAGAGTTTTCCTTCAATAGCAAGATGAGAACTGTCTAGCTTTCTTTCCTATAATACGTTAGACTCAAACAAAATAATATTTTCATAGGACAGAGATAGTATTAAGATACAATTTTATACATTAAAGAAATGAATTTAACCATTCTGTGTTTTTATTTGTGTTTAACTGTGGGTCGCTGGATTACCTGCCGATTGATTCCCGGTGACCGACTTTGCCCCGCGCTATCGAGGGAGGCGTGTTATATAATTGTAAACAAACAAGGTGAATGTAATCGGAAAAACGCTACCTGTTTACCTTGCCTGCTTACGCAATATTCCCGGCATAATCGAACAAAACAGCATTTTCATCAGATCAAAAAGGTGTAAAAGAACAATTTTGTTTGTAAGATCTAGATCGAAATATTTACCGTTTTTGAGTTATAAAGCAAAAACTTTCAAGTTCCATAGAGCCCTAATTATAGGGGCCAGCCCCTTTTGAATATTATTATATGAAAGCCCTTGCAATTATGCATAACTTTTGTTCATTATGTCTTAACAAAATATTTTTTGTTTTCAAGATAAAAAGGAAAATATGTGTAAATTTTCGTTCTTTTAGGCGTTCTAATTTTTTACCCCTATATAGCGCCATTGTTAATACAGAAATCGAAAAACAAAAACCGATGTGCACAACTTCAATCCTTCTGTTACCTAAAATCAGTAAAAATTCTGCTTCAGCTTTTGTGGTCTCTGAGCCTTTATCCGGAAACGAAAGCCTATAAATTTTCGTTTAAAGGGAAATAACTCAAAACCGGAAGTGACTTTTTGAAATTTTAGTCAGCATTCTGGTAGAGTTTATAAACGTCCAAAACCTCTGAAAATTTGAGCGAAATCCGTTGAGAAATGAGTGAGATATGAAGCCTCAAAGTTGCGGTCTAGGAAGTAGAAGAAAAAAAAAGAATAATAATCTTTACCATCAGAATCAGTAGAAGGTCTTCCGTTGGAAACGGAAGACCTTAAAAAATATATGAATATGTATAAACATGCAAAATATGAATTTTATTAAAAAAAAATTATATTGATATTATTTATGAAATAAATGATCTACTCCATTATAAACAATATATTTCAGCAGGGACCTATATACCATATATTAGTAAAGTGTAGTATATAGGTCCCTGATTTCAGTAATGATTTTAAAAGGACGCGTATTTTAAATATGTTTAATCACTGAATATCTTCTGCTGCATACAAGTTAGTTAAACGTTAAACTGGGAAGTACCCTTTGAAACAGCAACAAAGATGTTTTACGGTGGATCTAATGTTGAAACAGGCACGTAGTATCAGGGGGGGGGCCAGGGGGTCCTGGCCCCCCCCCACTTTTTCTCTCGACATTACCTTTACTATAGAAAATGTATACTTAAAGAAAGGTTGGCCCCCCCACATTTCAGTACGGTGTAGTGTTATAAAGAAAATTTACCCCAAAGAAGAAAGTTGGTTGAAAAAAGTTAGCCACTACCCCCCCCCCCCCCCCCCCCCCCCCCCCCCCCCCCCCCCCCCCCCCCCCACGAAATAGGATTTTCGACTTTGGGCAACTTTAAATTTTCCTTTTTTTTTTTTTTTTTTTTTTTTTTGCTTGTCAACATTTTGTGAGGTTAGTAAAAAAAAATTTTCTCAGGTTGGCCCCCCCACTTTCAAAAACGATGCTACGTGCCTGTGAAAGGCCTCTTTTCAGTAAAGAAAACTCATAAATTTACATTTTTAAAATTTATAATAAAGCGTATTCCCGACACCACTTCCCCGAAAATAGGACTCTTTTTTTGTCAAAGAAACTTCAGAAACGTGTTCCTTGTTTTAAGCTGACATCCACACCTTTTAAACTGTGTGTTTGTTTTGTTTGATAGAAACACAAAATAATACCCAAGACAAGGAATATTTATCATCGGGTTCGAGATACAATGTAAATAGTCGACTGGACTTATCATGTACATTTTTGGTAAGAATCCCTGTATTTTGCGATTTTACTTTAGCAGAGAAATCTTGAACTGTATTGGTATTCGAATGATATGGTAGAACTTGAGAAGTAATACGATTTCTTTTCTACATAATTCGCTGTGGTCTGTTTATGCAACAGTTGCATGTTTCTTTTGCCACCGCCAGGCGTGAACGATTATAAATAGCCTACAGCTGGCCCAATAGTGATAGATCTATGAATAGTCTACACCATTTCAACATTTTGAGCTGTGATAGTTACTGAAAAACATATTAAATGTTCACTATGATCACTATGATCAGATTTGTAGCCTGATTTTTCACTGAAACTGAAAGGTAGCTGCAGATCTGTAGCTCTCCGAAGTAATTTGACAGACTGGAGAGCTACAATGCCACCCATTGAAAAAAGTGTATAATTATTGCTCACAAAAATTGCGCTGATTTCCCAGGTCATTTCAATATTACTCTAATTAACCGTTCTTTCATTGTTTCCACAACAAAATATTCCTTACAATTGTTGTTAATAGCCCTCCATGCCCTGATACTGAGATACATGTAATTGAAAATTTGGGAAGTTTCTAGTATGCCGGTCCCCAGAATCACAGGATTGCGCATGAGCACTTATTTCCCTTGCCGTTGCTATGCAGAATGTAAACAAACCGCAATTTCCTACTCGCTTCAACAAAACACATCCGATCGAGTGATTAGGATTAGGTTATGTAGTTTTTAAAATTGGGGTTGTTTTATAAATCCACTCTGTAATCTTTCTGACTTTGGGCTAATTTATGTAATTTTTGCTTTATACAAAAGGCACTATGAGTGCCTTTTGTGACCAAAAACTTGCATATCGCGATATATTGCAATATTATATTTTGTATTGCAATATATCACAATATGATTTTTAAAATAAATTTTGCTTTTCGTCAATGTCAAATGAAAACACAAACTCAAATTACATGTTTTCTCGAGTTGATATTGCAACTCAACTGCCTGGTCGCGTTGTGTCGGCGCAAGTGGCAAGCTAAGTTTTTTGTGGCACAACTTGACGAATTAAGTTGTAATATTCAGATTCGGCTTTAACATATAAGGGTTTCATGTAACAGTTGTCTCTTCGTTTCTGACAGAGATATGTCTCTCGTTTCTGATCACACTTCACGTCGCTTGCCGCCATATTTTACCTTGAAAAGGGCAAATAACTCTTTTTATAACAATTTATAGCATATCGAACCCGGTATTCACACCGCGATACATATTGTGAAGAAAAGAATCGGGATACACCGGTTAACCGGTAATATCGCACAGCACTAACTTTGGTTTAGTTCATGAAATTTTTGCTTTACAAAGGAAAGTTTAAGAAATGAAAGTTCAGCTATATCAACTCTATTTTCGAAACATGACAATTTTCAGCGCTGAGTTTAGCAAGTTATTGTAAAAGCAACTTACCGTTAACTGCAGTTCCATATCCTGACCTCCTAATCATGTCCAAATATTCAGAATTCCTTTTATATCGATAATGATGCACAATTCAATGCATCGATGACTAGTAATTAGCTAACAATTGTTAGATCCCTGTATTTCTTACAAAAATCACATTATTTTAATAGCATTGCACTTTGAGTCCTGTCAGGCATTTCTTCATTATGTCAAAACACAAGTGACGTATCTCATGAATATTTATGAGATTACGTCAAAAATTGATCATGTGACTACATTCCTAAACAACGGAAGATCGAGTTTACTTCCTAAACAAGTACGTTATTTTATGAAATCTTTTAATTCTCATTTAAAAACCTTAAACCAAATTTTTCACAAGGAACACATGGAGCTACATGTATCTCTGTTCGTTGAGTGACGTTTCTCATTCAAGTTGTTAAGTTATAGGTGTCTATATACTGTAACTTCTTTAAATGTTTCTACCACAGAATCAATGTTTAGTATAAAACTATATGTAAAAGAGAGGAAATCGGAATTGCCAATGAATATGTAAATGTGATATGCAGATTTAAAAGCGCGATTTGCCAATAAATGGCATATCTAAATTCGAATAGGGCTAATTATTCTACGGGCAAGTTACCTAAGGTGTGAACTCCTTCTAGCAATCGCGCCCATGCGTAGCCTGTCGTTTGCCCAGGGCATCCGGTTTAACTTCGCTTATATATTTACTGCGTGGACCGCAGGGTCCACGCAACAAAACAAAGATTATAAATTAATTTAATGAAATGATTTTTTTTTTCGAATGATAGGAGGCATATTTAACCTAAGATTTGTGAGTAGGCCTAGATAATATTTCAGAATAAATAAATTGTGCGTTTCTGGTTACCAGGGGTATTAGTTGTTGACTTCTAAATCTTCATGACTATGACTTTTCAGATAAACCATGTAAACATAACGCAGGTCTGCATTTTTGAGGGGATTTGATAACTTTTTCCTGGGGGTCTAGACACCCCCACCCCCTTCCCTCTAGATATACACATGCACTGATTGATATGAGACATCTCAGAAATTGTACTTGAGATGAGCGCTATAGTCCTTGTGACACATTCTTACTTTTAATAGCATTTTTAATAGGACACAAGTTATGTACATGAAGAATGAATTTTCACTGTGTGATTACTTTTCATCAAACATATTTAATACATAATCGAACATATTTAAAGAATTAATCTTCTTTTATGCATGTGTTGCAAAAGTACTTTTGTAAAACATTTTTGAAGCAAATTGCCTGAGCTACGTGCAATTATGTGTAATTCTTTATATCAATTGTTAGTTTAGAATATGTTGAAAACCCAAAGGGATTGAATATCACTTGACTGCAAGGGTGAATTCATATGTTTGTTGTATTAACCATGTTTTACTGTATTGTATATTATTTCATTTTTCAGTTTTGGGATTGTCTTCCCTGGTGTGATATTGAAATTCCTGATGCAATCTAACTCTGTCCATTTCCTGAGACTGGAATCCGATATTTACCATGGATCCTGGCACCGGGAGAGGAACACAAGGAAATGGTTGATTTAATCTAAAGTTTGACCTTCATCGTATTCATAACCAATACTCTATAAACCTGAGAGACTTAAATTACATTTATTCAAATTTAACAAGATAATGGCTACTACACCATGTACACCTAAAGATGAACAAAGTTGAGGATGCAGCAAGTGATTCAGAAGTACTTTTCTTTCTTCAAATTGTGGTCTATCAAAGATTCCAAGCAAAACTACATTAAAACTAAGTGATCGTTTAGATACCTTGTATAGTATTCAATAAGCTTTCAGTCTACCCTACCGAAACTTGTGTGAACAGCCTTCTAAATGAAGGTCATTCAGGCCTATGTGAACATGAACAGCTTCAGAATCCAACAACTGGAAGTAGGCTCAAGGTGCACAAAACCTTTCTAACCAAGCAGATCACTAAGTCTTGTGTGAACATGAATAATCTGGGGATTCAGCAGGATTCTCAGACTACATTCAACACCAACAACCCTGGAATGTTCCAGTTACCAGAGCCTAATGTGAACACAGAAAAAGCATTAAATACCACGGCTCGGCGCCACAGTTCTACAGATGCTGTCGCTAACACAAATGGTATGAACCATGCAATGGTCAGTAATCAAAGCATTTTGATTAATCTGAATAGCAGTGTTCAAAATGGTGTTACTCTGAATCAGCTTGTTAATAACAAAACATTACCAGGGAACAATTCAAAAACACTATTACCAGCAGATGTGGAGGTTACAGAACAGAGGTTTTCGGTCATCCTTCAACCTGTGCAGAAAGGGGATCCACCACCTGTCCCAAACTTGGATCCACCACCAGTCCCAAACTTGGATCCATCACCACAACTGGAAAATGTTCAAGTGAAAATAGAGGAAAGCTCAGATGTTGATGAAGCCCAGCCTTCCATCTCTATAAAGGAGGAAGAAAGTGTTGAAAATTGTCTTGTTGCAGTAAGTGTAAGTATTTTATATTGTACACATTGTACATATATGGTTACTGTATGTGTATATAATTTGAGCATTTTGGTATATTTTTGTATGTTGTTTAACATCTTTCTCGAGAATTTTTCACTCATATGGAGACGCCACCACTTTCCGGTGGAGAGCTACAAATTTTGTCCTATGCTCGGCACTCAGTACCTTAAAACAGTGAGAGATCTTTTTCATGCCAGTACCTACTGCAACATGGGGCCTCAGTTTTACAGGTCTCATCAGAAGAACCTGTCTCCACGTCCTGCAGTGGGATTCGAACCTGCGACTTGAGGATTGACTCCTTACTTCGCAACTCTAGGGCAGACAATCTAACCACTGCGCCATGCGGGCGACTGCTGCAATTAGATGTACATTCTCAAACCCTCAAGCTATTTGAATTCTATTGTGGGACAAGAAGACCGCTCCTTCGGAAGAGACTGTATAAATCAAGGTCCATTATTTGAATAATGCAAAAATTTTCAAAATTCGATATCTTTTCGAAACCTCTGGTAAGGCATGCTGATTTTTTCTCTATGAACATGTAATCTATATTATAAGTTAAATTTGGAATATCTTGGAAATCGACATGTACCAGTAGGTAAGGTATGTTGCATATGTCCTTAAGTATATTATCCAGAAAATACCAAAAATACTGATTCAAGTTTGTTCAAATATCATGAACCCCAGAGGTAGGGCAGAACCGGAAATGTTTATCAAAATAGTTTTAAATTGAAATTATTGTAGATGACTTTATTTATTAAGCAAGACAAAATTGTTACGAATTAAGGTTTTTGATCTATATAATCTTACAGAATACAAATTCAAACTGAAATGAAGTTTTTGCGAGCACATTGTAAATTTAACAGTGCATGTAATAATGCAAAAATTGAAAAAAGTACCCATTCCCTTTTACATGTATAAATAACAAGAGGCCCAGGGGCCACATCGCTCACCTGAGCAATTGGCTAGGAAAAAACACAGATCAGAACTGAATGTAAACTGGGGGGTTGGGGGTTGGGGGGGGGGGGGGGGTTGCGCTTGAATTTTACACACACACCCTCCGGGGGTCATGATTTGAACAAACTTGAATCTACACTACCTGAGGATGATTTGAAGCCTGGCTTTGAAGTACTCGAAAAAAAGATTTTAAAAGGTTTCCCTATATGTTCCTTTGTAAGAATTTGATCAACCATTTTGGCACCGCCCTACAGTGTTTCTGCTTATTTTTAAAACCAAGGGTCATTATGAACCTTTGATATAAACTTTTGGGGGTCAAAAAGATTTTTTGAGGGTCAAAATATATTCTGGTTTTGCTTTGGGTTCTAACATTAGCTCTGCCTTCTAAGATCATATATTTGATGTTTAAAATTCAAAAAAATGAAAGTTAAATATAATTGGTACATGTATACTTCTTTTATTTTACCGGTACACTGTCACATTTTACCGATTACACCATTAGGGTTTCGTGAATACCTCAATCGAAAGATAACAATAGAAAGTGGTTGATTGCTTTACAAGACTGTTTATTAAAGATTTGAACTTTCCTCACCTTTTCATTACCATAATTAGCCTTTTTGACAAAGCCAAGCTGATAAAAATTTGCCGATTGTAAGACTGAACATGCTGAAAATGCTGAAGCGCCATTTCTATCTACACTTCCGGTTTTGTTAAGAATAAGATAAGTCGTACAAAAGAATATCTAATAGATTGTTGGCATGGAAATGCCGATTTCAATCACTGCCACTTTGAAATTAAACTAAAAGCAATGATTAATTCCTAGAAAGTTGTCCAGAATGTAAATGAAACATATAAAATATCTTTTTCTATGAAAACATCAATATTGAACTGGATTTTTAAAACTTTTTTTTAATTTTTTTTCTGCGTCATGATGACCCTCTAGGTGACGTTTTTGGGGGTCAAAAGTAATTTTTATGCGTAAAATACGCAGAAATATGCGTTAACGGAAACACTGGCCCTACCCCCGGGGGTCATGATTTGAACAAACTTGAATCTACACTACCTGAGGATGATTCTACATGAGTTTAAGGGGGGACCTATGTCGTTCTACGTCAAAGCAGCGTTATGTGACGTCACAATAGCGACGTTTGTTTTTTCCCTCTGACTTTTGCAACTGTGTCAGATTAGGCCTATAGGCACAACATTGTTATTAATCAATAACGTACACAGTTTACAAAAAGACAACTTTTTCATCATTTAAAACAGTTTAATTTGATTTATGGAGTTTATGAATTTTAGCATTCTCTTCCTTTGGTTGATAATTCATAGCAATTTCAGTTGTGAAGAAATACCTCTATGATATGCTAATATAAAAATGCAATAAAAATATATATATTTAAGCTAAAATTCAGCAAAGACTGCGGCTTAGATAAGGTAAATATGTTTGATAATTTATGATTACCATTAATTGTATTTTCTGGATAAAACTAAGAAAAAATTAAGAATTGTACTTGTACCTATATTTACTTATTGATTTTAATATTAGTGTATGTAGATTTATTGTATAAAGTCATTCCTATAGGTTCTATAATTCTATTAGGTGTTGGTTGTTGACGGGGAAAGGGGGGGGGGGCAGAATGGTTAGAATGAAGAAGAAGAAAAGAGTTTATTTGTTTAAATTATTTCGTACAATTAAAACAAAATACTCATTTTTTTGCAAAATAGTTTTATATTCAGATGTTTGTCAGTGCTAACATACCTTTTTTAGTGTAGAAAGGTCAATATTTATGACAAAAGAGTTAGAAAATAAAAGAAAACGTCATATTTCTCTTTTTATTTAATCATAAAGATATACTTTTTTCTTTGCTAAAATAAAGAGAGAGGTCTTTTCTTTAAGGTATTCAATGTATAACGAAGGTATTTTGACTGATTTTAAATAATTTTAAACTAGTTAAAAGCACACAGCTAGAAAACGATAAAAGTGAAATAAACCAAATTCACAAGACTGATAACATGTAAGGAGACAGTCATTTTGCACATTTACAGTTTTTGAAGAGTTATCTGCCCTTGATGAAAAGAAGAAAATTTTTGATTTCACAAAATTTCTGCGGTAAATAATTTATTTTATTTTATATTTTAATAAAGAGGGAGTTTATGCATATTTTCACCAAGAGATTTCTTTGAAATTCAAATTGCTTTTTACAATATCTTATAAAAACATGCACTGCCCATAGACTTCAATGTAAAATTCAAAGTGATATTAATTGGACAATAATCAAAATTTTGTAAATTCCTTTGGTGGAGCAATTTCATTTGATTATATCTTCAAATTACTACCATGATTAAAAATATTGGACCGTTCATATATTAGGTATAAAATATGGTCGTTATACATTGAATACCTTAAAGAATTATGAATTGCAACATTTTTGCTCAAAGACTTTTTTAAGATATTACCTTGGAAAAGGGTCTGGCCCTTCATTTGAACAAACTTGAATCCCCTTCACCCAAGGATACTTTTTACCAAGTTTGGTTGAAATTGGCCCTGTGGTTCTTGAGAAGAAGATTAAAATGTGAAAAGTTTACGACGACAACAACGACAACGACAGAAAACGAACAAATTTTGATCAGAAAAGCTCACTTGAGCCTTCGGCTCTGGTGAGCAAAAAAGTGATTTACAGTTATTTAGATTATTATTATAAAATCATGATACATCTAGACAGTTATAGAGTATTCATCATGTTCACATGGTTCACGCATTGTTTAATTCATAAATTGGCTTAAAGACAAGTGAAATTATTTCCTTTTTTTCTTTTTAGAAAGCCCAAAAGGAAGATTTAACAGACAGTCGTAGCAAAGGAAAAATGAATGAAACTGGCTTCAAGTTTTACAAGTGTGGAATTTGCGATGAGGCTTTTTGTGATTCATTAGATCTAGAGAAACACATTCGACAGCACAACATACTAACAGTCCAAAGTGAAACCATTAAATGTGGGTATTGTGAAGAGATTTTCTTTTCTAAAATTTATGCATTACATCATCTGATGTGTATCCATGGTATAGATTGTAAGAAACCAAAAGATGGAATGGAGGAGGTTAATTTACCAACCTATGAGAGTGATGAAAATTCCGTGAAAACTCTTCGAGTCATTCGAACAAAAATACCAAAATGTTGGATATGTGGAATAGTATTACCAAATTTGGAGAGGTATGAAAAACATAAAAAGAACAGCAGTTGTGCTTTTGTATGGTATTGTTGTGTTTCTTGTGGGAAACAAGTTGGGAAAAAAACTTTGAAAGAAGTACCACTCCCAGAAGAGTTACTATGCAATCAGTGTCATCAGTCAGGGAACAAGCCAAAAGAGAAGGCAGCAACCATGATGGAGCAAGAGAAACAAGGAAGTGAAATGATTTTAGGCCCTGTGCAACCAAGTATTGTAGGTTCTGGCTGTAAAAAGTGTGGAAAGAATAAGCAAAGCAAACAAGGAAACCAAAGAAATCAAAGCAAACAAGGAAACCAAAGAAATCAAAGCAAACAAGGAAACCAAAGAAATCAAAGCAAACAAGGAAACCAAAGAAATAAAATAAATTTAGATGGTGGGAGTCATTTTGCGAGTTGTGATTCTAAAATTGCAAAATTGTATAAATGTGATCAGTGTGAACGGGCTTACATGTACTACTCTTCCCTTCGGCATCACAAACTTACACACTCAAAAGAAACATTTGCATGTGATAAATGTCCAAAAATATTCAAATTGAGAGAAGTTTTTAAAAGACACCAGAATGTACACGAGCCTCCAAAGTTTCAGTGTGATGTATGCGGAAGGAAATTGAGGTCTAAACAGAAGCTCATAGAACATAAGAGAATACATAGTGGCGAGAAGCCATTTCTCTGTGAAATCTGTGGAAGGGGATTCCATAGTCGGATGGCAAGATTTTTTCACATGTATTCCCACGATCCCTCAAGAAAGAGTCTGTGCGAGATTTGTGGGAAATTCTACACAGGCACGTCTTCTTTGAGACTTCATCAGATTAGGCACAAAACCCGCAGCAGTTTGAGTATGGAAGAAAAACTTTGCATTTTGCCATGGGTTTGCAATATTTGTGGCAAAGGCTTTTGTAAAAGACTGCGATATGAAAAGCACAAATTAAATGTACATGGACAGGAGCGTGAAAAGAAGAGTGTTCATTTAAAGAAGAAAAAACCTGTTGGTCTAATCATATGTTACATTTGTGGAAAATCTCTCTCCAGAAGTTCTCTTTCAGCTCATATTGCCCACCACAAAGGACTAATGTGGACTGCCTGTGAGAAGTGCAATATGGTAATGCATAAACGCTCTTTGAGAAGGCATATGTTAAGAATGCACCATACAACATTTACAAATGAATAATTTCCATGATTACCAATTTTAACAAGTTATTACTTACATTAGAAATATATCATATTGTAAATTAAAATGCTCAAGTGAAATTATTTTACATTTATCTTCTTACATTGGCATGCATAATTATTGTGTTACTAAATTATCTTTTTTTTTTAGTGAGGCAGTCTGTTTCCCATATGACAATAATAATAATTATATAGTACACTGTTTTGCAAAAATACATATCTGTATACATTTAGAGAAATTTGAATAAATTTTAATATTCTGTATGCCTTATGTTATTCTCGAATTTATTGGGCATCAACATTTTAAGGTCACCTTAATTTACTCAGATGACCTATTGCTATCTGTTTCCGTTTGTCTTCGTCTGTCATGTGTTATTAATGACACATTTAAACATTTTCAACTTCTTCATTGAAACCCTTTGAAGGAGGAGATTGGGGCTCTAATGACTATATATTGTAAAATGCATGAATTTTTTTGAAAACATAATCCTCTGCTCCTTGTTAGAATGAAAACAAACTAAATGCCTAGTTATGATGAGGAAGGTTTCCTCTATCAAAATTATATTTCTTGGCCCCTAAGTCAGGTGTTCTGGTATTTGGATGGGGCTCTGATGATAAAATAGTGAAAATGCATTAATTCCATGAAAATCTTCTTTTCTCCTGGTTAATAACAAGAAAACTATGTACAAAGTTATGATGAGGAGGGTTGGCGAATTTCATGGCCCCTGGTTAAGGGGTTCTGGTGTTAAGATGGGGCTCTATTGAGTACCGGTATGCAAAATGTAATGAAATGCATTAATTCTTGGAAAATTTCCTGTTATTGGGTGATATACTGATGAACTATGTACACATTAATTAGTAGAAATTATCAAATGAGTATGTTCTGGCTGATTTCTGACTCTTGACCTCAAATCAATAGGGTCATTTACTTTTGATGTCATGCAGTCAAACAAAGAATTTTCTAGATACTGACTGGACAGCACTTGTTCTTTCAACCAAGGGACATGCAGACAGACCTGTATTTATTAACAAATATGTCGCCTTTTTTTCATGGGATAGGGCATGACAATGTAAACAAGATATTTTTATGACACTCTGATGCCTCTATATTACAGTTCATTGTCAAGAAACTTCAAGGTCAAGAGGTCAAAAATTTTAGAGCCCAAGGAGAGATACCACACAGGAACCTGTCCTGATCATGGGGCAACACAATTTACAATTTTGGTAAAGGCACCCGTGTTTATCATAAATGTTTGATTATTATAATACCAAAAAGCAGATTTCAAGGTATTCATTTATTTTCAGTATATAATTATTAGACCCCCCCCCCTCCGGCCTTGAAATTCATTATTCTGTAAGAGACACCCTTAAGCTGATAATGTGTATATAAAAAATATTAATATGCCACTGTAAAAATGTCCAGCAACTCTGCATCATTTTTCAAATAACCTAATTAATTAGCTGCCCATCACATATTCCCCAATGCCAATTAATCAGTATAATGTATAGCTTGTTTGTAATTTCCAGCATATATATAGATCATTATTTTCTTGCAGGTATTCAAACTTATACAATTAAGGCATATATTTATGTTCATGCATTTAATTGATAACATGCATTCATATTTTCATGCAACAGTGGTATGATATATATTAGACAATAGACATACAAGTATAGTATATATGCATCACAAGCACTAGTTGAAATACTTATAATTTTTCTTATATTATCTCCATAAAATCATTCATCTAAAAAAGAATATGGTTTTGACTTACAAAGTTTGATATAAATACCATGAAAATAAAGTTAGACATTCCTATAATTCTTTCAAAAGGCCATGCCATGGAAACTGCTGAAATTCTTTTTTTCTGGCTATTCCACATTATTCAGTCATCATGTCTAATACTATTGTACACAATTACAGCTCCAATTAACTTGATACCATACAATAATAACGCAAATTTGAAACATGCTTGCCTTTGAATTCCCTCCATTTTATTTAAAAAGAGGAAGTAAATGACTGAGCATGCTCATAAATGCCTAATGGGTAATCCTAGATCTTCTGGCGACATTCTGGCAATACTGCCAGAATGGTTTTTTTTCTAGCAGTATTGCCAGAATGTCACCAGAAGTTGTTGCCGCTAGCGGTGATATTTCACTAGCCCGAACAGCTTGTTTCTGGTGACAAAAATGTGTTGCTGCAATGTTGCGGCAATATTGCTGCAATAATTTTACTTTGGTAAGGGTTATCGGAAGGAACGCAAGGCCGTTACTACCATTGAGGCAAGTGAGGCTAATGCCTCACTAAATTTTTGTTTTGAAAAGTGAAAAAGTTTTACATTGTACTTCTGTGTGTCTTCGTACGTACTAGATTTAATATTTTCAACTTTTATTTTCATTTCTGTAAATCCTTCATCTAACCTGATGCCTCATTTTCATTTAGAGCGCATGTAGAATTTAATTCAAAATGTTTATTTTGTAAATTGTTCGATTATTTCTCAGTCATATTGAAACACTTGCCGATGGAGGGCTGTAATTAAGTTTCCAATCTGTACTGGGATTGCAGGATCATTGAAGATGACTGGACAGTAAGAGGTCTTTTTTGTGTCGTCACTTACTGTGACAGGTATAGGATCTCGGTTTTACGGTCTCATCTGAAGGACCTGCCTCCATTCGAATCTGGGATTCGAACCCCTGATGTAAGGATCCAGGCACGTAGCATCGTTTTTGAAAGTGGGGGGCCAACCAGAGAATTTTTTTTACTTACCTGAAAAAGTTGACAAGCTAAAAAAAATTAAAAGTTGCACAAACTCGAAAATCCTTAATCGTGGTTGAGGGGGGGGGGGGGGGCTAGCTTTTTCAAAGCCAACTTACTATCACTTCCAATTTTTTCCCTTACAATCCTTGATATAACTTTACTATGGTAAAAAGTGTGTGTGTGTGGGGGGGGGGGGCAACCATCCTTTCAATGAACATTTACTATAGTAAAGGTAATGTTGGGGAAAAAAGTGGGGGGGACAGGCCCCCCTGCCCCCCCCCCCTGTTGCTACGTCCCTGGGCGACATTTCAAGACGTAAAATTTATTTTAAGATTAAATCTTTAATTTTCTAATACCCAGGTTTCATGGCCTCCCTCCCCTTGGAAACACCAATCACTGGTCATGAGGTACTACCCTTGCCCCGTCTGAGACTAGGAATGCCCAGCACCCTTGCCTCACTAAAAATTTGAGCCTGGTAACGGTCTTGGAACGTTAAACAACAAAATATTGTTGTATTTTAAAATGCCTCCATAAACTGTTAAGCAGGCCAAACAGAAAATAGAAAGATAATGGCTCCTCTGTTTCTTGAAAGTCCTTAATAAAGAAAACTGCATCAATTGCCAACCCAGCCCTGTTTTTAGCTAACCTGAGCCGAAGGCTCAAGTGAGCTTTTCTGATCAAAATTTGTCCGTTGTCGTCGTCAACTTTTCACATTTTCATCTTCTTCTCAGGAACCACTGGGTCAATTTCAACCAAACTTGGCACAAAGTATCCTTGGGGAAAGGGGATTCAAGTTTGTGCAAATGAAGGGCCACGCCCTTTTCCAAGGGGAGATTATGAATTAGTGAAATAGCATTTTAAAAAAATCTTCTTCTCAAGAACCACTGGGCTAGGAAAGCTGAAACTCATGTGCAATCATCTTCAGGTAGAATAGATTCAATTAAGTTTGTTCAAATCATGACCCCCGGGGCTAGGGGGGGGGGGGCAAAATGGCCGATCAAAGTTTTACATAGGAATATATAGGAAAATTCTTCATCTCAAGAACCATTGAGACAGGAAAATGAAACTCATGTGGAATCATCTTCATGTATTATAGATTCAAGTTTGTTCAAATCATGACCTTCAGGGGTAGGGTGGGGCTAAAATGGCCGATCAAAGTTTTACATATGAATATATTGGGAATATTCTTAAAAATCTTTTTCTCAAGAACCACTGTGCCAGGAAAGATGAAACTCATGTGGAATCATCCTCAGGTAGTGTAGATTCAAGTTTGTTCAAATCATAACCCCCGGGGGTAGGGTGGGGCCAAGATGGCCGATCAAATTTTTTTTATAAGAATATACAGGAAATCTTTTAAAATATCCTTTTCAAGTACTTCAAAGCCATGGTTAGTGACATTTATATGAAATCCTCCTTGCAATTTGTATAGATTCAAGTTTGTTCAAATCATGATTCCTTAAGGGGGGTAAGATTTAAGCCCCCCCCCCCTACAAACTCAGTAAACTTTCATTTCTGATCTGATATTTGCTTTCTCCTAGCCTGTGTGCTCAGGTGAGCGCTGTGGCCCCTGGGGCTCTTGTACATGTATTTTATTTTATTTTTAATTTTTTTTTGGGGGGGGGGGTAAGCTAAAAAAAAAAAACTAGAAAAATATTTAATGTACTTATTTATTTACATATAGACACTGTATATTTGTCTATTTTTAAAAATAATTAAATTGATATTATGTTGCTTTATTTTATTATATATATAGGTATAATAATATTTCATAATGTCAGATGGATTATTTTTGAATTCGTAAATAATTCCACTATATCAGATATTTAATTTATTTATATCTTATTACCGCTGTGTGTAAAATAAACCAATTATAGACGAACAAATATAATATATATAACCTGTAGTTAATGGGGCGAAACCACCTAGCACGATACCACTCGGTGCGAACACGTGATGTGGGCAAACTCACCCGTCACCTGAAATACTGGATTTTGCCATTTTATCATCGGGCTCGAGATACAATGTGGCATTGTGTACTTTGAAGTTTTGTAGGCTTAGAGTCTAGACACATTTCCTGACTATTTTTGCATTTCTTGGTATGTATGTACTGATATATTTATCCTGGTATACTGCATTTTTGACTTTTTTAAATTGTTATGTATTGATTTGTTGCAAACTTGGGAAAAATCTGAAAAATAAAGGATTACAATTTACAAACGCTGAACCACAGAGGTTTCCTCCTGGCGTTTAAAAAATATTAAAAAAAAAAACATAAACGATATACTATACTACTACACATACATGTAGCATATCGTTTGTATTTTTTTTAAATAAATATGTTTTACGCCAGGAGCAAGCCCCTGTGGCTGAACTTAAACAAAATAGACCTATTTGAAGAATATTCCAACAATGAAAATATGAGCGTTAGTCTCTCAAAAAATAACATTGAACAAATTGCATGTTTTTGCTTGCATTTAGCCTACACATGTCCATAAAACCTTTATGAAATTATGTTGCCTTGTTCAATGAAAATTTGTAAGAAAATACCCATTTCCCAGGAAGAAAACAATTTATATGATCACAGGATTCGGCAGTTTTATCAATAAAACAATGTTAACATAAACTGTGAGTTCACCAGTGAAGCGACAGGAGTATGCAACTTGTTTTGGCAATTTTTGCTCTGGCCATGAGGGTTTTCCTGTGATATTACAATTGTAGTACATGTATCTGTGCGACTGTCTTGTGGTACGACTTACTGACAATATGACGTCAGATGGCTGGACGGTTGCACGAGCCTCTTACACCGCATCATATGATAAGATATGAGACTAATATCAGAGACAGTGAGTCAGCCTGGGCCAGAACACACACGGTTGAGTCTCTAATTACCAGTATATTGAATATATAGATAGTTTTCAATAGGCCTGAATTTAGCAAAAGTTACCTCCCGTTGGTTGCCATATTGGAGGTCGACTTGGTGATTTTCCCTCTTTGTCTTACCAAGTTTAAGAGGTTGTAGCAGAAATGTTTGGTAGAAAATCTTTAATGAATAATTTATTTCAAATAAAAGAGGCTTTTAAAATTTTATACACTTCAGAAAAATAATGATTTCTAATTCAAAATAGCAATATATGAAAATTTTTAATTGGTTGAAAAATGAAGGAATATAAGCACTTGGACCTCCAGTTTAGTTTAGTTTAAGTTTAGTTTAAATTAGTTTAAGAAGTATTTTATTCAAAGTATACAGAAAAGTATCCAGTTTGGCGGCGAACGGGAAATAGCTCTCCCTAAATTCTGGCCTATCAAAAACTATCTATATAGAATCTACAGTGAAAAGCAACTCCTGTAGTTACTTTACAATATTCAAAATTTTGGCAATTTTTGCTCTGCTTTATTTGATTACTGTAATTTACAAAAGCATACTACTCAATTCAAGTCAGTTGATGTGTCCCACCTGATTTCTGGAGCAGTCCTCCTTTAAATCGCTGTTATTGACCCTAAAATCAAACATAAACAACTTTAAAAAGAATTGCCAAAAACATGTTGCATTCCTGTCGCTTTGCTCACAAGCTCACAGTCTCTGTTTACATTGGCTTAGTGATAAAAATGCAGACTCCTGTTATTTGCTTCATACATATGATCATGCGTCATGTGAAAGAGATCTTGAATTTCTTTCGGAAAAATATTAGCTATTGCAATTATACATAACAATCATGTACAACAGTAAGAGAGAGAAAAACATTGAGAAATTTAGCCGAATTTGGACTTTATTAATAAATGGACTATTTTACATGTTTTATGGGATAAAAGGGATATGCGATCTCAAAAGAGTTTGTGTTGAATACAGTAATTTGGCAGTCATTTCCAGTGCAAATCCTTTTATATTCTTCAAGTATAATTACTATATAGGACATAGGGCTGGGCAATAATATTGATATTTCAATATATTGCACATGTTGCAATACAATGATCAGACAAAAAATATCGTATCACAATACGATTTTGAAATATCGATATATTGGCAGTTTGCTTAGATTAAGGAATTTTGTCATTAAAAATAAAAATAATAGACTTATGAAAGTTTGTTATTAAGCCAAACAGTAAGTCAGAAGTTGTTTTGTGGGAACATTTCAGATCATAACTTATGAAATCAAAAAGATTTTTTTCTGTATTGGTTACTTATCATAGTTACGTACAATCTGCATGTAAACTAAAGTAAATATAGTACGAAAATGCTATTTTTATAACCCTAAAAATATTGCAATACATATCGCATATCCCAATATATCTGGCCAATACCCATCCCTAATAGGACGTATTCTAACTGTGGTGAGGGCTTATTGTGAGATACAGATCATTCTAACTAGGTCGCAGCCACATGATGCATAAATAACATACACTTGTTTATACATGTTAATCATTGAGCAATTCCTCTCCAGTTTGCTATTGTATTGCAATGAAATGGGATGTTCTCATAATATTGTACAGACATTGTTAAATACTGTAAATTGGCAAAAAATCACAATGGTTTTAATTTCGCTATGTTCGCGATTTATCTTTTTTCCGCAAAATTAAACCCATCGTGAATGCTAGTTTTAGTTTAACAAACATTTAAATGCTTTTAAATACAAAAATTTGAATTAATTTTTTGCAGCGTGAATTTAAAACCATTGCAATTGAAACTTTCTGAAAGATCGTGAAATTTTAATACCGTGGAAGTAAAACAATTTACAGTATTTTAAGATGTTGAAAGACAACAAAATACACAGAGAATGAGTTTTAACAGTGTGAACTTTCATCAAACATATTTATACATGTTATACACAGAAGAAATCTTCATATGTTCATTGATGTAAAAGCACAATTTACTTTTCTTTTGTATTTCTAGCTTTAGACATGAGTTGTCTTCCCTGGTGTGTTATTGAAATTCCTGATGCACTCTAAATCTGTCCAATTCCTGAAACTGGATTCGGATATTTACCAAGGATCCTGCCATCGAGACAGGAACACAAAGAAATGCTTGAATTAATCTAAAGTTTGGCCTTCATTGTGTTAATAACAAAAACAAGTGACCTAATACTTTTAACTGAGAGTCTGTAATCTAATTAAGTCAAATTCAGCTTACTTAACATTTATCAAGTGAAAGTTAAGGATGCATCAACTGATTCAGAAGTGGTTCTTTCTACTTTGAATAATGGTCCATCAAAGAATCCAAGCACAATCGCAACAAAACTGACTGATCCTGTAGACAGTACAAAAGCCTAAGGACTCTGTTTCTACCATGCTTACAACTGGAATGAGCAAAAAATCTTTTTAACCAAGCCGACTAATAATTCTTGTGTGAACATGAATATGATGAATAATCATGGAATTCAGCAGGCCTCACAGAAAACTTTCAACACCAACAACCTATGAATGCTGCAGTTATCAGAGCTTAGTGTGAACACATAAAAAGCACTGAATACCATGTCTCGGCACCAAGATACAGCAGATCCTGACTCTAACACTGATCTTAAGGACCATTCAATTGTCAGCAATTCAGGCATTCTCTTTGATCTGAACAATGGAGTTCAAACTCCTGTTACTCTTAATCAGCTTGTTGATAACAAAACATTACCTGAGAACGATTCAAAAACAGTATTACCAGCAGATGTGGAGGTTACAGAACAGAGGTTTTCGGTCATCCTTCAACCTGTTCAGAAAGAGGATTTACCACCTGTCCCAAACTTGGATCCACCAACAGAAATAAAAACCGAAATAGAAATGGAAGAAACCTCAGTTGATGAAGTTATGGAGCAGAGCTTTCCTGTCATCCTTCAACCTGTCCAGGAAGTGGATCCACCATCACTCTCAAATTTGGATCCACCAATAAAATTGGAAAATAATGAAGTGAAAATAGAGGAAACCTCTGTTGTTGATGAAGTCCAGTCTGCCACCCCTATGAGTGAAGAACATGAGGAACAAAGGGTGGAAGAAAGTCTTCCTGCAGAAAGTGTAAGTATTTTTTTTTATATGTGTGTGACTGTATTCTATTGTAAAGCGGGTCATTTTTACTGCAGTGCTAAAATGTTTTGCTAATTTTAGTTCAAATTAGGTGATTTTAAATTTCATGCATTAATTTTTCATGAATTGAGCATGATTGTCCGTTAAAATGAAAATCATTGAAGGTAAAATTCCAGATTTCTGATCAATGATTGTTAGCACTTATGCTCATAGTGCGTTAACATGGTTAACATACCAATCAATGTGTCACGACAACCATATTTGGTAGAAAAAAAGAAAAAGAAAAAAGAAATTGTTCCCATGATAAGGATTCATGAAATTAGAGAGGTTTAGTTACAAGTTACGTAACAACGTGTACGCGTAACATTGACGTACACGTTCTATTTAACGTCAACGTCAATAACATGATTTAGTTATACGTACACGTGTACGTATGCAAATTAAATTTAAATTTATTGTACGCCCAATGAACGGCATTGTATTATTTAAAAAAAAAATTCAGACAAATCAATGGTGAATTGGAATTAATACCTACTCTAGTCATACATATCATAAACTATGAAAAATTGTTATATATGTATTGTCATCTCAATGCAGTAAATCGCTCTAAATGTTTTGCATGTTACCTAGTATCTCTACAGGACAATTCAGCTTTTAATTCTGCATCACTTTAAAAATAGAAGCAATCATAAAAATTATTTAATTGACGATAAAAACGACCACATTTTGCGCTTTGTGGAGGAGGGGAAGGGGGGGGGGTCCAAAAGAAAATCTTTTGAAAACGATAAATGTGAAGGCTCAATCATTATAACTACTAGAAAGGACGCATGGAATAAAATTTAATACATCATTACGTTGTTAAAACCAAAATCAGACACCCCCCACCCCCCTCTTTAAATACACGACTCCTCTATATCTTTACAAGACTTTAGTGATAGAACAAAAGAAAAAAAATAGTTAATGAATTAGCAATCTTTATAAGCACTTGACGTAGCACATAGGCCTACTACCTAAAACTTATTAGGCGAGGGTGATATTTTTGTTATGTCTCTAGTGCCCGTGGATAAAAGTTCTAAAATATTGTATTTAATAAAATTAAAGAATATAGAGGTGTTAAAACAGAAACAGAAAAATCATTACCAAGAATTTTATTTGGTGCATTGGCGGGCGGGGTTATCTTCAAATGAATCCGGCATACAAAATAAACAAGCTGTTTGGTATCAGATTGAGTTTAACTTTTCATTGATAAAAATACAAATACTTTAATGGAATAATCATTCATTAAAATTATTAGATAGACTAGTGTTCCTGTTTAATTGCACAAAAATAATCAACTGCATCAAAAAATAAAGAATTTAATCCATAACTTTACCCGTTTACGTCGTACTTGTAGACAATGTATTACACGTTCTAAACTTGTAGCTACACGTCGGATTTGACGTCATGATGTCGAAGAACACAATAATTGATGACGTCACCCGTACAAGTTTGTCGCAAAACGTGTAACTAAACCTCTATATTATAATATACACATGTACATGTACCTTTATCGTATTAATCATAGGCATCAGAAGCAAATTGAAAATGGGGGGGGGGATGCAAAACAAACAAAAAATGGTAAACCCAATTTTCAATGCTAAGTAAATGTCTATCCTCGCAAAAAGGGGGGGGGGGCTAAGCCAGTTCCAATGCCTATGTTTATTTACCATGTTGGCTCAGGTGAGCTTTTCTGATCAAAATTTGTCTGTTGTCTGTTGTTGTCCAAGGATGTTTTACCCTATTAATTTTTTAAAGGCTGGAATTAAAACAATTTTCATGTTTTTGAATATGTATGCTGATGGACCAGTAAATATTTGTGTGGACCAGTGAATTTCACTAAAATCACTGGTCCACTTGTCAGCCCAGTGAAATTTTTTTAACAACTCTGAAGGGGCCATAGTGTAGATTCCAGTTAAGTTTGTTCAAATCATACCCTCTCTCCTTTAAGGATTGGCTGGAACCACTTTTGGGTTTAAACTTTTCTCAATAATAAACTGATAAACTTATTATAAGGGTTTTTTGTTTTTTACAAAATTTCTTTTATTTTTTTTTATGTAAATTCAAGAATATATTATTAATTTTAAAGCGGTAGTTGGATAAAAACTTTATTCAATCATTACTCATCTGGAAAAAAGTTCCTAGTATTCTAAAGAAAGAGGGCATAAAGCCATAAAAGGGAGGACTAGTGTTGTTACGATAGTCGCCGACTATCGAAAAATCATCGTTTAAAGGCCCAGATCGGCGACAATCAATTGTAAATATTATCATCGATAGATCGGTTTATTTTTCATGCCTCTTTTTTTAAGCCGATCAGGTTTAACTTTTATATTCACCAAAGGGAAGTCACTCTAATCGGCGGTAAACAAAATGGGAAACGTGCATGGTGAAGAGGTTGACCACTAATTATATCAATATCCTGGTGCAACACGATCTAAAGTTTGAAGTTTTTTGGCTTTCTGAAACAGGGCGATTGGCCTCCATGCAAAAATAATTTACAGATGGACTCGGTTATTTGTAAATTGTGTAAAATGTCGTAATACGTATGCCAATAAAGATAAGTTGAAGTTCGCGGTCAAATGTCATGGAATTCTACTCGTGCTGAATTAATAAATCTAACCTTTTTAATAGTTCAAATTATCGATTATATAATTGATTGTGTTCTTCCGATTCAATTTGATAATCGATAGTAAAATTTGTCCGATTTTACAACACTAGTGAGGACAATCCCCTTCCCTGAGATAACATGTTTCTCAATCAAGGAAAAGTTATATTTTTCTCCTTAATGGAATCCTTACCCATTCTATGTAAAAATCGAACATTACTTAAAAAATATATGCTTCAACAAACTCATTCATTTAAAAAACACTGACAGACGATATCGCATATACTTCATAGCATAGTGAATAATGCGATTGGTCTGGTGCCAAACCCTGCGCTTTAGAGAGAGTTCGAATCATACCTGAAACTGTTTATTTTGAAGTTGATATATGCATTTCATAGAAGGCTGGCATTTTATATAATACAAACTTCATTATTATTGAAATATACACTCAATGTTGAGTTGTTCTTTACTGCTTTATGTAAATACAAGGATATTATTTACAGGTTTTTGGAATTATCTTGAAATTTTAATATAACAGTTGCTGTTGCTTATTCTCCATATTTTTGAATCATTTTGTAAGCTGCATCCTTATAATTCGACCGGTTGGCTGGGCCGTTGCTGACTGGTCAGTTTTGGTATTGAGTTGGTTCACCTGATCTGCCTGTTTGCAGGAATCTGTTTGCGCAGAGTCCGTTTGCCCAAAATATTGTTCGCCCAATACCTTGTTCACCCAATACAGTGTACTTTATATATACACTTACATAATTATTTGAATCAAGGATCCTCAGCCAGGAACGATAACTCCAAAAATTAATATTAAATTTGAAATTTATGCATCAAAATGAAGCTTGAAAAGGAATTTCTTTCATGCAAAAATTTTCATTTTATTCATCTTTACAAGATTCAAGGTTTTGGAAGTCTTAGAAAAGGTCTTTAAAAAATTGACATTTGTACCCTATAAAAAGAAAAAAAAAATGATAATGCAGTTTTAGAGAAATAAGATTCTCTTGAATCCAGCTAAAATATCAATGCTTATTTGCATGATATGAAATGAAAAGTGATTTGTGGTATCTTGCAATGATAGAAAAAGCCTTTTACACTATGTATTATAGAATAAATGATGGAAATAGAAGACAAAAATACCAAATAAGTACCATCATAGCAATTTCTCTGAATGCCTGGATTCCTATCATTTTATCATGTAAAATATTTTTGATGATCAATTTGCAATAAGAAAATGCATTGCTTATATTCAAATTTGCTTTTTCTGCAAAAATATTGGAGATTTGACAAATTTCCCTTTATAATATGATTACCTTGAATCTTTTACTTTAATTTAAAGAAATACTGTGGATGAATAATACATAGCTTTGTGGATTGTATTTTTGATTACTTAACTGCTAAATTAATAAACATGAGGATCGGACTACCTTAAATGATATAAACTTAATTATTTATTTTATTTAATTTCTTTACGAACCTGGTATTTTTTCTTCAAATTCTAATACAAAGAATAATGTTTATTTTAGTCTTAATTAATGTTATTTTTACAAATTGTGCTGTTTTTAAAACAATTAAAGGACTGAGATGTCATTATGGAACTGAACAGCAGATTTAGATCTTCATTAGATCCTTATTCTGTATTAAATAAGGCAAACTGACCCTGTGTGAACAGATTTTAAGGCAAGCAGACTCTTGGCAAACAGGATTTAGGGCAAACAGCATCATGGACGAACAAATTTAAGGGCGAATGAACATCAGCCGTCAGTTTTCTAGTTAATAACAATTACTTTTTTCAATTACCCCATCCCTGCTTCCAGAGCAATCATTGTGGAACAGAAATACGAGAGACAAATGGTCCCCCTGTGAAGGAAAAACAGAAAATATCTCGGAAAACAAGGACTTCATTGATACGTGACCACTCTTATACAAAGAACCACAAAAGCCATAATCGAGTGAAACCTGGTAAAAGGAATAGGAACAGAGATGCAGGAGTAAAAAAAATGAGGTTGGATAAAGATCTGGAAGGTAGTTCAGAAGAAGGAGAAAAAGGCTGCAGTGATCAAGATGAAGAAATTCAACAGGAAGAGCAGAATGAAGACATGGATGTTCAAGAAGTAAGCGACTCTGACGAAAGTGGCTGTTCTGATGTATGGCCATTGTTAAGCAAAGGTTGTGAGAAAAGCAGTTGGGAAGTTTTAAGTGAAACATCAATAGCCAGAGATAGAAATCATCCTGAAATTTATGTGACAAGAATTCAGAAGAATACATTTACAACAGATGGGAAAATGAAGAAATCTAATAGAGTATACAACAGCAAACATCCTTGTCCATTTTGCTATCAATTCCAGACAAACTTTTCACATCATGTTTTGTCAAAAAAACATGCTAAAGAACGTGAAGTTCAAGAAATATTGAAACATGAAGCCAATTCAATAGAACGGAAAAGACTGATGAACATTCTTAGGTTAAAAGGAGAACATCAACATAATTTAGAAGTTATTGAAAAAAAGGCAGGTGAATTTCTACTAGGTAGAAGAAATACCAATGGTGACTTTGACTATGAAGAGTATACTCCCTGTCCAAATTGCTATGAGTGGATCAAACCATCTAATCTCAAGCGTCATCAACCACATTGTCCAGCAAAAAGGGAATTCAATGTGTCGAAGGGATGTCTTTTTATTCAGAGCGAAATTATTACGGGCAAAATTCCCAAAACAGCATCTCAAAGTCTTGTAAAAGAAGTGTTTCCAATCATGCTGGATGATGAAATAGGGAAACTTGCAAGAATTGACCCTTTGGTTATTAATCTTGGCAATCAATGTATGCAGAGGAACAGAGACAATAGAACCATGGCGAAGTATTATACTTCATCCATTATGAGACGGGCCACGAAATTGTTGATGAATGCAAGGGAGTCACTCAATGATGCCTCGCTTGATATGGACTGCCTCCTACAGCCAAAATACTTTGACACTATTGTGAAAGCAGCTTTGCTATGCAGTAAACCAGATGATTTTGATGAGGAAAATCTTCAGGCTCCCAGTACTGCCTTAAAGCTTGGGTTTGACATCAAAAGAATGACTTCAGCGAAATTAAGTTATGCCCTGATGAAAAATGACCAACTGAAAATGGAAGAGTCAAAATCAATTTTAACACTGATGAAAATTGAATGGGGACAGCGTGTGACTCAATTAGCCAAAACACTTTTGCAGGAAAGGACTTTTAATAGGCATACAGAGTTGCCATTACCTGAAGATATAAAGAAGTTGGCAGCATACATGAAAAAAGAACTAGGTACATTAGATCTTAAGGATAGAAGCTATGAAAATTACAGAAGAGTTGCTCGACTGGTTCTTGCAAGATTGACATTGTATAACAGGAGAAGATGCCATGAGATGCAGGCTTTGAGGTGTGTATTTAATGAACTATAGGTAGATTTTGGTTTATATGTTTATGTTCAAAAAGTGAATTTAAAATAAGTTTACTTCAATTAATTTAGTCAGCAGGATAAATATTCTGAGAGCATTTCCAATTAGCAAAGTTTTGGTACACATTTTATTTATTTATTAAATTTTTCATTTAGGTTGTATTCCTATTATTCTCGCAAAAAAGGCATTGATGGAGTTGCAGTTCAGCTCATAGGAGATATGACTTCATTTGAGAAGGAGTTGGTTAAAAGACAAGAGTTACATGTAGTAGAGATCAGAGGAAAGGTATGTCTTCCATAAAGTCCAGTAAGTTTGGAAGCAGGGATGGGATAAATGAATAAAGTAATTGTAATTGAGTGTAATTAATTACATTTTTCAAAGTAATTGGAAGTAATTTGTATTTGAGTGAGCCTTCAATTACAAGTATAGACCCTGAGACATGCTACTACCCAACACTCGCTGCATGAACAGTACCCGAATGCTACAGTCGTTTGCATGAAACTCTGCACAGTTTACACAAAACGCTACACAGTTTGCACAAAATGCTACATTGTTTACACAAAACTTGCATGAAAGGCTGCATGGTTTACATGAAAGGCTGCACAAAATGCTTTGTACACGTTTCTCACACGCTTTACACACGATTCTTGCACGTTTTGGCCTCTGTTTGAATTTTCCACTTGGAATAACTCGGGCCACACTCATTCTAAGGTAAAGGTCTAATTATGACAAGATCATACCCAAGAACAAAAACACTGAATGAAGTTGGAATTTGATCGCTATAGAAAAAATCTTATATAAAATTAAAAGTAATTGAAATGTATTTAATTACATTTGTCAAAGTAATTGAAATTGATTAATTACATTTGGAAAATTCAATGTAATTGTATTTGCAAGTAATTTACAAAATTATCAAATACTTTGTTGTGGTGACTTTTACTGCCTCAAATCTTTCACTTTTCATACCCATTTCACACATATTCGCATTTACCAGGTGGGTCTGCGTTTTCCAAAGGGGGTCTGTGTAACTATTTTCTTGTTTTGGTATATTCATTTTTTTACCTGGTAAATTCCAGGGGGTGGGGGGTCCTGACCCTCCGACCCCCCCTCTACATCCGTGCATGCCAGCTATATAAATTTGACTGATATAACATTTTAAGGATGTAGTGAAGTAATTCCATAGGTCCCAGTAACTTTATTATAACCGAGTTTTACTGTATAATTGCAGATGGGACTAGGAGTTCCTGTGCTTTTGCCAAAGGATGTATGCAAACCCATGATTTTCCTGGCAAACAAACATGTCCGTGAAGAAGCTGGCATACTTGAATGCAATCCATACCTTTTTGCCAATTCTCGTAAGTAAAAGAGTTTGTCACCATCAGTGTAGTAACAAATTTCTGACAGAGTAGTTCTAGTTTATTAAGTGGGTTACACAGGAAGAGTGGAAATATTAATACAGTGGAGCCTCATTTATCCAGATGCTTTGGTTCCTATTTAATTTGTCTGGATATGTGAAGCGTCCGGATACCTGAATCAGCAGTTAAACAGGACAAAATAACATTTAAAAATTCTGTCCAAGCAAAAAATTGTTCAGATACTGAAGCATCCGGATATCTGGGGTCCATTTGGACATTTGAGTAAGACAAAACCCCACATTTCTATGGTGAACAATAAACAGGAAGTTTACATTTACCCATTTTGAAAATGGAAGTGCCATCTCATCTTCTTGCAATTGTCTAACTAAGACTTGCAATTGCATTTGATTCTGAATTTTCAAGAGACTGTCATTCTGCAGTGACTTTTGCTAAGATGTATTGGAGGTTTTATAAGTGGAACAAATTTTCTTGTGTTTTTTTAAAGCAAGGAACTGTGTGCTCGTTCATTTAACTGTGATGTCAATTAATTTGTAGTAAGAAAATATGTTTTATGTGCATTGTAATGTGGTTCACATTTTCAAAAAAGTGAGTCTTCATGTGGATTTTTTGCAGCATTTAAGAAGATTTAACAATTGATGAAAGACCCACTGTGTGTACATAAAATCCCTAAAATGGACTTCTAGCAACACCCTTGTTGTTGCTATAATTTCCCCCACTCATTGCTTTAGTACAGTACATGTATTACATGTACTATCAGGCATGCAAAAGGGACAGGAGAGAGTTAAATGTGACAATAAAATGCTTAACACAAGAAATAGTTAAAACTGCAATTGTGCAAACAAATTATACATTAAATCAATTTATTTTTCTAAGAATGCAACTTAACCAGAGCCCGAGTTCCTCCCCTCTCCCTCTCAAATAAATAAAAATAAATGTTTATTGCATATGGTAAACATCTGCAGCCAAGAAAATTTTGTTATTAACAATTTTTTTTCTTTTGATAGAAGCTGGAGTTTTCCGTGCATATGATTCCATCAGAAGTATTAGTGAACTTGCTGGCTTATCCAACACGCACCTCATCAAAACGATCAATATGAGGAAGTACATGGCAACCATGCTGCAGGTAAATTGCTATGAATTTTCAATCAGTATACCTAACAAATTGTGGATGTATGGTCATTAACACTTTATGAATGAAACAAAATAATATTTTGCTTAAACATTCCTTTGTAGTGTTTAGATACCACTGAAAATGTACAACAGTGGATCGTTGACCATCTAGGCCACACTATGAACATCAACAAGCAGCATTTCTGTCAAACATCTGACATTTCAGACAGAGTGGAAGTTGCAAAATTGCTTCTGATTCATGATTTAAACATGGTACACAGATTCAAGGGAAAACAATTGAAAGACATTCAGATTAATGGTTAGTACAAGTAATAAGTGGCCACAAAATCAAGCGATTAATTTTACAGTAAAACTCGCTTAGTACGAACACGGATATTGTGAATGCACAGATAAAGCGAATTTATACTGGATCCACAGCTATATAAATTAAACAATTTTCTTATACGGATATCAGTCCAGTCCAATGCGAAAAATCGTAATATTACTAAAATTCATAATATAAGCAATTTCTAACTCTTCTGAGAGTTACAGTACCGACCGGACACAACCTAACACCAGAGCGAACCCGGAGCGGACCCCGGGTTCGCTTCCCGGGTTCGCTCGGGGTCCGCTTCGGGTTCGCTTTCAGAAATTTTGGGACCGCTCGGGGTCCGCTCCGGGTCCGCTTCGGGTTCGCTCCGTGTCCGCTGCGGGTTCGCTCGGGGTCCGCTATAGCGAACCCGGCGTTCGCTTTCTGGGACTGCTTTACGCAATCATGCGTGAAGCGGACCCCGCTTTAATCTAGCCGCCAGTAAGCCCCGCCCCTTGTACATTCCAATACAGTACTGGTATTGTGGATCGATCATTGTTGTTTATGCGACGATGCGGACATGTACACTGTACATGTAAACAATTACATTATTGAGAACATTGATAAATTTTCTGAAATTAAACTGTTTAATAGATTTACATGTACATGTTCGTGAAAAATTTATTTCCTTGATTTCTCTATTCCGAGAAATTCCAACTAATTTAACAGTGGGTTATAAGGCTTTATTTTTCGTAAGTTATAACGAGAAAACAAAAAAGAAGAGTAAGTAAAGGGTATTGAATTGATTTTCAGTGTATCAAATGGTGTACATGTACAAGTGAAACTGACGAAAGAAATTTAAACTGATTACCTTTTAAAGAATGCTTTATTTGGTTTAAAAATACATTTGTTATTCCTTACGTTTTGCTAAATTGTAGTTTGAATGTTTACTACACACTTGAAATAGGATATCGCATCTATAAATTACATGTAACCTTTTGTACATCTGATATATTTAGACTTTATTTATAGTAGTTACACATTAAAAGTTCGTAATAAATATTTACCAGACATTTTCTTTAAAAAAAAATACACTGTATATTAGAGCTTTTTCACGGTCAAAATTTTGGAGCGAGAATGATTTTTATCAGTATAAAGAAAAAAGCAAAAAATAATTGTTCTCCCGACCCGATAAGAATAATATATAAATATATGCCCCCTATTTCACACACACATTGTCTTTTAAAAAATTCTAATTATTTAATTATTTTATTTATGATTTCTCAATTTAATGTTACATTAAATTATTCAAAGTTTAAACCAAAATTATTGATCTTCTTACTCTTCTTGGGCATGAAAAAAAAAATGCGTGTATAAAAAAATCATTTTTCTGGATGCACAAATTGAAGTCATTCCGCCCTAATGGTATTAAAAACTGCAATGAATTCACCAGAATGAACGTAAATTAGACCAAATTCCTGATGATACTTAAGAGTCAAAATCAGCAAGCATCGAGCATTTAGTTAAAAAATGTGGAAAGTGGCATAGAAACAGATTTGGTTAAAACTCATATATAAATTTTCAGAACAAAAGGTATGATAGAAAAAAGCAAGCAAAAAATAATTTTTCGCATTGTTGCTATGGAAACCACGCGCCTTTCAGATAGCGTGTTTTGTACTTTATCATGACACTTGAATTTATGGTTAAACAAATACTTTTTTATTACTAGTCATTAAAAAAAGTTTTTTGAATTATTATTTTATTTATATAAATACATTCTATTTTAACAACTGTTGATTATTGAAATTCTCTTCACCTTTTGATAAGTAAAATTAGTTTTGGGGGGTTAATTCTGCTTTAAAAAACAGCAAATTTGAAGTACTCTATAAGAAATCTACAACCACATTAAAGCATATCAACATGAAATATTTATTAAACAGTATTTGTTCTAGAAGAATCAAGAAAAAAATCTGCAGGCAACTAAAGCATTTATATATAATAACTGATTTAAATCCATAATTTTCTGTCACTTTTGCTTCAAATTACCTCCCTTTGAAATAGCTCTCTAACATAGGAGGAATAAACGGTAGTTTGCTTACATTGTTTTCAATAACAAAGTACAGAAGACTAGCAGAAAATTGCAAATTTGGAGCAGTCTGAGCCTCAGTTTTGGGGTTTTCATGGTTCTTAATTACGGTGAGTGATTGAAATTTTTACAATTTACCATTACAACAGTTACTGAAGAATGTATAGCATAAATTAACCATGCAGTAAAATATGTAACACTTGGCAAGTGTTTTTGCACATTTTAATTGAATTCTGATTGATTATAAATGTATATATTAGCATTATTTTAGTACTTTATAACTAAAAAGAATATATTATGCATGGCCTGAGGAACAAGGAGGAGGGGGGTACGCCCTCCTCCCCAATAATATTGCCGATATTAAACTATATAATATGAGCAAATGAAATTAAATCCCCAAACTTGTTTCTGAGGGCCTAACGTGAAAAAGTTGGTCATAATCGGTTACATAAGTGTATCCCAAATTATCAAGATTATTTTGAATTTTGTTTGATTTTAATTTGTTGTTTTCACGGTATATGTATGTAACCAAAGTCACTCACCAGCTATAATGATTATAATTGATAGTCGGGTAAATAAAAATTTTGTATAGTAGATATCTTTATTTACCATTTAAGATAATACCTGCTTTTTACATGAAAAATTATGAATTTATGAAAACCAACACTATTATGAAATATTTGTAAAATGGAATGACCTCCGTACAAAAATGAAAAAGGGACAGGTGGTTAACTCTGTACTTCATATATTTAAGTTTATGAAAGGGGATTACCTTGGAAGTATTGTGATACAGACAACTGTATTATGTAGCGGACTAGTGGTAACTGAGTTTTATATATACCACAGTAAAATAATGAATTTTAAAAAAAATTGCTGATGTCATCCAGTGTTTACTAATAAAAGGAAATTCATATTCAGCTAACATTTTCTCCGGTACCACTGAGCTAATTTAAGTCAGCTAGTTTCAAATAATAAGCATCATTAGATTTAAAGCACGTAAATTTATAAAATGAATATCTTTACTCCATTTTTTCTTGGGGGGGGGGGGTTATTGGAAAGAAATAAAAAACATAATTTAGAGTTTTGACAAAACCTAAAACCAGTTGACCTTTTTATTACAAGTTTTTAAATTTAAAGAATATCTAAAATCAATAAGGTCTCAACTTTGTGTTGTATACTTCTGTTTTTAGAATGAAATTCGGCACTTTGAAGCCAAACTCGGAAAGAAGAAGAAACAGAATTGGATGAGCTGATATAGAATTAGACAGGGAAAAACATGTAAATAATACATTTAGTAAAAACGTTAACTTTTTAAAATAAAATGATAAACCATTGAGATTTCTTGGAATTTAATTGATTCCGATCAACATGCCTTGCATTCATCATCATTGCTCAAGCTTAATTAGAAATGATTCCTAGTATATGAAGGCAAAGCTGTATAATATTACATTTTAATTTTATCACTTTTTCAGATTACATGTATGAGAATACATTATTATAGTACAGAACATTGATGCTGGAAGTGAGTGGTAGTGTTACCGGAGACTCAGGGATCCAGAAAATAGATCCATAAATTGTACAGTGTATACATGAAAGTGGATCAAATAAAAATGATCAATCTAAAAGTAACGTTTTTTGTTTGTCTGTTACCATTTTTTTTATTGATGTAAATCTAAGAACTATCAACTTTTGGCATGCAGATTCATAATTAGATAGTAGAAGAATCTGAAACATATCTTTATGTTCCGCATTTTGAATATCATAATTAAAACAAGGTCAATATTAAATGATCAATCAATTAATTTCAAAACTGTTAAAATGTTTTTGTGAGAAAAAAGAGGTCTAGTTTAAAGTCAGATGACACGTTCCTCAAATTTATGTTTTGTATTTCTAGGTATTATTTAAAAAAATATTCATATTTGTCATTCTCTGCTGATTTCTACATTGTTTTAAAAATGTTTTTAAAGATAAGTACAACAAAAATTTCGATATATGCCATTCAAAAGATTACCCATTAGGGTTATTATGAAATATCTTTTAGGGTCAGTTCAAGTTTAGAGATTTATATATAGATATATAGCCCTTCCAGATTTTTTTTTTTAGGTACAAGTAGCTACTGAAACCTTAGCTGTCTTGCAATATTGTTTCTTAATTAGGACAGCAGGAGAATATATCATCGGTTCAAGACCAAAGTCATTCGTTCTTGACAGACATGGTATCGTTTTTGAAAGAGCATGGTGTGTGGGGTAGGCATGAAAAAACTGCAAACTCGGGGGGGGGGGGGGGGGGGAACAACAGGTTATGTTGAGAAAAAAAGTTGGATGGGGGATGTCATCCCCCCCCCCTACCCAACCCAAACCTGATGCTACATGCTTGATTGATATGGTTTTACTTTTAAAATTATGTGAGCTGTCATATATAGTGACTCTCTTTCATAAACTAGAGTTATTGTGAGCAAGCTAATAAAATGATACCCACCCTCCTGCTATTGCATTAAATGTTTTTTATTACAAAAAAAGACCAAATATTAATTTAAAACCTTTTTAAAATTTTGCTAGTGCAGATATATATACATACCGAAATGACTATGACATATACTCAAGTCATAGGTAGTAAAACCGTTGTATAGCACAAACTTCCAATTTCTCTTCATTCGAAGTTAAATATGTAAATGTGCCAAACTCATATAGTACATTTTTACTGCAGTGACCTTGAAAAAGCTATGTCCTTGAGTCAAGGTCAAACATGTCCAAATGGACTTTGGTCAAGGTCATGACAAACATACAGCTCAAAAATAATCCCCGAGATGAAACTTCAAGTCTTTTCAATAGAATGTTACAGAATGGGCAAAGATTGCACTACCAATGACCTTGACCTTGTTCAAATGACCTTGCGTCAAGTTTTGGACACATCTCTAGATCATAAGCAATCTTAATATCAAGTATGAACTTTCAGTGGCACTTGATTGAAATGTTATGAAAAAGTCAAAATTTTACATGTGATTCCTATAACCCCCCCCCCTTTCCAAGTTTCGTTTATGAGGAATATAAAATTCCTTTTGAAATTGAATGCGCATTTATTTTTCAACAATAAAAAAATCATGAGTACGCTTTGACCAGAACCAATATGACCAACATAATGGACACTGTACACATATTCAATTTACCCCCAGCCCTTCAAAAAAGCTTATAAATGCCAGATTGTCACACATTTTAACCATTTGTTACTCTTTTCTACTAAAGTTGCCTGCAAATTTTATTGTATAGATATGACATATAGATAACCCCTAACAAGATCACAGCATTCATTTTTCCAGCAGTGGTTGTAGATTTTACGTATAGAGTGATAAACATATGTATTTTTTTTTCAAAATTAATAAGCATTGACGCCATGTTCTTTTCCCGTTGTCATGGCAACAATATCACTACAGATATTTTGTTTTTCCTATTTTTGGAGAATAAAGTAATTCCATCTTTCAACAAATAAGGTAACCAAAATACCTTATCTTATCACGTTCAGAAAACATATTCAGAGAAAAATGGCTAAAAATCATTGATTTTCATAAGGATTTATGAACCCATTGCTAAGGAAATTAATTTCCTTGGATACCAGTCCCTTTATATGTTCAAAAAAATTTTTAATTGTGTTTTAGCATTAGGTAAGACAAAATCTTTTATTGACCAAAAGCTTTTTAAAAAATAAATTTTTGACTTTCCATTCAATGCTCGATGCTTGCTGATTTTGACTCTTAACAAGATTTATTAATTCTTTCAACTTAGTGTAACTCTACAGTTAGTTTGTGTTGCCATCTTTCGAACAACCCACATAACTATGCATTGCTAACGCCTTTATTGATTATTTTTTTCCAATAATTAGTCCTAAAACATTTCAAAATTTATAATAGATTATAATTCATATGTTAAAATATCCGTTCTATATTATATTTCACTGATTATTCTTTGTCAAGTATAGTTACGCATTTTGATAGAATGACACAATGTACGATTTACTAAATGTCGTGATTAATTAGCGTAATTAATTCGTTCACTTGTGTAAACTTCAATTGAGTATATCTCGATAAACCAAACGTAGCGGTTCGGATTTCTTTCTTTATTTAATAGTAATTATATAAAATTCCAATTCAACTTTAGATGATGGAATTTTACAATAATCGTCGAAGATCAACTATATTTCTTTTCTCCGCTTTTTGTCAGTAAGAATTGTACCATCAATTGATTTCCATTTTTATGCATTGACTGATGTATTTACCCAAATTATTTAATTAATTGCTTTAATAAAAAAGAAATTTAATATTATATCAATATAAAATACAACCCGGAGAAATAAAATAGATAATTATTTAATAGTATTTTGATTATCACAATAGATTAACACAGCACATTCACACGTTTTTTTTTGGATTTATGTCGAATTAAATCAATTCGTTCGATCTTATATCCAAATCGACAGATCAATATGCTATTTTGATTGGTTGATGCGCTGATTGGTTAATCGCTAATCCTGATTGACAGCTCTGTAAAGAAATACATAACCTGCGTTCGCTCTCTGGGACCGCTACTGAATTTGGGGTTCGCTCTCTGGGTCCGCTTCGGGTTCGCTCGGGGTCCGCTACGGGTTCGCTTTGGGTGCGCTCCGGGTTCGCTCGGGGTCAGCCCTAGCGGACCCCGAGCGAACCCTGAGCGGACACAGAGAGCGAAGCCGGGGTCCGCTCCGGGTTCGCTTTCTGTTAGGTTGTGTCCGGTCGGTACTGTACTTCCCTTTTTTCTCATACAATCTCTTTATGTTTCATCAGAGATTATATGTCTCTGGTTTCATCATTATGATATCGTGGATATGTATGATTAGTGGATTTTCTTTGTTTTGGTGCATTTGATCCAAGTGCAAGCAGATTCAGAGCCTAGTGAGAGTCTTACAAGTTATCTCTCGTAACAACTCGTTATTTAAGATGAGGGTCTGATTTTCAGGGTAGACTTCGGGAAAAATATAGGGAATTCGGGGATTATAGACCATTGTGACAAGTTTGAAGATACATTGAAATTTTATGGAAAATTGTTCCCATCCTTGGGAAAATTGTAATATAAGAATAATAAAACAAAATGTTCACTCACCCATTACCATTGTTACTTTCTTCTTGCATTTCCATACTTTTTGAAAGACGTCACTGACCAAGATGAACACGTGATACTAGTACCATTGGGGCATAATGTATTTCTGACGTCATACTTCCCTAAACATCATTCAGTTTCATTCAATGCTTAATTTTGCCTTGCATTACGAAAACTTGTAATATTCTCTCTCTCAACTTGTATATTACGAGTTTCTGTAATTTAACTATATTACGAAAAATAGTAATATAAGAATAATATTACGATATTTCGTAACATTACGATTTTTCGTATTGGACTGGACTGAATATAACATATTACGGATATAGCAATGTAATTAAATAGGTCCCATTGACTTCCAAGTTATTGCTTACACAATGAATTAACATAACCTTTAAAAAAAATCAGCATTTTCATTTGGAAAAATAATATATTGAATGTATTGATTTCTTTTTATTTACAGATATAGTGGGAATTGATGAATTTTCAAAGGACAAGCACAGTCCAAGTCCACCCTTCCCATTGCCTTCCCCTGAGACTGAGGTTGACATCCCGGATCTGAATTGTTTTTCAGAGGATGAAGATGATTCAGATTCAGAAATTCAATCTAAAGAAGGTAACATTTAAACTTGGAATTTTTCAGGGGATCTAATTCGATTTTATTCAGCTCAAGCAGAGAAAAAAAAGAGATAAATGTTCTAAATCACAAATAATCAAATAACCTCTCTTCTAATTGATTACAGTTAGCAACAGGGCTGTCACATTTCGAAGCTTTTCTGATCACATTTTGTCCGTCGTCCGTCCGTCCATCTGTCTGTCTAGCTGTCTGTCCGTCTGTAAACTTTTCACATTTTCGACTTCTTCTCAAGCACCACTTGGCGAATTTTGACCAAACTTGATACAAAATATCCTTGGTTAAAGGGGAATTTAAATTCTTAAAATGATGGAACATATCCCCTTGCAAGGGGAGATAATCAAGAAAAGACAAAAATAGGGTGGGGTCATTAAAAAATCTTCTTCTCCAGACCCACTGGGCCAGTAAAGCTTAATCTTATATGGAAGCATACTCAGGTAGTGTAGATTCTAAATTGTTCAAATAATGACCCCTGGGGGAAGGACTGGGCCACAATGGAGAATCAAAGTTTTACATTTAAATATATAGGAAAAATCTTTGAAAATCTTCTTCTCAAGAACTACTGGGCCAGAAAAGCTGAAACTTATGTGGAAGCATTTTAGGGTAGTGTAGATATTAAATTGTTCAAATCATGACCCCCGGGGGAAGGACGGGGCCACAATGGGGAATCAAACTTTTACATATAAATATATAGGAAAAATCTTTGAAAATCTTGTTCTCAAGAACTACTGGGCCAGAAAAGCTGAAACTTATGTGAAAGCATCCTAGGGTAGTGTAGATATTAGATTGTTCAAATCATGACCCCTGGGGGAAGGTTGGGGCCACAATGGGGAATCAAAGTTTTACATAGAAATGTATAGGAAAAATAATTGAAAATCTTAATTGAAAAGCTGAAACTTATGTGGAAGCATCCTGGTATAGTGTAGATTCTAAATTAAATCATGACCCCCGGAGGAAGGGTCGGGCCACAATTGATAATCAAAGTTTTACATAGAAATATATTGGAAAAATCTTTGAAAATCTTCTTTGAAAAGCATTCTTGGGTAATGTAGATTTTGAATTGTTCAAATCAATACCCCCAGGGGAATGGTGGAGCCACAATGGGGGGATCAAAGTTTTACATAAAAATATATAGGAAAAATCTTTGAAAATCTTCTTCTCAAGAACCACTGGGCCAGAAAAGCTGAAACTTTTTTGGACAAAGAAGGATCCTGGGTTAGTTGATTTCAAAATGTCTTAATTATGATCAGTAGGGTAGGGTGGGGATACATAATGTATTACAAGGGGGAAATCTGGTAAAGAACAGAATGGTCAAAGCTTCTCAGGTGAGCGATGTGGCCCATGGGCCTCTTGTTTTTTATAATGGTAATTTATCTTTTTGTACACATTTAGCACTAAGGACTTCATGTTCCTTACGTCGGAAGTGGTCCAAGGAGGAAGAAAAGGAATTGCGGTCCTTATTCAGCGAGTGTTTTGCAGAGTACAGATGTCCGAAGCGAAGAGAAGTAGAAACGCAGATGAAGATGAGCGAAAGGAAAAATGGTTTAATACACAAAAGACCTAGAGACAACATCAAAAAGAAAATTTCACAAATGCTTGTAAAAAAGCGTATTGAAAATATTGAATTAATTTTGTAGTTAACTTGTATGAAAAAGTGTTGGATAGGAGTCAACAGTATGATGGAATTAACTTTTACATGAATCTGATCTCAAATTCTTATTTGTCTGTGTATATACCTGTAACATTTATTAATGTGATACATATTCAGTCAGAGCGGGGGGATTACTAGTGAGCATTGGCTCACAGATTTTTTGTTAAATTTTTATTTTTCGTTAGGCCAGGTAAAATTAATCTTTAGATTCTCATCCTAATTTGCAAAAAAATTGGGGCGGGTGGGCGGATTTTCTTTTTTATTTTTTATAACTGTTAATTTATATATAGGCCTAAGTATCAACAAAACAATGGACGCCCCGTACACATTTTTTTCATTACTTTAATGCAAATATGAATAGATTTAATTCTTTTCATATTCTTTTAAATATTTAAAGAAAATTTTTGCTTAATAAAAGTTAAATATTCATTGTTAATTAACAAATTATCAAGTACACATTATACGGCACGCCCTGAACAAAATGAGGTGGGGATACCAATAAATTGTGTATGCATGACTTCTTATTTTGCAAAATCTATATAAATGTTCTAATAATTATTCTACTGAAAAATCTAGGCCTTCTCTTAAGTCTGTCTACGATGTTGTAGATTTTTTTTTATTTCAAAGCTAAGTCTCACAGCTGGAGTTCGTTATATACAACTTGACCAATTGTCATTTTACTCGTCTATTTTTACTTAGTTACAATCTCTCTACATACTTTCTCCTGCCAGTGATGGTATCTATATATGTTTATGCTATTTTTTCTTCTCTGGCTTCTCTATACTGACAAATTATCTTTTCCTTACACATTTAAACTGCTTATATTGCCGATTTTTCTCTATTCTCCACATGGCGTTTTTGCTATGAATAGCAACACGCGACTTTTAATACAGACGGGAGATAACTCTTTTAACTTTGATCCAAATTCTTACTGAATAAAAATACATGAAAATACCCAAAAATCAAAATAAAAAACATCGGGGCGGGACATTTTGAGAGGGGCGGGCGGGGATGAGAATCTAAAGATTAATTTTATATGGCCTTACGTCAATTGTTTTTTGTTTTATTTTGTAAGGGGAGGGGTTGAGACATTTTCACAATAAGACTGCATTTTAATTTGTAATAATTTAAATACTAGTACTCTTGTATTTATAGACTTTATCCTAACTGTAGAATTTAGTATACTTTCCTAAAGAATGTATACCTTTATTGGTTCACCTGAGTCAAAGGCTCAATTGAGCTTTTCTGATCAAAATTTGTCTGTCTTAGTCATAAACTTTTCACATTTTCATCACCTCAAGATCTGCTGGGCCAATTTAAACAAACTTGCCAAAAAGTATCCTTGGGTGAAGTGAATTCAAGTTGTTCAAATAAAGGGCCAAGACCTTTTCCAAGTGGAGATAATGACAAATTAATAAAAAAATTTCAATGGCATCTTTAAAAAAATTTTCTCTCCAGAATTATTGGGCCAGGAAAGATGAAACTCATGTGGAAGCATTTTCAGGTAAGCATTTTCAGGTAGTGTAGATTCAAGATTGTTCAAATCATGACCCCCCTGCGGTAGGGTGGGGCCCCAATGGCTGATCAAAGTTTTACTAGGAATATTTTTCTTATAAATCTTCTCCAGAACCATTAGACCAAGAAAATGAAACTCGTGTGAAGGCATTATCAGGTAGTGTAGATTCAAGTTTTTTCACATCATGACCCCAAGGGGTAGACCAGGGCCACAATGGCTGATCAGATTTTTACACAGAAATATTAAGTAAAAATCTTCTTCTCCTGAACCATTGGGCCAACAAAGATAAAACTCATGTGGAAGCATCCTCAGGTAGTGTAGATTCAGGATTGTTCAAATCATGATCCCGTTGGGTAGGGCGGGCCACAATAGCGGATCAAGGTTTTACATAAAAATTCATTTTCAAAGACCAGCAAAGCTATGTTCGGTGAGATTAATATAGAAACATTTTAGTTAGACTTAATTCAAGTTTGTTTATATCATGACCACTAGGGGTGAGGTGTTGCCATAAAGGGTAAGCAAATCTTTCTGTAGAAATATATAGGAAAAATCCCTGAAACTCTTCTGCTCAAGTATGGCAAAATGTACTGTAAACCAACTTTTATTCACATACAAGAATTTTTTGCGAAGTTCGCTATAACCTCATCATCGCAAATATTTCTCACAGCGAAGGGGTCCTTATATTATATTTGTCATGCAAAAAGGGTTGATTGTGAAAATTAATTGTCGCGAATTAGTTTTTTCCTGGTAAATTGTGAAATAAAGTCGTCATGAGTAAAAGTTGGTATACTGTTTGTTTTATTGATAAAGAAACATTCTCGAGTAAAAAAAAAATCATATCCCTTTCCTCCGACAAGTCAACTTTTCAATACTGTGCTGATTTGTGTTTTTAACTTGCCCATGTGCTTAGCCTCTTGTTTTTGTTCTAAGATCAAATTTAAAATGCAAAATGATTAGATAATAGACATGCACATTTTTTTTACTTAATTTGAATTTATACATTTCGATTAAAGTATTAAGCAATTACATGTGTCTTTGAGGAATGTGTTTTAAATTTTGTTTTTTTTCTGTGTTCTACGTTTATTGTCATGTTTCTTATTTGTCTTCAACTTGTCAAGTAACTGAAAAGTTTAATTAAAATCAGAATTGTTTTTTTTATTATTATTATTTACCAATGAAAAAGTGCATGCTTTTTGATGCAAAATGCACACTTAATATTCATGCATTTATTAAATTTCCAGAAACATCTCAATCTATCCTAATTTTATTGACAGTATCACAATGTATTAAATAATGTATTAAATAAAAATTCCAATTTTTTATTTGATATTTTGTTGTTTAAGGTCCCTCTCGAGCTTTTTATTTACTCATGTGGAGACTCAACCACTTGCCAGTGGAGAGCTGCAAATTTTTGTCCTAAACTATGCACTTAGCCATTGAGCAGTGAGGGATCTTTATCGTACTAGCGCCTACTGCAAAACGGGAGTTCGGTTTACAAGAATAATGTCTCATCCGAATGACAGGGGCCCGTTTTACAAAAGGACTTATGACTTAAGACCAAGTTTAATCATTAGTATGACTTTTTAATTAAAATTATATAGAAACTCATTTTAAACTTTTTAAAAAGAATGTGGTAAGATATTTTTACTTAGACATTTTCAAAAAGAAATATTAGTTTTGCAAAATGTTATATTAATCTGAAGTCTTTGGTCTTAGTCGTAAGTTCTCTTGTAAAACTGGCCCCTGGACTCTATGTCCCATGGATGGATTCGAACCTGCGACATAAGAACCAACTGTTTACTTTGCAACTATAGAGCAGATGCTCTGACCACTGCACATCATCCATTGGATACATACAATTGCAATATGTTGCCCAACTTCATTCGGGGTGACATAAAAATTAATCGGTTGGTGTCATTAAAAAATGTTATCAAGAACCACTGGGCAGTAGGCAAGAATAGCAGAAGTTTAAAGGAAGGCATCCTGTTGTAGAGTAGATCTTGAAATGGTCATGTTCCCTAAGGTTAGGATGAGCACAGGAGTCTGAAGTTTTTATCGTCAAAAAAAAAAAAAAAAAAATCCGGAAAAAATTTTCCCTACCCTTTACTAAAAAAACCCATTAAGGGTAGGAAAATTTTTTTCCGGATTTTTTTTTTTTGACGATTAAAACTTCAGACTCCTGTGGGATGAGGCCTAAAATGGAAACATTGAAATATATAAGGAAAATTTAAAAATCATCTACTCGGGAAACACTGCATGGTCATGTACATTCTAATCTCTTTTAAGAATCTCTCTCTGTGGAAGCATCCTTTTGGTAGTGTACATTCTACGTTGCTGAAATAATGACTGGGAAATCTTGTGAATATTGGCAAGGCCAGAGTTACATTGGTTAGCAATGTAGATCATGCGCTTTGGTTGCCTTTCACTGTATTCAGAGTACACTAGTTCCTCATTTTCAAATGTAACTAAGTAAATTTTCTTTCTTTTGTTTCCTGGGGATTTGAATGATGGGAAAAATGAAAGCTTGTAGGGTTTATAGGAATTTAAAGTCAATTTAATTGAACTTGTCATTAATTGACTCTTAATCTTATTTATCAGTTGTTTTGTGTTCCGTATCTAAAATTTAAGATAAACTATTTTCAATTTTAGGAAGAAGATGCAGACAATTTTAACAAAGATGAAATAAGTGAGAGAGACTTCAAGTTTTTCAAATGCGGAATTTGTGGTGTGGCTTTTAATGATGCAATAAATTTAGAGAAGCATGTTTACCAGCACAAGACATTTTATCAAAGTAAAACTATTAAATGTGGGTATTGTGAAAAGATTTTGGATTCTGAAAGAAATGCATTGGATCATCTAAATCTCGCTCATGGTATCATTTGTAAAAAACCAAAAGCTGGAATGCAAGAAGTGAATTTACCAACATATGAGAGTGATGGAGAATCCCTGAAAACTATCCGAGTTATACAAACAAAAATACCAAAATGTGAAGTGTGTGATAAAATATTTCCAAATCTGAAAAGGTTTGCACAACACCAACGGGAAAGCATGTGTGCCTATGTGTGGTATCGATGTCTTTTTTGTGGGAAAAAAGTTGGAAAAGAAACTCGTGAGGAAGTTCCACTCCCAAAAGATTTAACATGCACACTGTGTAAGACAAGGAACCAGGCAATAGAGAAAACACATACCATGATGGAGCAAAACAAGCAAGGGGATGAAGTGATTTTAAATGTAGTGCAACCACGTATTGTAGAACTTGATTGTATGAAGGACCAAGGTATACAAGGAGATGAAACAATTTTAGATCTAGCGCAGCCAAGAGTTGTAGAAATCGGTTGTAAAAACAAGGATAAAAACAAACAAGGAGATGAAAGGATTTCAGATGTAGCGCAGCCAGGTATTGTAGAACAAGAAGATGAAATGGTTTTAGATGTAGCGCAGCCAAGTATCGTAGAATTTAGTTGTAAGGAGAAAGACAAAAGCAGACAAAGAGATGAAATAAATTTAGCTGCAGTGCAACCGAATATCATAGCATTTGATTTTAAGAAGAAAGACAAAATAAGGCAAGAAGATGACATGGTTTTAAATGTAGTGTCACCAGAAATTGTAGAATTTGAGAGTCAGAAGAAGCAGAAAGGCAGAGAAGGAAATGAAACGATTTTAGATGTAGTGCAACCATGTATTGTTGAATTTGGTTGTAAGAAGACAGACATTGGCAGTCAAGGGGATAAAAGTTTTTTATATGTAGAGCAACCAGAGCTTTTAGAATTTAATTGTAAGATGAAGGACACAGACAGACAAGGAGATGAAAGGATTTTACACTTGGTACAACCAAGAATTGTTGAATTTGGTTGTAAAAAGAATGATGAAAATAAACAAGGAGATGATACGATTTTAGATGTAGCGCAGCCAAGTACTGATATTGTAGAATATTATGTAGTGCATCCAAATATCATAGAATTTGGTTGTAAGAAGGACAAAGGCAGAAAAGGAAATGAAATGATTTCAGATGTAGCGCAGCCAAGAATTGTAGAATTTGGTTGTAAGAAGAAGGGCAAAAGAAGACAAAGAGATGGTCTTAAGTGTAGTGCAGCGAAGTATTGTAGAACAAAGAGATGAAATGTATTTAGATGAAGCACAGCCAAGCATTGTAGAATTAGGTTATAAGAAGGGCAAAAGCAGACAAAGAGATGGAATGATTTTAAATGTAGTGCAACCATGTTTATACTGTAGAATTTGGTTTTAAGATAAAGGACAGCTGCAGATAAGGATATGAAATGATTTTAGATGTACTGTAACCATGGCAACCGTGTATCATAGAGTTTGATTACAAGAAGAAGGGCAAAAGCAGACAAGGGAATGGAGTGATTTCAGATGTAGTGCAACGAAATATTGTAGAGTAAGAAGAAGAATGATAATAAACAAGGAGAAGAAAAGATTTTAGGTTAAGCTTGTAAGAAGAAAGATTTTCATAAACAACGAGGTGAAAAATAACTAAAATAATTGTAATCAAACGGTGAAAAAGTTCACATCTGCAGTTGTTTGGATTGTGGGGAAATTTTTTTGCAAATAATATATATATGAGATGCACATGTCACACAGTACATAAAGTGACTTGTGTGAACGTGCTTATGAAATTCTTAAAAAATCATCAGAATGTACATGAGCCTGCAAGGTTTCAGTGTGATGTATGCGGTAGGAAATTGAAGACTACACCTAAGCTCATATAACACAAGTGATTATATAGAGGTGAAACGCCGTTTCTCTGTGAGATCTGTGGAAAGGGATTCCATAATCGGATGGCAAGATTTTTCACATGGATACCTACGATCCCTCAAGCAAGAAACGAGATTTATTGGAGCTCTACACATGCACTTATTCTTTGCGACTTCATCAGATATTGCATAGAATCCATAATTGTTCGGACTTGAAAGAAATATTCTCCATTTTATTATGAGTTTGTGAAATCTGTAGCTAAAGATTTAGTAGGAGGCCTCGATATGAAAATCAAATATTAAACGTGCGTGAGCTATGTCTGAACAAAAAAGCGTGACGAGAAGGCATTTAGAAGACAGTCACAAAAAGAAAAATTCCTATTGACGATCCAAATGTCACATGTGTGGGAAATTTTTCTGCAGTAGATCGGCTCTTAGGTCTCATATTGCATTTGTTCATCGTGAAAACCCCGATTAGCGAATTATATGTGACATATGTGGAAAAACTTTCTCCAGTAAATCAACTCTTTCTTGAATTCTTCTCATTCTACCCTCCATAAAGGATGGATGCAGATTACCTGTGAGAGTTGCAATACGGTTATGCATAAACATTCTTTGAAAAGACGCAAGTTAAGAATGCACAAAACAAATGTACAATTATTCTCATGAACACTGAGCAAGGTTAAAAGTTATTGAGTATATACATGTGTGTTAGAAATGAATTATCATGTTTTATTGAAATCATTTTATCTCATTAAAGTTATTCTGTTAATAAAATATCTATTTTTGCCAGTTCATGCTCTTTATCATAATAGTAAAATACAGTACAGTGTCTTGAAATATTTCTATGTATGGAGAAATATGTACACATATAGAAAAATAATTCTGGTAAAACATATGCGTCATAGATATTTCAATGCACCGAGAATACCCTTATTAGATATAAATAAAACTATAGCAAGAGGTCTCAAGGCGTAGAATCACATTTCTATTATATTGTACAACTTATCACTTGTACTCCAAGCCTCTTAGTATCACAAAAATAGACGTATTAAAATAAAGCCTAAAAACTTGCAAAGTATGTCATAATCGACTAGGCAGCTGGTAAAGATTGACTGTAACTGAGTTTTTTTATTACACATGTCTGAAACATTGAGATATCGTTCGTATATAACCATAAAAATTCAAAACTAGGTCACAGTGACCTACTTTTTGGTTGACTTTCTTCGAAAACTGAAGATGCATCAACTGACGAATTTTGATGATACTTAGACAGTAAGTACCTAAGATACTTTAATATAGCTATAAAATATCAAAAGTAGGTCACTTTGACCTACTTTATGGTTGACATTTTCCGAAGACCTAAGATGCATCAAATGTTAAAGTTTGATGATTCTAAGCCAATAAGTACCGAAGATACTTAAATATAGCCATAAAATGTCAAAAGTAGGTCACCATGACCTACTTTTTGGTTGACATTTTTTGAAGACCTAAGATGCATCAACTGACAAAGTTTGATGATTCTAAACCAAAAAGTACCTAGTTTACCTAGTTTTTATTTTTATGGTTATGTAGAAGGCATCTTGGGTTTTTGGAGAATGTCATCTGAAAAGTAGGTCACGATGACCTACTTGTGACATCATATGGCTATATTTAAGTATAAGGAGTACTTAATGGCTTAGAATCGTCAAACTTTGTCAGTTGATGTATCTTAAGTTTTCATAGACTATAAAGTAGGTCACAGTGACCTCCTTTTGAATATCTCAGGTACTTATTGGCTTAGAATCATCAATCTTAGTCAATTAATGCATCTTTAGTTCTCAGAAAATTTCAAATAAAAAAGTAGGTCACTGTGACCTACTTATGGTATTTTATAGCTACATGTATGTTGAAATATCTTCAGTCCAAACTGGCTTAGAATAATCAAACTTTGTTACTTCGTGCATCTTGGGATATCTAGTGTTAGAGGCTTCAAATAAAAGTGATAGATTGTACAATTGTACTGAAGAGCGATTCAAGACCCTTGGGCCTCTTGTTTTTTTCAAATGGAGGTTAAACTCTAATGTCAAGAATTCAAAAACGGTGACAGCAGAGAGGTCTTGCAACAAGGGATACATGAACATGTAATTACAATGTATATACTGTTCAGAAATGTATTGTCTTTCCACGAATTTTATTTAAAAATAAACTTTGTTGTTAGGACTATAATTTAACATTTATTTTCAAATAAAATTTGTTGAAAGAGAGTATTGTTTAATAGTAACTTGGTCTGTTCTCCCTATTATAATATAATTGTCCCCCGCTTTCGCGAAAGCGAGGGGACATTAAATATCATTCGTCTGTCCGTCTGTCTGTCTGTCTGTTCGTCAATCTGTCCGTCACAAAAGCTTTAACCTTGCTCATAACTTTTGATTCTTTGGAGCCATGACTTTCATATTTCACGTGTGTATTCCTTGTGACAAGACCTTTCTTTGGGCACCACCAATTTGACCTTTTGACCTTGGAGTTTGACCCACTTTTACTCAAAAATTTCAAACTTTTACTTTGGCAATAACTTTTAAATGGTAGGTCTTAGGACTTTCATATTTCACATTTGTATTCTTTGTAGCAAGACCTTTCATTAGATATCAACAACTTTGACCTTAACCTTGGAGATTTTCGTACTTATGAAAAATCTTTAACCTTGACCATAACTTTTGAATAGTAAGGGCTAGAACTTTCATACTTCACAAATGTAATTTTTGTGAGAAGACCTGTCATTGGATACCAAGAACTTTGACCCTTTGACCTTGGAATTTTAATTACTTTTAAAAAACTTTAACTTTGGTCACAAATTTTGAACGGTAGGTATTAGGACTTACATATTTCACATATGTATTCTTTGTGACAAGACCTTTATTGGATAACAACAACTTTGACCTTGACCTTGGAGATTAACGTACTTAAAAAAAAAACTTTAACCTTGACCATAACTTTTCCAAGGTAAGGGCTAGGGCTTTAGTACTTCACATATGTAATCCTTGTTAGAAGACCTTTCATTGGATACCAAGAACTTTTGAACGGTAAGGGCTAGGGCATTCGTACTTCACATATATAATCCTTGTGAGAAGACCTGTCTTAAGAAACCAACAACTCAGACCCTTTCACCTTGGAGTTTGACCTACCTTTCAAAAATTTATCCTCGACTCTAACTTTTGAACAGTGGTGCTAGGGATATTGTATTTCACAATCGAACTTCTTGTGAGAAAACCCTTTTATGGGCAATGCATGTAATATATTTAATTTGCATTTAATAAAAGTGTTGCCATACGGGGTCATAAGTGTTTCCCAAACACATCTTGTTCCTTACATTGAGAAGAGAAAGGGATTTCATATTTGACATGTGCTTTACCTGTGACAAGATAATTTTGAGCATGCTATGATTTCTTACCCCTTGACCTTCACGATTGTCCTCATTTAAAAAAAAATTTCCAATGATAATTTTTTTCTAAATAAATGACATATATGATATGGTGTTCATATTAGACACAATATGTCATTAAAAAAAAAACATCTCACCCACAAGAACACCGAAAGCAGGGGACCACAATTCTTTGAATTTGCTTGTTCTTCGTGTTTAAATTTAACATGCAGTGAAGAATTACACAGTTAACTGCATTAATATTCTTACATATATATTGATGTGTGTAACACTATACTTCGTACAATTCATCAGTAAATATTAGTAGTTGTTTTTTTATTGTTTACATTAGTTAATACTAAATATTTTATTTTAGTAATCTGAGATCCCCTGGTATGCTCAGACGGATTTTATTTCGAAGCACGAATCAATTTTTACCGTCGTATTTATAACGTGGGGTTTAAAATTGTGTGTGTTTAATTTTCAAGATTGATTAAATAAAAATTTTACTTTATGAAAAGTCACATTTTAAAGAAAAAATATGTAAATTCTATGTACAATCATTTACACAAGGTGATATAAAGATCTGAGGCATTTCCTCTGAAACTGTAGCTCCTTACGTCTCTCTCTCTCTCTCTCTCTCTCTCTCTCTCTCTCTCTCTCTCTCTCTCTCTCTGGTAGAATAATTAGTGTCATTATGCCCTCTAGATATGATGTTTAGGATGATTACATTCCTCGTCTATTTAAGTTTACAAACCAGCATTGATCAATTTGTCCGTAAGATAAAAGTACCGTAAAAGCTTTGGAAACTTTCTAAAGAACCGGCGAGTAGCTGTTAACGCTTTTAAACATGTCAAAATTACCCTAAAGACTTTTGTTTGGATAAATGATTTTCGAAAGCTGGAGAATCTATATTGGTGAAGCGTCTCTGAAAGTCCATTGTGTTTAATTATAGATGTATTAACAGTGATTAACAATTATTTTACGTGTGATCAAACATCCGGGCGGATGTTTGCTGAAATCCCAAGGAACCGTTTACTATAAATGCCTTCTGTGTATATTGTTCATTGAGATTTTCAATAGCGGAAGTTTTTTTTTTATTTTGAGCACACTGTGAACAGAAATTTGTGAATTAAACCGTGCTGTGAATAAATATATTTTCTTTTCGGAAGATTGAAACAATTATCACAGTGATTTGGAATTAGTGGTTAAATTAAAACCCTCAGCTGCAATGAATTTTAAAAAGAATGCTGGATTTATGATCAATATTTTTATTATAATCACCCCTGTCTTGACACGTGGGTACCAATTAACAGTACTCCACACGAATGATGTTCACGCGAGAATTCAGGAAATGAACGCCTTTGGTGGCCAATGTTCCTCGGGAAGTTCCAATTGCTTTGGTGGAGTTGCTAGAATAAAGACAAAAGTGGAGGAGCTCCGAAGGGAACATCGGAACACCCTTCTGCTGGACGCCGGAGATCAGTACCAGGGAACCCTCTGGTTCAGTCATTACGGGGGATACGTGACACACACCATGATGAATCTCATCGGTTACGATGCCATGGTATTCACTTTTTAAATTCAATCTGAAATATTATTTTTAGTAGCTTAGCATTAGTCCAAACTGATTTAGGGTTGTGTTACAGTGGAGTCGCCAATTGTAGTCGTGTACGGTTGGATTTATGTCAATTTTTTTTCAGTTATAGATATAAAAAATTATATCTAGTTGACTGACGACCCCCGACCCCACTCATGCAGTAAGATACAATTTTGACGATATCCATTTTACGAAACTTGGCAATCAATACATGCAATTTATATTTCCTGAAAATTATAACGGAATTTATTAAGAAAGGTGGCATTAACATTTACGTGAACAATTAACGTGGTATTGGACATGTACTGTATACCGGTATGTCACACATGCACAGGGTTCTTTACGGAAGTAACTCAGATTATACTATATATTATAAAAAGAACGACAATGTCCGTTTACACAGTACCAGTATTATAAGGAATTACAATATCCTTCTCTTCAGATAAAGGGTAAACATTAAATTATTCTCTTTCTTATATTTAGTAAATATGCTCGTACATCTTACTTTTCACAGCTGTACTTGTATATTGCAAAATTAATCAGAGAGCGCAATGAATTATAATACCAGATTAATTTGGCACAGTTGTACCTTTAATTGGGGATGTATAATTACAAAACTATGACCATGTCAGTTAATAAATTAAAATTAACAGTGCATTCTTTGAAATCATAACACCATATGCTTCTGGTTTATGACATGTAGATGTAATAAAATTCATGATCTATTCGTTCTTGTCTAAAGTGTACTTCAAGTGAAATTTTAAAATTTATTTTATCTCTAGGCCTAATTCATGCAAAGACTCAAGAAAACATATGAGAATGAATGAAAACAAAATTCACTTTGAAATTATATTATTTTTGCAGAGTACAAGCGTTCGTGCCTAACAGAGTGCAAGCACAAAAAAAAAAAAATTAATGGGTCATTGTAAACTTGATACATGAAAGCTTCTTTTTATCTTGAATGTGATAAACCGCACGCTTACAAATTTCTTTAAGATAAACTTGTAAAAGGTTTCAATTCTGTCAAAAATTCCTAACACTAAATTTTCAAGGTCAACTAAGGTCGGAATGCAGTGCTCCAGAAAGCTCAATCTTCCCTGATCTCAGGGAAAAAAAATCACACGAGATTTACGACCTTGTGTCAATCGACATTAAGTTAATTCAGATGTATCATATAACATGTTGTGTTCAATGTTTACTGTGAAGAGTAAATATGGGCTTTAATTTCTGCTTGCATCTAATTTTTTTTTAAAAAAGGCCAATAATATAAAGAATGAACTTTATGGATTCATACCTTCACCGCGGGATTTTGATATCTCATACAAAAAAGTGATATTTTAAGATTTCTTGAAACTTGGTAGATTAAAAAAAAAATTTCTCATTTTTTGTTGAGTAAACTTCTCAGAACGTGATTGAACACCATGTATTCCGAAACATAAGAACTTTAAGAAATATTATATATTGGACACGGGGATAAATATACTTTAATTTTTTACTAATTTTCTAATATCTCAACGGAAATTCATATTCAGAAATTAAAAACAAAACTTTCTTTAAATAGCACTTTGTTACGTATTAAAAACCTATTTAAAGTAATGAGCATGCATTGTGTATAATTTTGTGCAGACATATTTCCATAAAACACTGTAACCGCTTTGTGAAGAAAAACACAGTTATTGTGTACGAGGGTTTACACAGAGATAATATATACAAGGTACACATGGAAAGGTACACATGACAATAACAGACATACTTAAGGAATCACTACATAGTAGAGTATGCCAAGGCATCAACAATGGTTGGAAACATGGCATAAAATTTGTATTACAGGCGAAACCCGATATGCATATATATTATCCCATGTTTTTATCTATCCTTGATGTTCCTGGCATTCTCTACTAACTAGACAGTGATTTCTTATATTTCCATTTCATTGAGAAATAAAATTTAAAAAAAAAATAAGAGTATAAATATAGTCAATAGATTTAAATTACATGCGGCCTGCCATGTCAGTTTTAATTGTTCCGCCAACTGACGTCAAACACAAAGATAGCCACATGAGATTTACATGCATTTATGCCTCCTTAGCTCCTGACCTTTCGCTTGGCGAAGTTTACATTCCGGTAGATTTGTAAAGAAATATACTCAACTAACTTTCACCGTCGTAACACTTTCTTTCACTGTAAGATTAGGACAGTATCATTAGCAATTCAAAATATTTCTTCATAAGACCTTAGGAAGAAATTTTATTTGTAATAGCTTCTTTAGTAAGCATTTTAAAATCGCTAAAATTATTAAAAATAAATTAATTTTTTATGCAGAAACTTTGTTGCTAAAATTGTTCAATAAAAAGCCGTAGGAAGAAATTTTTTGCTATTGGTGGGGGAAAAACTATTATCAATAAGCAGAAATTTTATTGCTGATTGTTCAAAACAAAGCTGCATTTCGAAAAAAAACCCTATTAAATAAAATATTAATTCAGAGAGCTAAATATAGATTGGGTAACAGTCATTGCTTATAAATACACTCTCCATACAACTTGAAAAGCTGCAGGATTGCATCTCACCTGTCTAGAGGTCAAGAGAGATCATTTATCACGATATTTTCAGACCAGAACAAAAAGTTTATGAACTTTTATCCTGTGCAGGCTTTGGGGAATCACGAGTTTGACAACAATATTGATGGTCTACTGCCATTACTACAGAACGCCAACTTCACAATTCTCAGTGCAAACATCTATTTGGACACAGAAGCCCGGATCAAACCTTATGTATCCAAAAGCTACGTCACAGAAGTGGGCGGGGAAAAGATCGGGGTCATAGGTTATACTACAAAAGACACGCCCATGATATCTCAGCCTGGTGAGTAACAAACCATTGCGAGGTACTTGCAACACAACATAAAATTAAGCAAATGACTCAAAGAACATGGAAAAGATTTTGAAAACAAAACTTATTCATTATGATGATTTATGACATTTTTTGTGTTTTTTCTTTACATTTTATATGAAATATTTTAAAAAAAAATTCTTCTATTGGCATTAAGGTTTCTGAAGATGAATGCTTTGAACTGCATTATTGTAGTGTTATGCCACATTTTTGTTCGACCACGAAAAGACGGAAACTTACAAAATTATACCCGCGTTCTTATTGCTGAACTTTTTAGAGAAATCAATTATTTTGAACATGAAAATCCCCCTCCCCCCAAAAAAATCATGAGCATAAGTCTAAAAAATTAGCTGCAGAAATGTAGCTCGCTAGCTTGTCTTAAAAGAATTGGACGATCAGAGTTTGCAGGAGTTCTGGTCTGTCAAAATCAAAAATTCGCAGAGCTACAGTTCTTCAGCTTCTCGAAGATTTTAAAAAAAGTTTATTTTATTGTTCAGACCGCTCTATTCTTCCTCTCGTTTTGAAATCAATTACTAGTAATTATATTTTGAACGACGAAATTTACTCCGACGTAATATTGACAGTTCTGTCTTAAGTGATTGAGTCTCGATAATGGAGTTCATGTTGTCCATTAGTTTAATAATTATACAGAAAGTATCAGGTGCTCTTTCTGTTTGCTGCCATTATCTTTGGTTTTTAGCAGTCATTGTTGCACCGAGAGGCATACATTTTATGAAATAGCTAGTAATTAATATGTCAATCAATGGGGGAAAAAATTCAAATGGCCTATATACAATGTTCTTTATATACTGTCAACAAAAAATTAACTGAAGGATAAAATACAACTGTCGAGGAGCAGAGTTTTTAGGTTACAAATAACAATTTAGGCGTTCCTTATTTAGTATATGAAAACGATTGTGTAGAATTAATTTTACTGTAATGAATCCTCGGAATAGGCATCAATATCTTAATTGCTGTTGTTTTAATGAACTTTAAATGTACACTAAATGCATGTGTAATCCAGCTGCTGTAGAAAATTGATTTATTGCAATGATAACAATTTGTATAGTTGCTGATATGATGAAATGGTGCTCACTCTGTTCATTTATTTAGCGGCCATATTGTATAATGGCGACTGATGCCACAGAGATTTATATAGAGAACGTAAAAAAAATTTGCAAATATACTGGTATTTTAGATAAAGTTCTTCCGCCGATGTTTTGATTTTTCTTTATATACCCTACCGGAAATGATGTTATTGCCAAAAAATGAAAGTAAAAGTTGCGACTGCCTTTTAGATTTGAAAATCCGATGCGAGAATACAATTTCATATTAAAGATAAAAGCAATTAATTAGGGTCTTTCTGAACCATATTTATTGCATGATTTCTCATCTAACAGTTTTATACTACATGTATCTTTACTAAAAATTAACACAACCTGATAAATCCTAAACGCTGTTTTTAAACAATTGATATTCGTACGAGTATTCTAAGTATTACGTATATTTAAAACTTAATTCGAAATCATATTAAACAAAAATTAGTTTCTTTATAAAAACGTTTCCCTTTTTGTCCCCCTTTGTAAAGGAAGCTTGAAATTCGAGGATGAGATCACCGCTATTCGAGCCGAGGTCAATAGGTTAGAAAGTCAAGGGGTCAACAAAATCATCGCCCTGGGTCATGCCGGGTTCTCCGTGGATACAAAGATTGCCAGCCAGGTAGAGGGCATCGACGTCGTGGTTGGAGGTCACACCAATACATTTCTTTACAAAGGTAAGGATCCAATAAAACGCGAGTATTTCATTTCAACATAGAAGGGATTTGTGTATGCAGTTTCATAACTCTGTTCCTCTTGGACATTTAGTTTAAATGTACCTCTCACCATAAAAAATCTTTGAGTTCAGGCACAGCGCCATCTGTTGAGAAGCCCGTGGGTGAATATCCTCACGTGATAGAGAAATCAAATGGGGAGAGAACTCTGGTTGTTCAGGATTATGCATTCGGAAAGTATCTAGGTTTTCTGCAAGTCGAGTTCGATAACAACGGAAAAGTGGTTTCTTTTGGCGGCAATCCAATCCTTTTGAACAATTCAGTGACAAAGGGTAAGAGATATATGTGCTCTTTCAAATGAATCAAAGAAAACAAAACTTTCAATGTATTGACAAAATATAAATTAAAAGGATATTTAATGCAAAATACAGAAATATATGGTTTTTAAAATCTTTTTGATGATTGATTTTTTTTGTAGTATTTTGAAAATTAAAAAGGTCTGAGAGAATGTTAACCTTGCATATGTTCATCTTTATTTAGATGCAAAATTTAGGATATTAACAGGACTCTGTGAACCTTTGTATTTGTATTCCAAACTGACTGTTCACCAGTATAGAAACCGGCCTTTTTTAAATGTTATTTTCCAGATACGAAAGTGCAAACAACTGTAGATGACCTATTTCTTGAAATTGAGAACGCCACAAAGAAGGTGATCGGCAGATCGCTGGTTAAAATGGAGGGTAGTAGGGCTGTGTGCCGACTGAGAGAGTGTAACATGGGTAGGTAAAACGGCCAGAATAGAGAGTATCACATTGATAGGTATAGCGGTCTAACGTTTGAGTAGTGAAATAAAGTGACTGTGTAGAGGGTAGAAGAGTTGGTATGCCGACTGCGAGAATATAGGTAGGTAAAGCGGTCGGACATTATAGAAGTGTAATAAAGTGTAGATGGTAAAAAGGCCATGTGCTTACCGAGAGAGTGTAGCTTTGGTTGGTAAAACGGTCTAAAATCAGAGATGTGTAATAAAGTGTAAAGGGTTGAAGGGCGACATGGATGAGGTATAGCGGAAAAACATTGAACTTACAGAGAGTATACCATGGGTAGGTATAGCGGTCAGAATTGGATGCATTGGTGTAATATAGTGTAGAGGGTAGTAGAGCCGTGTACAGTATGAAAGAATTTAATATGGATATGTAAAGCGGTCATCAGACATTGGATTTATAGATCTAGTGTAACATTGGTAGGTTTAGCGGTCTAACATGAGAGAAATGTTATATATAGTGTAGAGGGTAGTAGGGCAGTGTACCGACTGAGAAAATGTATAACATGGATAGATATAGCGGCCAGATATTGAGCAGATAAAGAGTATCACATTAGTGGGTTTAGCGGTCAAATTTTTAGCTGTGTAATATCCGCGTATAGTGTGTAGTAGAAATAGTGTAACATCGGTTGGAAAAGCGGACAGACAATAGAGTAGTGTGGTCTAGTGTAAAGGGTAGTACATGTAGAGCAGTTTGCCGATTGATTGTAAAATATGGGTAGGTATATATAGCGGCCAGACATAATATTGGTGTAATTTTGTGTAGCGGGAAGGGTAGAACGGTATTGTATTGACAAGAGTATAACATGGGTTGGTATAATTTTTTTTTTACCAAAATAATGAAAACAATAAACAAAAGTATTATGAATGCTAACTTGTTTTTTTTTCAGGGAATTTGGTGGCTGATTCTTTTGTTCACATGAATCTAAGAGATGCTGACACTATCAACTCTACTCGGGTATTTATAGCTCTAGTTAACTCAGGATCCATAAGGTCTTCATTTGATAGAGGTAATTAAAAATGACAATTTCAGGTTTGGTTATCATATGTATAATTTTCGTCCATCATACGCATTGACATACACATCAAGAAAATGCACAACATTAAACATTAATCTTGAAAAATTCCAGGAATTAAGGTTCGTTTGCATACAGGGAGTATGTGTACCGTAAGTTAAATGTATTTCTTATTTTGCACATGTATGCATTTTTCTGACTTAGCTCAGTTTTGAATAATATACAATGTACTTAAGTAGCTGGCGAATGTCTGATCAAAAGCAAGTGTTCGATAAGATTTTCTGATGCATTCAAACTTTGAATGCATCTAAAACAATAATTATGGGGTCAAAGTGCAATTTTGAAATTAATATTGACATATTTTGTCTAAAATCTTTTCAGGATCTATAACTTTGGGAAATGCCATAGAGGTCCAGCCATACAGAAATACAATGGACACCATACAACTTCCGGGTCGGAACTTACGTCAGGCACTAGAGTACAGTGTGACGTCATACAATAAAGAGGACCCGGATGGTGGATTTTTACAAATATCAGGTATGAACGAAACTTTAATTAAAAAAAATGTTCAAGTATTCACATATAAATATACATTTTTGTATTCAAAGACTGATAGTGTTATAAATTAAAGTGTACAGAAGATTACCATGCTCTAAATATGTACAATAATTGTCTAAAAACTTAGTACAAGCAACCAATGATCACTGCTATAAAGTCAAAGAAAGATTCCTTGTTAATTTTGATTAAACAGGTTTAAGAGTGAAATACAATCTACAAAAGCCGGAAGGTCAGCGCGTTGTAGATGTGAAAGTTTTGTGCTCAGAATGTGAAGTTCCGCAATTTGTTCCCTTAAAGGATGAAAAACTGTATGACATTGTTTTATCCAACTTCCTGTTAAATGGAGGTGACGGCTACACAATGATTAAAGACAACGCTATACAAAAACACGTTGTTGGTGAGTGTTTCCAAGGCCAATTATTCTTGATCAAACAATACTCTATTTTGTAAAGATACGTGTGCAATTGCGACCAGTATTAAAGTCGATGTAATTTCTAACTAGACTCAGGTTCAGACTTAGTTGTTTTTTTCCGAGGGGGGGGGGTCCACCTCAGTGCAATTTATTTTTTGACAAGCAAAGAAAAAACTATTCAGTATATAGTAATATCAAATTTTGTGGGGGTTTGTGTTCGGGTTGCGTGGTGCACTTCTGAAGCTTTATTTGTATGACCGATATGCATCTTCCTACATCTAAATAAAGAGGGTTCCAAGCATCAAAAACGTTTGCAAAAATTAGTCGTAATGTGTCAGATTTGCAAAAAAAAAAAATAATAATAAAAAAAAAACAACTATAAATGTATTCCAAAGACCGTGAGAAGACTGGGATCCCCTTTTATATGCTTCAATAATAGGACTTTCTTTCTAATTTATTTAAGGTATTCTGGACACCGACGTATTTGCAGAATACATAAGACTGATGTCCCCTTTGAGCACTGGTCTTGACGGGAGAATAGAAATGGTTGACGACAACGGATGTGACGATACTTCCGGTGGAAGCAGATTTATATCAAACTCTTTTCTTTTAATTGGAACCTTTATTTTAGTCTGCTCGTTTTTAGTAATTTGAGAGAGAGGAGAGAGAGAAAGAAAGAGAGAGAGAGGGAGAGTGATATTTCTTTTTTAAGCTCTAATGCTCAGACACCAGATCGAGTTTATGTATTAGTAAGGTCCGTCCGTCGTTCTGTCCATCTGTCTGTTTTTCCCCTTCCGTAAAATGCTGCTTCTTTGCGTGCAGTTTATTTCCGAATTCAGTAACACTATGAACACATGTAGACTATTCTAAAAAAAAAAAAAAAAAAAAAAAACGGTACATGTATTTGGTTACATGTATAACACATACACACACATGATCATAATCAGAATTTTCTGTGAAATTCCTTTAAAGCCCATCTCTTCCACAACAGTCTGAGTCCGATTTCAATATTTTAGTTTTTTTTAAATTAATATATTAAATAATCAAAAACAGTAGAGTTACAGTTTCGTTACAGACTTCTCATTATACATTCGGTCTGTATCTCATATCAAACTTTGTTTTCGAAGGTTACAATCAAATTTGGCATCAAATGAAAATACTCATAAATTGTGCAATAATTAATAGCAAATAATTGTAAGTTTACGTAACAAGTAAAATTTGATGTTTCATCATACATGTACTTAGACATTTCCGTGTATGATTTTTCCATGATGTGTTAATAAAATAATTATATATTTTTATTGCGTTTTTTTCTTTCATAGTGACTGTCTTGTTTATGAATGTATTACTCAACAATCTTTATTTTTAATTAATTTATGTTTAAAGGTACTGTGAAATCACTAATTTTCGGGGGGGGGGGGGGGGCTTAATCGTTGTTTTCGAGGTATAGTCATAGTCTAAATTTTGAATTTACCGGATGGGAGTAAATGCAAAATTGTTGTCATGTTCTAAATTTTGTATTTACTCCCACCCGGTAAATTCAAAAATACAAAATTTAGAAGTTGTCATGTTCTAAAATTTGTATTTACTCCCACCCGGTAAATTCAAAATCATTTTTATTAAATTTTTGATGTTAAATATGTGGATATGAAATTATTTAATTATATATTCTTAAATTCTAAAATTTAGAATAATTATTTATAAATTTACTAGTTTTATTTCTTTTAACTTCTGTAAACAAATCTTTTTTTAAAGAAAAATGTCTGAAGACTTATTAGATCTTCATATTCTTATCAATTTTAAAAGTTCTACTTAGTAAATAAGAAAATAAAACATATGTCTAATTTTCTGTCGAGGTACATATGATTGTATATACATATGATTCTCATATGATCCACATATGATCTTCATATGAAAGGCAATGCATATGTGGATCATATATGGCTAAATTGCCTATGTAGATGTAACAAAAGATGTCATGACACTTTTTACTTCTCGAACAATAGCTTAAGCTTTTTGCAGAGATTAACTACTCTAGGTAATTATACTAGCGATTAACGAAAATTAACTTGTAACACCATCAATGAGACCGACTCTTGCCGTAAGCATCTGAGTAAATTAAATTAAGAAATAAGTTTTCGGACAAAGAAAGTTTTTTAGCTCACCTCGACGAAGTCGAGATGAGCTTATGCTATACCCCCGGCGTTGGCGTCGGCGTCCCAGGTTAAAGTTTTAGGAGCAAGTCCATTCCCAAGTAACTATAAGCCCTATCTGAACCAAACTTGCATGGATGATGCATCTAGGGATGTACACTACCAGACTTGCTTCGGATGCTGGATCTGACCTACATTTTCTAGATGAGTGACCAGGTTAAAGTTTTTGGAGCAGGTTAAAGTTTTTGGAGCAGGTCCATTCCCAAGGAATTATAAGCCCTACCCAGACAAAACTTGCATGGATGATGCATCTAGGAATGTACACTACCAGACTTGCTTCGGATGCTGGATCTGACCTACATTTTCCAGATGAGTGACCAGGTTAAAGTTTTTGGAGCAGGTCTATTCCCAAGGAAATATAAGCCCTACCTGAACCAAACTTGCATGGATGATGCATCTAGGGATGTACACTACCAGACTTGCTTCGGATGCTGGATCTGACCTACATTGTCTAGATGAGTGACCAGGTTAAAGTTTTTGGAGCAGGTCCATTCCACAGGAACTATAAGCCCTATTTGGATCAGACTTGCATGGATGATGCATCTAGGGATGGACACTACCAGACTTGCTTCGGATGCTGGATCTGACCTACATTTTCATTCCCAAGTAACTGTAAGCCCTACCTGAAGCAAACTTGCATGGATGATGTATCTAGGGATGTACACTACCAGACTTGCTTCGGATGCTGGATCTGACCTACATTTTCATTCCCAAGTAACTATAAGCCCTACCTGAAGCAAACTTGCTTGGATGATGCATCTAGAGATGAACACTACCAGACTTGCTTTGGATGCTGGATCTGACCTACATTTTCATTCCCAAGTAACTATAAGCCCTACCTGAACCAAACTTGCATGGATGATGCATCTAGGGATGGACACAACCAGACTTGCTTCGGATGCTGGATCTGACCTCATTTTCATTCCCAAGTAACTATAAGCCGTACCTGAAGCAAACTTGCATGGATGATGCATCTAGGGATGGACACTACCAGACTTGCTTCGGATGCTGGATCTGACCTACATTTTCATTCCCAAGTAACTATGAGCCCTATTTGGACCAAACTTGCATAGATGATGTATCTAGGGATGGACACTACCAGACTTGCTTCGGATGCTGGATCTGACCTACATTTTCATTCCCAAGTAACTATAAGCCGTACCTGAAGCAAACTTGCATGGATGATGTATCTAGGGATGGACACTACCAGACTTGCTTCGGATGCTGGATCTGACCTACATTTTTCATTCCCAAGTAACTGTAAGCCCTAGCTAAACAAAACTTGCATGGATGATGTATCTTAGGATGGAAACTACCAGACTTGCTTCGGATGCTGGATCTGACCTACATTTTCATTCCCAAGTAACTATAAGCCCTAGCTAAACCAAACTTGCATGGATGATGCATCTTAGGATGGACACTATCAGACTTGCTTGGGATACTGGATCTGACCTATATTTTCCATACAAGAGACCAGGTTAAAGTTTTGGGAACAGATCAATCCGAATGAACTTGAAGTCTTTGATATCTGCAGTTTTAACAGTTATGAATATTTGTTTACACAATACATATTTTTCACACTAAACACATAGAAATGTGTATATGCCATGTAGAGGGTTAAGCACAACTTGCAAGAATATTGTTGTTGGGATGAATACTAAATATTAAGAAAATATGATGTAGGATTTGCATTACTTAAACTGATAACATTCGTCGAGGTGAGCTTCGTAATCTTTGATTACCTATGTTGTTAGTCATGTGATCAGGTTTTTTGAATTCTCATTGGTTGACTGTTGACTTTTTTTGTGATGCGCTCGCAAGACATTTTTGTACATTCTATGGCGAGTTGCTCAAAATACAAGACGTAAACCTTGATTTGCTCTTGTCTTCATTTTCCTACAGAGTACCACAAAGAACATTGGTCAATTACTCGAGGAGAAATTCCCCATTGTTGTGTTATTTTACACCAAGGAGTGGTACCCTTTGTCCGCGCAACTCCTCATAAACCGCTGCACACAATTTCGCCAAACCTTGCAGATATTTAGGACACAAAGTTTAAATGTGCATATCACCAGGAAATTCCGATTCCTTTATTTTTCCGGGAATTTCCGCACTTTTACAATTAGATTTTTGCCCATATCTAATCTTGAATATAGAGATGAACAGTTTGTCAGCGCAACCCCTCAAAAACCGCTGCACACAATTTCGTCATACTTAGCAGATATATTTAGGACACATTGTGTAGATGTGCATATTACCAGGAAATTCGGATTCCTTCTCATTTCCGCTTTTTTCAACTGAGAATTTTGGCTATATCCTGAATACTAGTATAGAGATGCATATGAACAGTTTGTCACTGCAACTCCTCGTAAACTACTGCACACAATTTCGTCAAACTTTGCAGATATTTCGGACATAATGTGTAGATGTGTATATTACCAGGAAATTTCTTCCGGGAATTTCAGCACTTCGACTTTTGGGGGATCCTGGGTATGTCAGCTTGCTCACGTTTTCTTTCATTTTAGATTCAAACTCAATAAAATAAGCACCCAGTTACATGCAACTCTAGATTTGCTTTTAATCTCAGAGTGAAATGGAAAATATGCTAATCTAAAATTCAAATAATAAACTAAACTTTTATTAATTTATCAATAGTTAACAATTTTATTTCAACAAACAGAAAACATATTCATATAAAATTGTTCAGTATTCTCATTAGTAGCAACATTCTTTAACAAAGTATTAGAATTATACAGTCACTCCAGATTTTTAATCTGTGAAATTTACCTGAAAAGGTATGTGATCATTTACATTTCTTCAATATAAAATACAAAAATGAAAAAATTGAGTAGAAATACTTATTCTAAATAAAAATAATGGCAAAATGTTTGCTCCAACTTTTGTGCTTGCATAGTATGCATAGAGCATTTTTAACATCTAAATGACACAGCCCCTGATCTGGTGGAGTTGCCTCCTTAGTAGAGGCTTCAGGTCATCAAAGGTCATTGAAGGTCATCACAGGTCAATGTCTATGTGATAAAGATGTGGCTTTGGTATTTATATAATCAATAGATAGTCCAGGTGACCTGCTTCATGGGTGAGGCGCGTTCTAATGTGACATTCTCTAGAGCTTCCCTTGCCATCTCTGTTAACATAAAAATAACTTAAGGTTCATTGATACACTGAGAAGAAAGATAACTCTTACAAGGAGATATAACTATTATTTCTTTTATCAAAGTATTAAATTAAAAGGTGATTTTCTTTAAAAAGTTTACCCAGTTAGGTATGCTGAAAACATGTACATTTTAATTCTATTATTGATGACTTTTAAAATATCATTAGCATAAAAAGCATTTTTGTGAGAGAGAAAAAAGGAGAGTAAAACTTAAATTTTTGTTTCATCCATCATTAGAGAAATTTTGAAAATTCCAGTCGTAATATCAATAATTTTGAATTGAAGAGGTGAATTCTTTCATTTGAGGAGGCTATTTTAGTGATCAAGAGTTATTTTACTATTTATAGCAATCCAATTATTGAAACAGTGATAAATCATCTCCTTCTTCCTTTATTGAAATCCGCAAATGCTCTTTCAATCTTAAAAAAAAATTATTAAAATTAAAACTAATATTGTAAAAAAGATGACATTTTGTTTTTATAGAGAAAGAGAAGTACCTGTAAGGGAAATAACTCTGATTAAGATCTAAATATAAAATGATTACCTGTAATTTTTGGACATCCATGGAAGAGGAATATATTGATTTGTGGACAGAACTGAAGAATGGCTTCCACAGACTCATCTGTTAATGCCTTACAACCATTTATGTGGACTTCCTATAATTAAAACGATTTTTTTAACAATAATAAAACCTTCATTCTTGACACAACAATAGAAATATAGTTATGTATTCAAAATGAATTGGAAATCACTACAAGTTTTTCATTTAACACTTTACGATTTTTTATCTCTGCACTATATGATGAGAGTTTGAAAAAAGATTTCCCTTTGTATACAGGGGCGTACCCAGGGTACTTTTGATGTGGACGCCTGTATAGGCGGAGGGTTTGGGGGCCGCCTTAAGGCCCTTAATAGGTCCAGGGGGTAAAGCCCACGGAAACTGAGCAATTTGGACAATTTCGATGTGCATATTTGACCCTCCTGATAGCATTTTTCTTATACTTTTTATAGTTTGTTACGCAGCCACATTTAAAGTCTGTTCTTTCTTTGTTCAAAAGGTGGACAAACAATCAACAAGAGGCCCAGGGGCCACATCGCTCACCTGAGCAATTGGCTAGGAAAAAGCACATATGAGATCAGAACTAAAAGTTTACTGAGGGGGGTTGGGGGGAGGGGAATTGAATTTAAACCCCACAGGGGTCATGATTTGAACAGACTAGAATCTACACTACCTCATACATGTCCAAGAACGAAATTGATGTTGATATCGACGATATCGACAATATTATGTCGATATCGTATCGATATCGATCATGATGAGCACTATTAATTTGAAATACTTGGTACCATATATGAGACTTTATGTTATGTCGATGTCGTCGATATCGACAATACCATGACGATATCGTATCGATATCGATCCTATTTGTAGAATTTATTTTCACAATGAGGTATAAAATAATTTTACAAGGTCACAAGTAATGTCAAATTCATTCATTATTAGCATGAATATGAAATTAAATTATGAAAAGGAGAGGTTTAATGGTTGTTATTGTTTTGGATTAGGTTTAGAGTAAGATGTTGGGTGAGGATGAAAATTGATAAATATGTTTTAACATTCATGAATCGATATCGATACGATATCGTTGATATCGACAGTAGGGTAAAATTATTAAACAGAAAGTAAATATGCACATGAACTTATTGTCATGGGATATGTTAAAAATTAATATTTTGTATTAGGATGAATGTTGGTAAAGTGATATGTCTTAACAATCATGATTCGATATCGACGTGATATCGTCGATATCGACGGCAGGTACAATCTTCGTAAACGTTAAGTAATTAAACATAAATACACATACAAAGTAACAGGGACAGTATTTACAAAGGGCTGAGCAAACCTGATTCGATATCGAAGCGACATTGTCGATATCGACGATATCGACACTACAGGGAAAGTGCTTATAAAAGATTAGTATTATAGATGGAACCCATAATTCTTTCAACAATCATGAATCGATATCGGCACGATATCGTTGATATTGACAGTAAGGAAGACTTCTTAAAACAGAAAAGTATTGTAATAAACACAAGGATAGAGAAATATTATAGTAAACTATAAAAAAGTAATGTGTCGATATCGTAACTACATCGTGTCTTGGACATAACTCCACTACCTGAGGATGATTCCCTATAATTATCACTAAGCATGGCATTGAAGTACTTGAAAAGAAGATTTCAAAAGGTTTCCCTATATATTCCTATGTAAAACTTTGATCGGCGCCATTTTGGCCCCACCATACCACCAGGGGTCATGATTTGAACAAACTTGAATCTACACTACGTGAGGATGATTCCACATGAGTTTTGTCTTTCCTGGCCCAGTGGTTCTTGAGAAGATTTTTTCTATATATTCCTATGTAAAACATTGATCGGCCATTTTGGCCCCACCCTACCCCCGGGGGTCATGATTTGAACAAACTTGAATCTACACCATCTGAGGATGATTCCACATGAGTTTTATCTTTCCTGGCCCAGTGGTTCTTGAGAAGAAGATTTTTAAAGATCTTTCCTATATAACTCGATCATTCTTCGATACTGGTGAATTTTAAAAATATATTTCTTTTCTCCTTTATTTTTCAATAAATAAAGTGTAAGCAGATAGATTGATATTGATATGAATTGATATTTATGTAAGGATATAGTATAAATAGTTTCATGGATATGAGTTGAGGAATAAAAAAATATTGATCATTCTTGTATTGCATTTAGGGGATTTCAATTGCAGAAAATGTGACATAATTTTCGAATAGGCATAAAGATGTTGTTTTATTTAAAAATAAAATCATTTGGCATGATATATGTGTACATTATCTTAGCATATAAATGAAATAATATATTTATTTTGTCAAACAAGCTAAAATTATCCTAATTATTTTTTCTGAACTTAAACATTTGTGGTTTATGTTCGTAACGCATGGTGTCCATATGCATTGAACTTTTTAAGACCTGAGACTCTACAAACATTAAATAATTTCTCAAGTTTAATTTCTGTGTTTAATTAATAAGTATGTGTGATAAATTATTTTTAACAATATGCTTTATGAACATAACTCAGTTCTTTTTGTAATTTTAAAATGATCTCTGATTGTAAAATGTTTGGTGTCTTGACCGTTACGAACATAATAGCCTTCAGTACGATTGCCAAAATAACAGCCAATGAATCATAAGTTTGGCTCATGAAGTCCTTAGCAGTGGTATAATTATGAATTGAAAACGAAAGTAGAAAGGTTGCGCAGCTGTCTGCTAAAAAACATGGCGATGCTCATTGTGTCCACGTGGAAGACAGAAGTTACGTACATAATAGATTCGGTAAGTATTTTCATATAGTATCAATTTTAGTGAATGTTTAATACATAAATACATTCATCTTATCTTTATACCATGTAGCTATTTATCAGAAACTAAAATATGTCGCTTATGTCCATACAAAATGCATAAATCTGTCCGAGTCAAGTACTTTCGGTTTAACATTTGACTTTTGATTCGCGTCTTTTGTTACGAACATAAGTGTTTTTGCATTATTTGTATAAACTATTAATGATAAAGTTATATTGTACTATATTTCAATCTATATTTGTTAGTTTTGTTCTGTTCTTATCAAAGGATGAATACTTATTGAATATTTGTTTTAATATTGCCATATCATTTATGCGATTACGTTCGCAACAGAGACACGAAAACTTGAAGTAGTGACATAATTTGTACTTTAATTGCCTTCTTTCTGGTTTTATCAAGGATATATAATAAATATAATTAAACAGCATATGTGTTTATTACATCATGTTGTATTTTGTTTTATATATATTTTTTTCTTTCAGATTTACGAGAAATGACTGAATTATGTTCGTAACAATGACACAAAGATCCAAGACTCAAATTGAAGACCTAGGATATTTAGCAAACAATCTGACAATTTACTTGTCTGCATTAATTCTCTTTGAAAGCTAGTCTATTTTTAAGCATTGAAATGAAATATTAAAACTATTAAAGACAAGTGTTCGATTGTCTTGTTATTTTTTTTGTTCCTTTTTAAAGCCTGATTCGGACTTAGGTGTCCATGTTACTTACATAATTTCTCCTTTTTTTGAAACTAGAAATAAAAATTGTGACTTTTTTAATAAAGTCCATTTAATATAACATTAAACAAGATTTCATCATACCTTATTCATTACATTATTTTCATATTTTAACAACTTGTTAAATTCTAGTAACATGTTACTTGTTTAGTGCTTATGTAAGTAACGGTGTCCATTAGTAATCTTGGATATATTTTCTAATAATAATGGGATAAGGCAGAAATAAGTCATGCAATAAAACATGCAAACTAGTGTTTATATACTTCAAAAAGGATTCACCAGAAAAGAATAGCTTATTGATTTAAAAAACAGTCACTGTGGACACCAAGTTACGTACATAAAATTTCAGACATGCTTGTACATTTGGACACCTATCTCCTCTTTAAGACTTCAGATTATCTTCCCATCAATTTTTTTCCGAAGCAGGAAGGGTACTGACTCAATTGATATACATAAATTATGAAATTGATTATTTTTAAAAAATAGCCCTTTGGTCACACATCTGAACTCAGTACTGAAGAATGAGTTATATATTCCTATGTAAAACTTTGATCGGCCATTTTGGCCCCACTCTACCCCTGGGGGTCATGATTTGAACAAACTTGAATCTACACTACCTGAGGATAATTCCACATGAGTTTCATCTTTCCTGGCCCAGTGGTTATTGAGAAGAAGATTTTTTAAAAATGCTGTTAATTTTTCTCTAATTCATAATTATCTCCCCTTGGAAAAGGGCGTGGCCCTTCATTTGAACAACTTGATTTCCCTTTACCCAAGGATACTTTGTAGCAAGTTTGGTTGAAATTGGCCCAGTGGTTCTTGAGAAGAAGATGAAAATGTGAAAAGTTTACAACGACGACAACGACGACGACAACAACAACAGACAACGGACAAATTTTGATCCGAAAAGCTCACTTGAGCCTTTGGCTCAGGTGAGCTCAAAATGAGAAAGGATATGTCCAAAAGCGTTGTTTGACGAGCCGCCACTAAAACAATTTTAGACTTTTGAAGCTCGACAAAATACGTATGGTAACATACGGTAGTTACTTAGAGTGGTTGACTGGTTTAGACAGACCATGTGACTGATCAATAGTCATGGTTTCATTAATGTTAAAATACACCTAATGCTAAATATTCAAAGTAACAAAGACAGAAGAATTTTTTAAACTCATTTTCTTGCACATTACCTATGTACAGTGTATACATTTTAAAATAAATGTTAATAAATATTCACAAATCTGGTATCTTTAACTTTTTGCACCAAATACAAACATGTAAAATATACTTTTGGTTTTAAGGTAGTGATACGGAAGTCAATTAATACTTGAACAGGCCTTATTATTATTTTTTTAAGGTTAAATTGAATTTTAACTATTCGATTTTTGATGTTCCTTTGAAGTCTGGCATGGGGGAATATCGTTACAGAAGTTAAGCATTACGGTTGGAAGTTACATGTACTTTCCAGTTATAGAAATTGAAATTCTTGGCATTAAATAAAATTATCATTGGTTTTAATGGAGCCGACCGGGGTTTTATTTTGTGAAATGTACAATAGATTGAATAGAGAAACTCTTTAAGAACGTAATTACACTTTGAAAAAAAAAACTCGGCAATATTCGATAGTAAACCAAAATCCGGGAAAATATTTTGATATCAGTGAGGTGTATATACTATCGCATTGTACCTTAAAACTGATTCTGTTGATTTATTTTTTATTGTTAACTCTAGATTGTTTCTAACGAAGTATTTTTTTTATTTTTTACAACTATTTTGCAAAAATGATGAGTATGCTTTAAAATATTACGCCCGTCTCGCTCTCTTCTCTCTCTTTCTTTTCTTTATTTTTTTTCTTTTTTTTTTTTTGAAAATGATGTGGACGTTTGTGCGTACAAACGTACGCCTGGCTACGTGCCTGGTATATACTACATGAATGTAACACTAACCTTTAGACACTGGTTACAGGCACCTGTTGCGATATTCATGATCCCTGCATCTGTTATCTGTGTTGTAAAAGAGAAGGTTGATATGTCCATGTGAACGACTGTATAATATTTTTGAGATTTCTAAATAAGAAATATTTTAAAAGTATATATAATAAGTCTTATTTGGGTTGGTGATAAAGAAAGATAAACTTTTTAAATAAATGAATTTATATGTACAGTACTGAAAAACTTGTTTAGTATGAACACATAGATTGCAAATTTGCGGATACATGTATAGCAAAGTTATCTTGGATTCCCGGCTTAATAATTTTAATCAATTCCTTATACTGATATTGTGAAATAATTTCATAGGGCCCAGTGACTTCATTATAACCGAGTTTTACATTAGTTTCTGACTTTTTCTACTTGGCAACTAACTTAATCATATATCAGAGCTGTGAACATTTCTTCCATCATGGAAAAATTTACCTTGGTGTTTGACACATTGAGACACCTGAGAAATTGTGAGTTTCCCCCTAACGCCTCCAGACACCTGTCAGTCAACAGTGAACACCCGCCCACATTCAGGTAACGGAGCTGTGGACAGTTTGTGGACAGCGCGATCACAGCCTCGTCTGTCAGATTCAGACATCTCCGCAGGTAGACGGTCTGTAGGTTATGACAATTCTGTGCTAGCTGGATAATTCCTGGAAATATAATAGTTACAATGTGAATTTAAGAATGGAATGTTTTTGAATCCAGAAATTAAGTCACTGGAAGAGTGAAGTGTAGGACGATTTACATGTTCTTCTCTTGAAATCTTTAAAGAGGTTTTTTAAATAATTAAATACGTAATACAAACCACATATATATTATCTTTTCAAATATTACAAGATCATATATATTTTTGTGTTGTCATCCAGTACGTATCATTAAATTCTTTTAAATGAAGCATGTCGTGAAACATGTAATCTAGCTTCTTCTCAATATGGACACTGTACACACACAGCTTACACTAAATGTATATGTGTATGACTATTCATTAATTACCTCAAGTTGAAATACTAATAACTTAATAAGATTTTTTTCCTAAAATGATAACAAACATATAACATACATGATTCAGTGAAATTAAGGTGATTTAGGTTGCATCTTGAAGATAAGAACTTGTGTGTGAAATTGGCCAGTTTATTGCCTTCGTTGGTTAAAGATTGGACAGAATTATTACATTTAGATCTATCTTTAGGAGCTCACATGGGGACCGTAATTATTACCTTCAGATGAGATATGGTTAAGATAGGACTGGTTTATTACCTTGAGATGAGATGTTGGTTCGTGTTTGTTTTGCTGAGTTGAGATTTACAGATATGGTTAAAGATAGGACTGGTTTATTACCTTGAGATGAGATGTTGGTTCGCGATTGTTTTGCTGAGTTGAGATTTAGAGATACGGTTTAAGATAGGACTGGTTTATTACCTTGAGATGAGATGTTGGTTCGCGATTGTTTTGTCGAGTTGAGATCTATTTTTAGGAGCTGGGGACATTTACACAGGTGATTTAGTCCTTCGTCTGATACATCTGACTCGCTCAGATCCAGAACCTTTAGATTCTCATGTATCACCTGTAAGAAGACAGTCATTCTCAATGTGATCAACTGATCATATACTTTTACTCTCCACCAGGTAAACATTCCATCATCCTTATTTCTGTTCAATTTGCAGGTTTAAAATTACATTGGATTTCTTGGATTGCCTTTGCATGCATTAAAATGCAAATTATTAAGTATATATTGTGACAAATTTTTATTAGAAACATATGTAATATATTAAGTTACAAAATAAAAACTTTATTCTTTTTACATGTTTTAAAAATAATACAATATTGTAAAACATCTGTCAGATTTTAAGGAAGTAGAACATGTAGAAAGTGGTATGTTATTTAACATGTTTAATATAAATTAATCTTAGAATGTCTGCATATTGATGTAGACAGCATCTTGTCAGGTTTACATACTTTTGGAAGATTTGCGTCTGTGATACAGCCCCTCTTTGACATGAGGTAGAGACATTTGTCCTTTAAGTTGCCTGGTAACAAGGTGATACTTTCAATGCACATGGATGAGAGATTTTTCACCACACATTGCACAGTTCTGAAATAAAAAGAAATGGAAGAAAATTATAAGGGTCCAGAAATTTCAAAGTAAATTAATGGAATAGGGTGACTAGTTCTATACCAAAAATTATGTCAAATTATGTGCAATTTATTTTTAAATTTGATACAGGGTTTTTTAATACCTGTCCTATCTGAATAAGGTGCCTTGATTAATGTATCTGCCAAAATCTTGCCTACATCCTCTTACTTAATTTTGTTGTTTAGTTAGTTTTTTGTTTTATTTATTCACTTATTTATTTATAATAAGGACCCCATTGGAAATAAGCATGCAATTTTGCTTTCATGGGTTATCCTTAGGTTTATTAATTAATGTTATGATATCATGATGATTATAATGCATATATTTTTATTCAATCTAAAATTTATAAATGTCATTAATTGCTTTATATTTTAAACATTCGGAAAAGGACACCCGTATTTAGAAGTTTATATTTATTTTTGAAATTTTATTACTGTTGATTAAGTTTTTCATTTTATGCATTATTTATATTTGTACCACCCTGTATCATACATTGATTTTTTTACCTGAATAAATCTACTACAGTTAATAATAATAAAGTTAAACACCCAATTTTATGTTAACGCCCCCCAAATCTACCTGATTCAAGATCAATAAATTATCGCCTGTCAATCATTAAAAAAACAATAGCTTCTGATTTGATTGACAGGTCAGCTACCTGTGCTTCCTGATAATCTGAGTTTGCATGGTTTGAAAACAATTACCTGGTCACGCGTCAAACGCTTTCATGTACCCGCATAGTATACACACGGGTTAGAAAACTCAAATATATTTGAATTTTATTTCAAAAAATAATTGAAAGTAGATTATTAAAACATTGACATAATAAAATATTTATTTTCTATCTTCATTGCTGTTTATTACGTGTGTTATATCGTCCACGTTATCTGTACAGAAAAAGACCGCGTCCACAGAAACCGGCTCTATTTGCCGTAATTGGAAGTCCGAAGGTTTAAATTATTTTTTAAAAATTTGGATAAAAGAAAAATATTCAGCATGGCTACAATCCGCACGATGTTGTACAGACATTGATGTCAGAATTAATGCTCAAATTTCCTCTAGCGTCTGTATCATATGCGTAATGAAAATTTGAAGATAATTAATAATGATCGATTCTGAAAAGAAATCTTTCTAACAATAAAATTTTGTTAACACACGAAGAATAAAAAATATGGAACATTTTGGACAACATTGTTGGCCAGGAAAAAACAAACATTCCGATCGCGGTAAATGCATGTTCACATGCACGACGGATAGGTGGATTAATATTTTTTTTATTTCAATATTCAGACTTTTTTAATCAAGTGATTTCTTTTATTGAAGATTAAAAAAGATGTTTTCTTTTATGTAAGGAAAACTTATTCTTAAAGGATATACATGTCTCTTATTATTTTTTTCCCTTCAAAACATTACCATGATTACGATGAATGCGTTTATATATATAGTTTACAAATAAATTTCAAATTAAAATAATTATTTTACGTAGTTTCACTCAAAACCAGACACAAAACACGTAATGATGACCCTGATTACCAAACACAGACTTCCTGTGTAATGCTACGTATACACAGATTTTTGACATCTTGGGTATTGGGGGTCTCCAGGTAAATAACACCACTGTTACTTCGACCACTCCCCCTCCTCAGGTAACCGTACGGTAAAAAAAATTGGGTCTTTAAGTAAGAATGTGTATTTACTTAAGCCCTAAAACGTGAACCAAAAAATACTATAAAATACTGAGCAGTGACATTTTTAGTCCCTGCATGAAGATTAAAATATTCTCTTGCGCCGACAACTCTTGGTATACTAGTTTTCATGAATTAAAGACTTTAAACCAACATTACATCAGTAAATGAAGTAGACTAAATGCTTACACGTCCAGCAGTGGTGCAACTTTTCCATACCCAAGAACGTGAACAGTGGCCAGAGACTCCATATTGTTAGAACTGACAACCAATCAGCTTTGTTGGAACTCTTTAGTTTTTGAAGGAGTAAAATATGTAGTCAGATGACTAGACAAACAACGTCATACATCGGCAAAATGGCAGATGGACCTTCGAAAAGTGATATAAATGCTATTTTCAAGCGTTTGCGATCAATTCCTACTAATAAGGTTAGTTTCATGAGACAGGTAGGTTAATTGTTTCGGGATTATTGTCTACATCTTTCTTCCCAATTCAAAACTTATCACATTTTGCCCCTTGATCTGACGTGTGGAAACGCATATGTGGCATACATTCGAATTTTCTCTGTAAGCCGACAATTCTTCCCCATTTACTACAGGCAATATATTCATTTTTCGATTTTGATGATTTTAGGTATGTGTTCCATGACATACAATTAACTTGATATTTTAAGTATCAGTCTTAGTTTAAGATGTGCATAATAATTTCATTTTGTAAACAATGGTAAAATAATTAATAAACAAGTCAAAAATATATACTGTTGACAGTCTTTCTTAAACAAAAAGGCAATTGGTGAAAAAGGTGATAAGATAATGAAAGAAAAGCAGTATTGCATAACAGCATAGTCATTACTTGTTTCTAAAAGATCAAATCATCGATCAAATAGAATGTTCTAGAGGAATTTGAGATTCGTTTGAATCTGAATACACCAGCTTTTATTTGATATATAATTTGATGATGTCACCTTTGATTCCAACAGAGTTGTGTTTGATTTATTTTTAGATTCCCAATGTATTCACTTTCATTGAAACTTAAGTCTGCCTCTTCAAGCTGCACAAAAAATTAGAACGCCTGATGGTGTTGAATGATGTATTTTGCAAATTACTTCTCTATAACAGTCCCAAAAGACAAACATTTGGAAGAAAATTACCTGTAATCTTTTTTGCCATATTTGTAATGCCAATTGAGATTTGTTTTTATTGATCAAAAATGTTATTTAGTTATAATTTTACGTATACTAAGGACATGAGGCAAAGAACATTACTCTGCTACTGATGAAAAAAATGGGAAAAGTCTAATTGCAGTGCATTACAAGTTCAAGGGTGACTGTGTAGAAAAACAGTTACATGCACAATTAATGTGCACAATCCAATTTTTCCACTTCACTCAAGTGTTTCTTACTAAGAATTTGCAGACATTTTAGTGCAAGTGACATGAAATAGCATCACTCATTATTTATTACCAAAACGTGTAGACTATTAGTGCTTTAATTGACATTCCAATATCAAATTTGAAACCTCTCTACTCTTACTTGTATTTCATAGAAAAGGATTCTGTTTATTCAAATTTAGAATCAGTTCACTGATAATCACAAAAGAATATTTCCTAGTCAGGTTGTAAAATTATACAAGAATGATTATTTTGTTTAGACATGCTTTGACTGCAATAGCAACAACCCCACGTGGGCCAGTGTGACATATGGTGTGTTCCTGTGTATAGACTGCTCAGCTGTTCATCGGTCCCTGGGTGTTCACGTGACCTTTATACGCTCCACACAGCTAGACACTAGCTGGACATGGCTGCAACTTCGTGCAATGCAAGTCGGTGGAAACGCCAATGCTGTATGTATGCCTTTAACAAGAAGATTTAAGGGACCCTGAAGTTTTTATTATTAATAATTAATGATAAAAGTTCATATATTTTAAATATCTGACTCAAAGAATTTTTGATTGACCATAAACATGCTAAAGAAGCTTGTTGAGAATAAATTCTAACAAAAGAATATGAGTACATGCAATTCCAGGAATTGTTGACTTAAATTTTCCTGTGGTTGTTTTAGCTTATAATTCATGTTTTTACTGTGTACAGTTGCGTACACGATAAGGATAAGATACACACTGTGCACTTACTTAAAGTACACCAGTAGAAATTCCTGTAATAGATATGCTACTTTAATAGTCATGGAGAAGAGAGGATCCAAATAAATCTCTTATATTCCGGTCTATCCTGTACTGTAAATCTATGTTATGAGATGCACACACACATTCATTATCTGTTTACATTTTCCCCCATTTTAAGACTTACTTTTTCTGTCACACATTCATTTACCATGTTTACTGCATACATTTTTCCTCCTCTTTTTTAGACTGCCTTTTTCCGTCAGCATGGTTGTACAACATCAGATGCCCAACAGAAGTATCACAGCAGAGCAGCCAAGCTTTATAAAGATAAACTCCACTCCCTGGCTACAAATGCCATGAGACTTCATGGAACGAAGGTACGGATACAAAAACTATAGCTTCTAAATTATAAACTAAGTATCAACATGATCAAACAATAAAAATATGTATTTGATTTATAGTTACTTTTAATTTTTTTGGGTGTCAAATATTGTCTGTCTATCTGCAAAGAACAAAGCTTTTAGATTGCTCTTCTTTGGTAATCTCTTTCGATAACATCCACAAATTCCCAATACCTGCAGTAAAAAAAAACTATCAGGGGAGTAACATTAACAAATATTTGGTGCCTATAACATTATCCTAGTTAAACTAATTAGTGAGTCTCAGATTATCGAGATAAAAACTGCCAAAGTTTTAGAAAACTCAAATTTTCAGACAGATTAAATAAGAACTAGTGCTTCAATTTGCTTCAGATCTTGCATATATTGAACCATTGAATGCATTTGTGTATAAAAGTAGGTATACAGTATTTTCTTGCCAGTCAAGGTCAGAGTGTTATGTATTTATTTTCAAAGTTTTCAAAAACAGTTTATTTCTAAAATCTGTATATTCTCCCTACAGTTACACATAGATAGCCATCATGATCCCACATCTCCTACTTCAAAAGAGGAAGTTGATTTCTTCAAGGAACATGTTGATAGTACTGAATCCACACCCATTGCAGAAAATCAGAAGCTGTTTAGTGCATCAGAGCCTCAGCCAATCAAAAATGGCAATCTGAAAAAGGAGGATTTTGGTAGGTTGAAATTTCAGCCAATCAAAATTGAAATGTTGAAGAATGGGCCAAAATTCATTAATTAGAAATGACATACTGTTGCAAAAATAAATATTTATAGTTTAGTAATTTAAAAGAATATATTGAAGGAAAAAAAAACTAGTGCAAAGAAAAAAAAGAAACAATAGAAACATATAGCATATCTGAAGCAGCTATTATTAAACCTCAAGAACTGTAGTATGAATTTACACAAAACTTATGATTGATGATTTGTCTTAGACCCCTCGGAGGGCCCCAGTGTAGAGGCTGCACTAAGTATGTCACCAACATCAGCGGCCGCTCAGGCGGAACCACGGAAATCCATCATAGGAGCCAAAAAACCTGCTGGCAGGAAAGGGGTAAGATCAGGAGAGTTTGGAACAGGATAAAGGGGCTTGATTTGAGTCATGAAAGCTTTTAGTTAATATCATAGATACAGATTTTTGAAGAAAAAAATAAGTTGTCCAGTATCAAATTTTTGAAGGAGGAGGTGAAGAATATATCCCAATCAATATCTTTATTTTGTCATAATTGGATTGCTTACTTCGATGTTTAATGTTTAGATAAATTTGACACTTACCATTTTTGGAAAACAAAATCTGGGTAGATTTATGGTATTATGATTGAAATTGATTTGATTAAAGAAATGAGCAGAAAAATATTTAAGCTCTTTCTGTCGATTGCAGAAGGGTGGTCTTGGAGCACAGAGGGTGAAAGCAAACTTCTCAGAGATTGAGAACAAGGCCCAGCAGCTGGACAAGGAGAGAGAGGAACTGGCCGCCAGCCGGGCTGTCCAGGAGGCCAAGTCTGAGGAGGACAAGGCCAAACAAATGTAAGGGGTGGATCTATCAAATGTAATAGGAGGATAGGATAAATGTAAAGGGTGGAAAAATAAATAGAGGGGTGGATCCAACAAAAGTAAAGAAAGAGATCTAACAAATGTAAGGGGTGTATTTAACAAATGTGTAAGGGGTGGATCCATGAATGCAAGGGGTGGATCTAACAAATGTGTAAGGGATGGATTTAATATATGTGTAAGGGATGGATCCAACTAATGTAAATGGGTGGATCCAACCAGAAAGATTTGTGGGAGGTAGAATGGGGATTAAAATAGTCTTGTAAGAATTGAATTCACAGGGAATATTGAGGAATTTAGATTAAAGAATTTTAGGGTTGGAAAAAGAACCAAGTTTTTCATGTCAACTTTGCTTCTGTTGATTGGAATTGCAGGATTTGCATTATTATGATAGCATAATCATGCAGTGTTTCATTTTAAAGATCTGATAGATAGAAATTTCATCTTAATTTTCTACAATAACCTGAGCTTCATTGTAACAGGGCATCCATGAGATTAGCCTACCAAGACATGAGTATAGAACGGAAGAAACAGGAGGAAAAGTTAAAGCAGTCAGACCCCAAAAAGGCTGAACAATTAGAGAGGCTCGGCATGGGGTTCGCTTCCTCAAAGTAAGTCTGAGGGGCTCCCAAAGGGGTTTCTTTACCTTGATAATTATTGAAATATTGAAGGGATACACAAATCTAATGATAGTTTTGTTGTTGCTGGAGATTACTAAAGCATCATAAAAAAATGAATTTTGTGGCAAGTTTGAAAGCCTATTAGAACACCATTTTAAGTGTTTTTTGAAAAGGAAATTTAACTTGCCTTAATCACTACAATGGCTGTTTTTTTTAAAAATTATCTCTGAAACAATTTTACCAAATGTGATGTTTTGTTTAGTTTATCTGTTCACACAATATACGGGTACCAACTAAAGGTAAATGTGGCTTTATTTTGATAATTGCTGTTTGAGTTCGAGTATAATCATTGTGTTATCAGGCAGGGGTTGAAATACCATGGCCCTGTAATTGAATTCCCTCTTCATCAGTTGAGTTCTTCTCTTTACAGGGGGATGAGCCATTCAGCCATGACAGACATGCAGGTCATTGAGCAGGAACAGCCAAATAACTCCCGATCAAAATACGACAAAAAGCCCTCAAAGGGGCGGAGCTTTTTTGACGACGAGCTGGACGACTACACTTCCTCTTCCTCTAAGTATGAATTTCAGGGGTAGATCCAACTGTTTTGTCATCCTACTGTGAAAGCATTATATTTATAATAGTGACTTTGTTTGTGATCTAATAAGTATTTAACAGAGATAATTTTCATTCTGTTTCTTTTGAAGATAAAACAATTTGATTTTTCTTTGTTTCTATATTTACGAATAAGATACTCCTCTTTGATTCATGAAAGATAAATCATTATGAAAATAAAAATTTCTTAAATCAAAGTTTCTTTTCGATAAAAAAAAAAAAAAAAATGTAAAGGTAAGAAGAAAGAAGTTTAAGATTTCTAAGGCTCAGATGTAAATAATATGCTGCTGAACTAGATTTTGATTTTGTATGTAGGTATGACCAAGACTTTGATTTTGTGATGAATTTAATTTTGTACGTAGGTTTGACCGAGACTTTGATTTTGTGATGACTTTGATTTTGTACGTAGGTATGACCGAGACTTTGATTTTGTGATGAATTTAATTTTGTACGTAGGTATGACCGAGACTTTGATTTTGACAAGAAGGACTCGTTCGGCTCGTGGGGAAACAACAACAAATCGGGGAGCTGGGACATTGACCGCTTTGACTCCAAGCAAAGTTTCTCCGAGACCCTGTCCAGCAAACCCGCGAACGACGACAAGTAGGTCAAATATTGGTGTAAAAAATAATTAAATGGCAGGATATTGGAAAAATAATTTATTTTTGTGATTGATAAAAAATACTAGTATTCCTGTTTATTTTTTTCTGCTGCCCAGTTCGGAGGAATCATATAATGATGAAGAGTCAGGGTAAAAAATCATGAACATGAAAGCTTGGTTTTCAAAGTCCAATTGTTCACCTTGCATAGTAATGAGGTCACCCAAATGTAGACCAAATTACCTCTAATTAATAAAGAGGGCAGTTAAGCTATAAAAAAAAAACTAACTGTAGACCTAGTTAGTAGTGAGAATTTTTTGTTTGATGCTTAAATTTAAGTTTTCCCAGAGACAATATAGATGTACATAATGAAGGGGATACAATACAGAGCCAAAGTTTCTGTGATCTGGGGTGGTCACCATTGATCATGCTGTAATGTAATGCTGACCACAGTAGCCTGTTTATTTCACATTTTGTTTTCAGTGGGACATGGGCAATTATAGGTTGATCTCTGTGAAATCATTTATTTGTGTTAATATATAAACTAGTCAGAAGTTTTCAGAAAGCACTGTTACATTATTTAAACCTCTGATATAGTTAAACTTTTTTTTCGTACATTTTGATTTGTTGAAATGTTAAATATTTCATGAAAAACAGACTATGACTTTCTGTTCACTGGAACCATTCTTCAATTACATGTACAGTGTTTTTATTTCATTTCATGGAGAAAATTTCATTCAGTTGGATTTTTGAGAAAAAAGAACTTGAAATGTAATTTAAATTAAAAAAAAAATGATTTCACAGTAAGTAGATGTAGATAGTGGCATACAGACCATGGCTATGTGGTGGTTTATAAACTTGAAGTAGAATTTAGTTCTTCTTTAGTAAATACAGTGGACCCTCATTTATCCGGACGCTTTGGTTCCTAGTAATTTGTTCGGATATGTGAAGCGTCCGGATATCTGAATTACCAGTTAAACAAAACAATATCAGGGTTCTCCACATTTGAAAATTTAACCATGGAGGAAGCTGCGTGAAGACAAAATGTGACTTGAAACACGAATGCGCGCTAGACTTCCTAATCTTCATTAATCAATGACTGGTTTTTACAATTTTGTAAACTTTAACATTGCAACACAAAACAATGAAATAACTAACTCTGTTTAAAGTTAAAAAAAAATAAGAATTAAAATTGAAAAGGATTTATCCTGTATTTTACCTCACAAATGTACCAGAATTTGCCCAAAACTGTAGTAATCTTCCGAAGGAATTAAAACAAATTGTTGATACATTAACCAGGGCAATATTATTCAGAAATTAATATTGTAAGAATTGTTGTAGCCTGTTGCATTGTATGAAATGTTTTGTTTAAATATGACTAAAACTGATGAATGGGTAGTATTTTTTTTTAAGTAAACACACAAAGGAACAATTGGATAAGTGTCCTTTTTATGCCCCGCCATGAATATGGCCGGGGCATATAGTGTTTGTCATGTCCGTCTTCCGTCCTTCCGTCCTTCTGTCCTTCCGTCCTTCCGTCCTTCCGTCACACTTTGTGTTTAGCTCTGTTCAAAGCTAAGTTTCAAAGAAACTATCCAAGATATTTTCATCAAACTTCATATGCTGATAGATATTGATGAGAGCTATGGTTCGTCTAGAGATGAACACTACCAGACTTGCTTCGGATGCTGGATTTGACTGACATTTTCAAGACTAGTGACCAGGTAAAAGTTTTTGGAACAGGTCCATTCCTAAGGAACTATAAGCCCTACTTGGACCAGACTTGCTTCGGATGCTGGATCTGACCTACATTTTCCAGATGAGTGACCAGGTTAAAGTTTTTAGAGCATGTCCATTCCTAAGAAACTATAAGCCATACTTGGACCAAACTTGCATGGATGATGCATCTAGGGATGGACACTACCAGACTTGCTTCGGATGCTGGATCTGACCTACATTTTCCAGATGAGTGACCAGGTTAAAGTTTTTAAAGCATGTCCGTTCCTAAGAAACTATAAGCCATACTTGGACCAAACTTGCATGGATGATGCATCTAGGGATGGACACTACCAGACTTGCTTCGGATGCTGGATCTGACCTATATTTTCATTCCCAAGTAACTATAAGCCCTACCTGAACCAAACTTAAATGGATGATGCATCTTTGGAAGGACACTACCAGACTTGCTTCGGATGCTGGATCTGACCTATATTTTCATTTCCAAGTAACTGTAAGCCCTACCTGAACCAAACTTGCATGGATGATGCATCTAGGGATGGACACTACCAGACTTGCTTCAGATGCTGGATCTGACTTATATTTTTATTCCCAAGTAACTATAAGCCCTACCTGAACCAAACTTACATGAGTGATGCATCTAGGGATGGACACTACCAGACTTGCTTCGGATGCTGGATCTGACCTATATTTTCATTCCCAAGTAACTATAAGCCCTACCTAAACCAAACTTGCATGGATGATGCATCTTTGGATGGACAATACCAGACTTGCTTCGGATGTTGAATCTGACCTATATTTTCATTTCTCAGTTACTATAAGCCCTACCTGAACCAAACTTATATGGATGATGCATCTTTGGATGGACACTACCAGACTTGCTTCGGATGCTGGATCTGACCTATATTTTTATTCCCAACTAACTATAAGTCCTACCTGAACCAAACTTGCATGGATGATGCATCTAGGGATGGACACCACCAAACTTGCTTCAGATGCTGGATCTGACCCATATTTTTATTCCCAACTAACTATAAGTCCTACCTGAACCAAACTTGCATGGATGATGCATCTAGGGATGGACACCACCAAACTTGCTTCGGATGCTGGATCTGACCTATATTTTCATTCCCAAGTAACTATAAGTCCTACCTGAGCCAAACTTGCATGGATGATGCATCTAGGCATGGACACTACCAAACTTGCTTCGGATGCTGGATCTGACCTATATTTCATTCCCAAGTAACTATAAGTCCTACCTGAGCCAAACTTGCATGGATGATGCATCTAGGGATGGACACCACCAAACTTGCTTCGGATGCTGAATCTGACCTATATTTTCATTCCTAAGTAACTATAAGTCCTACCTGAGCCAAACTTGCATGGATGATGCATCTAGGGATGGACACTACCAGACTTGCTTGGGATGCTGGATCTGACCTATATTTTTTTCCCAAGTAACTATAAGTCCTACCTGAACCAAACTTGCATGGATGATGCATCTAGGGATGGACACCACCAAACTTGCTTCGGATGCTGAATCTGACCTATATTTTCATTCCTAAGTAACTATAAGTCCTACCTGAACCAAACTTGCATGGATGATGCATCTAGGGATAGACACTACCAGACTTGCTTGGGATGCTGGATCTGACCTATATTTTTTTCCCAAGTAACTATAAGTCCTACCTGAACCAAACTTGCATGGATGATGCATCTAGGGATGGACACCACCAAACTTGCTTCGGATGCTGAATCTGACCTATATTTTCATTCCTAACTAACTATAAGTCCTACCTGAACCAAACTTGCATGGATGATGCATCTAGGGATGGACAATACCTGACTTGCTTCGGATGCTGGATCTGACCTATATTTTCCAAACAAGCAATTCAGCTGCATCACTATTCTGGATATTCTGATCAAATTTTTTATCACATACTAATTTTCATGTTGCTTTACTGATATATCCTCGGCGGGGCATTCATGTCCTATGGACATATTTCTAGTTTTCTAAGCATTCTATTTTTCCAGATAATGCTTTTTCACCAAGTTTTGTTTACTTCTCCACGTGCCCCAGTGCTAAAAATAGCGCCACGCGACGTCTCATAACAACGGAAAGTAACTCTAAAAATAAGACGGCGATTGACACTTAGGTCCTATGCACATTTTATCGAAAACGATAACAAGTAGAGCTTTTCAAAAAAGCTTACCGTCTTTAGCAACAATTTTAAACAGTAAACAGATCTACACTTAACAGGCCGTATAATTCATTTGAATTTCTTGATTTTGTATTTCTAAATTGGCTTTTCAAGGGCATTAGCCCTACCACGGTTGTCGCTCGGTCATCTCCGTAAACTTTGACTGGCCGAGAGCTTTCGGCAAACCTCGGCTGATTCCCATTCACTCTTCAAACAAGAAAGGGGGAAAGAATAATTACAAATTGTAAAGCCTGCAAGCAATAACTATCAAATTTTATTTATAATGAAATTAAAGAAACCTTTTTATTTATTGCTATAAAAAATATCATGTTATTAAGAAATAATTACTGCTGATTTTGTTGTTCGTTTTGTCATTTTTTTAAGATTGGAAATCTTGCAAAATTGTTAAGTCGTACGAAAAATAGATCATCAGAAAGTTATCTCCCTTGCCTTGAACAGCATTTCAACCAATGAAATAATTGAAAATTTTCTCATCATGCAATTTCTACCAATCACAAAAGAGAGGAAGTGCATAGTCCGAAGACTGTAAAAAACTTCAACTATACAATACCGTCTTCCAAGGAAGACGGTAATAAAGTTAAAGTTTAAAAAACATAGCATGGGAAATTGATTAAATACAGAGGAATATGAATTTTTTACAGAGTATTTTTGGGATAATATCATCAAGATTGCCAACGTTAAAAAAACTATTTAGACTGCCCTGGCTCGGATGCGTGTCTACTACGAGACATAGTTAATATGTCTTTGAATTCTTGTAAATCTTTTAATTATTATGTAGTGAACTGAACACAGTTAGAATTCAACAAAATAACGTGTAATACAAAAATACAGAGCCCCGTTAACAGTAGTTTATATAGTAGATAACTACTCATACTGTTAAAACAGCTGGCCGACCGACCTTCAATTCATGAATTCTCACGCTTCACGGCACATTCGCAGCTGATCGACCGTGGGTAATTAGCACTATTACCTGTCCCCGTGCGCTTGGGGGGCTTCACACCACGTTGTATAAACACAATTAACTACTCAGATAGTATATTGCAGGTGTCATCTCTGAAAATGCAAGTTTTAAATTCTAAAATTTAACCATGGCGGGCGCGGATTTTAACCATGGCGCACACAAATTTAACCATGGAGCACCTCCATGGTAAAACCCCTTGTGGAGAACCCTGCAATATAACATTTAAAAATTCTGTTCCCATGAAAAGTCGTCCGGATACTGAAGCATCCAGATATCTGGTGTCCGGATATCTGAAGGTCCACTGTACATGTATAATGGTCAAGAAAAGGCTTCTTTTTTATCTAGGTAGATTACCGTATACTGTAAACCAACTTTTATTCGCGTGCGAGAAATTTTCGCGAAGTTCGCGACAGCCTTGTTATCGCGAATATTTCTCGCCGCGAACCAGTATTTAAAGTCACTCTGTATATATACAACAGATCCTAAAAAGGCCTGATCGCGAAAATTAATCGTCGCTAACTAGTTTACCACTGGTAAATCGCGAAATATAGTCGTCGCGAATAAAAGTTGGTTTACAGTAAGTGGAAATATTAGCGAGACGCATATTTAGCAATTTTTACTTAAAATCTGGTATTTTATTTTTAGCGAGAGGTAATTTTAACAATTTTGATGTGATAACTAAAGAAGCTATTACAAATAATACACAATTAATTTTTTAGATAAAAACTGTAATATGCTGCCTCTGCATTCTCAGAACTTTGCAGATTTTTATGTTCTTTGAATTGACTAATTTTTTTTTTCAGACAAGGACGAAGCCGAAAGGCATATGACTACAGTTCACAGTCGACATCGGAGGAAGCCCAGAAGAAATTCGGCAACGCCAAGTCGATATCTTCAGATCAGTTCTTTGGGAAACCGGATGCTGATGTAAGTTTCCAGTCTCTAATAGGAGTGACCATAGTAACATTAATATAAGATAAATCAAGCCATAATTGAGTCTAGATATTTGAGTAGACATGACCAAACAAAGTTACTAGTATATATGCATAAGTTTCACAGCAAGTCTTTTGTAACTTTGTACTCCATTTATGTAATAATGATGATGCATTGAAAGGGAAGTAACTCTAGATTTTAAATCAAAACAGTCAATTTATTTTTTTAATAATTGTTGATATGAAGTAAAAGAAACATTTTTTCTGCTATCATTAATTTTTCTGTTTAACGCCTTATCTCCATGTTGTTAATCAAAGTGCCAAATAAGTGAAGTCTGAGAACACATTTTTGAAATTATATTGAAATAAAAAGAGTTTCAGGTGGTTGACATCTGATAGCACAGGTATATTCCAAGAGGATTAGCTCTCTGAGATTCTTTTCCAATGTAGTCTGAAAAAAATTATTGTTATTGCAATGAAAATGACATTTTTCCTGAGAGTAAAATGCTAAAAAATATTGTAGCAAGAATGAATACATGTGATTAATCCCACAAGAAAATTTTATTGAAAATTGAAGTCAAAATAACTTGTCAATTTGTAGTATGAGATGCGTCAGAATTTGTCCAGGTTTGAGGGGAGTAACAGCATCTCCAGTTCTCAACTGTTTGGCAATGAATCTGCGGGTCGTAAGAATTATTCCAGCAATGCTCCTGATCTACAGGATATAAAAGACGGAGTCCGACAAGGAGTCACAAAGGTCGCAGGGAAACTTTCAAATCTAGCCAGTGGTGTCATGAGTTCATTACAGGTATGACTTAGAAATATTTTGTATGTTGTAAAGTGTAATAATGAGGATTATATTTATGCATTAAATGTATCAGTGTGCATTGAAATGTTTTTGTCAGACCAGGGTATTAAAGTATAATGTATGCATCTATATGTATATATACATTGGAAAGCCACTTTGGTTGTAATTGAGCAATACTGCTCAATTTTAGATGGTACATGTATGAATCTTATGTGACAAAAAAGTGCTTAAAATCTGATAGTTTAAGAATTATATGCCTTTGTTCTTTTCATAAAGAGACAATACATAATAATGCATTATTTAGAGGGACTTAATGTATAATTTCTAACTACATAATACCAGTTGCACATATTAATTGTGACTAAAGTTGGCATGATTGACCAAAAGAACTCACATACTAGATTAACAGAACCTAAAATCATGAGGCAAGAAAGCTGCTCCTTGACATTTAAAATGTACAGCTGTACAGGATTTAAGACCAAAAAAAAAATTACACTTAAGTACTTGGCATACCAACCAGTTGTTTAAAATTCATGATATTTAAAAGTATGCAGTAATATGTAAAATGTATTTAAAAAGAACGGGGTGCTTGATATTCTTATTTATTTTAACATAATGATTTAACTCTGTCCTTTGCAGAGAAATAAATAACAAGGTAATAACTACGGGCTTTTTTTCTTGGTAAAGCCTGGTAGGTTTTTCTTGTTCATTTTTCAAGTGGGGAGCTTTATGCCAAATTTCAATGGTTCAATGTCAATCCTTTGTTTTTATGTATCAGTCCATTCCATTACTATGTCATTGTAAATTCAGGATCCTTCAAGCTTGAAGCCTCCATTGCATGACTGGTAAAGGATATTTTTCAGAATCATTTGTTTTCTTATTAAGATGGAATTTGGCTTTGAATTTCTAAGGTGTCAAAGATGATTTTACAATTGGAATGAAATTTAGATTTTTCACAAACAAATCCTTGTTTGGTTTTTAAAAATAATTTTGGAATGGGGGGTATGTTATGTGCAATATGCCCTATAGGTAACATAATACAAATTATCATTTAATAATAATAATAATAATAATAAATTAAAAAAGGGCAATTCTTCCCCGGGGTGACAAAATCAACAAACATACATACATATATATAAATATACAAAATCAATAAATAATCATAAGCTATTTCTACATTGTTTTACAAATTTTTTGACTTGATGCTTGAAAGCATATTTATTCTTATATTACAGGTAAATTATTCCATAAGATAGCACCAGAGTATTGAAAGGAGTTCTCAAAGAGTTTACATTTATGATGGTACACTTCATATACAGATTGTAGATTATTACACTGGAAGTCAAACATACTATTTAGATAAGTAGGGTGAGAGTTGAACAATTTGAATACTGCATATGTGGTAATTAAAAAAAATGGCAAGTGTATTTGCATTATTGATGAACATTATGCATTGATGTCCAATGTAAAACATTTTAAGACTCTTAGGTCATGAATATTTTATTTGTTGACAATACGAGGGTCATTCAAAAAATACGTAGACAATGCTTCTCACCGTCATATGATTATTACAAGATTATAGATCGATAAATTTTCGTAATCACAAACATTTATTTTGTCGAAGTGTGAAGTTTCATTCCATTTGATTAAATAGAACTCATGCTAGCCAACATTTAAAGCAGCATGTTTTGTTCGGAGCACGGTTAACCAATATACGTCAACAACAACACAGAGAGTTTGTCAAAAGTATACTAATTTTTTTTTATTTCAAACACGGTATTGAAGTGTCTTCTCCATTCAAAACACATATCCACAACACTTAACACCTAGTTTGCTAACAATTGTACAAATATAGCTTGAATAAGAATGTTTTTTTTTTCAAATTCTTTAAATCGCCATGCAACTCTATTAATTCAGCAACATTGAAGCACACATCACGTCCAGTGACGTTCCTAACTCTTTTAACAATATTTTTAACTTTAATCTGTTTTATTGACAATCCATCAGTATGTTTGTATTTTTAATTTAATACAAATACACAGATCATTTTTCATACAGACCTGGCCTTTAAAAGAAAAAATTATTTAAAAATTACGCTTGTAGAAGAAGTTTCCTGAATGTAAATAATTTTACTACTTGTATGGCATATAAAATGTTTTTTTTTTAATCGAGTCCTTATGAGAAACTGATATCTTTTAAATGGAGCGAGATATCACATAACCTGATTTCATTTAAATTAATACAACAATACTTTATTTAAACATGTAAATTTTATTTCATTTCAGTTCTATTTATTAGAGGTATAGCTGTAAATACTATAAAGTGAAAATTAAAAAAATAAATTTTGGCGGTGCCGTGACCCCATTTTTATTTCCAAAAATGTAATTTTATATATATTAAGAAACATTCCAATTTTTTTACTCAATTTATATGAATTATATATTTTACCAAATTTGGTAAAATATGCATGTCAAATACAAAAGTTATACAAAAGTCAAACTTTTTGAAATCTATGTATGCATTATGGCATTTTATACAATATAAGACTTTAAAGCATAACTAGACTTGATCTGTTTATTTTCATGTAAAATAACATCCTTATTTATACAAAGTTTATTTTTTTCTTTATTTTTAACAAATTTTTGCCTACTCATTTAACTTTTATCCATTAGGAAATGGATAAATTTACCTGTTTATTTTTTGTTTAGTTTTGATTGTTTGTTAAATTCCTTTCTACAGGCTTTATCACTTATTAATAAGTTGCTTTTATTATATACCCATCAATTTCCTTGATTTTGTTACTGTTAATTTTACAGAGTTTGAGATCACCACACTGTGGTTTTTGAATCCATATCACCACTCTCTGAAACTTCAATACGCAAAAAAAGTTGCGCGTTAAAAAGTCCCTTGTCATTATGCTTTGTTTTATGATTAAATATTATACAATTGATCTCTTAAGTTTTCTTCTGCTATATTTCGCTAGTTATAAAGGGTATATAATAAATTTATCATTATAAATTAACTTTTTGAAGAGCCATATATTGTGTGTAAGAAAATTCGAAGAAAATGGTTTTTCACCAAAGTATATATTTATAGAGTTATAATAATATATATTTATTGTGCAGTATGTTTGGAGCCATCCCATTCATGACAAATTTTATTTAAAAATTACAATTCAAAACATACTTGTACATGTATGGCATATAAAATGCTTTTTTTTAATCAGGAGGGATTTTATTATTTTTATTCTTAACAAAACGGGATACATGTAATTTTTTTATTATACTGTCAGTATTTTGTTATGTATAAAGTTCAGTTTAAAAAAATTTCTGCCCAGAATATATTTCCAGAAATGTATTTATATAATTCCTATATCTACACTGTTTAAACTTTTTATAAATTATATTGCTTACCTTTGGTGAAGGTGCATGTCTTTTTTTGAATTTATACGATCAAACTTTGAAATCTTGAGCATGGTGGGCTAGCAAAAAAACAGAGAGATATTCTGATTTTAATATCCATAATATGAAAGTAAAAACCGTCTTAAACTATTTACCATGTGTCAATTTTCACATTTTCTAGATTTTGGTTTATGTTTGTTTAGGAATTTTGCTTCAAATTTGAATGGATTTTTGCAGCATTGTGTGTAAGAAAATTTGAAGAAAATGGTTTTTCAGCAAAGTATATGTTTATAGAGTGAATGAAAGTTGGCAATGCAATGCATGCAAGATAGATTCTTTAAATGTGCAAATTTATGACCCATTCTTTATGCATCAGGAAAAAATGCAATGTGTGCCATGTCAGTTTTTATTTCAGATGAGTAACCAGATAATATTCATATGAGTAACCAGATAATATTCATATGAGTAACCAGATAATATTCATATGAATGTTAATATGAACCTAATGCATCAGTATAAAGTTGTCTTGCATGTGATGATTGACATTTTTAAATTAAAGTGTTCATGTGTTATTTTAATTTTCTATTTTGGTTTATGTTTGTTTGAATTCTTTCTCACGACTAGAGTCATTTTGTGTTTTAGGATTGACAAAGCCTGCCGTAGCTAAGGTTTGCAAATTTCTCAAGGAATTTCAAAGTTACACGCTAGAAGAAATCACTCTTTTTCACTGTAAACAATATCATGAATATTATATAGTAAACCATGTTTTCTTCCAATCTGGATTTGCAAATTTATGTTCACAGTAAAATAAAATATTTCAACCCTATACTGGAAAAAAGTATAAATGATTAACTGAATAAATTAAATTGCAAATTCAACCCTAGCCTAACAATTTAAGCTGTCCTTGGCAATTCACATGATTAATATGTCTCAATTTAATTTTTTTCTACATACAGTTCTAAAATATTTTTTAATGCCATGGAGAACATATTCATACCATATGAAAATTTATTTGATATTCTTCATTTAAATTGTATTAAAATTGGTTGTAAACCCTGTCTTTGGATCAACTAAATAAAAATTATCAAGCTTAAAAAAGTACAGTTAGTAAAAATGGTGATTTTTCTTCTGTCTGTAGTAAACTGTGACTTGTATACTAACCCAAAATACATTTTCCAGTTTGAATTCTTTCTTTTTCAACATAACTAATATTTACCTTCTTCTTTATCTTATATTGCTTCTGATCACTTTGTAGTTTAGTATTAGTGAACTTTTGTAATATGCTTCTCTAACATATTAGTCTCACACTAATTATACAAGTTTTCTATAATTATAGTTATTTCTGTTTTTGCTTTGTATCATCATAACTAATGAGAACACAGACATCACTAGATTTTTTGAGGATAGTTGATGGTTGAAAGGGATTTGATTGGAAGTGCAGTTTTTAAGTGATTTAAGTACTCCCTTGGTACAATTTAATGAATTTTTGTTTGAATTTAGCTCAGGTAAACACTATATATTTATATCATCAACAAATTTTAGATATTTATGTCTTTTTAATAATTTTTCTTTATTTATTACAGGACAAATACAGTGGTTGACAAAAGCTTTATATCTAAATTTATTTAATAACTGGACTAATGGTGGCGGCAGGACTTTTATACCAAACACTCAACGTGGTGAAGACCCTCGCAGAAAATTACTTCAACTTCTGTGACTTGATTGAAATCTAGTCGGTCTACCGCAGGCAGATTGTCACCCATTGGAAAAACATTTATTTCTATTTTTTTTTTAATTTTCACTTCATTGATATTATATGTACTGTATGTGTGTACATGTCTATGATCCATTCATTTAAAAGACAAGTTTCTCCCTGGCTTTATGTACATGTGTGCTAATAGTGTTAAACAGCAAATTTATCAGCATGTAGGATGAATGATTCATAGAAAAGAAAATGAATGAAATATTAAGTCACATCTTCCTGTATTTGTTGTCATGCTAAGTTTTAATAGATGATTTATTTACAGAACTTTTTTATTGTTCTACATGATACACAAAAACTATCATGAAAAACATCCGAGTCAGAATACATGTCTATATACATGTATATACATGTACTTTGTATGAATTGTATCGTGAGTAAAAGCTAAAAAATGGATTAGTTCTTGAGAAAATACATGTATATAGAGAGAAAATGTACAGATACATTGTTTTATTTTTGTTCAGTCAATTAAATTCATTGTAATTAAGTGGAGGACATTATTTAAGAAGTAAAACAATTTAAGAAATTGCCCCTGTATAAATATGGTATAAGACTTAGCCATTTCATCAATTTCATTTTTAAATTTTCTTTTTTACAAATTTGCATGTTCCATATCCTGTGCTAATTGAAGATTTTGCATCATGTCTGTGCAAAAAGTCTTGAAATATTTGTTAAAAAATCTTGAATGAATAATAGCATAAAAATACATTCCTGATTCTTATATTGACTTTTAAACAAAATCAGTTTTAATATTGTCAAATGTAGCAATGAGGGAACTTCATATTTATTGTAATATATATATATATATATATATATATATATATATATATATATATATATATATATATATATATATATATATATATATATAAGAAAAAAGATTGCTCATTGCTTATGTACAGTGTACGTAATTTGAGTAACAGAATTTCATTATTTATATACCTGTTTTCTTTCATGAAATTTGATTTATTTGCAGGAATATAAAAAAAATTACAAAGTATGGTTATGAATTTTGGAAAAACAAAAAAAAAAATTATTTGAAGTAAATGGTAGAAATATTTAATAGTGTTTCATTATTCTTGAATATTAATGAAAATATTTGTGAACAAAACTCCTTATTTAGTACGATGGGTGATCAAATAGTTCGCAAACTAACCGAAGAACTTCCACAAAAGACACATATTAGGTTTCAGTGTTGATTATTTTTTAAATTAGTCCTATGCTATCCAATTTAAATGCACATCTGCCACAGTTCTGCTCATGCGCGGATCACGTGATATAGGCTGTCACGCCACCACCTCCGTAGCGTTCTGTCACAAAAGCTGAAAGATTTTTCCGAGTTTTATATTACATTCCATGTAAGTTAATTTTTATAACAAGAACAGTTCATTTGTCAGAAATGGTCAATTCTCTGCAACAGAATGAGTGGATAAGAATATTCTTTCCAAAAATAAGCATGGCGACCATAAAAACTCGAATCTTCTGTCTCGGAAGAGACGTTTATTCAAGTTGCATAGAGAATGGGTCCCTCATTTTTATCATAACTAATATGTTTAAAATCTAAAGTAAACAATATTTTAGGAATTTAATAATTATATTATTGTTGAAAATTTCAACTATTTTCAAAGTGTAAATTGGAAGTCTTTGATAGAAAATTGCTTAATTAAAAACACATCTCTTTTCAAACTTGCTTTCACTGGGCAAAATAAGTACAATTTTTAACCATCTGCCTTCCTTCACTAAAACGATCAATCCAATCATTGATGGAATTTATAAGTATAGACTACGTGCAAAATTATTTTGCGCTACTTCAAAGGGATTTCTAAAATATACCATCAATTTTACAGTTGTTTGTTGAACGAATACGACCAAGAAAACCATTTTTCGTCACAAGTGACGTAAAAAGTGACGTCATTTTCACACTGTGACGTCACAAGCAAGGAATTAAGCCTTATGTAGCATATGCTATTTATAGAACTTGTGTATGGCTACATGTGAATCAATTTTTTTTCTAATCTGAATTGAGGTTTTATAGATATGGAGATAGTTCGCGAACTTGTTGATCACCCCTTGTATATCTAAAATATCAAAAGTACATTTATGGGCATGTTAAATGATATATTGTTTGATTGGATATTATTTAACTGGTATAACTTAATCCTACAGAAGGTGTATTTACCTGAAGTGATAGAGTAGTGTTACTTTGTGTCCCAGTATGAATGGTTTTATGACCAAGTCTTAAATTAGTACTTGAAAAAAAGTGACAAAGCCTCTTGGCGATCACATTATTTAATATTTTCTATACTGAATTAATTTCTTCTGTTTTCCTAGCCTTTGTTTTCAGGTGGAGGATTTGATCTCTTGTTTTTCCTTTCAAACTTTTTTCTGCGATGAAGGAAAATAAATATTTTCTTGAAAATAACTTACCTGTCTCTGCCTGACCTGACATCAAGTTAAATTGGAGGTACTATAGGCACTGAGTTCACAAAGTTATACCCCCACCTCCCATATGATTTCATGTAAAATGGCAATGTTCATGTTTTGCTGTCAAATATATAGACTCGAAATAAGTGTCAGATCAAAAAGTAAAAACAAAAAAAAAAATAGTATGTGCTTTTCAAAGGGGAAGGGGTTATTATAATCTTATATGGCCCCTCCCCCCTTTTAGAATCAAATGGACATGGAACCTGTTTCTTGTTTAAAGACATACAGAAGGTACCCTAACTACTTATAATTTTTCAGGATTTCTAAATTTAAAATTATCGTGCCATTACCTGCTTTTAAACAAAAAAAAAAACCGCATGCGTTACCGTGGGTTTGGAACCGATATCAAATTATGAAAATTTTAGCACTATTCAAAGAAAATTTTAATGCAATTATTTTGTAAAACACTTTTTGATTGGCTAATGCACTGATGTTTGAAGCAGTAAAACGAGCAAGAACGTGAGTGAAAGCTTTTCATTGTGACGTCATAATAGAGCGACGCAAAAAACCGTGACAGTCTTACTACATGTATCTGCTCATGTGAATTTTAATTAATTTATTTTTTTGCATGAACTATATGCTTTTAGCAGACAACAACTGACCTTTCCTAGATTTAGTTACATCTTTAATGAAGCTAAAAGCATACGATATATGCGTTCCTTGGAACACTCTACATGTAGTAAGATTATGTTTTCGGTTCAAGTTCATTTATTCTCTCAAAACTATTTAAAATACATGGTACATGAGGACAATGAAACATATTTACAGGATATATATAGGGGGTTCAGGTAACCCGACTTACCTGTGTAATTGTGCTATTTACACGCAATTTATAGGTGTTTATAAACGTCTTTTTTTGCATTATTATTCATATTTATCTAGAAATTAAATATAATGATTTTTTCTTCTTTGTTTGAACTTTCGTATGATGTGTGTGTTATGTCATTCTAATAAGTCTGTGTTGAAAATTAACCGGCTCGAAGTTGTGCTAAAATTGGATACGGGGTTTCCCATTTGATGCATGGCACTGTAATTTTGTCTCCGCGACGTTGATAGCGTCATTTTGATTGGCTTTCCGGGAGGCGATTTTTAAGGAATTAACGACATTGACATATCACAGGAAAGCTTACATTTTGAAGATTAACATTGTTATTGTTGCATCTTGATGCAATGTGCAGAAGTTTATGTATTTCCGTTTCAAAGGAAAGAGGTCAATTTTACTACGGTAAGTAATCAAAATATTTTTATGCAACATACACTATTAGAAAGCTGAGAAAATTTCCTATCAGAAAATTGTAGTTCTGTAATCATTTCAGAAAATAATTCACCCGGATTTCATTCAAAAGACGTCAACCCGACGCAACTTTTGAACAGTTTCAGTACCTTTAAATTCATGCACACTTTTTTATCGTAAAACCACAAGTGAAATAGAAAATATGAGATTAAATAATTTTAGACTTATTGGAATAAAGTCTATGAATTCGAAAACTATGGTCATTTCCTGCTACATAACATATACAGGGGCCTATATATGCTAGTTTACGATCCCTGATATAAATGTACAAATTTGATTCTGCAGCCTGGATTTCCTCTGAATTCTGAAATACTGTCTGTATAATGAATGAATAACCCGAAGTTCAAATGTGATAAAAGAAAATATATATTTATTCTTTTACTTATAACTATAAAATATTTATAATTTTGTTTGTGCACATGATACTTTGTGGTTAATTTTTTTCAGTGAGTAAATACAGTTAGACTTCAGGAAAATGCTATAGAATCATTCCATATCATGATTATGGTACAAGCCCACGGCCAGTAGTAGCAGAAGTCTGAGAGAAACTTAACATTCAACTTGTCCAGGAAGCATGGATAAAATATACAATTATTGATTGAAACTGAAAATTTGATATGTATTTAAAGATCTATGTAAATTTAAAAATAAAGTTGTGAATTAATTGTAGTAAATTCTTTTTTCCTTTTTTTTTTTCCATTTTCATAATATTGACATCTTTCTTCTTTGCTAACTTTTAGTGACCATATTTTATTACGATCCTTATTTTAATAAATCTTTTAAAAGTATTAAATTGAAAATAATTCATAAAATTTCATTATTTATTCTTAACTCACCTGATTTTGAAAATATGTTTTCAATAAGAATGTATCGGTCATTTTTACTATTGGCGGCCATATTGGATATTTTGCCGCCATCTTGGATATTTTTTAGCTGACATGGAAACAGAAAATTAGGGCTTGCATAGATCTTTCCGAAAATATATAGTTTGCCCTACATCTAGATAAAATTAGACTCTATTCTTTAAAAAATACCTAGATTTAACGGATTTTTCTTCCTTTTATGTGCCATCACTTAATACTCGTATGTATAGAAATTTCCTTACATAAAATAGCAGTACTCACAACATTGATTATTTCATAACTTCTGTTCTACTTGGAATTTTTTCACCAAGTAAAGTTTTCTATATTTCTTAATGTCTCCATGTTTGTGCTAGAATATATTTAATTGAAAATATTTCACCGAAAATTTTTACCTGAACCCCCTAATATATATATTCAGGGCAGAGGTATAAGTATATGATATACATAAAAGAGAAAAAAAAAACACTTATGATACATGATGTGATATTTTGTCTTTCACTACTAATTTGATGACGTATATTGTATCGCTGTTGACACGTACCTACGAATTTACGGTTTCTTAACATTGATAGTCAATGGGAAATCAAACAACAGAGCCATAGAATCACATTTTCTTAGTAAATCAACAGTAAAAATGCGAGCCTTCAGTATTTATTTTCATATGGTCATTGGTCAAGGTAAAAGAGGCAAAAATATTTTGTTTTTAATAATTAAGAACCATGACGTCTTCTCAAACTAAAAACAATCTGTATATGATTTCTGGCAGCTCGATCAAGCGAATTTCTTTCTTAATAAATTTCACAACGACATTACTTCATTTTTATATGTACATCTGAAAGCTGCAGTTCTACAAGAAGAGATATGAATACTTTTTGTTTTTTCGTAAGATTTTTGTTTATATTTTTTTATTTTGGCTCGACCTTGGACGAAATTTCAAAAACAGGTAAATTTCATTTAATATAAAATTAATTCGAATTTTTATACAAGTACTTTAAATTAAGAATGTTTTCATGATGCTTGTTTCCAAAATTTATACGGTGCAGAGAATTTTACATTGAGTGCGGTTGTCCACTTAAACAGATCTATAGTAAATAGGAATTGGGGCAAGATCAAATATGAACGTTTACGAACAATATCTTTTCAAAGATGTACAAATGATTTATGGTTATATTTGCATAAAATTAAAGCAATATGAGCTGCATTTTTAAATATTTTATTTTGCTCTTAAAATGTGTTATTATGATAAAGAATAAGATAGGACAAGTAATGCCGCATGGCCCCCAAATTTCTCAGAAAATATATTACTTGTATATAAAAAGACACCCCAGTCTTTTGAAAGATGGAAACACTTACTTTTTATAAAACATATTAGATTTCTTCTCATTCGTCCATAAAACGAATTTTAGAGGACTTTGTTTCTGCATGATCACGAAAAATAGTAAGAATATGCAGTATTTTCAGCATTCTTACGCTCTAAAAACTATGAGCGACTAAGAGTACCACTAAGATATTTTGTTATTTGAGAGCAAAACATAAGTACTTGCTTTGTATAAAAAATCTTTGTGGTACTCTTAGTTGCTCATGTTTAAATATTTAAAAAATCAAGAAAAAAATCATGTAAATTAAATATAAAACTCGATTGATAATGATCAACCTGCTTTTTTCCGGATTAACAATGTGACGGGTATGTTATGTTATAAACAAGCTGCTCCTTGTCAAACGGTTGTTATTTGTAATTTTTTCGCAAGAAACATAATTTAATTAGGTTTTTCAAACCATCAATCGTCTTGGATAAGGAAAAAGTTGTTTAGAATTAATAAACTCACCAGTGATATTTCAAGTCAAAATATAGCTCAGTAGTGCGACACTGCTGTCAGGACATGCCATAGAAATTTCGACTGGATTTCCACTTTCCTGATAGGATCAGTCATGTTTTGGTGAAAAATCAAATGAATATTTTCCTGCATGCAATGATACTAAACGAAATTATCCACGATACTATTTCCACTTGAGGTATTTCACGAAATAACGATGAGTACGAAGCGTCTGCTGTACGACGCCATTTTTGTTTTGAGTAGGAGCGGATCAAATTCACCACACGCACCTGCTTTGAATAAATCTGCAATAGGTTATTTTTATCGATTTGTTTCTGCTCATATTGCTTCAAAATTATAAGGACAACTTTTTAAACTTAACATAACAAGGTGGATTTGTATTTTTCATTTTATTACTATTAAAAAATATTTATTAATGGGAATATGAGATAAAAAAAAAAAAACAACAACAACAACACAAGTTCTGGATGACTAGAGTACAAAGACATCCTAGATTCATCCTTGCAGAAACAATGTGCCTGTTCTCACTTAACAACTTGCTCTATTTTTTTTTCTTTAAAAGATCAAACAAAATTAATATTATGAAAAATTAGGTTCTATATATTGAGGATGACTGGGGGTGCAAGCTATATATACTTTCCTTCCAAGATCCTTTTTGCAACTCAATGTCATTTTAAAGCTACAGAATTGGAAACTGAAACCCTGGGGCTGAAGGGTCTAAAGTCTCTTGTAAAACCTTAAATCATAATTTGACAGTGAAAGAAAGGTGAATCTGTCGTACGTTACAAATATTTCATGAACTTGTAGATTGACAAGCCCTAATCATTTTTCCTCATAAAATACCAATTTCATAAGTATCTCAATAATCAGTCGTCTTATAGTTAGGAAATATTATAAAATGATAATTGATCATTCATTCTTACTGAAAATCAATGAATCTGATTCGACGATATGACTTTCTGTATCATTTTTTTTTTCATTCGTACATGTAAATATCTATTTATATAGTACAATGGAAAACCCATTTTTGTTTTGGTATTGTCATTATGTAACATGAGGCTACAATACATGTGTACTTTGAGTGAAATAGAAGCATCACTCTAAATCTTTTTGATCAAACTGTGGTATATCTAGTTTTTTTTTCTAGGTAAATTATTAACTTATAAAGCGAGGATGTCACTATATAATGTTTAAAGTATCCTACAGGAAATGAAATCAGACGATGAGATTCAAGTTAAAGTTTAAAAATTATTTTTTGTAAACTCTTGACGAAATTATTACAATGCTGATCTAGGGTTACAAAAGCTGAAGGACTGTAGCTCTCTGCTTGGGTAAATTCGGACAGATAAATTGCCCCCCTCCCCACCCTTTAATTTTCATACCGGTGTATGAAAATGCAAATATTTGCCGCATACATACACGTACACTGTATAATGTAAGACTCTTTTAAAAAGTATATACGGGTATGTTTATAAGTTTTTCCACTGTTAAGAGAAATTTAGTGAAGTAAACGGGAAGAAATTTGTTTAATATTCCACGTATAGATTAGGCTACATGTATAGGGGAGTCTGCGACAGAAAATGCATTCGTATTTTACAGGGAGTCTGCGACATAAAATGCATTGTGTATTTTAAAGTTTGTTTTTTTTTTTACTTGTTACCAAGTAGACCCGATATCAGCTTATTTGTTTCCTACCAGTGACACTGGAGGGAGCTTTACATAGTTTTTGTCTGTGTATGGCCGTCTGTCTGTCTAGCTGTACTCTTTCAGTTCACATGTGCCACTTGTTTTTCTTCACTTTTTTTCTAAACATTTGCAAATATTGAGCTGCGTAATTTTTTGTATGCAGGTTTTTCTTGCTGAATTATAAATAAAGTTTGCATTTTTTCCGCTTAAATGATCTTTGACGGAATTTGGGGACTTTCTTGTTTATAACTAGATTAAACCTTGGGCTTAAGGGACCTGTATTGCTTGGGCAATGATAATACCCCGATGTGTGTTGAATATTATTTCTAAGTAACTACCGATACCTTACTTTTACTTGTCTAGGAACTTAGCAGGAAGATCATATAACTTTCTAGAATTTAAGTTGCATACACGTTAAAATGCCTTTTAAACCCTTGCTTAAAATTAGTTGCCCCTTTGTAAACACACTATCATTTTCACCGTATGTTTGACACTTTTCATTCATCTAAAATCTTTAATACAACAGTTTTAAATCATAGGAGAAAAGAACCATATATGCATGTCCCTTTCTTTTTTCTGCTACATGTATGTGTGAACCCCTAAAACCCCTATCCACTGAGAAAATTACGGTAGCTCGTATAAGACATGGAATGAGATTTTTTTCAAATAGGGGGTACGAAATAAAATTCGTGGGAACGAAATAAAAATTCGTGGAAACGAAATAGAATTCGTGGGGTTATCAGTTTCATGTATTTTTTTCTGATTATTCTGTAATGAATGCACATACGGTTTTGAATGCAGCTACTGGTATAGCATCAAGGGTACAAGTTTATAATTCATCTTTGCAAACATAAAGATTCTACCATCTTTGACAGATTTGGTTTCTGGCTAGTTTTGATATATTATATTCTCCCTCACTTCGTTCATCCAAATATGAATTTATTAAGAACTAAATAATCAACATACACATGTGTCGTAAACAGGATGCTGCTCGTTAGCTCTTTATTTTCAATATTATACAAATAATCTCAAGATAATCCCAATTCTAAATAATCTACAGAAGATTTAATTTGTATATCATCCGTTTTTTACACAAAATGTTCTTAATACACAGTGTACCTTACTACCTCACAACTTGATATTCAAAGAACCGAGTGAACTTAGATAAACGCTCATCCCTGCAAACTGCTATTTGTACCAACAAATTACGTGGACCTAATTTCGAACACGCGACAACTACGACCGAACATAAGTATAACTTGTATGTTCACATTCATATCAAAATAAGTTTCTTTTGTAAAATAAAGTCTTCCATTTGTAGTCACAGATGCTAAAAGAAAAACTGCATTTATTTGGCAATAGTCTAGTCTCATACAATACATGTATGGATCAAACCTGTTAGAGTGACTTTATGCAAAATACGATCATTGCAGAAAAGGAAGTGCTGTTTTTTAATTTATAGAAAAATGAGAGGTCATAGTGCTGTATATTGAAATAGAAAAATACTTAGTTCATAAAGAGATATCTTATCATAGTTTAATAAATAAAAAGAACTACAAATGTTAGGGTTTTTTTGCCGACTTCCCAAAGTCCATCAATCGAAATGAACATATTTTCATCTACGTATGCAAATAGATAATTGTATGAATTTTCCCAAAACGTACTAGTATTTGGCAAGAGAATAAAATATATGACGTTATAATTTTTGTAAAACTTGAATAAAGCTGTAAACAAAGTTGCCATTAATATTCGATCAATTTTCAAAGAAGTGTAACATGTAGGCAGGAATCGAGAATTATCGTGCATAGTTCTTTATTTTTGATATTTTATTTGGTTACTAGGGATTTCTATGGTTACTAAGGGTTTATTGGGTAACTGAAAGTTTAATTTTTACTATATTAATTATATTTTATGTATATAGACAGTGTACATAAAATACACAAAAATATGTGACTGTCACATAATTATTTGTTATTCTGATGTTCACCGTGGTTGCATACAAACTGTTAAGAAATCTTCCTACACGTTTATACATTTTTTTATATGACTGCAACGCTGTTGCTAAGGATTTCTTTTATGCCTGTAGGATAAAATTTTGAATTCTAAAGATACATACAGATCTTAATCCTTAAAATACAAACGTTGAACCTTACAATTTCATATCATAGTACACAAACATCCCCTTTTCTCAATATTTTTATGCATTTAAAATTGTTACAAAGGACGTGTTTGGTTGCCATGGAAAATTAAATTCTGTATTTCACCTACAATTTACAATGTTTCTAGGATTTAAATGACTTTTATCATGTGTTACTTAAAAAATATGGAATACATCCATAATTCTATAAATAAATGTTTCTGAAATTGACTTTAAATTCATTTCATGGTTGTCATGTTTGATGTGTTGCTAGGCAACAAAATTACAGGGATAACACCAAAAAAATATCATTTCCTGTTAGACTTGGGTATACCCTTGGATTACATATAATATTAGTTTTTTTGAAGAGGGGGCCTAGATTGGCTCTTGTCCTATCTTATTCTTTGTACGAACTTAAACCTTTATGATCAATTAAACTATAATAAAGCAAAGGAAAGATTTCTATATATATACAAACCAATATACAGTTTTTTAAATAAGAAATCATTATCGCACAGGACAATACTGTAATTTTGATTTAATCAAAACTTATAAATAGTTCTTCCATCGTAAATATGAATTACAGATCTGAAGTGTATTAACGTTATTTCATTCTGTCATTGAAATAGTTATTTAATTTTGCAACTATGTATCCTTTTTTATCTGAATAAAACGATTTATAAAAAAGGAACTGATTTTCTTTCAATAATGAAAACATATTTCAAGACATACTTAAGTTCCATGTGGTCTTCCACCTTAATCAACACTTGGTAACTGTCCTTACAATATAGTAAGTAGTGGGTAAATAGATTAATTCAGAATTAATAGTTAGTGCTATGCATACACATTATATATAACTATCTTAACTTCACGGCTAATTTCATTGTTTAATTTATTCCAGTACTTGGTGAGGAAGTTGGATCTGAGGAAATCTCACAAATTCAGTACTACGAAGAAGCACCAGACATTGAAGAGGTACGTTCTGAAACTATAGAGTAAAGACGTCGAAACCGGGGGGGGGGGGGGGCTAGGGGGCGTAGCCCACCTGCTTTTTTGGAAGATAGATATTTTGTATGTATTTTCTGTGTATTGAAAATTGAGGTTTATCTATTTTTAGTTCATTTAGCCGCCCACTTTAAATTAGCCCCCCCTTTCAATTTGCTTCCGACGCCTATGCAGAGTCGGTAAAGGTGTCTACTGAATTTTTATTTGAAAATTAAAATAAGTACACGGCTATATATTACGGTGATAAAATTATATTTATTAATTAAAATATATATTTTTAATTGAAAAATATAATTTTATCACCGTAATTTTCTTGCTTTGAGTTTCAAAAATTAAAATAAATTGTAATTAAATTTATATACCGTATATAAGTAGAATTTTTAGCGAGGATTTAATTTTGGCATTATTAGCGAGGTTGCCAAGATCGCTAAAATTGAATATCGCTAAAAATTAATCGTGTTTTATATCTAATAGCTACTTTATTGTGCATTTTAAAATCGCTAAATTAGCATCTCGCTAAAAATAAATTACAAGTTTTTAAGGACAAATCGCTAAATTTGCGTCTCGCTAAAATTTCCACTTATACATGTACGGTATTTATGTTTATACATATGTCAAAAGCGGTAACTTTTCCTTCGTGTTAAGGTAAGAGGTATATACAGTGTGTATGTGTCTTTGAAGTTTCCTACAAAAATCCAATTTATAAGTCATAAAATAGGTGTTTATACACTACATAAAGTCTCAATACTATAAAGTTTTGACAATAAAACTAGAGGCACTGTGAGCAATGAGTTCACAAAATGATACCCCCATTTCCTCTATGAATATAATGACAGTGTCCATGTTTTGCTATGGGAGACCCAAAGTATGTGTCGGATCAAAAAAGTACTAGCTCAAGCTTAGTTACATGTACATGTACTATCTTTCGCCCTCTCTATATTGTTTTACGGTAACGTGTTAAGAAGAATAATTCATGATTTTCCATGTTATTGATAAATAAACATCATTTTCATTGAGCACACCGTATTTGATTCTTACACCCCGGCGTTAGGTTACAAGTCGCGCTTTCTTCAACATTCTTTTAAATTTTTCTTTTGATAAAGTTGTCATGAGATCGTTCATAGTTGATTGATTGTTTGTTCATTAACGAGGAATTTTTGAGAATTTAATTTTTCACGCATAGTAGAGAAATACCAACGAACAAACGTAACTCGCCCTTGTTTGTTTGTTTATTGAAATGTTTTTGAATAAAATGTATATGTACTTGTGCAGTCTGTAGGCCAGTAACGTTATCGGAAACAGTTAACGAATTGAATATCTACTTGTGTACACATCTATCTAGAATAAAAGATATTTAAATTATAAAAATCAAACATCCCTGCGGTCCTTCTAACGCTTTGTGTCGCCTATTAATTAGTAACAGGTTTTGTGCAAAAAAGGAAGTATTTCATTTAAATTAGGAAATGGATTAAAAAAAGTCGTTGCCAATGCATATTTTGAAAGTGAAGGTACTTAGACACAGATTTGAAGTTAATATTTTCTGTATAATATCACGAATTATATATTTTAATAGCGTTTCACACAAAAGCTAATTAAAAAACTTATTTCATTTAAGAGTTATTCAACTTTAAAATTTTTGGCGGGTTTGATTGACACCCCAATGCACTTTCACAAATTTTAACTTATTCATAACCTTAGGAAAAGTGGCAAAAAATTTAAAGTTTTAATAACTTAAATGAAATAATATTTTTAATTAATTCTTGTGTGAAATGCTATTAAAATACATAAGTCGTAATATTATAGAGAAAATATTAACTTTAAATCTGTGTCCAAGTACCTTTAAAAATGTAGAGTAACATTATTATGCCTCTGAAATATACAAGAATGAAATGCAGAGTTAGGGTCAAATTCGGAACAAGAATTAATTAAGGGTTTTAGTTGACTTCATTACGCGTCAGCCTCGGTACGATTTGATATGAAGCCCATTTCTAAAATCATGCAGCGCCACCATGTGACTACATCGGGCGTCCCTTTGTTAAGTTTTTATGCTGATTTATGTAATATATATGTTGATGTCAAAATACATACAGTGCATGTACTGAAGGTATTTATGGTGAAAATGGTAAGTCGTGTTTTTATGTACATATACGATTGTATTGCAATGATTACCATTTATTTTGCAATTATATATTTTAGTTCTTTGCCTTCGGTTTTGCTGAAATGTACATTTGTTTTGCAAAAAGGTCCTTCAATTTTGCATTGAATGTTATTTATGAAGTTTTTATGTGCATTAATACATATATCTATATTATTGTTTGGTTTCTCATTATGGTTTGTTTTGTGCTTTCCACTTCACATACACTTTAAAAGAAACTACTACATGTACATATTATTGTAAAGAATGAAACTTGTAAACCGCTCAAAGAAGGGGAGAGAATTTTCAGAAGATCTGTTAAAAGGATTGATTGATTGATTGTACAATGTATATTGTTTAACGTCTAAAAGGATATACATGTAGTATTACAGTGAAATATGTATTTTAACTTCATGTTATTTGACTTTATTATTATGTTAATCTGTAGGTACTTTTGACACCTTCTGTTCACCAAGCCAAAACAAAAAAAAAAAAAAAATAAAAATAAAAAAAAAAAATGTTGAATTCAACGGACAGATCATTATAACTGCTTACTTATAAGGGAATTTTAACTCTTCAGTTCGCAGTGCGTAAAGGTCCTTGGACCGATGTTCGCACTCTTTAACAATTTATCTAATATGTTTGTTTCATTTTGGTCTAGGCAGAAAACTACAGAAGCAGACGACAAAGCCGCAGTGTATTTCCAGAGCGGGCCTTAGATGAGATTCAAGGGAATGGCGGCGCTCTCATAGATAAAGCAGTATGATGACTTGATTTTTATGCAATAGTAGTGTCCGTCGTCCGTCCGTCCGTCTGTCTGTAAACAGTTATTCAAAATACTACTCCTCCTACAGTTTTGGTCTGATTTCAATATAACTTGGCACACAAGTAGACTACACTAAGATAAATAATTCTTTTTCGGTTCTGGTTCCGTTGAACAATGTTGCCATGCTTACTTAAAACCGTGATTTCTTTGAAATTCCTTTAAAATACTTTCCCTCTTACAGTTCTGGGTTTGATTGGAATATAATTTGGCTAATAATGAATAGACTACAATAAGGTTCCAGATTTCATGCATGTTTTTTGTTTTCGATGTATTGTCAGGATGTCACGTAATTTACGTTTCGGGTAACTTTAAATACTTTTAATATTGGTTCCGGCATACAAGTAAACTACATGGACAATATTTTTATCATCATTTATCAATGAATGGTGTTGCCATGATTTTTAAAATAGAAATTGCTTCCACATAAGTTTCAGCTTTCCCAGCACAGTCGTTTTTGGGAATAACATTTTTAAAGTATTTTCCTATATATATTTCTAAGTAAAACTTGTATTCCCTATTGTGGCCGTGTGTCATGATTTGAATAATTTACAATCTACACTACCCCAGAATGCTTCAACGTAAATTTGAACTTTCCTAGCCCAGTGGTTCTTGGGAAGAAGAATTTTAACCCCACCTTTTTGTCTTTTCTTGATTATCTCCCCTTGTGCGGGGTCTTGACCTTTCATTTTTACAATTTAAACTCCCCTTTACCTAAAGATGCTTTGCATCATGTTTGGTTAAAACTGGCCCAGTGGTCATTAAATAACTCCGTTTCTGATTTTTGTTTCCAATAAAATACGTGGAGATAACGAAGAGTGTTTGATCTCAAAAGTCAACTTAACACTACAAAATAGATACGGAGCAAACACGGACCTCCAAAACATTTGAGTTTGTATCAGGTGCTATGGAGGAGTGAGCAATGCTACCAATCTTGTTACACTCGCCTTGTGTTCCTTGTCATGATCGGGTAAATCCGAGGAAACCAACCTCAACGATTATAATGGTCTAACAATTAGTAAAAAAGTAAGTCATCATTTGACTAAACTAGAGGTACTGTGAACAATGAGCTCACTATATAAATGATACCTCCTGTCTCCTACATGATAATAATAATGGCAGTGTCCATGTTTTGCTCTGGAAAATCCATTATATATGTCAGATCAAACGTTAACAGTAAAATAGGAGGTGCACAATGGCAATATGTAATAAAGATTCTGTGAAAGTTTCATCAAATTTTATTAAGTGTTATGAGAGGAGTTGAGGATATATGTAGGAGATGGGAACCCCAAAGCGTAACAGACGGACGGACATAACGATTACTATAAACCCTTCCAATTTTCGATTTAGAAATTGTTCATGGGTAGAAGATGCTTTTCAGTATCCAATCAACTTAAAGATTTAAGTGACAAAGGTGACAAAGGTATATTATAGCACAGGTAAAGGAAGTTGACGATTGAAAAGTGAAAGTCATATCACGTTTATCATATTTAAACTTTATTGTTCTGTAACAATGAAATAAATGTCTTTTTCTACAAAAAGATCCAAATATAAAACTAAGTAATATATCAGACTTTTTGGGGTCTTTTATTAAAAAAATTCAGAACACCAGGTAATAAGAAGTTGAATTAATTCATTTTACAAATGTAACCATTGACGCATTTTTCTATAATTAAAAGATCCAAATATGAATCTAAGTGATATATTAGGCTCTGTGGAATTTTTTATCAAAATAGTTCAGATTTTCAGGTATTAAAAAAGTTAAATTAATTTATTTTACAAATGTAACCATTAACGTCTTTTTTTACTAAAAGATCCGAACATAAGTGATATATATATCAGACTCTATGGGATCTTTTATTTTAAAAGTTCAGAACTTCAAGCAATAAGAAATTCAATTTATTTTACAAGGCTTATGATCCAGATTCAGCCATTTCTCAATATCTGGCAGGAATGTTTGTCAAACGCAACGGTGTTGAGAGATCTGTAAGTTTTAAATGAAATTAGTTTTTACACATTTTTTAATTCTTTGATGCCTTCATAGATACTGTAATTTGACCTAATATTTTTTAGCCTTATATAAATTACCGCTTGTCGGCAGGATTTCGTGCCCAGGAAATGGACTCCCACAAGCTAACACATTCTCAGAAGATCAAGCTAGGATTGGAGAGCGAATATGTAAGTATATGCCTATATTAAGGTTCATTGATACTCCGATAAGAGAGATAACTCAATGACAAAATTGTCTATTATTCCTTTGTAAAGTCGGGTTGAATGTCCAATTTTGCCCCGAAAGATACTCTATATTTTTTTGTATTTTACTTATATTAATAATATTTAATAAAGTTCTTTTGGAAAATCATTAAGCTTCAAGCATTATTTTATATGAGTGAGCAGAGGTTTTATGACCCTTTATGAATGGACGTCAAATATTATCAAATTCTTAGGAGGTTGGCTCCTGATTTTTAAAGTCTTAAACTTTTATATTAAGTATATCTTTATTTTCTACACACTTAGTTTAATTAAAAATCAAATCAAAATGTAGGGGATTAACATGTTTCTTTTGGCGATACAGTATATTTAATTATGACTTTTTTGCATGAAACCAGTATCTTAATCAAAAATTACATCTGAAACGTTTTTCTTCCAATATTTGATTCAAATAAATCATGGAATAAAAAAATATCAGTATATTAAAAAAAGACACTTTAAAATTGTGACTAAGAAAAAGTTTCAAATTGCTTCGCATAATCAATTGTTTGACGTAAATGTGATTTTTTCTGCAATTTAAAGTTTGATAAGCAAGAAAATTATTCTAAAGTCTTAAGCTGTTGCTGAATTTAAGCACATTGATCAAAGTTATCTTTAATTTTCAGAAAATAAAATTAAAAGATGGGGTATATGATGTAAATTTTCGGATATAACTTAAAATATGTCAATTTTATGCATGTTAAATATGGCTCATTTTTTTCTGTACTTTCAGAATAATTTTAGGATATATTATATAATTCGTCGAAAAAAATCATTAGAATTAATTATTTTTTTGTTAGAACAAGTATAACACATTTCATTGCAAAAACAGATTTGTGTGCAACCAGCAAGGAAAATTAGGAATCTAAAATTAACAGTACTGTATAGAGTTTAAAAGGGAAAAATTGATAATTTTCTTCTCAAAAACCTTCCGCCACAGAATAAAGTTCCTTGCTTAATCCCACTTGAATCGAATTTATTCACATTTTTTGCCATTAATATTCATAGTTTACCTTTCGTTGTACAATTTGATTTCAAGGAGGCTGGAGGGTCAACAAATAAATCCCAAATTCACCACCAGATTTAAATTATTTTTTACATACGGTATCTTTAGCTGTCAACTATCATTTGACAAAGAAAAAATTCATATATTATGGTTTTAAAATTTGATCATTTTGTATATCTTTCTATGGAGCTCTCCTTTTAAAGGAGGTTGAAATAGTCTAAAATGGCTGCCACCCCCTAGCCTCGTTAAAGGTCCTAGGAGTCCTGTATTCTGTCACGTCAGAATAAATTTACATGCTAAGTAGTAATATCATATTTAGAAAGCAACCTACTTATTCAGACAATGAAATGCTTCCATTCCTCGCGAATTGAATTGTCATGGTAAAGAATTGCTTTGCTTCTGAAATATTTAACGGTGTTTGATTAGTTCACTTGACAGTTATATGGGCGTGTTTTATTGTTTTTTTTAGCTCATGATCACAAAAAGAAAGTATTCAAAATCCAAGTCTTGTTTACAATGATATTTTAACTTTCTATGCTTTGCTACACCTATGTATTTCAGCTGTAATGTTTTGTCGCCTTTCTGAATGTTATTTTTCACAATTCGGTACATTAAGAAAATATAACCATCGTTATGTATATCAGAGACTAACGTTGTCTTTGAAGACAACTACTCAAAAAGTGAAATAGGTAACAAGTTTCGTGAGGTATAATATATTTGACCTGTCTGTCTGTCAGTGAAAGTGCCGGTCAGTCAAAACTGTTTTTTGTCAGCGCAACTCCTTAGAAACCGCCGCACACAATTGCTTCAAACTTTGCAGAAATTTAGGACACAATTAAAGTGTACTTGTGCATATCACCAGGAAATTCAAATTTATTTATTTTTCTGGGCATTTCCGCACTTTAGAATTTTGGCCAAATCTTGTATATACACTTAACAAAACTTCTAAGTGTTCACTTTAATAAATGCATTTATTAAAAAACTATTTTATAGAATGGTGTGATATTTTCACACTATAACAACAAATGAGTCTTCTCAGCAATTGTAGAAAGAAAATCCAAAACAACCATGAAAACCAATGTTCCGTGACGAAGCTTAACAACAATAAATCTGTACTTTGCAGCACGTGTTTTGTGTCAAAAGCATCTTTTTGTGACCATTTTCAAATTTTAAAAACTAGTTTCACCAAAAAAACACAAAACATTGGCAAAATAACCATTGATGTAGAGGGAAGAGCCGTTGGAATATTCATATCTGGACCATCTTCGCACCACGTTCTACTCATTTTTATTTTAGTGCTTAATTGTACTTGATATTACTCACTTTTAAAAATTATCAAACAATATCAAAAACCCATTTAAACACATTTTTGTATAGGTTGTGCTCATTTTTTCATCACCAATTTATCACAATTTGAAAGATTTGACAAAATTTAACCACACCGGAAGTGACCTTAATATTCATCTTGGGAGAAAATTTCGCGTTATACCAGATAAAGAGAGTGTTCAAGTGTCCTGAAAAAAATCTTAGAAACATGGTAACAAACCATTTCAATCGTACGAAAATGATAAGAAATCGGTGCTCTTGGCAGCCTTTTATCAGCTCAAGCAGTCTGAATTATCATTAAAGTGGCGCACTTACGTGCTAAACACCCTAGGATATTGACCAAATGGTACTTGTGTGACGATACACTGTCAAATTCCCGGATCCAGGGACCTATATAGTATATAGGTCCCTGTCGGATCTGAATCCCATTGAACATATTTGGGATTTTAAAAGAAATGTCAACCCCCCCCCCTTTTCCTCACAATTTCAATAGTTTGGAAAGATCTAGTATGCAGTATATGTAGGTGTGGCAGCAGTTGGGTCAATCTCCTATTCAGGGGTTCATGGTATCCAACAATAAAGATTGTCTTAAAGTAATAGAGCGAGTAGCGGGTCTTACTCCGTCGAGATTTTTTGTGCGAATTTTCATTTTGAAGTTCTGACGAGATACTTACATGAAATTTACGCAACATTGAACTTAAATATGCATTAAGTTAACCAAGAATTAAAGAAATTATTTATTGTTTGCATTTGTTCTTTAAAACTTCAAAAATGTGAGGTGAACACTTAGAAGTTTGGTTCAGTGTAGAGATCAACAGTTTTTCAGCACAACTCCTAATAATTCGTTGCTCACAATTTTGACCTAACTCACAGATATTTAGGACACAATGTAAAGATGTACGCATTACCTGGATATTCCGTTTCCCTCATATTTTCGGGAAATTCCGCACTTTTACACTCAGATTTTTGGCTATATCTTGAATATACAGAATGAAAAGTCTGTCAGCACAACTCCTCATAAACCGCTGCAAACAATTGTGTTAAACTTTTAAGATACATGTATTTAGGACACAATGTGTTGATGTGCATATTACGAGGAAATTCTGATTCCTTAGTTTTTTTGGGAATTTCAGCACTTCGACTTTTGCAGGTCCAGTCCAAAGACTATTTCTACCTACGTAGCTATTAATAGCTACCTAGGTATTTAAAGCTACCCAAAGTAGCTATTTTTACCTACTTTATATAATTTCTGCATTTTGAGACCAAAAGACCAAACGGCGCAACATGGTGAATACCCATATTTTTTGATACGGTCACACTTATGATTAATACGACAAACTTTGGCCCAAAAAATGATTACTTCCTGAATCGGCAATTTTACATTAGTCTCTATGTGAAATTGATAATAAACGAAGTTTTCATTTTTTGACCAATGTTTTGTCATATTCATCATCAACGTGTCTGTATCAAGAAATTTTGTGCTCACCATGTTGCGCCGTTCCTGCATTTGGCCACAAAATGCAAGTAAAGCAGAAAGTAGGTAAAAATAGCTACTTTTGGTAGCTTTAAATACCTAGGTAGCTATTAATACCTAGTCCTACGTAGGTAGAAATAGTCTTTGGACTGGACCTGTTTTGGAAATTCAAAGAACATGTAACGTTTAAATTTTTGCAAAGTAAATAAAGGTGATCAACGTCAAGTTTTTTTTCCATATGAAATTCATGAGTGTAATATAAAATCAACAATCTATCTCTGATCAGTCAGAAGATATGACCGAGGTTAATTTTTTTATGAAACACAGACAAACAGACAGACAAATTAGAAATAATGTCCCCTTGCTTTCACGAAAGTGTGGGGACAAAAATCAGTGAATGTCAAAATGTTGTTATAGGAGGGTGAAGATAAAAAGAGAAGAAAGAAGCGAAACTTTGTTATTCCGGATCAATCTCTGTGGCCAGGCGGGATCGTTCCGTACACGCAGTCATCCACTTTAGGTGATTATACTGGCTTGATTCTACTTAATATTCTATTCACTGAGTAGTAGTAGTAGTGCATGTTATTTGATCTGATATCTTTTATTCGCAAGCTCGCAAACATTTCAGATAATAAATACAGAATACCGTGGAATTTTTATTCGTGGGGTCAATATGTTTGATGGTAGCAACAAATTTTCTGGTTTGGGAGGACGAATTTTCGTTGATCACAAGTGTTATTCGGAATTCAACTTTGCAAGAATAATAAAACAAAATAACGTTTTATATACGTTCGTGCACGTGGGGATGTAAATTCGTGGGTCAGGGTTACCCACGAAAGCCACGAACATTGATGATTCATCAGTATATAAAATCCCGTGCAAGCACGGGAATTACAAATTTCAAACGGTACCAGAATAATTTATAAATATTTATTACATGTAGTTGGTTTGTATACTTACACTAATTTACATATTCAAGAGCAAGAGGGAATCCAGTCATAGTTCTAAGGTTTTTCCTTGAATTTGCCCCGTTTTAAATTCGCCCAAATGAAGGAAGGGCAAAAATAAAACGGTAAGGACAGTTTACCTGTATACAATACTTTCATTGTCTATTATAGCTTCCGCGACAACTGCAGTAATAAGCTCGGCTATAGGTATGATGACTAACCTTACCTGTGTACGTTTCACTCCCTATGGATCTACCTTGGCAAACACTGTAGGTCACAGCAATTACGTCAATTTTCTCTCCGCTACGTAAGTATTCATACTCTTAATCTAAGGTTTCAGTTTTGTTCAATTTTATTTCTACAGTGACTGTGTCGTAAAAAATAGTTTTTAAATAGTTTAAAAGTAATGAACTGAGCAATCCCACGTGCATACAGATGCCCGTTAAGACATGTTTAGAAAAGATATTTTTTTCATTGCGTTTAATTAAAAATAATCGCAATAATTGTCGCGTGTGTTTAAACGCAAATTCTAATGCGAATGTTTTGTAAAACACGTTTTGCTTGGCTAATGCGCTGATGCTTGAAGCAGTATTTTAACGAGCATTAACGAGCGTGAAAGCTTTTTCATTTTGACGTCAAAAACACAATGCTCCATGACGTATTTCATGTAACAAACTACTACAAAATAAGACGTAAACAACAAACAAAATGCGTGGATTGCATTAGAATGGTAATAACTAATCTTCTAATTTGGTATTTGTGACCGTTTTTGCTGATTTAACATCCGCAAACATCCGTTTTACTTGTTCTGCTTACGCGTCGCCATCATTATCACTGTACTGGCGCGAAAAACACTTGACAAGCAATATCCGTAAATTCTGTGTGTAGCTATGCACACGAACTATGCACTTACCCCGTAAAACAGCTAAATAAATGCTTCTCATAAAAAACAATAAATAAATGAATAAATAAAATAAAAGCCGCTTTTGACACCATGTTATTTGTATGTTCTTGGCTCGTTCAAATAACAAGGACTACGAAAGTGCGTGCTATTCTGTTTATTCCCGTTACGTCACAATAATTTAGCATTAGGTCGTACTTAGAATGTTTCCTTAGTCATATGATGTATACATGTCCATAATATACATCCATTATCCTACATACAATGATTGTTTTCTCTATTCGTACTAGCGGCTGCTGGTCCTACGTAGGAATGATAAACTGGGGGCGTCAAGATCTAAGCTTACAGGAGACTGGCTGTGTTAATGTACGTCATCATCCACTATATATAGTCATCTCCAAATAAAGTGTTTATTATTCTAACTATATAAATCTAGGAGATAAAATACCGATTTCTCATGTTATCATATTATGTATAGTTCAAGTTAAAGTCTTTTAAAAAAACTTTATTTTGCGTTCAATATTTGTGACGTAATGATTTGTAAATTGATATCATTTTTTTTCTAATACAGACGTTGTAGTTTGATATGCATGTGAGAGACCCTTTTTCAGAAGCGCTAAATGGGCCATCAATGTTTCACAAAAAAATTGTAGTTTGTTTTATCAAAAATTTTACAGCATTAAAATCTAAAACGAATATAGGAACTCAGGGAAAAAGTGAGTGAATTGAACAAGAATCTGACAAGTGTTTGATTTCCTTTGTAGATTGGTACAGCTATACATGAAATGTGTCATGCTTTAGGTATGTGGCACGAACAAAACAGAAAAGATCGAGATCCTTATATTGAGATATACTATGATAATATACAAAACGGACAGAACAACGTCAACTTTAAGAAGTACGAAACAAGAGATAACAATCCATACGATATATCCTCTGTACTGCAGTACTATTTAGACGTAAGGATAGTTTTCAGTTTGTAAAGGGTATTACTGTTTGTTGTAGTACTGAGCAGAGTTGCTTTATTTACATTTTATACAGCTACATGTTCTCCACTTCTGATCAAAATGGAAATTGGTTACCGAAATGTCTTAATTTTCCAAAGCAACGAAATTTCTTTTTTAAACTTTTTTTTAACATTAAAACACGTTTTACTCCTATTGATCATAAAGGTAAAACAGCTCAATCTTGTCAGTCAAAGTGGTTGATTTTTTTTTTTTTGCATTTTATTTACAGTCTTTTGCTATTGATACCAGTAAACCGACTATGCGTTCTAAAGATCCCAAACTAGCATTTCTTGCAGGAAAAGCAAACGGTTTGATGTATTATGACGTGAAAGATATCACTGTTGCGTACAAATGTACAGGTAAAACTTGTTACATGTAGAAATAAATGCACTCACATAATCTTAACAAAGAAAGAAACGCATATTCAGATTAAATATGAAAACCTGAGTTTAATTTTATAAAAAGTTATTAAAAACCAAACATGTCCCATGTTGCGAATAGAAAAGTCTCAAGTTGATGTCATTTTCATCACCCCTAAATTCAAGGGGCATAAATACATGAAATAATAATATGTACTGTGCGACGTCTCAATGCTAGTGGTTTCCAATGTACGGTTGTCGTGGACGAATAACAGCTCCCCCAGTCTCTTGCGAACAATTTGTGAACTTTTATGCTGATTTTTTCAACCAACAATTGTAGAAGCAGTTTGTGCAGCGGTTCTAAATCGATTGCTAATTATAATTAGGTGTCTAGCGGTCCTGTCTGGGTGTGATAACCCGTTGACGGCCAGTTCTTGGTCTGCCATCCGTGTTCTAAGCTGGAGGAGACATACGTTTAAACGCTGCAAAGTCAATTTATGTAAACCAAATGCAGTTGCAACTTCCTGTTGCGTATCTCCGGTTGTCATCATAGTTAGCCCGCGTTGTGTTCATCGTTGTTAATTGTTAAATAGGGGTTTAATAGACGTGTTTATTGTTTCTCAAAATCCAAAATTTCAATGAAAATAGACCACCGGTTTACAAGAAATCATGAAAAAACACTCTCTTCATATACATGATTACTCAACACACATGATTTAAAACCCCATGTTTTCCTTTAAAAATATCACAAGTATCCAATGATAAAAAAAATAGTTGTTCCATACTTTTTTCAAAATTCTTTGATGCGTAAACCAATATGCGTTTCTTTTTTGTAAATAATTAGTTGTTCTTTAAATTTGAGTAACACAATTTTTAATAATTCCATGTGTTACTCATATATTAATCCTAGTAAATCTGTCCAAGCTATCAAGAAAAAAATGCCTTTTATGGAAAAATACCCCATAAAAAGTTTGAAGAATGTTTCAGAAAGCAAAAATAAATTTTTGAAATTATTAGTACAGTGTGTTAAAAAGTAAAATGACAGCTTCTTTATAATATGCAGTCCATAAAGAAAATGTACTGGTATATGTAGGAAGTAATTCATTGCTTAAATTTACAGATTCATGTAGTAATCCACCAACGTGTGAAAATGGAGGGTTTCTGAATCAAAATTGTCAATGTTATTGTCCCTCTGGACTGATAGGGTCTACGTGCAACACTGTACAATCCAGCTCAGGTAAGTGAATAAAGTTATCAAATACAACACGGTACAATCTAGCTCAGGTAAGTGAATAAAGTTATCAAATACAACACGGTACAATCTAGCTCAGGTAAGTGAATAAAGTTATCAAATACAACACGGTACAATCCAGCTCAGGTAAGTGAATAAAGTTATCAAATACAACACGGTACAATCCAGCTCATGTAAGTGAATAAAGTTATCAAATACAACACGGTACAATCCAGCTCATGTAAGTGAATAAAGTTATCAAATACAACACGGTACAATCCAGCTCATGTAAGTGAATAAAGTTATCAAATAAAGACGGTACAACATCATGTAAGTGAATAAAGTTATCAAATACAACATAAATTAGGATTTGAAAAAGTTATCAAATACAACACGGTACAATCCAGCTCATGTAAGAATAAAGTTTCAAAAAATATGTATGTTTTTCATATAAAATATATAAAGTACATGTATAATCAGCTCAGGTTGAATAAAATTATCAAATAAAACGTACAGGTCCTTTTGAATAAAATTATCAATTAAAATTAGCTCTGAATAAAGTTATCAAATACAACACGGTACAATCCAGCTCATGTAAGTGAATAAAGTTATCAAATACATCTGTTTCTGTTGTATATCAGTAAGAGTGCTAGATGTATATGTACCCAGTTTCCAATTACCATCTTGACTACACAACTCATGAGAAAGTTGTGATGTGTGGGGCATTGTAAGAAGTTATTTGTGAAAGTTAAATAGACATTAAACAGATTAAACATCAGAAAGTTTGAATCCACTAATTCACACAAAGATTGCGCATGTCCTAAGGGTTTGTCATGACCTTGACCCAATGTTATTTGAGGACGTTCAAGGTCACTGATAGAAAACATTCATTTTTTTTGTTCAGTCAATATCCTTCTTATGGGTGAACTTGGTAAGATAGCATTTCACACAAAGATTGCTTATGTCTTGAAGGTGTGTCATGTCCTTGACCAAAGGCCATTTGTGCATGCTTAAGGTCACTGAAAGGAAAAGTTCATAATTTGTTAATATTTTGTGCCTGGTCCAAGTCGAAATTACCACGCCTTATTAAAAGTTTACGTTAGATTTGCACTATTCAAACCTTGACTTTTCACTCATGACTTTTCACTCCATTGGAGTTCCAGTACACAGCACGTATGGATTCATTGGACGACAACAATAAACAAAAGGATTGCCTTGCTGAAGCTTATGTTTTTCAGCTGTTAAATAAAGGAAAGGTTCTTCATGACAGACCAGTAAAATTGTTTTGACTATCTTCAGCAGAAAATGTATCATACTTGTAAGTTGTATTTATTTATTAGGGATGCATTTTTATACCCTGCAAAATCGATGTATATAGGAATCACCTTGTCCTCTGTCCGTCTTTCCGCCTCTCTGACCGTGCAAACATGTCCGATCTATTTTTTCTTACAAGGGAATATTTTAAACCACTAATTCACACAAAGATTGCGCATGTCTTAAGGGTTTGTCATGACCTTGATCCAAGGTTTTTTGAGGTAGTTCAAGGTCAATGATAGAAATATAAGTGTTCGGTCAATATCTTTCTTATGGATGAACTTGGTAAGATACCATTTCACGCAAAAATTGTTTATATCTTGAGGGTGTGTCATGACCTTGACCAAAGGTCATTTGTGCAAGCTTTAGGTCACTGACAGGAAAAGATCATAATTTGTAAATAATTTGTGCCTGGTCCATATCTTTCTTATGGATGAACATGATGAGTTCCCATTTCACACAAAGATTGCTTCTGTCCTGAGGGTAATTGAACCAAGGTCATTATTGCAAGTTCATTGTCACTAAAAGAAAAAGTTTATAACTTATGTTTGTTCTGTATCTTTTAAATCATTTTTTTTTAATTTTTAATTCTAAACTGTTCTCATCCGATTGCCTATTAGTTTTCACCATGTCACATCTTAGCCCTTTCAAGCATACTTATGGTTAATGTCAACATGTTCGCTCTCTGCCTCATTAGTATGCACAATGTACAAAAAACCATCACTGCTTTTCTTTCTTGTTGTACAGTTGAATCTATCCGTTAGAAAACACAAGCGCTTTTGTGTACCTCTGTGACATACGCTTTATTTATTTCCACCGCCTAGAGAATTTCAAACGAGAGATCACTCTCAATGACTGTTTTATAAGTGAAAAACTAACCTTTTTTCTCTGGAAACTCTGCCTTGCCAATGACATTAGACAAATTCTACACTGAAACTCTATATTTCTTTTACCGAAATTATTCAGTTAGTTTGCGATCTTTATGATCTTCCCTCGTACTATAGTACAAGATGCCTATATATAATGCTAATTACAGTACTTCCTTTCAGGTTGTGGGGGTATAATAACCTTTACTATATATCTATATATAGTACCAGTTGCCTATATATAATGCTAATCACAGTACTTCATTTCAGGTTGTGGGGGTATAATAACCTTTACTATATATCTATATATTGTACCAGTTGCCTATATATAATGCTAATCACAGTACTTCCTTTCAGGTTGTGGGGGTATAATAACCTTTACTTTATATCTATATATAGTACCAGTTGCCTATATATAATGCTAATCACAGTACTTCATTTCAGGTTGTGGGGGTATAATAACCTTTACTTTATATCTATATATAGTACCAGTTGCCTATATATAATGCTAATCACAGTACTTCATTTCAGGTTGTGGGGGTATAATAACCTTGTCATCAGGGGTGGAGCAGAGCATTACTTCACCAAATTACCCCAACAATTACAACACAGGTGCTTCCTGCGTATGGCTGATCAAGGTACATGTAGTACACGAATCAAAGGAGAAATTCCAATGATCTTACTTAACTTTGAAAACACCTACTTTCAACTTACAGATAATATTAAGCATGGAAAATTCCATTAAAAGTTAAAAGGTGAACTAAATTCAATGTTTGATTAAACCACCTGATAGTAATATACGAGGGCTGTTCGGAAATTATTGAGATTTTGTGTATATATTTCTTTCTAATGAACGTCTTTCGGTGAAAATTGGCATATACTTTTGACAAACTCAAAGAATAACAGATAACAAATTTATTATCTTCAATGGTCTATAAATGTGTCAGTGGTACATGTTGTGGTAACCGACGCAGTCAAAAAATTAGAAATTTAAAATAAGTAACAAAAAACGTTCATACTCCCGGTGGATCATTATAAAAGAGATACTAATTCAATCGATAGTTATAATTTTTCTATTTAATTTTGAATGCATGTTGTATAAGTATCATAGAATTCTGATCAGAATACGGAGATCATTAAAATATGAGGGTTTACTAAGACTTTCTTTTTGAAGCTGACATTAATGATTTTTATTTTTAGGCCCCCGCTAATGAACACGTGCAGTTGACAATAGATTTTATGGACTTGGCCGACAACGGATTGGATGCTTGTTATCATTGGTTAGAAATCCGATACAATCTACTTGGACAGAGTGGACCAGAGTAAGTAACACACACATACACCACGTACACACCACACCCTCACCCTTAACCCCCTACCCCCTCCCCATACACACACACATTGACACACAACACAATCTACTGGGACAGAGTGGACCAGAGTAAATAACACACACATACACCACGTACACATCACACCCTCACCTTAACCCCCCCCCCCCCCAAAGACACACAGTGACACACAATACAATTTACTGGGGCAGAGTGGACCAGAGTAAGTAACACACACATACACCACGTACACACCACACCCTCACCTTTAACACTCTCCCCCCCCCCCCCCCACACACACACACACACACCACGCACACACAACACCATCAGCTCCCCCACCAACCCGCGCACGCGAAGTCTCTCTCAATAAAATGTTTTTTTTTCTAGTAGTCAATAACTTTCAGTTTCTTAAAAAAATTAAAAGAGGCTATTGATTTATCAATAAATACTATCTTAATTTCTTAGATTTGTTTATTTTTCAACGTGTTTTGATTGGACGAGAAAAAAAAAATTACACATCGATAATTTTTTTTAATCAGAACCACGGTAATAGCTTTTAGGCTATTGTAAAAAAAGAAAAAGAAACTGTTAATTTACACCTCATCTATTTCAGCAAACTATTTTGAATTACAGCAACTTGAAGTTAATTAAAACCAGAGGTACTATGAGCAATGAGCTCACTAAATCATACCCCCGCCTCCCATATGGTTATAGTGGCAAAGTCCATGTTTTGCTATGATCAGGAAACACAATGGCAATATGTAATTAAGACTCTTTAAAAGTTTCATCAAATTTCAGTTAAGAATTTTTTTGGCATTTTATTGTTTTGGCTACACAGAGGTACTTGTAGACAGGACCCCCCAACCCCCGACATAGGTTCTACCTTTTTTTAGGTTCTACCTTAACCTGTGCCTTTCGGTGTTACTGTGTTTTGAATGCAATAGATTTCTATTTGTTAATATAAAAACACGTGTAACGTTAATATGGATGAAATATGCTGTGAACATTTGTTGCATTTTCTACCTTTTATTTACATGGACCAACCATTCACGTATTGAAACCTCGCCTAATATTATTAAACACTGGTTGTAAAAGATGCACATACACTGTATTGAATTTAATTTCAGAAAATGTATCATTTCAGATTATGTGGAATACGTAATGCAGAAAAGTATTATACAACACCTGATGAGTTGAAGAACGAGATGTTAATCAAGTTCAACAGTGCAGTATCTAGTGACAGGGCCGCTAGGAAAGGTTTCCAGCTAACAGTCAGGAGCGTGGGAGTGTGTAAGTAGGAGCTTGGGAGTGTGTAAGTCAGGAGTGTGGGAATGTGTAAGTCAGGAGCGTGGGAATGTGTAAGTCAGGAGTATGAGAGTAAGTCAGATGCCTGGGAGTGTGTAAGTCAGGAGCTTGGGAGTGTGTAAGTCAGGAGTATGAGAGTAAGTCAGATGGCTGGGAGTGTGCAAGTCAGGAGCGTGGGAGTGTGTAAGTCAGGAGTATGAGAGTAAGTCAGATGCCTGGGAGTGTGTAAGTCAGGAGCTTGGGAGTGTGTAAGTCAGGAGCGTGGGAGTGTGTAAGTCAGGAGCGTGGGAGTGTGTAAGTCAGAAGTGAGGGAGTGTGTAAGTCAGAAGTCTGGGAGTGTGTAAGTCAGGACAGTGGGAGTGTGTAAGTCAGGAGCGTTGGAGTGTGTTAGTCAGGAGCGAGAAAGTGCTCACAGTACCTTTAGTTACATTACGCCATTGAGCACTCAGTATTTTATCGGTAAGGACGTGGAAGCGTGAATTACATGACGTCACAATGCATCAGAGTAAGTAGTAGATCTTTTCGATAGGTTGAGACACAGATGATTGAGCTTATGTTTACATTAAATTTTTTTTGGAACATAAACGCGTTATCAAGGTCCAATCAAGGGTGTACGGAGATTAGATAATTTAACCCCGGGTTGTATTCGATATACCCATCGGCATTCGGCCTTAAGGTGTGTGGATTAAAACCCGATGTAAATCCCCTTCTACCCTGATTGAACCCGGATAACGAACTTACTTAACATATGAGCCTCGTCGGATAGAAATCGACCTTACGGCAAAATTTATCGAATTTGAGATTTTTGTGATTTTTAATGGTCCATGTAAAACCATTACAAAAACTGAAAACGGAATCAAAATATCTTCATTTATAACAAAGTTATTACATTTTGAAATTTGTATGTTTGCAAAATTAACTCTGAGCATATCGTGGTTTTTTCACGATTCAATTATGACGTCATGGTTTATTCTCCATTGTTCGGTAGGGCACCTATCAACGCGTAGCAATCCAAGCGGTCATTATGTCTAAGTTAAAAGAATTGCTTAATAAATAACAAAAACAGATGATCATGATGTACAATTCCAAAAACTGTGTTAACTGTATTTTAAATCCTTTAAAAAGCGAATACTCAACCCCCCCAAGATATTTAATTTCTACTTTTCTGACTTTCGTACCGACAGCTTTGTCTCTATGAACAACTGATCCTCCAGTAAACAAAATATAGTTCTACATTATGATATAGACTATCCTCAAAGCATGCAAGTTAGTTAACACACTATTTTTGAGTTTACGAAATCAACATGTAAAGGAAAAGGGAACCAATGAAACAGGGATTCGATCTCAGAAATACCTAGTATCTTACAGAAAATCAGAAAATACATGAACCATGCATCCAAAAAAAAAAATCAAAACTAAATCATGCTACAATAATTATTCTTCAGTTAAATTAAAAAAAATCACATCCATCTGTATATATATAGTGATTACGTTAAATCAAACATGGTGTGATACGAGCCATGTGTCTAAATAAAAGTAAGCTCATTTTATTAGGATCCCCCCCCCCAAAAAAAAAACCGTTTCTACTGCAGCCACATTCACCTTCAAATAGCTTATTCATATATACACCCTCTTTTCCTCCACATCATTCTCGCTTGGTTGTAATTGGACGGATAGGTCGACAAAAAATTAACCACTATGTTTTAACACCCCCCCCCCTTCCTAGTAAAAACCCAGTCGTCTTTTCATCAAATGTCTATTATCCATATTGTAGAAAAATAAATAAGTAAATAGATTATCATGTTAAACAATATACATGTACAAATTATTGATTGATTAAATTTTGCTTAACGCCGAGTCGGCAAGATTTCAGCAATTATCGGCGGGGAATTTTCATCTGTTGCATGCAAAATACATGTAGTTGATAACCTTAATATAGGGAACTATTTAACATTCCATCCGACGGACTATAATTTCAAAAATATGGTAACCGTTAAAAAAGATTTCTCTCTGTGTTCATCAACAAAATATCTCATAATGTACAAAATTTTACTTTAAAAATCAATTTGATGTATATAATATAAAATCTCTTAAATCTAATATTGTAAAATAAAATAATAATCATGCATCGTTCGTACATAATTAAATAACTTCGTATGTCAGAAACCCCATCTAATTTTAGAATAAGATTTATATTATAGTTACATGTAGCGAAAAGTCACGGGAAACATAATTGTATACACATTGGCTTAAATTCTCGACTCAATAAGTATGCATGCATTATTTTTGGACGATTTACGGAAGTAAGATGATTTTTTTATTTTTTGTTCTTTATATCATATAGTTTATCAGCGGGTAATGAGTAAAGACGAGATCACTCGTGGGTTTCCGACGATTATAGTTTATTTGTAACGCAGCATTTGAATGCATTTAAAAAAGAGAATTTACATAAAGTCTACAAAATATTTTAGATCAACAGAAAAATGATAAAGGGATTAATATGAATTTCAGAAATGCAAAAAATATAATTTCTTAGTTATCTGGGGCATTAGAAATGTATTGAGGGAAAGAACAAGAAAAACACGGGCTATGTTGAATTCCGATATGAAACCATGTGGCACGTACATTTTCTTTCTTTTACGATTCAATTACTGCAAACGAACTGAATGTTAAAAAAATGATTATACGTATAGACTGTATTCAGAATGTCTTAATAATTTTTTAAATAGGAAATACAGTTAAACCAACTAAAGAATAATCAATGATATGAATTAGATTCTAAGTAGTCAGATTAGCTGGGGTGCGTAGGATTCTAAAATAGATTATTGCTAGCGCTCTCGAGCGCTAGCAACTACGTTAGTCCAAATTCCTTGAATACGCATGCTCGGCCGCCATGGCCGTGCATTCTGGGAAAACTGTGAAATCTATTACAGATAGACCGTACGATAACAATTTCGTTGTATCATGTTGTAGCATGAAATAACTGTTTATTTATTGTGTAGCTTACACTTTAAAGATAACTTCATAATTATAATAAATATTTCAAATTCTGGGGGTTTTGTTTGCTGACGGAAAAGCCCGAGTCATTATCTGATTCTTCTAAGCAATGACAAGGGATTTTTTTTTTTACATCTATAAGCACAACCAAAGATAGATTCTAATTTCTGATTGTTCAGTTCTGCCAATCTTCCAAATTCCAGACACAGAAGCAAGAATTTACACTAAAAATAACGAATAAATCCACTATTTGCGTTTAAAAAATTCTGATGTGTAGCCCTATGGCTTTTAACCTAACATATCTTGATGTCGAGATAACGAAGTTTACCTGTATTAGCTCAATTCAAAGAATTTATTCAAAATAGTTAACAAAAAACACATAAACCAATGTAATATGTTTTATCTGCCCTTTGCTAATAATACAGTTGATAAACTAGAGGTACTGTGAGCACTGAGCTTAGTTACTAAATGATAACCACCGCCTCCCGTATGATTATAGATCCATGTTTGACTATGGGAGATCCGAAATAAATATCAGATCAAAAAGTAAAATAAGAGGTGCACAATGGCATTATGTAATAATCTGTGAACGTATCAAATTTTATTCAGTGTGTAGTTCGAGTTGCAGATAAGAGATACATGGGTAACTTCAATATTATTGCTAGCGCTCTCGAGCGCTAGCAACTACGTTAGTCCAAATTCCTTGAATACGCATGCTCGGCCGCCATGGCCGTGCATTCTGGGAAAACTGTGAAATCTATTACAGATAGACCGTACGATAACAATTTCGTTGTATCATGTTGTAGCATGAAATAACTGTTTATTTATTGTGTAGCTTACACTTTAAAGATAACTTCATAATTATAATAAATATTTCAAATTCTGGGGGTTTTGTTTGCTGACGGAAAAGCCCGAGTCATTATCTGATTCTTCTAAGCAATGACAAGGGATTTTTTTTTTTACATCTATAAGCACAACCAAAGATAGATTCTAATTTCTGATTGTTCAGTTCTGCCAATCTTCCAAATTCCAGACACAGAAGCAAGAATTTACACTAAGAATAACGAATAAATCCACTATTTGCGTTTAAAAAATTCTGATGTGTAGCCCTATGGCTTTTAACCTAACATATCTTGACAAAAAAGCTACTTCACATGCGTTCCATACTCTAGATGGATTCTTTACACAACATACACTTTGAGTTATTTTCTATATTCCTTTCAACTCCCATGTATTTTCTTTGCTAAATTGCCAAGCAATTCTCTTCTTTAAATCAGCTCATACATGCAATGTCTCAATCGGCATCTTCTTCATATTACATAGAGCCCCCCCCCCCCCCCCTCCAGTAAAGGTTATATATGTTCCGTTGCGCAAAAACTCTAATGCTATAGGTCACCCACCCATCCGTGTTTCTTTACCTATAAGTCTATAAAATACGCTTCACAAAACAATAACTTTATCACTCCCCAGCCTCGAAAAAAATTAAAGAATTCAGCAAAATAAATCACTTGATCACGGATCTTCCTTTCTGTGTTTAAAAATTGCTACGGCGCTAGCTCACCTATCTTTTTAAAAGATGAACTTGTATCATATTTAGCCAGCGAGGTAGCCTTACATATATGCTGACTTTATAAGCCCCCCCCCCCCCAAAAAAAAAAAAAATTAATTAAATCTCTAGAGAAAATTAATATTTATGAAGGCACGCGGCATATGCATAGACAACATTCTGCTAGTGCTATCCCGTTCCTAAACCAGTCCAACACAACGTACGTAAAATAGACACACAACTGCCATCTAGCGATTTAATAGAGTTATCGTTCTTGGCGAAAAAACTGTAAGCCAATCAGATGGCGCGTAACATACTTCCCAATATTTACAAAAATGGAGTTCAACGAGGAAAAGAAAAAGGCTATAGAAGAAAGATTCAACGTGCCGTTTCTCACCGAAAATCAAGTCAGCGGAATAAAAGCAATTTGTGATGGGAAAGATGTTTTTGTAGGACTAAAAACAGGAAGCGGAAAGTCCATGATTTACGAGAGTTTACCTCTCGTTTGCCCGGATGCCACTATCATAGTTGTAACAGCACTTGTTTCTATTATGAAAGAACAGACTGAAAGACTGTCCAAATTAGGTTTCACCTCAACTTATATAGGGCGAGATCCCAGCGAAGAAGACGCCATAAATGAAGGATATTTTCAGTTTATCTTCGGAAGCCCAGAGGCGTTCGTTGGCGAAAGAAAATGGAGAGATGCAGTGTCCAATTTAAGAGATAAAATTAAAGTCATCGTAGTAGATGAGGCCCACACCGTTGTTCAGTGGTAATAAGTTACACATAATTTTTCATAACCAGAGTCTTAGCAAAACTTTAATTTTGAGCAGGATAATAAATATTTTATACATTTCTTTTTAAATAGATACATTACAAATAAAGTTTCTCTGTAGGAAATTTGGGCTGTTAATAACTAACTTTACCAGGTCAAGTCTAAAGACTATTTCTACCTACGTAGCTAGACCTATCAATAACATCATATTTAAACCTACCCAAAGTAGCTAGCATTTCCTACTTTTTGTTTCATCTACACTTTTTGGCAAAATACAGTTCTGCCCACGGTCCACTTTTAGCGTGCCTTATTCTTCCGCTTTTTCCCTCACGCCACTTATATTAGCCTAATTTTACGCTTTTTATATTGTTGTGAAAATTCCATTATGAACAGTGGCAGATTTAAGGGGGATGCACCCCACACGTCTACTAGTACTACAAGGGTAGGCAGGTCTGCATATAACTGAAGGTGGAACATGGTGAATACCAAAAATTTTGATATCATACAGTCACACAAATGATGAATACAACAAAATTTTGCCCAAAAAATGATTGCAATTTCCATCATCAGTGTGACTGTATCAAGAAATTCAGTGCTCGCCATGGTGCGCTGTTCCTGCGTTTGGCCATAAAATGCAATTAAAGCAGACAGTAGGTAAAAATAGTTACTTTGGATAGTTTTAAATAAAGCTATTAATAGTTACGTAGGTAGAAATAGTCTTTGGACTGGACCTGTTTACTGATAATTTTAACTGCAGATGTGAATCATTGTATGACCAGGTATTTGGTGCTTCATCATGTTCATTGCAAACCAATGGTTTATTTAAAATATTAAATAGGTATATATTTGTTTATATAGGGGTGAGGGAGACAAAGAACATGAGGCCTTCAGGGAACACTTCAGTCACATTGGGGAACTCCGAGCCATTTGTCCTGCCCCTAGTGTCCCAATAGTAGCGTTAACTGCAACCTCAGGTCCGTTACAGCGTCGGAAGATTATGAAGAGTTTATGCTTTAGAGCTTCTGAGACCGTGATCATATCGGAGTCACCAGACAGAAAAAATATAAAAATATCTTCAATGTGTATTCCTAACAACAGTGAAATTGAAGAGGTCTTTGGCTGGTTGTTTAATGAGTTTGAAAACAAGAAAGAAACACTTCCAAGACATATCATTTTTGCAGAATCTATAACTGATGTCTCAAAAATATATTCCATTTTTAGGAAGCGAATAGGGAAAAGTGAACTATATGAGATGTTCCACAGCAAAACTGTAGACAGCAAAAAAGAAGAAATTCGATCTGATATGACTAAAGAAGGCAAAATAAGGGTTTTAATTTGTACAAACTCTGCAGGGATGGGGGTTAATTTTCATGGGGTACATAACATCATTCATTATGGCCTCCCACGGGAGATGGACACTTTGGTTCAGCAGATGGGTAGGGCTGGAAGGGATGGGATATCCTCCCATGAACTCATTATTTATAAGTGTCACAAGGGACAATTAAAACGGGTGGAAGAGGAACTAGTACAACTGGTAAAAGACTCAAAATGTAGGCGTGAGATCCTATGTTCTTCTTATGGTAGTAAACTTGAAAAAGTTATTCCAGTCCATACATGTTGCGATATTTGTGAGAAACTGTGTAAATGTGAACTTGATGTGTGTCCTAACACTCACCCTGCACTCCTGTTCAAGTTTGAAAAAGATATAACTGAAATGAGCCGGGATGTTAATTCATCAGACAGAATATTATTAAGACAAAAATTAAATGCATTAAAATTTAAACTGTCCAATTTTTCAACTATTGTTAAAACAGATATAATACATGGCTTATCAGATGATGTTATTAATTACATAGTTCAGCATGTAGAAAACATTTTTACACCTGAAGACATTTTACAAAACTGTCCTATTTGGTCATATGATATTGCAGACCAAATTTCAAATATCATTAATGAACTTTTTGGAGATGATGTTATGTATAATGTCATGGATTCTGATGAAGAGGATGAAGGTTAACTTTAGAATATTTCAGAATCAATTGAACATTTTTTTGTTATTATGCATTAAAGATTATGCATTAAAGAAGGAAATTACTGTAAATGTATTATATTTAGCGTGTACAATATTTGGCGGGAATTGGTTTTGGAACAAGTTGGGGCTGATTAGAATTAGCGCATTTCTTAATGTTCTTATTAATGTATATATGTTTAAGACTTTTAGTGTTGTACTTGAATTAGCGGAAGTTTCTTTCCGCCAAAAACACTAAATAGAATACACCGCCAAATGTAATACATTTACAGTATGTAACTTATGATGAATTAACATCCCGGCTGTTATGGTAATAAAAGAATTTCAGTGTTTTTTTTTGTCTAATGGTCAAAAATGGATGAGTTTTTCTGTTTCACAAATTTCATGTACAAACATTTCTAAGAGAAAACCTTTATGAAAATGAATATGAAACAAAAATGTTGTGTATGTGATATTTGTTCCCAAATTTAATCATTTGTTGCTATTTTTCCAAGATGGAAATAATGTTCAAGGATTTAATGACCAAAAAAATAACTGAATTGAAAAAATAATGTTTTTACATTTCAACATATTAAACAAATAAGAATAACATTTTTTGTTTGTATATTTTAATTAGGTTTCCGTCCATTTACAACCTACAAATTCTCCTTAAACAGTTTCATATGAAAGTCTCTCTTTTTGTTTACTTAACCATTTGTGTAGATCTGTCAAGTTTATCCTTGAAAACAAGTCACAAAAAGTTTTAAAGTTGTCATACTTTCTACCAGGAATGTAATCAAATACACTTGCAGCAGAGAGTTCAGTCACCATAAGTACAACATCATTGTTAACGCAGGTGCTTGGGCGAATGGTACCTGATTTCTTCAGGCCAGACTTTTCGATCAAATTTTCCTTGATCTCGTCTTGTATTTGAAGAGTCAATGCTGATTTTCGGGCACTTGCATACGTCACATTGGCTCCTTGAGATTGCAACTTTGATTTTAGTCGATGAACCAAAATCTCAACCAAATTATCATTAGGAATGTTATGATCAGTTCCTCCTTTTAAGTTAGTCGTACAATTCCATTTGTACTCATATGCTTCTCTTGGACTTAATAAGCAATGATAATTTGCTAAGAAACGGAATAGCCAAAGTTGATATTTTGTATGATGACCAATCCCGGAGAGAAGCATTTGGAATTTTGAATTATTCATAATTCTATCCCCATCTCCCAGTTTATAGGCATCACTTGTGTCTCTCAGTAAGAGAGCACATTTCATAAATGATGCCCTGTAAAGGGCTACTCGATCAAGATCTGCACGAGCTTCTTGGTTTGGTTGATGAAGCTGCCACTCATGTTCTTTTGTTAGGTGATTTTTAAGGTGTCCCCTTGTCTTGTAAGTACGCTGACATTCAACACACGAGTATTTCCCTTCAACTGCATCAAACATGTCCTTTAATTGTTGCTCCTGCATATCAAGTTCTTCAGCAGCGTGTTCCAATGTGTGCAAATCTATGCAGAAAATTTAATATTGGATAACATTTAGAGAACAAAACTATTTCTCCTATAGCAGTGTATGAAGACAACTTCTTTGTAAGATCCATGTTCAATGAAAACATTAATATAGTAACAAAAATTACTGATGAGCTTACATAAGACATTTAAACTTGCATTACTCATAATGGGATATGCAGATTTTGTTTCACTCCATAAGAAGCAAATTTTATAGAGAAAAGACAAGTATACCATTTTCCAGATTGATGTACTTCTTCTGTATTTCTGATGCAATATTGGCAATGAACTGACCCTTGTCCCTGGATGAGATTGCCTCAAAGAGAACCTGTTTGGACTTCGGTTCACATCCAATGTCTTCCATGCCCAAGTGATGCATGCATGCTCCAACAATGAAAGCATCTAAGCTATCCTCAATGAAAGCGGAGTGGGCTCTAAGAAAAACAAACATATGACATAAAGGCTTCCATTTTTAAAATTATTAGTAATTACCAAAAAACATTTAAACAGGAAATTGTTCGAAACCTAAGAAGCAAGTGAATCAGTGAAACTGGATACTCATTTACTCACTCTCTCATAAACTTGCTCCCAATGTATTACAATGTAATTCTTTTTAATTTCGTGGTCCTAACCTACCCAGGGTCATGATTTGAACAAAAATGAATCTACATCACCAGGATGCTTCCATATTATTCGACTTAGCTCTTACTGAGTAGAGGTGCTGAAGATTTTCCCCCTATGTAATCTTTATTATGGTACCACCATCTCCAAGGTAACAATTTCACAGTTACCTTACTTAGTTTTGTATTTTCTGGTCCCGCTGTTTTTGAAATAATATTTATAGATTTTTCCTTTAATTTCAATGTAAAGCATTGATTCAATTTGTGTCCTTGCCCTACCCCAAGGGCGCAGAATTGAACAAATTAATCTACACTACCTCTGAAAGCTTAAACTGCAGCTTTAAACTTATATCTGAGTTAATTGTGGTGAATAATTTTCAAAAGAAAAATATTTTATGTGCATATTCAAAAAATTTAGGTTTACCTATAGCTTTCAATAACTCTGTCTGATCCCTGGACATCGACTCTGTGTACAATGTTTCTTAGTTGGGCAAGAGTTCCTCTGTCAGTGGTGGATGAGGTTTTGTAGAATTGCTGGTAGAGAATCTGCATTAAACAATGAAATGTTATTCATGTGAAATTATTTATCGTGTACAGTTTGAAAATTCATTTTAAAACATAATACAGATATACTATAAGTATAAAGCATAACGGTACATTTTAATGTTAAAATCAGTCTAATGAAAAAATTAAAGACACTCAACTTATTTAAAAGAGCATATACTTTCATTTTAATACATTGTACCTGTTATATTAGTAAAAAAAAATATCATGCAATAAACAACAGTCAAAAAAATATATAATATGTAATATTGAAAGAGAAAATAAAAATGCATAATTACCAAAACACTTAGCTAGTCCCATAGCAAAATAAATCTATAAGCTATATACCCTATGTAGCTATTTATTAACGGATGCAATGAAAAAGATGTAACATGTATTTCATAACAACATCCCTGAGAACCTACTAGAATTTCCAATAAAAAAGCTTTTAAACATGAAGAAACTATTAAAAAAAATATTAAAGGAATGTATTATTGCTGAGTATAATATTTTAAATGAACTGAATGTAATCATGCTAATTATCAAAAAATTGGATGGCTTGAAAAAAGTAAATGTAGGTCAGCTAAAAGTTTGTATACAGTGGAACCTCATTTATCCAGACGCTTTGGTTCCCAGTCAATTTGTCCGGATACCTGAATCACCAGTTAAACAAAACAATATAACATTTAAAAATTTCGTCCTGATGAAAAATCGTTCGGATACAGAAGCATCCGGATATCTGAGAGTCCACTGTATTTATAACAGATAATAAAACAGACTATGAGATGTCTACCTGACATATTTGAAACTCTGAACTGTAACTTCAACACAAGCTTTAACAGGTTTGATATCTTGTTACCAGACAGAGATTCATCATTCTATGCAGTCCTTCTGGCCTATGTATTACACCAGCTATTTGTTCAAAGTCTGTTGCTGCATTTAGCATTGCTAACTGCGCAGAATAGGCTCTCTCATTTGTGAGAACATCCCCCCCAAATACTTTCTTTCTGATGACAAGGGGATGCTCATCAGCTGTATGTGGAATGTAATTATGATGGATGTGCTCTAAGATACTGATCATGTCCTCATTTTTATTTTCACTTTTATCTAGTAAATCTAATATCACAAAGTCAGATTTTTGTGATAATTCTTGCATGTGAGGATGTTCGATCCAATTTGGAATGTGAGATTCATACTTTTGGAAGCAAGGAAAATATTTCACCAAAACTTTCATAATATGATGAATAAAATTATTTTCCAGAGATTTGCAATCTGCAACACTAGGAATAAAAATGCTGTTTTCAACTTCTGAGATAGGTTTTACAGGAACATCTATACTTAAATTCAAGTTCAATACTCTCCTTTTCAATCCAACCAATAGGAACCAATGCCAGCTTTTTTTTTGCTTTTCTTTGCTCATGTGAGATGGACTTTTTGTGATGTCAAAATTATCTCCAATTATATCAGATGGTGCTTTATTCTCACCTGTGTTTTGTTCCAGGGCTATCTTTTCAGATATAACTAAATTTTCAATATGGTCTGTTTGTCTTGCTATGAAGTCAGACTTCTTTTTTGCAGCAGCAGATGATGATACACAAAGACCCAGCTTGTTCAGAAGATTTATGCACTAAAATATTAATATCATGAATCATATTTATAACAGTAGTGAATCCATGCAGTCAATTAATTCATAGATTTTTTTTTCTCAAGGTAGAATGCAATTTTTTTTTTATATCTGTAATATGTTAATGTAATTTAATGTTTAAGACATTCACAAAAAGATATTCAATCTATATACAGTATTCTTATCAATGGTAAATACCTCATCTGTTGCACCACCATTATCCAAAACCTGGGAAACTGCATGATGAAAAGCAGACATGTGCATATTTCTCTGTTTCTGAACAATAGCAGCAATCACTGCCACAGCCATGGGGTTGCTGTCATTATAAAAACCAGAAATTATCTTGTACAAAACTTGAGAATGCAACTGTAGCTCTAAGTTCAATGTTTCAAAGTTCATTGTTGCCAACTCATCGCTTGATGTCTTTCTGAGAAATGAAGCAGTCTTAGTTGATGAAAGTTTGGACAGCTCTTTCCTCACGTCTTTCACAACACAGTTCAAAACTTTTTCCTTCAAACTGGAATTGTAGATAACTTCTGAAACTTTCTTATGTGACTCCCCTTTTGACATGCACTTGATGATTTTCTGGTAATCTCCAGAAGGTATTAATTTTGATTTAACCTTTTCCTTTGTTCCTCTATATACTACCTGTTTGTGAAAGATGAAATATTAATACTGAAATTAAAATATTTTTAAGCATGGGATATACAACACTCATATGATCTATCATATATTTTATCATAAGAAAATCAAAATTTGGGACCACTTATATAGCTTGGTGCAAATTTTCCCATCTACTCTACAGCTGTCACACAGTGGTAGTGAACTTATGATGTCAGATTTAAAGCAATTTTATATTGTACAGTACATCAGCATATATCCAGGATTGGTCTAGTAGTAGTAAACACAAAAAACACAAACACACACTCAAACAACACACACTCTTTCCAAATATGCATTTTAATAAAATTTAATTTTAAAGCTGCATGTAATGTTTGTTATAACCAATTTTTAATAATAATAATAATATAAATAAAATACATACCTTGATTTTACTGGGAGAAAAAAGTTGTGTTTTTGCTCTTTCTTTTTTTGCTGACTGACTCGACTCCAGCTGACTTGTAACGAACACCTGCTTTACTTTCCTAGGTGTTGGCGAATGCACGATGTTATGTTTTTTTGATTTCGGTGTCCATATTTTGGGCTGCTCTACAGATATGTCACCTTGATATTTTTGTCGTAAGTTTTTAATTATGTCGTACCTCTCAGCTTTTAACGACTCAACTTTCGTTTTTATGTCGTGTTCCACTTTTGCCAGTTTGTTCAGTTTATTCCAGCACATGCCACAAACATAGTTGCCCCTCTCGTCGTTCGGTCGCGGAACATAATCTAGAATTTCTAGAAGTTGGTCAAAAACTCCGAAAGTTTCTCCAAATATAGTTCGTCTTTGTTTTTTGGGCAGAATTCCGTGGCAAAGACGACAGCACAGGTAAACACTGGGCGCCGCCATTACTCGAACCTAATGTATTTGTTTAGAGCATTTTGATTGGATGCCCTGGAAAGTCAAAGCGCGAGGATTTGAAAGCTTAGAAACCCGGCTAAATCTGCCAAGGGGGAGATGAGGGAAACGAATCGGACACTTGGCTAGCGAAGATGGGCTGACCCCTAAATTAAGGGACCTAGAGGGGCCAAAAGTTTTTTCCAGATATCTTAAAAAGTTTTGAGAATTTGTTATGCATCAAAGAAGCAAAGTTGTTCAAAATATCAAGCATTAACTAATGGGTTCGTCAAAATACGTCCGGCGACGTCACTTCCGGTGAACCGGAAGTAGTCAGAAAATGCATATTTTTGCCGTTTTTGACAGGTTTTTGGGTAACGTGTCTCACTAGAAGCTTAAATATTAATTTCCGTCCATCGTCGTCACTTCCGGTCAAACCGGAAGTACCAAAGAATGGCTTAAGTTTGCTATACTTAACATAGATTTGGATGATTCACCCATTTTTGGACTTCATTACTCTTTTTTTTTTAAATGAAAGTTACTTCCGGTCAAACAGGACGGAAGACCTACTCGTTGCTTTGCAACGAGCTCGGCTCTAGTTATCTACTCTATTAATAACAGTCTTGTGGTATATGTATTAAGGTGGCGATTAAACAAGTGGCAGGATGAACAAACCGATCTTAACCTGACTCTGTTACACGTCAACATCTTGTAATGGTTGATTGGAAACTATTCAAGGTTCTCATTGACGACAGTTAAGAGTTGAAAATTTTACTAGCGACTGCAAAGCAACCCGTTGTTAGCTTTGTCCTTACTTAAGCAGCGTAAAAGGGAGACCTCATGCAACTTCTGTGAACTACTATAAGATTGAGAGAAATGCATATCGTCTATAAATGCTGCATAACAATGTGTATACCCCAAGTGCACAAAATGATATAAAAAGATTGCTGACAAACTTGACATCATCAGATTGCACGTGTTTTTTGCCTCTTTGCTCTTTCTTTACGTAAAGCTATACATATCAAGATTGGGTAATTCTGAACACTGTTTTTGTGCAATGTAACCAAGATTCTCTTATTTGACCATTTTTTTTTATAATTTTAAGTCATGCGGTAAAAAAAATCACATATTATGTTACCGTTCGTTTCTTTTTCTTTTCAATATATAAATATAAAAAAGTCATATAAAACGTTCAATTGATTTTTCTTTTAATTCAGTATTTCAAGTTTTTACTTCCGCTAACGTGATGCTACTTTCGGAAATATTGACTTATTTTTGAAACAGCAAAGGTAACAACATGACAAAAAAACATTAAATCAGAAAGAAAAACGGAACATCCATTACAGGAAGCAGAGGAACGAATACGCAATCAGCTTGAACTTTGTAACAAAATCATTTTATCTTTCTCTGAAGTACAAAAGAGAAAGACTATTGCAAATTTAGTCCATTTTATAAGTACAATCGTGAAGATGAGTTCTGTAATTTGATTGGATATGTTTGAGATATGTATTATGTGCATATTTGAAAACAGGATAAGACTATTAATCAGACAACATAATTACAAATAATCAGGTCGCGAAAAGTGTCACAATGTTTTTTTGAAGTCAGTAGTGTAAGCTCCCATCTTTTTAAATTGATATTTGTCCCATTTTGAGGAAATATTTGATATCTATTCTTTGAAAAAAAAATGATGTCTACAATGTATTCAATTTGCATTTTTTGCAGATGTCAGGAACGATTATTGGATCACATAAGCCTTGGACCAAATATCGCAAAAAATGTTGCATTAAAGGAAAACCTTTTCATGATGGTTATCTGCATTGAGCTTAGAATTCCTTTGTTTTTGATTGGAAAACCAGGCAGCTCAAAATCTTTGGCTAAAACAATCGTGGCTGATGCAATGCAAGGAAATTCCTCACAATCTGATTTTTTTAAACAATTCAAACAGGTAATAACGTTATTGTAACAAATGAAGGATATGATGTTGAATTACAAAAATGACATTATTTAACTTGCTTTTACATGCATTTCAAGCTTTATAATATTTTCAGTAAGAACATAAAATTTCAGGTTCAAATGGTGTCGTTTCAATGTAGTCCCCTCTCAGTAGCTGAGGGAATTTTAGGAACTTTTCGACAATGTGCATTGTACCAAAAGCAGAAAAATCTTCAAAAATTCGTATCAGTGGTTGTTTTAGATGAAGTTGGGCTCGCAGAAGACTCCCAAAAAATGCCACTCAAGGTGTGTTCTTAAATGTTGCATTTGATGTTTTAAATACTTGCCTACGTCTTTTTAAAATGGATACTTTTAGATATTGAAATATCAATAATAATAAAAATAGTAAAAGACAAACTATAGAGGGAAGATTGTCGATGAAACTTTAATTATGAGCAATGGTAGTCACTCAATATTTTCATTATAACTGTGTTTGTTCTTTAAAGAATTGAAAAAAGAAACAAAGCTAATAATATCCAAGCGTTTATGAAATATTAATTTTTAAGATACATGTATTCAATAATTTAATTGAATTAAGGGATCGAAAAGTGCAAACTGCAAAAAACTCCAAACTGACCTGTTTTTTAATTGATACCTAAATGTATATCAACTACATGTATTTAGATAAAAAGTTTATTGGAGATTTTTTTTTAATTTGAGAAAGATTACTCTTGGGTCATAAACGCATTTTGCGTTTTAGCTCTTCGGCTGATTTTAAATAATGTTATTGTGAATTAGGTCATGAAATTATTGTTACTTTTATTATGTCGGCATTATTGAAAGATATTGTGCAAAGAATATACCAAAATAATTAGATTGGATACTTAAAATAATACATATCTTTGTACATTTTCAATGCTGTAATGCAATAGCTTTTCATTCAATTGTCCCTAAATTCTTAGAATTTAACTAAATTGATAACCCCGAAATTATTTTTTTATTTGATATAAAAATCTAAATGCAGAATCTTTTGTTTTTTTCATTGTTAGTCGTTGCATCCGTTGTTGGAAGAGGGATATGATAGTGACAATGAGGAGAAGGACACCCACGATACTACTGGAGACAAGAGCTACAGAAAGGTATTTAAATGCTCTTGTTATATGATGAAAGTTTGTTATATCACTCCTTGAACATAGACTATGAGTATTATTGAGGTCTAATTTGTTGTACATTCTATAACATATTATTATATTAGCCCTGCTACAGGTGTATTGAACTAGGTAATACAGTATCTGGGATCTAACATTTGGACTGTCTCATCGTCGGGATATGAATATATCCCTGTCTCTGACTGTAGTCAATGGCTCACAATTTAATCCATCCATTTATTTAAATTTGAACAAATTATTAGTAAAATCTATTGAATTGTTAAAGAGACACGAAATTGATATTTGGATCTTTAAAATAAAACGTAGAGATAACAAACAGTATTCAAGATCAGAAGTCCATAAAACAATACAAAATAGGAGCAGATCAAACACGAACCTCCAAAACTCCAAAGTTCAGATCAGATGCCATGGAGGAATGAGTATTCTTTAAAACTATTATCAAAAATGCGCCAAATGATTTAACTTCTAACGTTTAAAAAAGATATTTTTTATGTTTCATTTTAGCTTACTATTGTTTGACAAACTGTAAAAAATAAAAGAATCATGAGTACTCCAATGAGACATACAATGTATATTGAGGGAGTTTAAATTGATAAAAAAAAATGTAAAATCCGTCGCTATTTATTTAGAACATGACGAGGTTAAATATTATGAAAAATTGGACAGGTTACAGTGTAACTATAAGAACTTAAAAAAATATGTCTTTGTGTCTCAAAAGGACAGAATCTAATATTATTCGGAAAATGTACCACCGTAAACGTATTTATGAAGCTATTTTTAAGATTTTGTATAATGCTTTCATATTAAAAGTTCTATTTTCCCCAAAAATTGATAAACACACTTATATATTTGGAAAATATATATTTCTATGTTGCAAACGATGGAATCGGAATCGTATTTGTTGAAAACATATTTCATGCTACGTCATGTACAAAGACGCCGTGGATCAGCAAAACAGTTTATGTAGAAAGTGTTACACCTCGGATTTTAAAGAAAAAGAAATATTTCATTTAATTTAAAAAAACACTGTATTTAACAATTTGATACAGAATTATTGTTTACATATATAAATAAACTATATATTTGACAAATAAGTGGAAATACATTGTATATGATATCAATTATCAAAGGTCCCGTGAAAAAAAATGTAGTGAAACTTATTCATGTTTCTTATTAAAACATGACCCAAATTGTTAAAGCAATATGAGTTGCATGTTTGACATAACAAATTTTTGTTGCAACTTTGCAATTGACTATTTAAGTGACAGAAAAATAGAAGATTTATGAACTTCTGTTGTTCATATTTGCGATGGAAGAATTTTTATAAGTGTTGATTGAAGCAAAATTGCATTATTGTCGTCCTATACAATAATGATATCTTATATAATACTGTATATTCGATCGTACAGAAATACATGAAACATTTTTAAACTTTATCTTGGGCTTATTGATCATAAGGGTTTAAATTACGTACAAATTAATCATAATAACACATTTTACCAGCAAAATAAAATTCTCAAAAATGCAGCTCATATTGCTTTAATTTCAATATTTTTTACAATGTTTGATTTTTTTCATATGTCCTTACACTAGGTTAATGCTTTGATCCAACTTTTGATTTCAAAATAAAGATTTCCCTTTGATAAATGTAGGTAGCATTCATTGGGATTTCAAATTGGTCTTTGGACCCAGCTAAAATGAACCGTGGGATTCTCGTTCAAAGAGATGTTCCCGAGCTGTATGATTTGATTGAAAGTGCAAGGTAAATATTTTGGGAAAATATCCTTATGAAAATTAATAATTTGATAAGGACCATTGCAAAGCTTTTCGTAAAATGATAGTTTTGAATATCCACAGATCATCAGGATTTAGGAATAAACTGTTTCTAAATATTTTCTGAAATATAATACTATTATTTTTGTTTTGTTTTTTTTGATGATGCTTAACAAAAAACATTACTGAATTAAGTTATAGAAAAATACATAACCCGCGTAAGGTGGTTATGTAAAATTTCTGCAATAGCTGCGACCGTTAACTCCAGTAATAACAAACAAAGAAATCATTTTATTGTTTATATTTGTATCTTTTTAAATAATCATTTAACAATGAAGGATTAAAAAGTTCATTTATTGTATTAATGATACGAACGTCTTTATACGTTTCATTGATGGAACAGCCACTGATCAAGAAATCTGTTCATGAGACATGCCTAATGTAGCTCTTGCAGTGATTAACGAAATGGGTGTTTTAAGAATTAAAGGATACATTTTGAACTTAACGTTTCAAATAACTATCCACGACGGACACGATAAATGTACAATAACATCAAAACAAACGTTTATTTTGTTGATAGAAGTTACAAACAAAAATCAGAGCATGAATGAACATTTCTAAGAATGAAAGCCTCATTCTAGTTGAAATTAATTCTGTTAAAACAGAAATTTATCCCATGTTAAGCGTTGTTAAGCGTTGTTGTTGATAGGGTCGAGCGAAAAAAGAACGTCTGCGCATGCATGGTCGCAAAAAATTAACATACATGTAAAAAAACAAAAAAAACAAACAAATGTTACCTATTAATACATGTATAAAGTATAATATGTTTAGATAAAGAATATTTAAATTTCTTATATAATTTAACAGGGATATTTGTCGTGCTGATACTAAAAAGGAACAACAACATGTCGAAAAATTTATAGAGCCTTTGGCAGAATCCTACAATGACGTATTTGAAGCTGTGGTGGAAAAGAGAAGGGAATTTTTCGGTCTGCGGGATTTTTACAGGTATTGATCTAAGAGACAGAGGAAATTTGATTGGATCAAACTTTAACATTTAATCATAGGAAGCCATAGCCGATCTCTCATCGAAGTTTCTTAAAAGTGACATGGAATCGTTGTTAGTGTGGGGGTCTATGGAAGATGTGGTCGGTATTGGTTCTATGTATACAAAGTAAGAAACATTGTCTACGAGTTTTTGGGACAGATTAATTTTCTCAGTAAAAATCAAGTCTGTTTTTCTATGGGTATGGAAGTTAGATGTGAAAGTAAAACATATTATTAGACGAAGAGCTATATAAAAATTGAAAAAAAAAACTAACAATAAAAAAAGGTTGATATGAAAGGCTCAATCGCCGCGTGGCGCAGTGGTCAGTGCGTCTGCTTTAGATTAGCGAAGTAAGGAGTTGATCCTTCGGTCTCCACTTCAAATCCAACTGTAGAAGTGAAGACCAGTCTTTTGTTTGACACCTATAAACCAAGGTCCCATGTCAAGAAGGTGTTGACACGAACTAAAATTTCCTTACTGGTCATTGACCATAACTGCTGAGTATAGGATAAAGTTTACAGCTCTCCACCGGCTGGTAGCGGCGTCTCCATGTGAAGGAAAAGTTTTGAGATTGGTGTTACACAACACATAAGCTAAAAACAGCTACAAAAAAATATTGTTCTTGACAGATTTAATTAAAAAACTTTACGACAACGTCCATCGTTTCCTTTCAAAGGTTGATGGGAAGCATGCACAAAACGAAAATAACCTTCCACAAAGCGAACCGTACCATTCACAAAACGAACTCCACTGTACCCAAGATGAAACTAACAGTACAGTGCAAGATGTATAGAAGCACGTTTCATGGTCTTTTAGTGCAAAGCAATCAAAAAAATAAAAAATGTTCCAGTTTTTGCAATTTAAAAATTTATATGATTTTGAAATAGAAGTTGTTAATTTGATTTTTCACCTTTGTCTATTTTTTGAATATCCGGTTTAAACAGTTCTACCAAAACATGTACATGTAATCATTTGACATTTAACAAAACATTAAAAATTTAACATATGTTTTTATAATCCTTATATATAAAATTTTCAGTTTAATAAAAATGCTGTACGGATTCTGTGGAAAGAATAACAGAAACCCGACATGGCTTATTTTGAAACACTGCATCAAGCGTAACTTTGGAGGATATGATGAAACTGAGGTGCCTGTACTCAAGATATTTAAAGAGAAACTGAAGTCTTTCCTCCAGGTGGACATTGAAACGGTATTTACATGATTATTAAAAATAAAAATGATTTATTATGCTAAGGATGATTTTTCTTTTCAATTTAAGAAGATTTGGAATAGAGTAATTCATATAATTAAATTGCTTGAATATAGCCCCTTCCTGGGGACCCAGACTGCTCTCCTGCAGGTCTTATTGAAGGTTGTCTAAGGGGAGACAAATTCGTGGAGTAAGTATTTACTTGCATAAGTGTACAGATTTTAAAGTGATTTTTCAAATCAAATCATTTTTATCTCGAAAAGAACTCCATATGTTACTTAATAAGACTTTTTCTTTCAAGCCCTGTTAATGTTACTGAAGCAGCAATGGTTGCAAATATCACGCACGACAGTAAGGAACCAACAAGCGATACAAGATATTTACTCTTACTGACAGAAAATTATGGTGCACTATCAGTACTGCAGCAAAAGATTTCATCAATCCAAAATGCTGTCACGATATTTGGAAGTAATTTTCCAAGTGATCAGGAGTACACACAGGTTTATTTCACAATTAGAAATATTTCCTAAAGTTTATACATATTCATTTTTACTTCTCGTGCATTTACACCTTTACATAATAAATATGTACCTGGTTTCTTCATCTATTAGGTCTTTAAAGAGTACATTTTATCAAAGCACATAAAATTTATTAAAATAGATCTGCCGCAACATCAACCGTATTAAAGTTTGCATGGAGAGTGGAAACACCGTTGTGCTTCTGAATCTTGAAAACATATACGAAAGTTTGTATGACGCACTTAATCAGGTAATTTCAACGAAATTATATTAATGGCTTTTTCAATTTTCTGTACCATCAAAATCCATTGTCGAAATTTCAAAAGTAAAATTTATGCGAGCTTTATATTTAAACTATGGTTTGTCATTAAATTAAAAAAACAAGAATACATGTATTGAATCGAATTCCAAAGATGAACCCTTTTTTGCATACATTTATTTGCCTGATAACTTTGTTTTAACTATTTTAGTACTATGTTTTCTTTGGTGGAGAGCGGTATGTAGATTTAGGCCTTGGATCCCACAGAGTAAAATGCCGCGTGCATAAGAATTTCAGGTTAATTATTTATGTTCATTTACTCATATTTACGTAAGGGTTAATGAAGATGAGTACTAGCCTGTTTTTATATCATTTTAATTTTTTTTAGACTTGTTGTAATAGCTGAAAAAGAAACTGTATACGAAAGATTTCCAATACCACTTATCAATAGGCTAGAGAAACACTTTCTTGATATTTCAACGTTGCTCTCTGAAAAACAACAGGAACTAGAAAAAACTTTGAAGAAATGGATTAACACGTTTATCGGGAAGTGAGTATAGCTAAACGAACATGTTCAAATATTTTCCTTATTTACCTATTAAACGTTATAGCAGAACACACTTATAAACTCTAAGTCAACCGTTTTAAGATCTTCAATAATCTCATGCAGTAAAAAAAATCTTTGTAATATTATTTAGACTGCGTATGTTATATAGACAGTCTTGATTGCAGAACTTAACGACGTTTGATCCTAACATTTAAAATCCAAAATGGGGGTTAATATGCTTCTTTAGGCGCTACAGTACATTTAATGTGACCTTTTTGCACTGCAATTTGTATCTTAATAAAAAATTACATCTTCAACATTAAGCCTTCCATATTTTTATCCAAAAAAGCATGGAGCAAAATAAACTATAAGCCTGATAAAAAAGAGACACTTTAAAATTGTGAGTTAGAAAAAGTTTCAAATTGCTACGCATAATCAATCATTTAACCTTTCTGCACTCATAAAAAGTGCTTTTTCTGGCATTGAAAAGTCTTAACTTTCTCTGAATTTTAGCAGAAAGGTCTAAGTTATCTTTAATATTCAGAAAAGAACACCAGATCGGGGTATTGGAAATAAATTTTTAAATATAACTATAAAAGTGTAAATTTTACGTTGAAATTGGCTCAATTATTTCCCGGATTTTCAGAATATATTAACTATATTTGCAACACTTTGTTGAAAGAAATAATTTAAATGATATTTCAGAACAAGCATAACACATTTCACTGCAAAAACAGCTTTGTGTGCAACCAGCATGGGAAAATATGAATCTGAAATAAACAGAACTGTTATAGTTCAAAAGGGAAAAAACTGATTATTTTCTTCTCAAAAACCTTTCGCCACAAAATATAGTTCCTATCTTAATTCTACTTGAATGGAATTCAATCGCGGTTTCTTCATTGAATATAATTCAATTTTCATTGTAGAATTCAGATATAATGTTAGAACTTAAAGCCGCTTGGTCCGATTCTTATCGCTAAAAATTATATTCGTTTTTCTTCTTGAAAAATAATTGTCCATAAATTGTTTCAACTTTTGTCAAATTATATTCCCAAAGTCTTTTTCTTTTAAAAGATATCAAAATTCAAAAGCTAAAAAAATAATTTTTGTTAGGTCACACAAAAAATAATCCTATGTTGATCATTGTTGATATCGCGTGAAATCACCTTCAAAAAATTAAATCTATCGCTTACATGTTTATCTCATTAAGAACGAACCCGAGTTTTTTTTTTGCACAACAAAGTACATATATTACCTGTACACGGAAAATATTTTAGCTCCTTTAAAAATCATTTAAAGTATCTGATTTTCCTTTATTCTTTAAATATGCAAATGAATATAAAAATTACTATGGATTATATTCAATTAATTTCTTAATTTTGAAAAGATGTATTATGACTAAAGCTTCTACTAATAGAGAAAAAATACTCGGGTTTGAATTGTCTTCATTATTTGATATATCCGATAAACTTATTTTGTTCAAAATTGACTTCACAACAGATCTTAACTTCCGTCGGGAACTACTGTTTGTCAATAAGGTTTTTGATCTGCATTTTCCATGTAAGGATTGTTGTAATAAACCATTAAATCAATCTTATAATTTATTTTTATATATAATCTATGTAATGACGTACTTTTATTGTGTAAGATAATATGTGCCTATTTCGGGTTAAGCGGCTTTAAAAATGATGCAGAATTTTATAAATAAAGCACAGGATCAAATTTCACGCAAAAGCTCAGGATCGAACGTCCTTAAATAAGCAATGAGTATCTTTCAGAATTGTTCTAGGGTTTAGTCGTCCATGGTAACGCTTGGCTGTTATTGCGCAATGTCCCCTTTTTTCGTTAAAATGTAGAGCATGTAAATATGATGGATACATTTAAAATAGTATTGTTTTCAAATTATTCGAACAAATAGAAATCCTCCATTTAAAGCAAATTTACTTCGTGTATACCTTCATCAGCTGAAAAATATATAATTAAAATCAATTTAATTTTCAAAATATTTTTACCTGAATATATGATACTACATGAATAGATAGTCGTAAATGCAACACGTTTATAAATCAAAATAAAGTCAAAATATTAAACGTGATGAATTTCTCTGACAAAGATTAAATGAGGTCTAGTCCTATGAATTTCAAAAAGTAGAAACTTGTAAAATGAAAGATGTACTTTAATATTCTAAGGATTGAATCTGTCTTACAGTACATATTTTGTAATCAGTGATACATTTTTCTTAATTTAATATGACAAAAGTTTGTTGTTACTTCGCAATAGTCCATTACTTATACACTGAATTGACGACAAAATTCTCCACTATTTTCCTATCATGACAAGGAGCACACGGCGGGTGTGACAGCTCGGCAGGGGATGATCTCTCCTCCATGGCACCTGATCCCACCTTTGATGTTACGGGGATCCGTGTTTGCTCTGCTCCTGTAATGTTTTAGGGACTTTGATATTGAATACTGTTCGTTTATCTCCATATCCTTCATAAACTTTTTAGTTACTCTTTAAAAAACGAACTAAAAGATGAAATACTAATTTCTTTTTAGTATTTATTGTTTTTAAGATCAGCACCTGAATTTTAAGATTTAAGTTTTAATATAAAGACTGCGTGTTAGAGCCGATGTTTCACTTAATATTGTTATAAGGCTTTTACAATCAAAATTGTTTTGTTTGATTTTAAATTGCAAGATGCGTCTATGTCTATCATAAATGACCTAATATCGAATGTTTAATCGTTTTTGTTTTCAGAAAACAGAGACCAACCATCCAAGAAGGAGAAGTTTTTATGGGCTACCATGAAGACACCTGTGCTGCCATAATAATATACCTTAGTCAGAGGAAACCCGAGATATCAGACGTATTGGCTTGTTCCTACATCTTTACTGCAGATTATTCTATATATAATATTCAGATTTTCATCTTTCATTTTATGATTTTCTTTAGATCTTAAATGAAGCAAAACGTGTTCTTCTGTGGTGTGCAACATCTGATTCGATTCTTCGATGTGGATCTTATTTACCTCAAGAAGAACAAAGCATTCATAAAATTTACTTCAAAGACCAACACCACGAAAATTTGTTGGAATTTCTATCAAATGCTGGAGACAGATATATTCAGGTACGTCTACAAAGGATAAAAATACGCAATTCAGTTGACGGTATGAATACATAATGAATGGTCAGGAAAAGAGAGATATAAACCCTGTATGCAGATTATGAAGGTATTTGCTGCATAAGAAAGGAACGTTGATGATTGAAAAGTCAACATACTTATCATAAAGCTCGGTTTTAGACTACCATAAACGTCTTTTTCAAGTACAATATCCCAATAAGAAACGGATATACCAGACTCTGTATTATCTTTTATTTCAAGTTCAGGATATATTTCATCACCATAAGAATGTAAATAACAATTGTTAATAAACGATATGTAGCCTACATATCTCAATCTCTAGTTGAAGGCCACAAGGAGTCTTTTCTGCGTTTCTCTATATGATTTTTATGATTATGATGATATACGTACAGTGGAAGCTTTTCCGACGAAGATTTGTCAACGGGAAAGTTTCTTCAGTGCGTGTATGCATGGATGTAAAGGGGGGGGGGGCAGGACCAACCTGGATTTTTTTAAAATTATTAAATGTAAATTCTGATCCAAGAAAAATGAGCTTGGACCCATGAAAAGCTCTCATCTGTGATAAAATTTTCTGAAATGTCTTAGGTATGAAGGTGATTAAAAAAGACAAGGATTACCCCCAAACACCTCCAATTCCACGAAAAAGGTTTTTTGAAGTTTCAAGGACATCAATTTCTTTTTTAGCTCACCTGAGCCAAAGGTTCAAGTGAGCTTTTCTAATTAAAAAATTGTCCGTTGTCTGTCGTTGTCGTCTTAAACTTTTCACATTTTCATCTTCTCCTCAAGAACTACTGGGCCAATTTCAACCAAACTTGCCACAAAGTATCCTTACGTGAAGGGGATTCAAATTTGTTCAAATGAAGGACCACGCCTTCTTCCAAGGGGAGATAATTATGAATTAGTGTAAAAATAAATGGCATTTTTAAAAGATCTTCTCAAGAAATACTGGGCCGAAAGATGAAACTCATGTGGAAGCATCCTCAGGTAGTGTAAATGCAAGTTTGTTCAAATCATGACCGTGGGGTAGGGTGGGGCCACAATGGCCGATCAAAGTTTTACATAGGAATATATAGGGAAAATCTTTAAAATATTCTTCTCATTTTTCTCAAGTACTTTAAAGCCATGAGTAGTAATATTTATATGGAATCATTGTCAGGTAGTGTAGATTCTAGTTTTTTCAAATCATAACCCCAGGGATAGGGTGGGGCCACAATGGGGAATTCAAAATTCACATTTTTATATTAGTTGAAAAATCTTCTTAGGAATAGCAAAGCCATGATAAGTGATATCAGTACATGCATTTATATGGAAGCCTTTTCAGGTAGTGCAGAATTAAATTTGTTCAAATCATAACCTCCGAGGATTAACAATGATTTAAGAACATGTACATGCATTTATTGATAATGAAGAAAAATGCCTTTTCAAAAATGGTTAATTTCAGGACCCCTGGGTCAGGGGCACTGGGGGTGGGGTACTTAGTCTGAAAATGAATTAATGCTTTGAAAACTACTATTTAGTAATCATCAACCATTTATGATGAATTAAAATTTATGATAACATTTCCAAAGTTTTGAGATATGTGGTCTCAGGGTGGGTGGTTCCCATGGGATTGGGTGCGCAATTGTTTATAAAGTGGAAATGCATTTTCTCTTTGTTACTCTGATCTACCTCTGGGTTTTAAGTAAATAAGCATGCTAAGTGTATAGTTATGATGAGCAATTGTGCCTCTTACAAAACTTAATTTCATGCCCTCTGGATAAAACAATAAATTCAATTGTTTGAAACTTGTTACATGATACTCCGATTACCTATAAGGCCCGTGGACCTCTTCAAATAAAATTATTCACATATATAATATGCTTTAATTTTTTTTCTTATCGTGAAAAATGTCACGGTACTTTGAATTTGTAAGCTTGAAAAGATGTTCAATTGTTTTTCAATTGGTTAATTTTTTTCTCTCTAGAAATGTCTAATTATACTCATCTTTTATCAGTATAATTGTTAACGATTCATCTGACGACTCATGAAATTTAAAATGATTATAAACTGTCTGCCGGTGTCTTCCCCCCAAAATCTTCGCAACTAAACAAGAGTATACAAAATATATACAGTATATATAAGATATATACGTGTAAATCGTAACTCACCGATACAATACGCGCACTCTGTGTTATTTCAATTTCTACAAATTGATTGATTTCAATGGACAGTTAAACATTAAGACACTGGACTTTTAAGCGGGAGGCCAGTTTGATTCTTACTTACATCAAAAAGTTTTTTCAGCTCACCTGAGCTTAAGTGAGCTTTTCTGATCACATTTTGTCTGTAATCAATCTATCTAGCTGTCAATCTGTCTGTCTGTTTTAACATTTTAACATTTTCGAATTCCTCCCCAGAACCACTGGGCAAATTTCAACCACATGGCATCCTTCGGGAAAGGAATGCAAGTTTGTTCAAATGAAGGGCCCTGCCTTCTTTATTTGGAGATTATTGATAATAGTAAAAGTTTGTTGGCGTGTTTGAAAATCTTCTCAACAACCACTGGGTCGGAAAATATGAAACTTACGTTGAAGCATCCTCAGGTAGTGTTAATTCAATTTTTTTCAAATCACAACCCCATGGGTTAGGGTGGGGATACAATGGACGATCAATGTTTTACATTGGAATGTATAATTAAAAAAAATTAAAATCTTCTTTTCAAGAACAACAAACCCACGATTGGTCATATATATTTGGAAACATTTCTATTTAGTGTAGATTCAAGTTTGTTTAAATCATGACCCCCGGGGATTTGGTGGGGCCAAGTAGAAAGTTCAAACTAGAAGAAATTCAACAGTAACTCAAAGAAAATATGTAAACAAATGTAGTAAGTGCAGATTAAAGTTAATTCAAATCATAACCCACCCACCTCCTTCCACCTTTCAGAGGTAGGTCGGGGCAACATGCATTTTAAGCTTTCCAAAATTGGATTGATTTTTGTTTTTTTCCTAGCCACAGTGCGCAGGTGAACGATGTGACGACGGACCTCTTGTTTGCCTTAATGTTTATTTTTTTTAATTTATTCGAAAATAGATTGATTTAATGCTTTAAAATTGGAAAACTTGAGATAAATTTTCTATCTTAATTTACTCGATACTTCAATAAAAGGATCAAAATATGCATAGAAAGAAACTCATACTCGGAGTCGCTTAAACATCCAAAATATTAATCTTATATTCAGAAATTTATCTTCGCCATATCAAATAATTTGGGGACATGATTAAACGTATAAAATGCAAGGTACATGTAATAGCTTGTGATAATGATGTTTAATTTTCTAAATAAAAATGATTTCATTTATTCAGTAATGCTTCAGTAATATTTGTCCCCCGCTTGAAAAGTGGGGGATATTAATTTGGGTTTGTCCGTCCGTCCGTCTAGCTGTCCGTCCGTCTTTCTGTCTGTCTGTAACGCTTTCGTTTCCACACGATATCTCGAGAACCCTTTGAGCTTTTGCAATGAAATTTAGCAAAACAACTCCATATGGACTAAAAAAGACCCCTATTGATTTTGAGATCAAAAGGTCAAAGGTCAAGGTCATAGATAAGCAAATTCTGTCTGTTATAACACGTTCGTTTCCACACGATATTTCAAGAACCATTTGAGCTATTGCAATGAAATTTCACATAACAACTCCCTGTAGCCTAATAAAGACCTCTATTGATTTTGAGGTCAAAAGGTCAAAGTTCAAGGTCGTAAATTTATACATTCTGTCTGTGTGTAACACTATCATTTCCGGACGATATTTCAAGAAGATTTTGAGCTTATGCAATGTAATTTTATATCAAAACTCCTTAGGACCTCTCTTACCCCTCTCAAAGTGCCCCGCCCCGTTTGTTTTATTAGTATTTATAGTATTACATGTCGCTAGTTTTAGCACAGGGGCATGAGGAGAGTTATTGCGTTATAAAACAGATTCTCGGCGGATGTTATGCTCTTATTACATCTATTAGTACTGTTTAATAAAGGCTAAATAAAACAAAAACCGTGGATTGTATAAAATTTTAACAATATCGAACATGAATATATACATGTATGTGACTTCATGATTGCATATAATTTGCGTATCTGTAGAGCGGTCCCGTGGCTCAGTGGTATGTCTCTAGCTTGACATGTGAGAGTTCCCGGGTTCGAGACCCAAACGATTTATTATTTTTATATGCGCCCGGATCGATAGATCCCGGGCGTATATTGTTTTTGTCCTGTCTATTTGTCTGTTTGTCTGTTTATCTGTTTGTCTGTTTGTCTGTTTGTCTGTTGTCAACTTTAACCTTGGCCATAACTTTTGAACAATAAGAGATAGAGACTTCATATTTGGTATGCATACTCCACTAATAAAGTCCTTTCAAATGACATCAAGGTCAATGACCTTGTGACCTTGACTGTGACATATATGCTAAAAATAGCTTTTTCCACTGTTTGTCATAACTTTTTAACCATAGGAGATAGGGACTTCATATTTGGTATGCATACTCCACTAATAGTGTCCTTTCAAATGACATCAAGGTCAATGATCTTGTGACCTTGACTGTGACCTATATGCTTAAAAAAGCTTTTTCCACTTTTTGCCATAACTTTTGAACCATAGGAGATAGGGACTTCATATTTGGTTTGCATACTCCACCGATTAAGTTCTTTCAAATGACACCATGGTCAATGACCTTTTGACCTTGACTGTGACCTATATGCTAAAAATAGCTTTTTCCACTGTTTGTCATACCTTTTGAACCATAGGAGATAGGGACTTCATATTTGGTATGCATACTCCACCGATAAAGTTCTTTCAAACGACGGCAAGTTCAATGATCTTGTGATCTTGACTGTGACCTATATGCTAAAAATAGCTTTTTCCACTTTTTGCCATAACTTTTGAACCATAGGAGATAGGGACTTCATATTTAGTATGCATACTCCACTGATTAAGTTCTTTCGAATGACACCATTATCAATGACCTTGTGACCTTGACTGTGATCAATATGCTAAAAATAGATTTTTTGAACTTTGTTGCCGCCGGGCGCATAGTGTTTCACAAACACATCTTGTTTTTTTTCTCTTTTTCTTCCCGAAATACTTTTTTTAACTAAATAATAGTATTCAGCATGTGAAATGAAAAATTTATGAGGTGTGGCTTGTACAAACTCATAAGATCATCATTACAGTGTGTTAAATATTCCATATAAAAAAAATCTTCTATACACATAATAAAGAATAAGCGATCAAATCTTTATATCCATATTGCCATTTTTTATTTGCTTCAGTATACATGTATACATTTAATAATTCTAAAATTCAGTCAGGGGGATCCGACTCCCCCCCCCTCCCCCCGAACTCTGCATTGTTTACTTTTTCCCTAAGCGGGGGACACAAATTCTCTGAATTAGCTTGTATTCTGTAGTTTTATTTTAAAAAGGTCAATGAACATTACATCTGCCGGAATTAACTTTTTTAAATCCTAAAATATCAAAGAAATAAATTTATTCAGTTAATAAATACCAAACTATGAATTTTATAAAAGCAGAATATGTGAGCACTGTTTGTCCTTATGCAGTAAAATTCTACAAAAAAGTAGACCAATTACACGGCAGTTTACCTTAATATCTGAGAAATAAATAAATTAAGTCGTTATTTCAAGTCTCTTTATTCTGGTGATAATTTCTTTTTTATCCATTTTATGTACATGTAGGTTACTACTCATTCACAACTGATGACTGAAACTGATATCCAGGAGTTATCTCGAGGGTTGGAGCTGAAGAGAGACCAAATTTTACCACTGTCGCTGCAGTCTTTCGAAACAGAACAACAGTTCTGCAGACAGATTAAGTAAGTTATCAATAGTGAAAACAACATCTGTGTTTTTGTGAATTGCAAATTAAATGATGGACTACATAAAAAAACATAAATAAACATCAGTAGACATAATTTTTTTGTATGCTTTAAGATATTTCTTCGATGGAAAGGATTCCAAAGATCTTCTCCTGATTGTACAGTGTGAAAATGGAAATAAAAACACAAATTGGATTGCAAGTGCCCAGTATTGTGTTCACGACCTAATGCAACATCTTGACAAGCACAGAACAAAGAAATGTCAAGTTGTTTTCATCATACATCTCCCTAGGATTTCCATTGCAAACTTCACCGGATTTCAGGTGGATTTTTTTCTGGAGTTAAATTTCATTTTGTATGTATGAGAGAGGGATAGGGTGTATGTGTTGTGCTTGAAAAAAAAAAGATTCTTAAAACTTTCGTGCGGTAATACCACTTCTCGTCTAAACTGAAAGTAAAGTGTTTTTGTCAATTTTACTCTTTTGAATTCGATATTTTTTTAAAATACACATCTTTTATTCGAAACCCTTCATCACATATATACCACTTCTTATGTTGCTGTGATTTAAATTCAAGGCACATGGTGTTGCTTGACCCATTCAACAGACATGTGGTAGAACGGTCTTATAAATGAAATTGGTGGTTAACTAAAAATTACTTTTTTTTATTTATCCTAGGAAAAGTGTGTTTTCAGACCTGTTTGAAAGATATTCGGGATTTTAAACAGTAATATTAAATTCTGAAAAGTACTTAATTCAAGATTAGTTTGTTTTTTAATTTCCGGCAAAAATTGAAGCTTAGAATTGCATATTTTCAAAAATTGCCCAATACACTGGTGAAACATGGGTTATATCTTTTACTGTGACAAAACTTAGTTTATCTTATATTAATATTGTTATAAATCCACACGTAGAATCAAGTCATCACCAATTGACCAATTATTGAACGAAGAGCAATGTTAACTGAACACATACAGTACCGACCGGACACAACCTAACAGAAATCTCAAGATACTAACAGTACAAGAATATTTACGTGCAAATATTTAATAATTTTATTTCAATTTTCTCAATTTACGTGTTCCTTTAAATTATTCGAAATTCACATCAAAATTATTGATCTTCTTAATTGGGGATGAAAAAATATTACATGCACATGTAAATCTTCCTATATTTAGAAATATTTTTAAAGATAATTCGTAATTTCAGTGATGTGTGTGTGTGTGTGTGTGTGTGTGTGTGTATGTGTGTGTGTGTGTGTGTAAGGGTGTGTGTGTGTGTGTGTGAAGTAGAGGATGGGATATATTATTATATTCTTAGCGGGCCCGGAGAACAATTATTGTTGTCATTTTAATTTTTTTTCATTCTGATTAAAATAATACTCGATCCATAATTCTGAGCATGAATATATAATTTTATTTATTTATTTTTTGAAAGTGTCCGGTAAATATTTATTACGAACTTTTAATGTGTCACTACTATAAATGAATTCTAAATATATCACGCGTACAATGATTATGTTATATAACAAAGGTTATGATTGTAATTATACCCGCACTTTCTAAAGAAAGTTCGGGTATATTGTTGTTACTCATGTCCGTCCGTCCGTCCGTCCGTCTGTCACATTTTTCTTCCCTGAACTCCTCCTACATTTTACACAGTAGCTTAATCATCTTTTGGGAGATGGTTGGTGGGGTCATGTAGATGTGCAGTAAGGTTTCTGAATTTAGATTTTGCCCTGGGGGGTCAAATGGGGGTCGAAAAATGACGTTTTTTGTGCAAAAAGTCCCGTCTTTCCTGAACTCCTTCTACATTTTACTCAGCAGCCTAATCACCTTTTGGGGGATGATTGGTGGTGTCATGTAGATGTGCAGTAAGGTTTCGGAATTTTGATTTTGCCCCAGGGGGTCAAATAGGGGTCGAAAAATGAGGTTTTTTACGCAAAAAGCCCCATCTTCCCTGAACTTCTCTTACATTTTACTCAGCAGCCTTATCATCTTTTGGGGGATGATTGGTGGTGTCATGTAGATGTGCAGTAAGGATTCGGAATTTTGATTTTGCCCTGGGGGGTCAAATGGGGGTCGAAAAATGATGTTTTTTATGCAAAAAGCCCCGTCTTCCCTGAACTCCTTCTACATTTTACACAGTAGCCTAATCATCTTTTGGGAGATGGTTGGTGGTGTCATGTAGATGTGCAGTAAGGTTTCTGAATTTAGATTTTGCCCCGGGGGGTCAAATTGGGGTGGAAAAATAACGTTTTTTATACAAAAAGTCCCGTTTTCCCTGAACTCCTCTTACATTTTACTCAGCAGCCTATTCATCTTTTGAGAGATGGTTGGTGGGGTCATGTAGATGTGCAGTAAGGTTTCGGAATTTTGATTTTGCCCTGGGGGGTCAAATGGGGGTCAAAAAATGACATTTTTTATGCAAAAAGCCCCGTCTTCCCTGAACTTCTCCTACATTTTACACAGTAGCCTAATCATCTTTTGGGAGATGGTTGGTGGTGTCATGTAGATGTGCAGTAAGGTTTCTGAATTTAGATTTTGCCCCGGGGGGTCAAATTGGGGTGGAAAAATAACGTTTTTTATACAAAAAGTCCCGTTTTCCCTGAACTCCTCTTACATTTTACTCAGCAGCCTATTTATCTTTTGAGAGATGGTTGGTGGGGTCATGTAGATGTGCAGTAAGGTTTTGGAATTTTGATTTTGCCCTGGGGGGTCAAATGGGGGTCAAAAAATGACATTTTTTATGCAAAAAGCCCCGTCTTCCCTGAACTTCTCCTACATTTTACACAGTAGCCTAATCATCTGTTGGGAGATGGTTGGTGGTGTCAGGTAGATGTGCAGTAAGGTTTTGGAATTAAGATTTTGCCCTGGGGGGTCAAATATGGGTCAAAAAATGACGTTTTTTGTGCAAAAAGCCCTGTCTTCCCTGAAGTCTTCCTTAATGTTACTCAGAAGCCTAATCATCTTTTAGGAGAGTTAAATATTTTGAAAATTAAGTAGAACATCAACGTCAAGGGGTAAAAAAAGCATCACATGCTGGGAAACACCTTGAATTCTTATGAGTAATTAATGTATATGTCAAATGTGAGAGTCATATCTCATCTCAATCAAAAGTTTTAAGCAAATGCAACATTTTTGAAAAGTAGAGTTTTGACCTCTTCAAGGTCAAGGTCACAGAGTAAGTCATGATTTATTTGGAAAGGTTTTATCACAGGTAATAATATACATGCATTATGATATGAATGCCCTAACTTTTCTCTTTCAAAATGATGAATTTATAACAATTTAATTTTTTTGCAAGTAGGTCAAACTTCTAGGTCACAGGTAAAAAAAACAAGATGTGTTTGTGAAACACTATGCGCCCGGCAGCAACAAAGTTCAAAAAATCTATTTTTAGCATATTGATCACAGTCAAGGTCACAAGGTCATTGACCATGGTGTCATTCGAAAGAACTTAATCAGTGGAGTATGCATACTAAATATGAAGTCCCTATCTCCTATGGTTCAAAAGTTATGGCAAAAAGTGTAAAGAGCTATTTTTAGCATATAGGTCACAGTCAAGATCACAAGATCATTGACCTTGCCGTCGTTTGAAAGGACTTTATCGATGGAGTATATATAACAAATATGAAGTTCCTATCTCCTATGGTTAAAAAGTTATGGCAAAAAGTGTAAAAAGCTATTTTTAGCATATAGGTCACAGTCAAGGTCACAAGATCATTGACCTTGATGTCATTTGAAAGGACTTTATTACTGGAGTATGCATACCAAATATGAAGTCTCTATCTCTTATTGTTCAAAAGTTATGGCCAAGGTTAAAGTTGACAACAGACAGACAGACAAACAGATAAACAGACAAACAGACAAAAAGACAAACAGACAGGACAAAAACAATATACGCCCGGGATCTATCGATCCGTGCGCATAAAAAACCATGCCATTCTCACAGGTAAATACTAATACATAAGTTTAATATTCAGTAGATATGACCGTGATGACTAAGGTTAAATTTATTGAGACAGATGGACAGTCTGACATACAAATACACATATTTCTATATGAATTGGGTAAATTTGGCCCAGTGGTTCTAGAGAAGTTAAAAATGTAAAAAGTTTTCAGACAAACAGATGGACGACACGTCACGACAGACGTTATATGTTAAGGAAACCAGAAAAGCTCAAATGAGTGTTTTGAAAGGGTTAGAATATGGTTGCAGTATTTGAAAAGCTGTTTTTTTCATGCAGAGATATGCATGACCAACATATTCATGTTTTATATTTTCTTTAGTAATTTGTTTGTTTGTTGTGAATACATCTCTCTTGGGAATTTTTCCCTCATATGGAGACACCACCAAATAATAATGAAGACAAGATGTGTTTGTGAAACACTGATGTCCCTGTATGGATCGAAGCCCATGGCGAAGGTTGAAGTTTCTCAAATATATGTCAAACTCAAAGTTCAAGGTCAAAGGGTTCAAATTGTTAGTATCAGAAGAAAGTCTTTTAATTGTCACAAGGAATGCACATGTGAAATAAAGAAATCCCTAGTAATTCCTGTTCAAAAGTTAATTGCCAAGGTTAATTTTTTTTTAAGTGGTTCAAACTCTAGGGTCAAGGTCAAATATATTTATACCTGTTGACAGTTCACAATGAATACACATGTTAAGCATGAAAGCCCTAGCATCTATTGATCAAAATTTAGGCCAAGTTTAAAGTTTGGTATTTTTCTTGTAAAAATGTGTATTCTAGGTCAAGCGATTTCAGGTAAAAATTAATGGTACCCAAATAAAAGGTCTTAATTGTCACAATAAATAAACCTATAAAATGTAGAAGCCATTTGTATAGCCCATCCCACTTAAAACTTATGGGCAAGGTTATAATTTCTGCAGACAAATAGACAGACATAATATAAACACAAGAAACAAAATATGTATAATTAGTCAAATGGAAAAAAATATACTATTGAATTGGAATCACAAAATAGATTGTTATTTCAGGGACAGGGAGTGGGTAGGGAGATTGGAATCCCCCCCCCCCCATCCCCCCCTGGAATTTGCTTTGTTATTTAAACAAGACTATATACTGAAGCAAATAAAAAATGACTTTGGACATCCTCCCCCTAACTGAGAAAACATTGACCACACTATCATTGTTTTTATTTTGTTTATTTGTTTTCAGTTTTTTTTTTCTCCTGCTTGTCAGGAAATTCTGGGCTGGAAATTTTTTGACTGAGATGTGAACCCCTCTCCCTACTCCCGAAAAAAATTCTGGATCCGCACCAGTATTGGCAGTAACTGAATGTCACATCGACAATGGCAGATAACTTCACAATATGAAATTCGTCTAGTGTGGCATGCGATGATCTTTGACCCTTTTTGAACTTTAACCTAATCGTTTGGATTTATTTTACTCCCCACTATACTTAAACTTGTACTTACCGACTGCCATACATGTTTGTCTCGTCAACTTCATGAAATATAAATCCAATTATAACACAAAATGAATTAATCCAATGCACACCAGACTGCAGCCATGTGCTAATTCCATTCGACAAACCTTCGTCGATTCCGTCACCTTATCAGATGAAGTGGGAATCGGCCGAGGTGTGCCAAATGGTTTTTAATCTAAAAATATGATAATGGGTGACGCAACGTGATGTGATGTAGAAATTAACATGTTAACATGTATAGTACAAGAACAAATTTTAAATTAATTCATAACAAACGATGTTTTAACGAAACTTTTCCATCTAGCCTATTCCAAACAGTATGTTCTGTGTGATTGTGGTGTCGACGGGGGGGATTAATAAATTTAAAAAGGTCCTATTATGAGCAAAACATTTATCAAAATCTAATTTACATCATTAATAGAATTCAAACTGGTATATAATGAATTAAGCATGTAAAATAAATATAAGAGGTTCTGAGTTATAGGTCACAGGGCCGGTCTGAGAATTTCATACTCAGTTTGATGAATACATGAATACATACTCAAAGTGGGGGGGGGGGGGCTAGGTGTAAAAAAATTTTTTTATACCTTCTAAAAAAAACCTGACAAGCAAAAAAAAAAAAAAAAAAAAAAAAAAAGAAAAAGAAAACATCAATTTCCCAAACACGAAAATCCTATTTCGGGGGGGGGGGGGGGGGGGGGGGGTTGAATTCGAACTTCAGTACCAAAATTTTTTTTTCTATACACTACCTTTTTCCCATTTTTTACCTATACTGCCATGTGTCTGTGGAAAGTGGGGGGGCTAAACCTATGAAGCAATGTTCAATATCTATACTATTAGTATATGTTTGGAAAAAAAGCCCCGGCCCTAGCCCCCCCCCCCCGGTTCCGACGCCTATGTAAATTATAGAATTATTTTGACTTTTTCCTTGGAAAGCCGGCCAATATGTAGGAGCGTGTTTTAGAGGCAAACACCTTAGTGCGGGTATTACTGTCTCATGACAGCATCTAGTTTATAGATGCGATATCATAATTCACGTGTTTGGCAAAGATTTAAACTACGATTTTGCAAAACTTAAGGAATACCAAATATAATTTTAAAGTTTATAACGCAGGAATTTGAAACTAGGCATTTTGTTAAAATGCTAACGTCAGTTTCACTTGTACACAATTGAAACATTGAAAATCAATTCAACACCTTTTTTCCTTTTCTGTTATTGTTTTCACGTTATAACTAAAGAAAAATAAATGCCTAATAACCCGCTAATGAATAACTTTGAATTTCTCGGGATTGAAATTCCGAGATCGGAGGAATGAAGGAAATCAGTTGTACATGTACATGTAAATCTACGTCGAATGTACAGTTGAGTTTTGGAAAATTTATCAATGTTATCCATAAAGTCACTGTTTACAATGTACATGTAGAGTGCAAATGTATCGATCGGCGCATAAACAACAATGATCGATCAACAATCCCATTACTGTTTTCGGAATATACAAGGGCGGGGCTTAGTGGCGGCGAGATTAAAGCGGGGTCCGCTTCACGCATCAGTGTGTAAAGCGGTCCCAGAAAACGAACGCAGGGCTCGCTCTAGCGGACCCAGAGCTGACCCCAAGCGAACGCGGAGCGCACCCAAAGCGCACCCAGAGCGGTCCCAAAATTTCTGAAAGCGAACCCGAAGCGGATCCCGAGCGAACCCGGGAAGCGAACACGGGGTCCGCTTCGGGTTCGCTCTGGTGTAAGGTTGTGTTCGGTCGGTACTGTACATCATGTACTAGTATAAATACCCGGTATTTAAATTATGATCGAAAAAGAAAAGGAAGGAAATATAGACTACATTTCATACCTTTTATTCTTCGGACACGTGGCTAAGCTCAATGTACGATCAAAATTTAAAAAAAAAATGTATGGTATGAAAAAGAAAAAAAGAGTAGAAGTATGAAAAATATCACGGGGGGGGGGTGTAATTTGCTATTACATTGTTAACTAGAAAATTAAATGTATACATGTGTATAATAAAATGCAGTATGTGCCACGTTCAGAACACCAGGGCTTCAATGTAGAGGAAGATAACATCTATCAGGACTTTGGTTAATTTAATAGATGAAGTTTTTTTTTGCATCACTTTACCAGTGAACAATTGTGCTTTTGTATAAGGGACGAACTTCACAATTGTATTCATTGATTCTACCGTATGATAAAGGAAAACAGACGCAAATCTACTCATGGCATTTTTTTTTTTTTTTTTTTTTTTTTTGTACTTTAATCAAATACATTGTTTGTAATAGTAAGCATTAAAATATTAGTAAAAATGAACAGATTGCTGTAACACATGAATGAAATATATGGTGGGAAATGTTGTAGGTGTCTTTCCGATCGCTTTTTTTAGTATTCATACTAACAAGCAATGCAATTCAACTCATTCTGCTTAAGCTATGCCGGTAAATAAAGTTATCTATTTGATCTAACGCTAAAATGTAAGACACAGTTCCCTGCTTGAAAGCATGTTTGTCTATAAAGAAGGTTAAATATATTGATGCAGAAAATAATGTAAAGAAGAATACAAATTAAAGTTTGGGTAAGATCAAGAGACCGAAGTTAATTGTTACAGATATTATATTACAAAGTGGTTGAAACTGAAACGCAAATCTTCTTCTTTTCATTTCTATATGTGATGGTCACTTCATAGCTTCAATCCCGTAAATAATATACCTTATCTTGTTTTAATCTAGTATAATCTCGCCAGATCTACTACCAGAGCTACTGAAAACTCTTCAGGTTCCATAATTTGTAGAAAACATAGAAAAAAATTAGTAGGCTGCAATATACCACTACTATATAAAATCTCACAATACTTTAAAAGAATCTTTATTACATCATGGACATGTTGATTCCCACCTTACTCTTTTTCATTTGTCAGAACACCTTCGGGTCTCACATAGATAGGGGATATGTTATGCTTATACAATACTCTAAATATGCTGCTTTTCCTTTTGGGTGGGGGCTGATTTTCTGACTAAGCTTGTTTTCTCATAGTAGCTAGAAGCCTATCAATAAATTCAATATATTTAATAAATTACAGGTAGATAATTGTTTTATTTTAGTGTGGTGTTTGGAGATCAGTACACATCGATGACGTTAGAAATATTGATGACGGTATTCCATCAATAATTTCTTTAAAAGGAGAAAGTATCGGAAACCTTCTTAAAAAATCGTTATCCCAAGGGAATACCCAGGATATGGCATCAGAAAAACAAAGAACAACTGTTGACATACCAACAATATTAAATCTTTGCATGTATTCGGCATTGTCTGTGATTAGGGACCCACCTGGAAGAATTACAAGAATTACTGAAAGGCTTGAAATTCTATTTCAAAGAGTAAAACAAGAGACAGTGGCATCAGGTATTCTCGTTTCCCTTTTTTTGCTTATCTGCATGAACGACTTAAATGAGATTTATTTAAATCGTATTTTCCCTTTGATTTATTTTTTTTATATTGCTTTGATAAAATTAATTCAAACTCTTTGATGAAGTGAACATTTCTTATTAAGGCGATATATATCTAATAAATTTTGAAAGTCTGTTTTATCAATTAAAACTGTTTTTGCAAGCATCCCCTCAGTATATCTCATATAAAATTATCAAACACCTACCTTCCAGACAAAAGAGACAGCATTTTACTTTGGTTATTAGTCATATTAATATGCAAGCATCATAAGGAAGCAGATTGAAATGATTGGTAGCAACAAGGAGTACAGATTTTTTATGGGAGTGTATCTAAGCCTTTACAAATATTTGTTTCAATTCAGCATGATTTTGATATTCATAATTCTTCTCAAGAAAAGATCAAGATAATTGCTTCAGGCCTAGGGGCACGAAAGGGCCATATATTACTGATATAAGGAAAGGAAATCTTGCAAATCATTTTTACTCTTGCCCTCAGACATCGGAATTATAATTATAAAATTATAAATTTTTATAATTATAAAAATGATTCAATTACTGTATACAGGGAATTTTTCGCCCACGTTTCATTATCGCCCCTTTCGCCCTTGTCAGAAGTTTGTGAATATGAAATGGGGCTAATTAAAAAACATAGTATAATTGTGTAAAAAGACCTTGTTCTAGTCGAATTTAAAATGGTGCAAAATTGTTAGCAAGCTTAAGTGTAAAAGGGTGAAAAAAAAACACAGGGCGAAAATAGCCCGGTATACAGCATAAAGGGAAATATTTTTTTCCCAATCTTGTGCAGAAAGATATAGATGCCTCAGAGGAATATTAATGCAAATAGGCTTGCTCTATGTTTTAAACAATTTAATGACATGCCTCTGTAAGGTTTCTAAGTACATGTATAACAGTTTTTATCTTCATTTGAAATAATTGAATCAATGAGATCTAGTTCAATTTCTGAGGTGAGTGACACTTTTAAAGCAGAAAATGATACTTTGTAGGAACTCTAATATTAAATCCCACCTACGAAGTTTCTATAAGTCCTTGTTTTTGATTGGGCTGTTGATGTTTTTTGTGTTTAAAATTATATTATTTCCCCCTTTTTTCCCATTAAGATCAGACGACACGTTCCAATAAATATATAAATTTCCCAAAAAATTTGGTATTTTAAGTGAAGGTACTTGAATAAGCTTCCTTATAAAAAAGAATTGAGATACCTTACCAGGCATTTGGACAAGATACCAGAGGGTGATTTTCTTATATAAACCTTTTGAGTAATCTTTTGAATGGTCTCTGTCACAATTTTTGGGGTACCTATTGAAAAAATGTAGAAATCACGAGAGGATGCCAACTGTGAATAATTTTCGACAGAATATTAAGAAATACAAAACACATATTGAGAAACGTGTCTTCTGATCTTCAACGCTATTAAAAAATGATAGTATACATGCAAGTGAATTTATAAAAGTTAATGTCATGTATACTTGCATGATGAGATTACGTGTAGAAAAGTTTAAATGAGATGGTATATTTATGAATGAAATATATTTAGTTCAGCTGTTTCATAAAAATGAGTTTTTAAAATATTTTTTTTACAGGACAAGAAAACTTTTTATCTGGACTTGTTTTGCACATAGCATCCTTAGTATTTGAAAAGGAAGAAAATTACATCCCACACAAAGCAAATAAATGGCTCGTGGAGGAATCTTTTAGATGGGATAAAATTCATAGAACTGGAACTTTTAGGTATAAATATATTTCTCTCTCCTTCTTTCTCTACTGTATGTGTATGTTTGATCGAGGGAGGGAGGTTGTGAGGGTAAGTGAGAGGGTGTGAGGGTATGTGTGTGTGTGCATTTATAATAAGCAGTTATAGTAATGCACTTTTAAACACCCAATTTTATGTTAACGCCCCCAAAATCTACCTGATTCAAGATCAATAATTTACCGCCTGTCAATCATTAAAAAAACAATAGCTTCTGATTTGATTGACAGGCCAGCTACCCGTGCTACCTGATAGTCTGAGTTTGTGTCTTTTGAAAACGATCGCCTGGTCACGCGTCAAACACTTTCATGTAGCCGCCTTGTATACACGGGGGTTAAAAAAAGAATCTTGGTAAAATTTTATTTTAAAACCAATTAAGATTAGATAATTAAAACATGACTTCATAAAATATTTGCTTTTTTTAAATCTCAACGGCTATATAAAGTATATTGTACTTAAGGCGATATGTCGTCGAAGATACACATGTATCTGCTGTAGAATTTAGACCAGTCCGTGCACAGAAACGCTATTTGCCGATTAAAATTGGAATATGATAAATAAGAAAAGATATTTAGCACAAAGGCACGGATAAAAAATTCATTTATCCCATGTTTTATCTATGTATATATGAATACAATCTATACCATGTTCTGTTGTAAAGTTCTGAAATGTCAGAAACAGCTAGGAGTTTCGAGATTGTAACTTTTAGTTCGAATTTCCTAACATCTGTCAATACCCAATATTCGAAATTTAAAAGTGAATATATACAGTCAAAGATCAATTCTTAAAAGTATAAAAGAAATCTTGCACACAATAAAAAAATTTTAAACACACGAACACCCGGAAATGGTGAATATTTTCGACACTATTGTTGATCAGAACGTAGGCAATATTCCTATCGCGGTATGGTACATTGTATATATATGTTCACATGACGGATAGGCCTACCTATGAATGGAATTTTTTTTTTTAATTTTGATATTTACACAAGTTTAATTAAAAAAAATATTTTTACTTTGTAGTTTTACTCTGTGTTCTTTTCTTTAATTTGTCATTTTTTTAAATATAAAAACGATGTTTCTTTATATTTTTTTCTTCATTAGATATCGCTGAAAGTGTTTATAAATAAATTTTATATTGAAATATTTCAATGATTGCAAGTAGTTTTACTCAAATTTAGACACGAAACACGGAATGTTGACCCTGATCACCAGACACAGACTTCCTGTGTAATGCTACGTGTATATAGATTTTTGACATCTTGGGTATTGGGGGTCTCCAGGTAAATAACACCACTGTTACTTGGACCACTCCCCCTCCTCAGGTAACCGTACGGTAAAAAAATTGGGTCTTTAAGAAATCAATTTAATCTTTCCTGGGATTTTCCATTTTTGTTTGAATAACTAAATCTCGCAGAATTATTCCAATCAACCTTTCTTTGAGTGTTAATAAAGACGGATGATATCCTAAACTGCATATTATTTAGAAAGAGACGGTTTTAAACAGTAAAATTAGCATTATGTAACCTTATGTCTCGAGAACTGTGAAAAGCATGGGTTTGATAGCTTGCAAAAATACAGCAGTATAGCTTGGCTCAATGGTTTTTATAGTTCATCACCTTGGTTTCCAACCTATAATAAATTATAATTTTAAATTTTATTAGTATTAGTCTTATCACAGAGGGATTCAGGATTCGTACTTATATAAGATTGTCAGATTTTATCGCAGTCTTAATATCCGTTGTTTTTTTTTTAATGAACTATTATAGAGTAGAAGTGAATAAATACCACTGTTAACTATTCATTTTGTTAAAGCTCAAAGAAGGCGACAAATGCGTTCTTTGGAACACTCTAGTTCCAAAAATGTGGATAACTGATTACTGTGCATGTACTTGTGAGATTTGTTTGGTAAAACACCATCTTTAAATTGTTCCAACATTGTCATGGAATTTAAATTCGGGAAAAAAGTCTTCAGAGGGACACTTTACAAATAAACTTTTCTCTTGTAGATTTTCTAATTATCTGACTTTTTGTAAACGACTCTCTGTTTAAACAGAGTAAAAAGGTAAAATATAATAATGATAGACCTAGATTTCACTTGCTTTTTTCTTTACAAAGTTATAATAGACTAAGAGAAAAGCAACTCATCTAAACAAGGATAAAAATAAGTCGGGAGTTCACGTGATTTTTAAATGTGTAAGAACCTTGCAAAGAGCAAGAGCCATCTTATGCATAAAATGGCCCTGTACTTATATAAATTAATTTACTATCACCCTCTTTCCGATTTCATATATCAAAATAAAGTAGACACTTGGTGCTTTTATTTTCTGTAATAAAATTTCGTTTTGAGAATCCACGTATTGGAAAACGGGTTTTGAGAAATTGCAATGTTTTTGAAATTTGCAGAAAACATAAGTATTTGACTACCTTCAGCAAAGAATTAAAATATGAGCACAGCCCACGATCCAGAAAATAAAACATGTTTTCTGATCATCATAAACAGAGTTTTTATGATGTATTTGCATATTTTGGATCAGAGGTTGTGCTTAATATGAAATATTGAAAAAAATGCTTCAACTTTAGGATTTACAGGATATGGGGAAAATGATGCATTTTATGACGTCATAATGCATTGACTAGATGTGAATTACGTCACAATTAATAAATACGTGGTCACTAACACTCCAAGTGATAAATACTGCATTTGCAACCTAGACTGAGCAGTTTCGATTTTTTAAGAAATTCTCAGGGCCAAATAAGGCTCAAATTAGATATATAAATTCTCTACCTTCATTTTCTTTTCTCTGAATATTTTATAAAAATTATCAGCATCGTCTGTGTGTAATTAAACCCCAAACTAGCCACTGTTGGCAACGTTATTCTTTTGAATTTTGTAGAAAATTAGTCGTTTTCGGCTCATTTTAGGCGGGATTTTATGTGAATATCAATAACTTTTCGGAGGGAATTGTTTAACATTTGGTAGTTTTATATAATAGAATTGTTTAAAATAAATCCATGTGAGAAAATTAAAATATTTTTCAGTTAGTTTTAGCGTAATTTAAATGTGGATATTTACTTTCTATCTATAAAACATTTTAGGTCGTCTGCTTAAACTCAGGTGACTATTTTCTATAGGTAAATGGAAAAAAGGGGAAATAAGGAATTTCATGGTCCGTGAACTTTTGGGGTCTGAAGTATGGGGCCAAATCCACTAGCATAAACGCAATTTTTAAAAAAATCTCCATCGCTATTTCATTACTTACTAAGCTGTTGGCTTGATTGTAATAAGTATTTAATCCTCCGAATTAATGCAATTCATGGTCCCAGGGGACCCTAGTGCTAGGATTGGGCTAATTAGATTATATTGTGAAAATGCATCATTTCTTTAAAAATCCTTTTCTCTGCTCCTGAGTACATATATTAATCAAACATTATGTGTAGTACTTGTAATGATGAGGAACGGTGTCTTTGACATGGCCCCTGAGTCAGGGGTTCTGATGTCACAGTTCAAACCAACCTGACAACCAAGTAGTCCAAGAAAGCAGTCCCCAAGACTACTTTGTGACCGCTATGGGACTCCTATGAGACTGCTCTGGGACCGCTATGGGACTGCTTTTGGACTGCTTAAGAAACATTATTTTTATCTGACATGATGAACATAGAGGCTTGTTCGCGACTTTTAATACTTTTTTTCTTCTAAATATTGTAGCCCGTGGGGATCCGGGTTAGATTAGGTCCTCAGTACCCCCTTGCTTGTCGTAAAAAGCGACTAAATGGGACGGTCCTTCGGATGAGGCCATATAAAATGAGACCCCGTGTCAAAGCAGGTGTGGCACGATAAAGATCCCTCCCTGCTCAAAGGCCGTAAGTGCCGAGCATAGGCATAAATTTGCAGCCTTTCACCGACAATAGTGACGTCTCCATATCAGTGAAATATTCTGGAGAGGGACGTTAAATAGTATACAATCAATCAATTTAGATATTGTATTGACTATTCAAATTGTAAAAAACATCTTTATTTTTTTTTACTTTACACTAAACTACCGAGTCCTACAAAGTTACAACTGAGTTATCATATAGACCTACTGAAGAATTAAATAAAATCCTCCAAAACTAATATTTTCTTTTCATTCTGACATCATAATCCAATATGAACAAGAAAGTTGCCCAACTCATATGAATTGTGGACCCAGTTTTGACGACGTCAGCAAACTTAAAACCTTTTCGTAAAGTTGCCTTGCATTTTTGTAACTTTGTCTAAGAAAATGACAAACTTTTTAGCTAAAATGAATGCTCATTTTAAAACCTTCTTACAGAAAAGCAGTTGCTCACGGTATTGCAGATAGATTGTCGCCAATTTTGGCTTTTGTTGTTTCGTATTTTGATACAAACAACAACCTTGATTTCCTACTACCAAAATGTGAATTGTCTTGGAAACAGAAATTGATGAACAAGATTACAAACAGCATTTCTGCAACAGAATTGAAGTATCAAGATATGCTTTCACCCACAAACATGCAAATAAATGAAATAGCAATTAAAGGAGTTGGATTTAAAAACAGCGTTTTTCAGGCCAACGTTCCATTCTCGTGGCTCGTGTATCGTCTAGTTGAATCAAATATTGCAGCAAACAAGGAATCAAATAAAGGTTATTGGATTGTTCCCCAGGTTATTGCAAATTCTCCTCTTGGAAAACTTTTAGAACAAAATGTAAACCGAGATGAAGAGGACGAATATATACAAGATTACATTCAAGATTTCATTCAAATGTGTTATTATGTGACATGTGATCAAGAACAGAAGGTAAGAAAAAAATAAATTGTATTTAAAAATCAGTTAATCTTATATGTCTGTCATAATAATAATAATAATACTACTAATAATAATAATAATAATAACATATTATTTCAACCTTTCATGGTCATTTAAACCTGACTTTTTTCTTGCAACTAGGGAATAATTAGGCTCCATTTTTTCATTAATTAACAAAGATATACATGTATACTTGGCTTGAGGGGTATACAATTTTTAATCAGTTGTCAATTTACAAAGAATTTACTAGCATTATAAGTTTATGTTTTGTTTTGCCTTTGCCTGTCAAGTTATGAATGGCACTATTCTATACACTCAGTATGCTGGGGTTGTTCACGTAAATTATGTATTTTTTTACTATTTCTGCATTAAATTAATTGCTTTTTTATCTTATTTTTAAACGTTAATAATTCAATTCAGAATAAAAATCAGCTTAAGTTTGTATTTTTTTTTATATTTTAGATTGTTTACGACTGTATTTTGCAATGTTGGAAACAGAAAGAACTGAAAAACGATGCAAATATTCTTGACAAACTTGTTTCAGTACATGATGTGTTCATAACGCACGCAAGGAGGCTTAAAAACTTTTCTCAAATTCAGAACATGTGGTCTTTTTGTTGCCAAAACATTGAGCTCTTTAAACAAAAAAACCCAGACTTCTATCTACATTCACATGCAGAAATGGTATGTTTAAATGCAATATACATCAAAAGAATGAAGAAAATCTCAAATATATCAAGTAGTCACATGCATTCTTTCAGACATTCAGTTCAGATACTAAACTTTCCGATATAAAAATATGTACTTTAACAATATGAAAAAATATCTTCTCAACTGACATTTATTTCCGCAATGGTAAACAAAGGAGTGTTATGGTATACACTCATTGTAAAAGACTAAAATACAATTCGTTTTATTTGTCGTATTTAAGAAATTGGCATTAATCTTGTCAAAATATTCTAATTTAGAATTTAGATGTTCTTGGTCTGTACCACCTCTTGGAAAACTTAAACCCAAGTCCATATGACGATGAATCAGACGTTTCACCTGATGCCTCAGATCCCGACACGAGGAAATACTTCGATTTCAATCACGTAAAGGAAAGATTGCTTTGGTTGCGTCAGGTTAATCTATTTCGCCCAGTTGTTGAGCAAGTCATAGCCTCAATTAACGAAGATTCGGACAGAAAAGAAATTCGCAACGACGGAATTAGAAAGATAAGGTAGTTTAATTCATAAAGAGAAAGGAATTGCTTCAACTTTATTTTTCATTTTTTTAATTTAATATCATACTCATCAAAGTATAACTTATTTATTTCTTCTGATTCCAGATATATGTGGACTCGAGTTATAATTTTGAAGCTGTCCCTTGAACATATATTTAGTTATGAGAATTACGAATCAACAACATGTATTGGTCTTTGGCACGTGAGTACGATTTATTTGACTGATTGATTGTATATTGTTTAACGTCCCTCTCGAGAATTTTTCACTCATATGACGTCACCGTATGCCGGTGAAGGGCTTCAAATTTTGACCTTAACTCGGCACTCAGGGCCATTGAGCAGTGAGGGATCTTTATCGTGCCAAAGCCTGCCGCTTACAGGGGGCCTCGGTTTTTAAGGTCTCATCCGAAGGACCTGCAACTGTCACTTCAAAGTGCCGAGCGCATGGCGAAGGAACAGTTGCTTCCAATTTTAACGACTAGGTCAGTCGCGGCCGAGATACGAACTCACGACCTCCCGATCACGGAGCGAGCGCTCTACCGACTGATTTACCGTGAACGTTGAGTACCATTTATATCTTTAAACTCAGTTTCACCATTTTTATTACATGTATCATAAATATTTGTTTTAGTGAGCAAATGTTAAAATCTTACGAAACAATGTCCTGGCCCCTGGTCATTTTGAGTTGTATTATAAAATGAGTTCATCTGAACAAACTTTTTATTGGTAAGGCTTCAATTATTATGTTGGGTTTTTTGGGCAAATTAACCAGACAGCAAGTCGATCAAATTTACTAGACCCCGAAAATGACCTTAATCAGCACTGCTACCTGCTTATCTACCTCATATACTATTGTATGATTTGAGATTATACAAACAAACGTACACAAAAATTCCTTTTGCTAATGACTTCAGTAAGACCCAGTTGCTTCATTCAGTACTTACTTTAGTCTTTTGCATTGTAGTTTTAAGAAGTGTCATTAACTTGGACAGATCAACTCATAAATAAACAAAGTTCAAGATTGTACGGGGGGGGGGGTGACCAAAAGCAACATTTTAGTTTGCTGAACTGCTTTAAGTAAATAAAGGGGTAATGGGTAAGGGCAAACTATATTTTTTGTAAAAAAGATACACTTGCTTAGTTCACGATAATTAATTAATTTGAGATCATGTGAGAGCTAATATTGGAACTGTACAGCTTAAGGAAAATGCAGAGTAATGCAGATTTTCATAACTATGGATACCAATTTACTGCAAATTTAGTACAATATCATAATTCACAGCGGTCCAGTTTCGTGGTCACACACAGTCTTTGTGGATAAGTTAAAAGCAAAAATCAAGTTCAATGATATATCTTTAAAAAAAAAAAATCACGAATATGTTTAAAATAATGTCTGTTTAGGTCTTGGGGGAGGATGTTGACATGACTTGCCCAGAAGACTTACAGAAAATACATACTTTTCTGGAAAACTGCATCACCAAAGCTGCAAGCGACACTTTCGGGTATTTCAAAATGATTTTTTTCTTTTCATTATATTTCTTTTCATCGTATAGAACAAAGGAATATATATGATTTATGAAAATATATAAATCTCAAAGTGCCTCAAAGTTGAATGTACTGTACAAAAATGATTTCCAATTTTCCGATGCTCTTATATATTTATTTGTTGCTAAAATGTTCAACTCAAATGCTTTGTAACATTGAAATCACCATCCGAAGAAACCTCCAAAATCCATTTTTATAGGAATTCTGCTTAAGTAGACGTTATACATTTGTATCCTCTAGTAATTATACATGTATTTTCAGAAGAGTCAGGATCTTTTTTCATTATATAGAAAAACAGCTTACATAAATGACAGAAGAACCTCCAAATATATTAACGGTCTTTTAATTTTCACTAATAGCAAGGGAAGAAAGTTGTTTTTCTTTGCATCTCTTTAAATATTGAAATATGATTAAAATAATGATTTATTGTGACATAATGACATAAATTGCATGAAAAAAGATCAAAATATCATTTTCAAAGCTTTAAGTTTAAAGGTTTATGTAGATAACTCCAATAGATATATATCATTTTAATTATTGTAATAATATAATTACATAGTGATCAACGAATGTGCGCAATCTGTGAGGAAGATCTAAATAAAACGCCAAAGCAGCTTCAGTGCCCAAGTGTTGTATGTGAGACGTGTTGTAGCAATTCTGTCCACTGGGAATCAAATGAGTGTCCAGTATGCCATGTTGATCACCCACGTGACAGTAAATTGAGGTAATTGATTTACGTTTTTACAAAACGTAGAAAATTCTTATCATTTCAAAAGCGCATTCAAACACAAGCCACTATTGCCTTTAGAAGAGACAGAACTTAAAGAAAACATTTTGTTTCATAAGAAGCATAATAATTTAATTTTTTAAGACAGAAAATTTGTTTTAACCGTGTGGTGCTGAGAAATGTAATCTTTGCAAATGTATTTATTAAAACATGCTAATTTCTTTTCTCGAAAAACATTTCCATGTAACAAGATTATGCATGGGTGAGAAACTGGTGGGACTTGTACCAAAGACATGTCTTAAATTTCTCGCTTGTTATTGTCCCACCAATTGATCTGTGATTGCGCTTTTTTTTCCTAAGAATTTCACACATTAAATGATAACAGCATTATAGGTATTGGAAAAATTACAATTATAACATTTATAGGAAATATCTGTCCTACCTGAAGATGATCTATGAAAAAATTTCAAATACTTGTATACATTGCGGACAATACCTGTGAAAAAGCTAGAGAAGCAAATGAGGATTTCTTTATTTAACTATTTAACCCAAAACAAAACAGAAGAGTTACAATTGTAACTTCATTTCTTTTCTACTTTTTTAAGAGATTGTAATTTGAATTATAATGCTACCTTTTAACGTTAAAATGACATCACAAAAGACAATGATTGGTCTCTTGCTTATGACGTTACTAAGAAATTGTTCTTATTCAGTTTGTAACAATTTGAAGAGCTATACAAATGTCTCTCTGTTTTAGTGAACAACAGATAGAAAAATATCGGACTTATCGGAAAAATTGCAACAGCTTCTTCATGGACGTTGTTTTACAGCTATGCTTTCCCACTGGAAATTTACCTTGTGAGCGTCTTTTAGAAATGTTGATGGATATTGTCAAGGGGGACATGAAGATTGATCATGGATTGGAGATAACCAGCAAAGAAATGCACGAAATTGACATGAATTTGGACGCAAATCCTATCGTAAAAGTATTTCTTTTGCAGCAGATATTAAGACGCAAGTAAGAATATTTATATTTTTTTTTCCATATGCTGACTTATTTTGTAAAGCCTTTACATAGTATATTTTATGTAATCCTAGTGATCTGAATAGACTACAGCTGTAGTTGAAAAAATGACAAAGGCAATGCTTTATGGAACTCTTAGCTTAAATATAATTTTGATTTTCCATTTTTATGTTGTTTAAACAATCACTGGGCCAGAAAAGATGAAACTTATATGGAATTATCCTGGATTAGTTTTTAGTTTAAATTGTTAAAATCATGACCCCCTTGGAGTAGGGTCGAGCCACAGAAGTATATAAATATATAATTTTTATATTGAAATATACATGAGTATTCTTTAAAAAAAATCTTTTCAAGAACTAGGGGACCAGTTAGACTGAAACTATTCTTAACTTTGAAAAAAAATATACTTTTTTGTAAAACATCGGAATAAACCGGAAGTGTGCGATTTTATTTCTGGTGGTATCTTATATATTTCAAAAAAGCAATAATAATATGTAATGAATGTAAGAAATGTGATCCGTTTTAACTTTAAAAAGGTAAGTTAAAAATGTTTGATTTATTTTATCTTTCCTTTAACAACCGGTAGTGATAACTGAATCGTTTAATCCTGTATGTTTCGCTCGCTCTTCAAAGTCTATCACTCTTAATTAAAATGTCTTAGCTCTTACCGTTTCGTTTAAAACTTCTAATTTTGAGGACAGGCCTAGGAAAGCTTGCGACCGGATATGAATTTTACACAGTCTGAATAACAAAAACATATCAAATACCTGACATGTATCTATAAGCGATATTTAAAAGAAAGGTAAACATAAAATAATTAGAAGTTGATGTCTTTTGACCTGAAGTTGACGTTTTTGTTTCCGGTGGATCTAATTTCTGTTCTTTTACTCATATAATTATAGTGTCTTAATATCTAACCGTTTCCGACACCGCTCTCATAGAGGCTCCTTTCGAGAACATATAAACAAACTCGCGAGCGGAAATGAATTTTACAAGAATGTTTGACATTACTCTAGATATTTGCAGCCAAAAAAACATATTTCAAACATTTCAAATACTTAATCCATCAAAGATATGTATTGGAAATTGAATCTGTCATATTATGTAATTATACTCTTATATGCGTTGTCAATTTTGTTTCCTGTTGGAAATAACATATTTTGACTTATAAGATGCAATTCAATAAAATTACATAATTCACAAATAAAATGTAATAATGTAATTCAAGTTCTGGTTTAAAAGGAAAAGTTGTAATTTCATATGAGACTCTGAGGTGGGTAAAGACTTCTCATTTAGCTTTAAAAACAGAAAGATGATGATGAATAATTGAAAGAATTGAAAAAAAATTTTTACTTTTAACTAGCATTTCAATGCAGAATATGGCAAAATATCTACAGCTGCCAGAAAGTATTGTTGATGACCGACGACAAATTACTTTATACATGCTTTTTATTCAATGTTATGAGGTATTTATAACTTTGTTATTTTAGGCATTCTGGCATTTTGATTCAATATTATATAAGGATCAAATCAATCATACAAAACTTGGAGGAAACTGTAATAATATTTTAATGTTTTAAAGGATACACTTCATCAGTCTGAATCAAATGAACAAAAGCAAGTAAGAGAAAAATTGATTGCAACTCAGATGTTGACAAAATCTGAAGACGGAAATGTGAATACAGAGGGGCCTGTCAGTTTACTACTTCATGTAGCTAAGCTGCGATATGCTCTCTCTATTGCTGCAAAGTATATTAATGCTCGCTTTGTTGAAAAGTCTCATAAAAATACAGATAAACTGCAAAAACTTCTGAGTGCAACCAAGTCTCTATGTGAACGCCATGCCACTGACAATCCAAAGTAAGAATGAAATTCAAATCAGAATGTAAACAAGCAATACATTTTCTGTTTGTAGGTTGTACAATATACCTGTTTTTGTTTAATATTTTCAGGAAATTTCTAATTAAGCAGCTTTCTAAAAGATTTGGGCTCAATGCTTACATGAAGGCGTGCTGCATACCTGAACTGGGATGGTTGAAAGACAATCTATATTTCCGAAACGAGGTTTTTTCTCTCTTTCCTCAATTGGAGTTGGCTTTTCCTACTCTGTTATTAATAAAATTCCGTTTCTTTTTCATTTCTTTTTGCTTTAGGAAATAACTTGTGTAGACAGATTTGTGGTATGTGGTGACGAGTATATAGAGCTACTGAAAAAAATCGAACTTTCAAAATTTAAGGAAATAACAGAATGGTTTTCAAAAGTAAGAGATTTTTTTTCTTAATTTCACTCTGACTTTCGAAGTCTCGTTAAGTAATACTAATAATACATTTTACGTTATCTTCAGCTCATCTGTGCTGAAAGCTGAAGTGAGATTTTCTGCTAACATTTTGTCTGTTGTCCGTCTATCCGTCAGTCTTTCTGCAATTTTTTTTTTCACATTTTTGACTTTCTCAAGAACCACCGGGTCAATTTTGAACAAACTTGTCACAAAACATCCTGTAGTGAATGGGATTCAAATATGTTCAAATGAAGTGCCACTCCATCTGTCAAGGAGAGATAATTTAGAAAAGTGAAAATTTAGTGACATATTTTACAATTCGTCTTTTCAAGAACCATTGTGCCAGGAAAATTGAAACTTATAAGGGGACATCCTCAGGTAGTGTAAATTCAAATTTGCTCAAATCATGACCCCCAGGTGAAGGTTGGGGCTACAATGGCCGATCAAAGATTTACATAGAAACATATAGGAAAATTCCTTAAAAATCTTATTTTTACGAACAGCAAAGTCATGGTTGATCAATTCATATAGAAGCAATCTTGGATAGTGTAGATTCAAGTTTGTTCAAATAATGCCCCCCGGGGGGTAGGATGGGACCACAATGGCCAATGCAATCAAAATTTGCAAAGCAATATATAGGAAAATTCTTGAAAAATCTTCTTCTCAAGAACAGCAAAGGCAGGATTTGTCATATTTATATGGAAGCATTTTCAGGTAATGAACGATAATATTTGTTCAAATCGTGACCTCTGGAGGTAAGGCAGGGTAACAATTGCCGATTATTCTCAAGTACAAGAAAGCCATTATTAGTCATTATTATAATGAAGCATTTTAGTGTACTTTTAAGTATGATTAAATATTGACCCCTCGGCGTAGGGCTGGGCCACAATGGATGAGCACCTTTTTACTTAGGAAAACAGCATATAGGATTTTTTTTTTCAAAGACAGCAAAAACCATGATTTATTATATTCTTGTTGATGGCCCTTTAAGCCTTTAAGGATAAGTAGTTTTTTTGGTTAAACCTTTCAATGCTAATCTGATTTCTGTAATTTGAGCGTTATGGCCCATTGACCTTTTTTTTCAAATATGAAGTAAATATAAATTAAGAATAAAAATAATTAATTTCATAATCCTGATACGCAGGCTGTATTTTATTTTATCATACTTTATATGTAAATTTATTTGTTCTGATTCGTCGAGAATCACCAAGATAAAATCTACTGCTGCCCGCTAAACAATGGAGCGATGTGCTCCAACGTAGCGAAATTCAACAATGCTTGACTACTTTTGATATTCTCAGTTGATTCGATACGCAAGTGCATGCACTACGTATGAACAATTTTTAACCGAGGTAATGCGTTACTGTACAAGAAACAAGAAAAAAAAACAGTATGTTTGGCTCCATTGCACTCCTCAAAGACCAGTATAAATGATTGCTTTTAAAGAAAAAGGTTATCGGGTTTCAACGCAAAGATTATTGCGTTTAACCGCAACGTTTAAAATTAAAAAAAATTGCGTTAAATCACAATATTATTGCGTTTAATCGCAATATCATTGTAATCAAATGCACTGTTATTGCGATCAAACTTAGAAATAAATGCAATTAGTTGCAAAAGTATTGCGTTTAGTTGCAATATTATTGCGTTCAAAGGCAAAAATTATTGCGTTTAAACTCAAAAAGTATTGCGTTTAAACCTTAAAATACTATTGATATTAAACACAATAGTATTGTTTTTCATTGTATGATTTTTTGTTTAAAGGCAAAAGATTGCCTTCAAATGCAATCTTTTGCGATTAACGCAATGATTTTAAAATTTTTTCGAAATGTTTTGCGTTTAAACGCAATAATTATTCCAATTAAACAAATTCTTTTGCGTTTAAATGCAATTATTTTTGCGAATAAACGCAATAAAAATATTTCTTTCTCTGAACTTGCCTCAACGTTCTTCCATGAACAATTATTATTTGTCGTTTTATTTTTTCATTCTGATTAAAATCGTACTCGATTTATTGATTCTGAACGTAATAAAGATCATATATAATCTATTTTTTTTAAAGAATATGTCAGGTAAATATTTATATCGAACTTTCAATGTGTAACATACTATAAATGAAATCTTTACATATTACGTGTACAATAGGTTATTTTTTAGAGATGTTATATATTATACTGTAAACCAATTTTCATTCGCGACGACTTTAGTTCCCGATTTACCGGGTTTTTCGAAGAATAATTTTCGCGAGCAAGCCTATTTATATTATCTTCTTTATAGACATATATTCTTTAAGAATCGTTTTGCGGCGGTAAATATACGCTATAAAGAGGTTCTTGCGAAATTCGCAAACGTTTTTTTGCACCCAAATAAAAGTTGGTTTACAGTATTTCCTGTGTTTGTCAAACATTTAAACTACGATTAAGCAAGAATGTTCTCCATAACGTCACTGATTACATGTACATAGTATAAATTATGTTTATTTATCGATCGCCGAAAAACAACAATGATCGATTTTCTGATTCCATGTACATGGGACGGGACTTACTGGCTGCGAGATTAAAGCGGGTTAGATTCATTTATTAGTGAATAAAGTGATCCCGGAAAGCGAACGTCCGAACGCCGGGTTCGCTCAAGTGGTTTAAGGGCTGACCCCTAGCGAACGCAATGGGTGAAAACAAAGTAATTATTTCAATACAGTATCTCAAAATCTCGTATTCTCTATTTGACAAGTTTTCTTTCTATTCTCGATTTACTTATTATCGGTATTTACATTCGATCGGGCACATAAAATGATGCACCAAAATAAAATAGATTGCTTAATCATGAATTAATATTTTAGAGCACGATTCTCAACAAAAATCAGAAGAAGACTGTATTAGCACTGGCAGTTTTTCGTCAGATTACATTGTCTTTTTGCAACGAGGAGCTAGTTGCTACGGAAAAGTTCTCAGGGGTAAGAATACGATGATTTTAAAACAACATTTGTTTAAGCATTTTATATAGAATTGAATGTAGAATATAATTTATGTTTGTAATGTTTAGAAACGAATATACTAAAGTTAACTAAAGTAAATACTAAAAATACTTTATTCTAATATTTTAATGGAGGTAAGGGCCAAACAATCCTTACACGTATATGTTCACACAAATTATGTAGTTTTTATTTCACAGAAAATTTCTTTCACTATCTACCTTTTATGTTTAACAGAACCCTTGATTTACTATAGTTAAGTCTTTGATACTTAAGTAAACTATAGTTACCAACAAAAAAGTCTTTATACCCCACGCAAAAAAGTTGCGTGAGGTATAATGTTTTAGACCCGTCCATCAGTCAGTCAGAGTGTCAGTCAATCAGTCCGTCAGTCCTTTTTGTCAGCGCAACTCCTCTTAAACCGCTGCACAAAATTTCATCAAACTTTGCAGATATTAAGGATACAATGTGTAAATGTGCATTTACCAGGAAATTCCGATTCCTTTATTTTTTTCCGGAATTTCAACACTTTTCAACTAAAACTTTTGGTTTTAGCTTGAATATAAGGATGAACTGTTAGTCAGCGTAACCCCTCTTAAACCGCTGCACAGAATTTCACCAAACTTTTCATTTATATAAGATACAATGTGTAGATATGCATATTACTAGGAAATTCCGATTCCTTTTTATCTTGAATTTCCGCACTTTTCAACTTAGATTTTTGGCCAAAGCTCGAACTCCTCTGAAACTGCTGCACAGAATTTCGTCAAACTTTGCAATTAATGGGGAAACAATGTGTAGATGTGCATATTACCAGGAAATTCCGATAACTTTATTTTTTCCGGGATTTTAAGCACTTTGAGTTTTGGGGGAGCATGGGGTATGTGAGCTTGCTCACTTTTTCTTTCATTGTTTATGAATAGAGTTTAAATATTAAGTCTGATACCGTATAAGCAGAATTTTTAGCGAGGGTATTTGATTTTGGCATTTTTAGCGAGGGTGGCAAGATCGCTAAAATTGAATATCACTAAAAATGAATTGCGCTTTACTCGTTAAAGCTGCTGTAGTGAGTTTTTGAAAACTTAAAGATTATATCTCAGCAAAAAATACCCTTTTTTAAAGACAAATAACTAGATTTGCTTCTCGCTAAAATTTCTAATTATACGGTATAAATGTACCTTGTCTGAAATATTAATTTGTAAAATAATTACCCTTTTATTCCTCATACCTAAATATAATTATTTCTTCAGATATTAAAAAAAAAAACAAATGATATCAATCATGTGATATGTATTTTAAAATGTAAAAAGAAAATTTATAGAGCAGCAATCTTAAAACTTGTAGTTATAATCTTATTTAATCTGTGACTCAAATAGAAGAGCTAATTGAGGTATAAAAATTTGTTTATAAAACAACTTACATATTATTTTGAGACGTCTCCATATCAGTGAAATATTCTGGAGAGGGACATTAAACAATATACAATCAATCAATCATATTATTTTGAACAAAGGACAGTAAAAACTAAGACCCCCTTTGACCCTCTTTGTTTGGATGTCTTTTGGAATGATGAAAAATGATACCAATTAAAACCTGTTGTCAACCCTGCCACAAAATTAGTATTGGTTCTATGTTATGGGATACAAGAGGTCACAGGAATGTCAGAATTATGTCAATTCTCGGTTTCTCTCCTTTTATACACAATTTTATAGATTTTACACCATATTTCATTAGAAAACATAGAGCACAATGCAAGCATTGCTTTCCATCAAATGTATATATTTCATACAGTGGTATCAAATTTATGAAAAATATGAAAAATCCATTTAACAATTTAAAATTGGAGTAAAGCAAACATCCAAGAAATCAGAAGTAAGATCAGGTACATGCATAAAGATCTCTTACATCATTCCATAGTCAAGCATGTGCTCTAATTTTCCCAAGCGAAAAGTGTTACACATGTACACGTTTGACGAAATTTCACCAGAATTAATGAAATTCGGGAAATGACTTGCTTAATTTTCATGTGATCTCTGTGTAAGCTTTGAATAATAATGAATGCTGGGTTTTAAGTTATTAACCACAGACTCTCAATTTTACTGTGTTCTGATTTTTACATAAAACAAAATGTGTTTGTGAAACACTGATGCCCTGTCTTTCAAAAGAAATACATTTGTGAAGTAAAAAACCCTAGCACCACCTGTTCAAGGGTTATGACCGAGGTAAACATTTTTAAAGGAAGGAAAAACTCTGGGTCAAGGTCAAAGGGTTAATGCTGTTGGTTTCTAAAGAAAGGCCTTGTCTCAAAGATTACATATGGTAAGTATGAAAGCGCTGGCGCTTACAGTTCAAAAGTTATTGCCAAGGTAAAAGTTTGTAAAAAAAAAATTAAAATCCAAGGTCAAGGTCAAAGTTGTTGATATCCAATGAAAGGTCTTTTCACAAAGATTTCATATTTGAAGTATGAAAGCCTTAGCCCTTACCGTTTAAAAGATATGATCAAGGTTAAAGTTTTTTCGTAAGTACGGAAATCTCCCAGGTCAAAGGTCAAACTTCTTGGTTTAAAATGAAAAGTCATGTCGAAAAGAAGTTATATTTAAAAACTTTTATTCCTAGTATCTAAAGATTAAAATTAGGGCCAAAGAAAAAGTTTGCAATTTTTGTGTAAAATTGGCTCCAAGGTCAAGGTCAAAAGGTCAAGGTTTTTGATATCAAATGAGAGGTCTTGTCACAAGGATTAAATATTTGAAGTAAGAAAGCCCTAGTACTAACCATTCAAAAATTATGGTGAAGGTTGCATTTTTTATGTAAGTCAAACTCCAAGGTCAAAGGGTCAAGGTTCTTGGTATCCAATTAAGCGACTTTTCACAAGGATTACAATGTGAAGTATGAAAGCCCTAACACTTTCTGTTCAAAATTCATAGTCAAGGTTAAAGTTTTTTTATAAGTACAGAAATCTCTAGGGTCAAGGTCAAAAGGCCAATGTTGATGGTACCCAATGAAAGGCCTCCTCACAAAGAATACACATATTAAGTATAAATGCCCTGATATCTACTGTTCAAAAGAAATGGCCAAAGTAAAAGTTTAAAATTTTTGTGTAAAAGCGGGTCAAACTTCAAGGTCAAGGTCAAAAGGTCAAATGTGGTGGTACGCAAAGAAAGGTCTTGTCACAGAAAATACACATGTGAAAATATGAATGCCATAGCTCCACTAAATCAAAAATTATGGGCAAGGTAAAAGTTTTTGCGGACAAACAGACAGAGAGACAGACAGACAGACAGACAGACACGACAAAAACTATATACCCCCGAAACTTCGTTTACAGGGGCATAAAAAGGGGCTACTGTAACCATATACATTTTCCTCTCTATACAAATATACCGTAAATTGTGGTCATGCAGGAACAACCCATGCTGATTAGTTGAACATTCTTTAAATTAGTGCACATAATCTTTTCACCTCCTGATCTTGATAATTAGATGGTACTTTACGTGTAGATTGTACTTTACGTTATTGAGTTCTATTCTTTCTTTTGTTTTGTTTCAATTTATAACAAAATAAAGCATATGCAGCAATTTCCAGGTGATGAAAAAGACAAAAGAATATTTATGTCAGGAGCAGATTCTTCATGATCAGGTATATGAAGTATGCTTAATCTTCATGATGAAAGGAATGCATAAAAAGAAAATATATCAAGTTTTTTGTATTCATCCACTGCAGTTTCATCATGTAAGGGGGCCGACTGTCATTTTTTTGTGTAAAAACTACAATTGTTAAACTTTTCATTTTTATGCCATATATTACTATATTACATAAACTTCAGTGTACCTGCCAAGTTTGAGAGAAATCTACCGTCCTTCTCAAAATACAGGTACATTTACTATAGGATCAACACGAATAGGAAAATGCCAATTATTAGCACTTTGAGGACGCTCTAAACACTGCACACGAAAGAGCGCTACTTATTGGTTCGTTTTTTGCAGTTAGAGTGATCTGCCCTTAGATTAAAGAAATTGTTATGTACGGTTAATTAAATAATTATAATAGATTAAAATTATTTTGGCATTATATTAGACAAAGAGTAAGAAATTTGATTAATTATTTTCATTAATTTTCCTAGTTTGAGTAAACAACAGTGATTTCTGCTCACAAATAACCCATTGTCTTTGAACATTTTTCCTGCGCAAATAAGGCACGTACATGCACTCTATGATCTAAATGAATGAAAAAAGTCTCATTTTGCATATCTTTATATGATATATTTTTCTCTAAGTCCAAACCAGTTTCTGTTAGTGTTAAGAGCTTCCTTAAAGCAAATTATATAAAAGCTACAATAGGATTTTTGTTCAAACTGTAATATTTGATGGGTAAACACTATATTGTACAGTACGACTCATATATGCAAGAAACACAAAATTCGTCCGTCTTATTACAAGAGGGGGTATCTCATTAAGCCAAAAGTTAACGAATTTTCCTGATTTTACAGAATACTACAAAATATGACGGGTACAAAGGATTTGTATGAAAACACATTATAAATAATTGAGAATAGATATTGTCAAATTTCTATGTTCTAAATTTCAATAACGTATGTTTATTACCTTTTCTTTAATAATATTTTATTATCCCTTTCTTTAAGAGCTTTAGCTTATCATAACGTCAAAAACACACTATAAAAATCGGGTAAAAAATTAGTTAATATATAGAATTTTAATTTCATCTTCAAATCTGTAATTTCTTGTTTTTTTGTTTTATTTTATTAATAAAGCGAAAAAAGTTGCTTTAAAGCAGTAAATACGCTTCAGTTTATTATGATACACGAAATATTGCACAATAAAAACAACAGTCGGCCCCCTGAAAGGTCAATATACTTGAAAATATATAATTTTGTTGAATTTGTCAAACTTTCATTGTATCATCATAAAGAAAATTCAAATTTTTAGAAAGGCCTTACAGATGAAAAAAAGATTTTTTTTTAACTAGAATTTTCGTATTCATTTACATAGAAAGAGCTTGTAAACATGCTTTGTCAAAACGAATTATGGAAGGAAGACCCACATTTGAAGATCTGTGGAAACATCGAGAAGGACCAACAAAGTTCTGTTGCTCTGCTTTTTCATCTTTATATCACTCTAACATTTGCTGACGAAAACAGTCTTCTATTGCCGTTAAAAAAACTGATGGAAAACCCTGGCATGATGCAGGTAGATATTAAAAATCAAAATACTTAATTATATTTGTTATTTATTTATGCATTGATTTCAGGTTTTTGTGCCTTTTTACCGGCTCCGCTTACGCGTCGCCGGTAAAACTCAGTTTGCGACCGTTTAATCAACATTAACGGTTGCAAATATCAAATTGGAAGGTAATTATTCCTTAAATAAAGAAAATTTGATGGCATTTTAAAAATCCTCTCAAGATTTACTAGTACTGTACCATGAAATGACCAATAAAAGTTTTACATCGAAATATATAGGAAAATTCTTTAAAAATCTTTTTTCAAGAAAAACAAAGCCGTGATTGATCTTACTTATACGGAAGCATTCTCGGGTAATGAAGATTCAAGTTTGCTCCAATCATGACCCCCGGGGTAGGGCGGGATCACAATAACAGATTTACATACTATAAAATTAATATATAAAAAAATTCTTTAAGTTAAATTCTTCTCTTATAGAATAGCAAAGCCATGAATAGTCATATTTATATGGAAGCATCCTCAGGTAATGTAGATACAAGTTTGTTCAAATCGCGACCCCCGGTGGTAGGGCGGGGGCCAAAATGGCCGATCAAATTTTTACATTGAAATATATAGAAAAGTTCTTTAAAAACCTCTCCTGAATAGCAAAGTCATGATTGGTCATATTTATTTGGGAGCATCGTCAGGAAGTGCAGATTCAAATTTGTTCAAATCATGACCCCCGAAGTAAGGCGGGGTCACAATCGCCATTCAAATTTTTTACATAGAAATACATGTACATAGTATTTTTTTTTAAAAAAAATCTTCTTCTAAAGAATAGCAAAGGCATGATAGGTCATATAAATGTGGAAGCATTCATAGGTAGGATAAATTTAAGTTGGTGCCAATTTTACTCTCTCATCTGTAAGGAATGGTTGGGACTACTTTTGGGTTTAAACTTTTCAATAAAAAACTAATTTATGTTTTTTCCCTAACCACAAAGCTCAGGTGAGCAATATGGCCCATGAGTCTCTTGTTTACTATGCAATATTTAAATGCCACATTTTTTGATATCGTCAATTTTCAGATAAAACCAGAATCGAAATACCCCCTGCTTTAGATAGCCCCATTGTGCTTGAAGGAATTGCATCAAATCCCAACAAATGAAATTGAGATCAAAAGTTCTCTGAGTATTTTGCAAAATCAGATCTTTTTGACTGTGAGATTTGTAGAATGGCTTATAACTAAGCAATTGCATTGAACAACTACGTATTTTACTCGAATGAATCATTTTTAGGTCACCTGAGTAAACTCAGGTGACCTATTGCCATCTGTTTTCGTCCGTCGTCGTCCGTCGTCCGTCGTTCGTCGTGTGTTAACATTTGAACTTTTTCAGCTTCTTCTCTGCAACCACTGAACCAATTTCAACCAAATTTGGCACAAAGTATCTATGGGTGAAGGGGGACAAAAATTATGAATTTCATGATCCCTGCCCCCCTGGGGCCTGAGGGGTGGGGCCAAAACCACTAAAATTAATGCAATCTTTAAAAATCTTCTTCTTTACTCCTGGACATCAAGCAGTCAAACTGTTTGCATGATTGTAATCAGCAATGAGTCCTCTACCAAAATTGTGAAATTCATGGCCCTGGGGTCAGGGGTTCTAGTGCTAGGGCGGGGCTAAATAAGTAGGTAGTGAAAATGCATTATTTCTTTGAAAATCTTCTTCTCTGCTCCTGGGTATTAAATAAACCAACTAAGTACATAGTTATGATGAGCAAGAGTGCCTCTACCAAAATTGTGAATTTTATGTCCCCAGGGTCAGGGGTTCTGGTGTTAGGGTGGGGCTCTATTGATTATATAGTGAATATACATGAATTCTTTGAAAATCTTCTTCTCTGCTCCTGGGTATTAAATAAACTAACTAAGTACATAGTTATGATAAGCAAGAGTGCCTTTACCAAAATTGTGAATTTTATGGCCCCAGGGTCAGGGGTTCTTGTTTTAGGGTAGGGCTCTAATGATTATATAGTGAAATGCATAGATTCTTTGAACATCTTATCCTTTTCTCCTGGTTAATATGCTAATGATCTAATTACATATTGAAGGCCAGGATTTATTCTATTTTCAGTTTTACAAACCCTCCGCTCAAGGTTTTGAATTTTCAGAAAAAAAAAATAAAACAATTTTTTCTTTCCGATGTCAAATTTGAGTCGGGATCGAGATTTCAAATTTACGAACTCGCACTTCCGGTTTTTTTTAAGATGAAACGGCAGGTAAAATAAAGCTAGCTTGGTTTAGTGTAAAATTCATCGATACGAGTGCCATTCAAAACGTTTCACCCGTTCAAAGAACAAATAAAATGCTGACGACTTTGTTGCACAATGACATGCTGGTGAGATAATTATGTATTCGTTTCAAAAGTATCTGTCTGTAAATTATTTTCCTCCCCCAGGTTTTAAACTGCCCGTGGTAGCTATTGCATATTACCAGCGACATTGTTTAGGTCTCTGTTATAGGTTACAGTCTAAACATCATTCTTCAGAAAAGGGTTGCTTATGCATCAGATGTAATGAATAAAACTATGGGAGAAGTTAAATCCATTTGAGAAAGAAATAAACAATAACCTGAAGAAATAAAAAAAATCAACTATTAAAAGGCAAGAATATACAAATATATACAGGCATGTAGTATCATTTGAAATAGCCAGAAAAATTATTTTACACTTAATTGAAAAAATGTTCGCCCTACTCCCCAATACGCCCTGTCTGTTTTATGAAAGGAATTATAATTTTAGGCATCAAGTAAATTTTAGAACAATGTCTACACATTCACCTAACACATATTAAAAAAATGAAGATACAGGTGACTCTCGATGGCTCGAACTCCGATCTCTCGAAGTTCTCGATCTCTCGAAGTTAACCTCCGGTCCCGTTTTTTTCCTTTATATAACTAAGCAAATTTACTCCTGATCTCTCGAACTTCTATCTCTCGAAGTTCTCTATCTCTCGAACCAAAGCATGGGTCCCGTTACACATATTTCATTGTATTTTACTCTCCATCTCTCGAAGTTTTGATTGCGTGTGTATACAAGCCAATCAAGCGTAAAATTGATGCGGCCTGAACTTACCTGGAAAACAGTGAGCGCTTGGGGCTTGACATTGAGGTGTTAATTGGGCGTTTACATAGATGACACTTCACCTGTGGGTAGTCCGTGTGTTGATATAATTATTTGATTATATTTGGTAAATTGTAAACTGTTTTTAAATTCACAACTTATTTTGACTTGAAAACGAGACGATAATTTTTAAAAAATAATTTACAGTAAAATCGATAAGTTCCCATACGCTGCGAACTTTTATTAGAGTCGACATAATCTCAGTATGGCAAATATTGCACAAGAAATTCCTTTCTGAAGTACTAAATACCGATTGAGAAAAATCTTGTGAACATTGGTGAACAGGTGAATGACCCGATCAAGCCGCGGAATAGTCAAACCGACAATTGCTATTCGGATTTCATGTAATCATTAAATAAGAACAAATAAATATTGAAACTTTAGGAATTCGTTTTATTTAGTCGAAGTACGATCACTGTTGTTGATATCAAGTAAATATTACCTGTAAAATACGATAGAAAACGTGCAATGACGTTATTTACTTATACTTCCGGTATCTATAATGTAGAACTTCGATGATCGGAACTGAGAATTCCGGATTTTATTTACTTTCTATCTCTGGAACCCTTCGATCTCTCGAACTTTTCTTGCGGTCCCTTGAACTTCAAGAGATCGAGAGTCACCTGTATATTGAAAGACTTTTAAAGAATTGATTTTTTAAAATATATTTTGATCAACATCAAAAAATTTATATAACTGGCCCAAACTGGCAGATGATGAATCAGCAATTAAATGTTCTACTTTCCTATTTGTAAGCATTATGTGTCCAGTGGTAAGGAGCCTATTAGGATAGCATAAAAAAAAAGAATGTACAAATGTTAATAATTGATTTATCAAAGAAAAATTTTTTATTTACTTCTCCTTCGGGGCTTTTTTATTCTCATGTTCATAGCTAAACCTAAACATAAAAAAAATGCTGGCCTTGTAATGAAGAAAGGGGCCTCTTTCAAAATAGATAATTTCAGGGCCGCTGGGTCAGGGGTACCAGGGGGGGGGTACTTGACTAAAAATAAATTAATGCTTTGAAATCTGCCCTTTGATAAGCAATGGTGCCTCTTTCAAAATTTATGAATTTCATGGCTTTTGGATTAAAACACGAACCAAATACAATCGCTGGTTAGTTGTTACATGATACTCAGGTGACCTATAAGGCCCGCGGGCCTCTTGTTATCTAAAGAGCATTGTATGATAAAACTATCTTTCATTTTAAGGGAATTGTTCCTACACAGCGTTTCTTTCTTTTTTGACGGGTGGACTATTCATTGCAATAGTATCATAAAAATTAAATAATCATTATAATAAGCTTGTATGCAAATACAACTTATCTTCGGATCATTCTTTTGACGGAAATGCTTCATTTCATCTGTTAGCCTACTGTTTTATGATCATGTTTTAACAAAAAATATGATTTACTATTATCTGTTTTCATGGTAAAACAAGGAGGACTTTTGGCAACGGTAACGAGTAATGATTACCATCCGGGGAGGGGGGGGGGGGGTGGGTGGGGGGGCAGTGTTAATGTATGTTCACAAATTTGTGTACTGTTGAAAATTTTTGAATGAAAATTTGAATAAATGTAGGTACATTTACACCGCTAAGAAACTTATCTAGATTTATTAAATGTGTATACAAATGTGTAAAAGCACTTTTTATAAAACTTTTATGTTTATGTTATGTTTTCAGAATTCTTATCTTCCAACAATGCCACTTGACGTTGCTGATGAACTTGCAGCTTCAATTTTACAGCATAATAAAGATGCATCAAAGAGAGAAACACTTTCGATATATTGTGCGTTTATTATACCCCCACTCCCTAGTGGAGGGATATACTGTTTTACCCTTGTGTGTCTGTCTAGCTGTCTGTCCGTCTTTCCGTCTGTCTGTCCGTAACAAATTTTCGTCGAAGTTTTCTCAGCAACTACTCATCGCAGATGCATGGGATTTTTACACAATCTTTCCTGAAGCCTGCCATATTTTGAGAATATTATTTTTGTTTTAATATGATGTCGTCTTCCTGTTCATCCGTGCATCTGTGCGTTTCATACTTAACAAATTTTCTTTGCAGTGTCCTCAGAAACTACTCATCGCAGATGCATAAAATTTAAAACAATCTTTTCTGAGGCATGCCATATGGTGGAATTTATTTCTGTTCAAATCTAAGGTCAACTTTCTGTTTGTCCGTGAGTCTGTCCGTTCATACATGTTTCACATATAACAAATTTTTGTCACAGTTTTCAAACCAATACTCTTCGCAGATGCTTGAAATTTTAACACAATCTTCTCAGAGGCATACCATATGTGGGATTTAATATTCTTTAAATAAGAAGTCAACCTCCTGTTTGTCTGTGTGTCTGTGTATTTCATACAATGTCATGTTTCATGCATAATTTTTTTTACAGTTTTCTCAGCGACTACTCATCGAAGATGCTTGACATTTTACGACACTCTTCCATGAGGCATGCTAAATAATGGAGTTTATTTTGGTTAAAATTTGATGTCAACTTTCTGTTTGTCAGTGCATCTGTCCGATTAATAAATTGACAAATTTTCGTTGCAGTTATCTCAGCTACTAATAAAAGATGCTTGACATTTTAGTAGATATATTGTTGAGGAATGCAGCATGGTTGGATTTTTTTTATATGAATCAGATGTCAAATTCCTATTTATTCTTGCATATATCTGTAACGATTATCAACAAGACATTGTATATTTATATCAGAGCTGGGGTATTACTAGTAAGCATTGGACCACATATTTCTTGTATTTTGTTTGATAATCTTTTGGTTTTGAATGATTATCATAAATCAGGCTTCTCCATTGTTCAAAACTTTACTGTGTTGCAGCGTTTACGCGAAGCACTAATATTTTGCGGTATTTTCGTGAATTAATATTCATTATAATTACAAAATAATTCATAAGCACAGTTTAAAAAAATCACTAATTCGTTCCACAAATGGGATGCTCATGCATATTGATAAAAGAAAAACGCATGTTCTGAAAAGCAGAGGAAATTCTGGCCGAAACAGTCGAACTACTTGACATTTTTGAAAGTTAATTTGCTGATTATTTGTCATTTTTCGAATTACCAAATAATAAAAAAAGCAACTTCAGAATAGTTCGGTAAGATGTTATGTTTAACGTACAGTCCTGACATAATTCTATAGCTTTGGATCTTTAGACAAGACAAACATTATAATATTTAAAAATAATACAATTTACTTTAATGCAACTGCCAATTAACCGTTACATGGAAGTGTGAAAACAAATTATTTGTCTTTGTCCCCTTATGCGTAAAGTCCGACGAGGGTGTAGGAGATAATTGATTTTGCAAAGTGAAGCCCTAGGAATTAGGTACTCTACCTTATAGAATTCAAAAACTTTGGAATCGTCCGATTAAAGTTTCTCTTAGAGAGAATTTATATGTTTGGATTTTCTAATTATCACAGATGTTAACGTGTTGGCAAATTTTTTACAGTGTCGCAAGCATAAACTTTGAATCGTTACTATTTGGGAGAAAAAATTAGTGTCGGGAGCAACAAAGTCAAACAGCTCATGGAGAACCCTGCACGTTATATGCAGTACATTATATATATATTACCTCTTTATTATATTAATATTTCAGTGTGTCCAAACAAACACCCGTATGTAATTGGAAATGTGAGTAATATGCTTCTCTCTCTCTTTTCTTGAATATTCATTATCAATATTATTCTTTTTTGTATCTTTTAGGCTAATATTATGATTTAGCTACTTACGACCTGCAATATTCCTGCAAAAGTTATGTCCATAATGTACTTTTGGGATTGCAAAATCATTGGATTGTATTATTTGAAAACACAATAATAATTTCATGATATGATCAACTATTATATTTTGCAATGCCAAGTAAAACAAATTCCCATTTTTAGTCCCCTACTGGTGAAACCGGGGGGGGGGAACTATAGGTTTCCTCTGCGTCCGTCCGTCCGTCCGTCTGTCTGTCCCCGTCAGTCTGTCCCACTTGGTTTTCCGCACTTTTTTTCTAAACGCTTGCAGGTATTGAGCTGAATTTTGGTATGTAAGTGTATCTTAATGAGTTACAGATCAAGTTTGAATTTGGCTTTGCTTCATTGATTTTTGACAGAATTATTGCATTTTGAATATTTTTCATAATCGCTTAATAAAGATCGGGTTCGAACTGCACTGACTTCCGATTGTCGACAAAAATATGAAGCAAGGAAAAGACGGTGGAGAAATGAGTTGAATTTTCGTCTTAATGTGGATTATTTTATTAGTTTTAAGGCATTTACAACTTGAAAATCTTTCAGTTTTACCTTGGACATGACTTTTGCATATTATAAAATGACATCCTGAAGAGAAAGGGGAACACGGTAGGGGACATGTATTGCTTATGCAATACTCTCAGAATGCTTGTTTAGATTGTTGTTTTGTAACCGGTGAAGTTGGAAGAGCAGGTGTACAAAAATATAATAATTTATATGAAATTGGATTATGTAGTTGATTTTGATATAAAATATATATACTTAATTGTGACTTCTAATAATAAAATACTGGACTACTATAGTTCTAAGTCAATGATATAACAGCTGTATAATACTCGAGTAAAATACAAAGTATCAAAATTAGTTTGAATTGTTAACCGATAACAGTAAAGCAGAACGTTAATTTTGATCCGTTGTTCAGAACCTAAAAAGAAGTCGGTTCACTTTATGCATAGAATGGCCCTGTAGATATACCAATTAATTGATCAACACTTGATTTTCTATTTGAAGCTTTAAAATAAAATAGAGACTTGGTGCTTTCATATCCTATTAAAAAATTTCTCAAAGTCCAGGTCTTGGAGAACTGGCTTTATGAAATTGCAATGTTCTTGAATTTTTAGGTAAACAGGTATAATTGAGTGCTTTCAGTGAAGAAAAATAATATGAGCGCACCCTCTGATCTAAAAAATAAAACATGTCCATGAATCCTCAGAAACAGTTCTATCATTTACTAGTTGCATATTTTAGATCAGAGGTTGCACTCTATATCAAATATCAAAAAATAACTAAAAATTGGCCATTTTTGAAGACTTTTTCGGAATATGAGGAAATTGACGCATTTCGTGACGTCATATTGCATTGACTAGGCAGAAAATGACGTGATTTTTTATAGGATCGCAGTCACCAAAGATCTAAGTGATATTTTAATGCATTGTTAACTAAGACTATGCAGTTTCAGTTTTTCAGAAATTCACAGGGCAAAATAAGGCGAAAGTGAACCTTGTTCTTTGATAATTTGTGTTCGTTTTATTATGCTTTGATGTCGTACTCATGAACCATTTCAATTTCTTCAACTTTATTTTCCATTCATTTTTACAGTGTGGAAGACCATTTATAGAGTACACATGTGGTGTTTGCCGAGCGAAAATTGGAGGAAAGCTCCATGTTGCAGCAGAGGGGAATATGCAATATACAGAGTAAGGCACTTAAATGATATCTTAATATAATATTACGAAAGAAATATCATTCTCTATTAAAAGTGAGCTTTTTACAAGATTTTATGAAAAAAAGGAAAATTCTTTTTTGTTTATAAACAAATAATATAAATAAACTGATAATTTTGAATAGGAAGTGTTGATTTATCAAACTTCGGAATCAATTTATGATCAATAACTGTTTACCTAATTAAAAACTTAAGCATTTTTACGCTGGAAATTTAGCATTTAACAAAGAAATTTAAAAAAAGAAACATGCAACAAATTGATAAACATTCCTGATAAATATATATTCGTTTTTATCAAAGATGAAATAACCTTAGAAGCAGGGATTACTAGATGAATAATTTTATCAAACAACAGAATAACAATAGTAATGACTGGTTTGGTTGAATGGGCCACGTCCACTTAAATGAGGTAGCTGAGGCATTAATATATGATGCATTGTAATGAAATCCCTTGAAATGTGGGGTATGGGCACATATGTCCACTGACTAGTCCATACTTGAAAACATTTGTTTTAATGTTGAAAGAGTTAAATGAGACTACTGGTAAGCCCAGTTTCTGCATATCCGCAGGGGTCCTTGTAATGGCATTCCTTGCAGTTGGGCTTGAAAATATAATCTGAAACGATAAAAAAAATCTCGGCAGGAAAAAGATTGACAAAAACAGTGAACCAATCTTCAAAGAAACCAAACAAATGTGAAAGAAGTACGTCCAATATATTGAACTGAACACACAATTCTAAGAATCCCAGTCGACCACGGTTTGATAAGGATTGGAGGGAGTGTAAAAATCTTAGAGTCCTTTGCTAAGTGCTACTTACTTGTATATCCTCAACTTCGAATGGAACTGATAAATATTTTTTGGCCAGTCCAGATAAAAAATATATTTTTCACTTTGATTAATAGATTTAATGTTTAGTGGTCAAATCCCATTATATTGGTTTCATCAAAGAAAAGGTCAGAAAAAATGTTCTTGACAGTAATGAAAGCCGAAAAAAATGATAATAACATCTTGTTTAGAGTCAATTTAAGCACGAAACTTTAGCATTTCATGAAAAAGAAGCAGCTTTTGAATAAGTTTGATTGGCTCAAATTGAAATATGTTTTGTTTTCATTAGAATGTTGTTATTTCCACGACGCTTTTGTGGACATTATTAAATAGAAATATTTGACTTTTAAATTTTAATATTAATACAGAAACAGTCTAGATTCATCTTAATCCTGTATTAGAAATAATAAATTTTTATTTTGTATGTGGACCCACAACAAAACGTTGTCTTTTCTTTCGTTCATGTTTATGATCTTAAATTAAATATTTTCAGAATTGGTTTAAACCTGACACATTTTGCTACTATGGAAATGTTCTCTCCAACCATTAAAATCTATATTCATGCTCGTACATTATGACCACCAAACATTCAACCAAATATTGTCATTGTCAGTTTAATTTCAGAAATGGTGAATATTTCCATGCTTTTTGCTCTTCAGATCAAGTTTTCGATTGACAAATTATTTTGAATAATGACATAAAAGTTATTCATTTTTATATGCATTGTAGTATAGGCTCACGTTCCATTGGACATATATTAGGCAAGGCAGATGAAAGGGAGCTTGACGCTAAAACATGTCGCAAAATGAATAGGCTACAGGCAGCCTTCTTACGATTTTTTACAAATGGAGCTCTATACCTAGGAGCAATAAAAAACAAAGAGGTTAAAGATTTTAATAATCTGATACTAATCATAAAAAATAGTTACTTGTAATTAAAATAAGACCTTTAATTTTTATCAGCATTAAAATAAAGTGAAACAATTTTTTAGAAAGACACAAATGCATTTTTTGAAAGTAAAACCTGAACGTTCTTTTCAGGCGACACGTCAGATCCTAAAACCGGAAGTCAAGAATGAGGAAGTGTCGGAATATTTGTGGAAACACATCGAAATTGATCTTGCTGTACTTCAGAGGTCAATGGGAGGAAACATGGATTCTGTTCTTATTCTTCTTCATAAGTGTTGCCAGCTTATGATGATGGGTAAGCTTACTTATAAACATATATTAAAAGAAAAAACTCTACAATTTGCCATAATATTGCCAGTCCCGAAGGGAAAAATTATTTGGAAGACGCATTATTGAAGGACATATATCTGTTATTAAAATAACTGAACATCAATTTTCTTTTTAAAGACAACAACTCTACGTTTATTTCAAAATAGATGGAAAAAAAGTCTGAAAAAAGGAAAATGCGTTTTTCTCAGTAAACAAAGGTAGCACTGAGCTCAAATATTCAGCAAATCTTTATTTATGAAATTGAACTTAATCTTTTTTTTTTTTTTTTTTTTTTTTGAAGAAAACAGAAAAAAAGTAGAAATTTTATCATGCTTGGATGTATACATTAAAAAATCTAGTTTCATTAAAAATACGTATACACATTTACAAAACCGAAATGAAATAGATGAGATTGATGAGATTAGTGTAAAATTATCTTTTTTGGAATCCATATTTTATTTTGACGACTTTTTGAATTTTTTGCGAAATTTAAGGCAGCTTTTCGAGCATTCGAAGTGAGAAATAAGTAAACGTAACACACACGATAAACGGCGACGTTTGATAACGACATGGCGCACTGGAGAGAATTTCAATTTAAATAAGATGTAGTTCTGACGCCTTAAGAAACTTTCAATGAAGACAGAAAATGAAAAACAAAATATTAAGACATGGCCAAACCTTCAAAGTTAAAACAAAGTGAAAGTTTTCTTTGCGATTTTTTTTTGACCGGGTCCCCGATAAGAACAAAACATATGGAAAACAGATGCGGGAATAGATGATGACGCCGTGACTGTATATCGTCGGCGCATATATACTACATGTAAAGTAAATTCATATTAAAATAATTTTTTTCCATCTTCCCCCATATTTTCTTGAGGGGAATATCATGTGTTTTAGTGTTATTTCCCGATGATGACAAGTAGCACACAGCGGATGTGGCCGGACGACAGAGGATACTCACTCCTCCAAGGCACCTGATCCCACCTCTGATGTTTTAGAGGTCCGTGTTTACGCTGTCCCTATTTTTTTTTATTGTTAAATGGACTTTTGATATTGATATCGTTCGTTATCTCCATATGTTTCATTGTTATGGTTTGATTATGCTAACACTCATTGCAAAGTGTGTTTTTTCATGATTTTACAATATATGTCAAATTCAAACTGTAACTTTTTCTCTCGCTGGCTTAGGGTGTATATGCCATCAGTGTTTCTTTAGCTGAATGTCTTTTGTTTAACAGAGAACGATAGTAGGATTGTTCTCCTACTTCCAAGAAAATTTTCAAAAGTTAACATTTTTTAAAGACATTTCATTTTTATGTAGATATTTATATGGATTTTAATAAAACGATTATTATTCGGGAAATCCTTGAGAGATCACTTTTAAATTATGGTAAAATTATGGTTTTCACTATAGAAGTTAACGAAAATACTTTGAAAATGTTCCCACCCGTGTTACAAAAATTCCTTTAACGGGTCAAATGGACGTTCAAAATATCGTGTACCCCTCTTTTTTCAAGAGCTTGAGTTTAGGATATTTAACTTTTTAGCACTGGTACTAATATAAAAAAAAACAATTACCATTGGATGGTTCGTTTATTTAACAAAGATTTTATGGCCAAATTTACATTCATATTATAATATATTGTTGTAAAATGTATGTGTGATTCAAGAAATAGCGTTCGTAGTTCTTTATGTGGAAATAATTCAATTTTATAAGCAAAGAGAAAACGCAACGCTACGTTAGACACACACTGATGTTATCATCCATGCGCCATAGGTAGACTCGTTACACAAGAAAAAAGACCCATGATTTATGTATACATAGTACATATATCCCTATTTGAAGTAAGCTATGTATTTTGATAAAAAATATATTAAGCAGTGATAAAAACACATGATTATTTTTCAATTTAGACATCTTGTACACGATTTTACCGAACAACCCTCGTAAAAGTGTAATTATCAACAACTTGAAGCTGAACCTCATACTTTTAAATTTTCATTCCAAGTTTTAATAATATTGAGATAAGAAGCAATAAAACTTTTAAAGATTAATAAGGATGGATACAGAAATGTATCATAAACATCTTAGAAGGTAAACAGTTTCTTAAAAAATCATAAGATTATTGTCATCAATATATAAAAAAGGATATTCTAGTCAACTGACATCTTTTTATATCATCCCACACTATTTGCTCCTGTCATGTTCAGCATTTCCTGGCCGTTTGCATTTGCTGGCGGAAGAAGTTTGAAAGTACATAAAAAATTCATGGTCTGTACATGTAAAACGGGACCGAAAAATTCAGAAAATTTAAAATTCTACAAAATCTTTTGAAAATACTCTTCTTAGGATAAAAAAGGTCTTTTTTCAAGTATGCCCCCTTTGATGGGCCTTATTTAAACAATCAATTTTCAGCTCACCTGAGCCGAAGGCTTAAGTGACCTTTTCTGATCAAAAGGTGTCCTTTGTCTGTCGTCGTCGTTGTTAACTTTTCACATTTTCGTCTTCTCAAGAATCACTGGGCCAATCTCAACAAAATTCAGCACAAAGTATTCTTAGGTGAAATGAATTCAAGTTTCTTCAAATGAAGGGCCACGTCCGTATTCAAGGGGAGATTATTCAGAAAAAGTGAAAATTTGGTGGTATGTTTTAAAAATCTTCTTCTCAAGAACCGCTGTGTCAGGAAAGATGAAACTGATTTGGAAGCAAGCTCAGGTAGTGTAGATTCAAGTTTGTTCAAATCATGCCCCCGGGGTAGGACGGGGACACAATGGCAGGTCAAAGTTTTTCATAAAAATATGTAGGGAAAGTCTTTAAAAATTATCTTCTCAAGAATAGCAAATGCATGAATGGTGATATTTATATGAAAGCATGCTCTGTAGTGTAGATTCAAATTTGTTCATATCATGACCCTCGGTGTAAGGGCGGGGACACAATGGTCGATCAAAATTACATAGAAATATACAGGAAAATTCTTTAAAAATCTTCTTTTCAAGAACCATGTGCCAGGAAAGATGAAACGTATAGGGAAGCATCATCAGGTAGTATAGTCTATTTAAATCATGACCCCCAGGGGTAGGGCAGGGCCACAATGGCTGATCAAAATTTTACATAGAAATATACAGGAAAATTCTTTAAAAATCTTCTTCTTAAGAACCATTGTGCCAGGAAAGATGCAACTTTTAGGGAAACATTATCAGGTAGAATAAATTAAAGTTAATTTAAATCCAGGGGTAGGGCGCGGCCAAAATGGCCAATCAAAGTTTTACATAGAAATATATAGGGGGATTCTTTAATGATCTTCTTTTCAATAATAGCAAAGCAATGATTAGTCATATTTATTTGAAAGCATCCTCAGGTATTGTAGATTCAGTTTTGTTCAAATCATGGGGTAGGGGAGGGGCACAATGTCTGATCAAAGTTTCACATAAAAAAATCTAGAATTTTTTTTAATAAAAATCTTCTAATCAAGAATGGCAAAGCAATGTTTAGTCATATTCATATGGAAGCTTTCCCAGGTAGTGTAGATTCAAGTTTTTTTTCAAGTCATGACACAGGAGGGTAAGGCGGAGCCGCAATGTAAGTTCAAATGTAAAGTGCAATAATGCAAAAGGTAGACAAAGAAATATGCAACCATTCTTAGTTAGTTGTTGGTACCATATTTGGGTTTTACTTTTCAAAAATAAACTAATTTCAGAGCCCAGGTTTAGCGATGAGGTCCATGGGTCTCTTCGTCTGCAAAGCAAAACACCAAATTAGTTATATATTTATGAAGCTTCATCATATGGTAAAAACTTGAATTAGTTTTTTTCATGCTCAATGGTACATAAAGGTTGGGGTAACAATAGGTTTATAAAATAAAAAAAAAAACACATCTGGATTTGAAAGAGTTTGTTAGATAGAAAAAAGACCAGCCTTGTTGATTTAGATCACATTTATGGTCCATATTTCTTTTCTTCTTTAACCACATAGCTACTTGTACTAGTCTACAATGAATAATTAGTAAAAGAATTTTACATTTTTTCAGGGCAAATTAGTGTCATTTACAATCGAAATTATTAAAACTTGATTTTTTCATTGGATATATATGTGTATATATTTTCATATTTTGCATGAATTTCAAAGATAGGACTACACAAGCAGCAAATCTTGAACAAATGGAATCCAGAGAAGAATGGGAATTCAAATTCACGGAAGCCATATTGATTGAAACTTTAAAGGTAACCTGAAATTCCTATAGCGTTTTCTGATTATTTTGACTTAAACAGCATAAATTATTTGAATGTCTATTTATTATTATTAAGGTCTTCTGTCTCCAACGGACGACCTTATTGTTTTCGTTCTGTTTCTTTTTCCCTATTACTAGTCTCGTACCGGTGAAGCTAGAGGGGACTATATGTCCTACTTGGTTTACCGAACTTTTTCTAAACGCTTGCAGATAATGTGCTGATTTTTAGGACGTGAGTGTTACCTGATAAGCTACAGATCAGGTTTAAATTTCATTCCGCTTCATTGATTTTTGACGGAGCTTTACCATTTTTAATTTTTCATAATTGGGATTAATTAATATCGAGATCAAAGTGCACTAAATTAATGTTCCAAGCGAGCTGGTATCCTAACGAAAAAGGGTACCCGGTAGAGGACATTATCACTTGTATAACCGATTTTGTACAGTCACGCAATTTCTCAATAACGATTCGAGTCGCCCGCGTGGCGCAGTGGTTAGAGTCTCGAAGTAAGGAGTCAATCCTTACGTCGCGGGTTCCAATCCCACTGTGGGACGTGGAGAGCGGTCTTTCGGATGATACCATATAAACCGAGGTCCCCATGTTGCAGTAGGTGCTGGCACGAAAAAAGATCCCTCCCTGCTCAATGGCCTTGAGTGCCGAATATAGGACAAAATTTGCCGCTCTCCACCGGCAAGTGGTAGCGTCTCCATATGAGTGAAAATTTCTCGAGAGGGATTTTAAGCAACATACAATCAATCAGTCAATAACGACTCGGCCAATTCTCATTAAAGTTCCAGAAATTAATGCTTTAAATCTTAACCTTACTTGAATTTTTCTGTCGTTGATGACGTCATTTCAGGTCATGAGATTTGGATAATTTTCTTATTTAAAAATGACATTTTGTCGATTCTTCTAAAAAAGATTGCTTAAGAAATCAACTGGAGACTTATTGGAGATGATAGTGACTTATACGTTTGCAAAATTACTTTTTCGTGCCTCGTCATTACTTCCGGTCGATACCGTAAGGGAATTAAAAAAGTCCAATATTTCAACTTTTTCGTTTTTTTAATATATTCTTTGACTTAAATAATAGGTTTCTATGCGAATGCAAAATATGCAATTGTTTCAGAATCGAAAAAGCTATTCTCGAGATGTAAGCACCCAAACTTTGGAGCGGTGCTCCCAATGGCGTAACTGTTAGTGCTTTGGATTTCCACGCTGGTGACCTGAGTTTCATCCCCCGTCTGTCCAAAATAATGTCTCACTTTTTCAGCTCGATTTTTCGGGGTTTTTTTTTTTACATTTAGAATCGGACGCAAGACCTCTCGTTATTGGCAACGAATATCGTTTCTAGTTATTATAATTTTAAGGAAATAAAGTCAACGTTATCGTGAATGTAGTAGATAGCCTCCAAGATCGAGAAATTTTCGACTAAGAAGCTTATCTTTTATCATCTATGAAAACCTGGACTTTTTTCTTTTCTACAAACAATGAAATTTTTTTTCTTAAAGAAAAAAAACGAATTAGGTTACCATGTCATGATTTTGCTTTTCTATTTTACATCAGAGGGTCAAACTGTTTGTTAACTTGTGTATCGATTGCAATAAATGCAGACAATATCAGCTTTTGTTGTATAAAAACTATCCTTTAATAAATTTTATATTCCCTTTGTAACATGTATTCCTTAATTTCTATTTATTTAAAGTAACGCTACCAGTTGTCTATATCATTGCTTCATCACTACAATGACGTAGTGTAAATATTGTGGGGAGGTCAGTGGAAATGATTATTTCAATAGTTGTTAAATACATTTCAATAACAAACATGGGTTGCAACCACTATTGAAAAACGACCACCATTGAAATATTTATGTTATATACTTGTTTTATGTTTTCTTTCTTGTGGAAATTTCATTTACATGTAATACACGGACACTTTTTATTTAATTGACCTACCTATAATTCAAACATATATACAAATGTTATTAGCAAGCTCCAGTCAAATCTGGTCGAATCGCCGAAAACCAACCGACAATCAATTAATATTGGACTTTTACGAGGAGCGCTGACTTTTACAGTTGACGGCTTACTTTCACACAAGGGCAATATACTTAAGCTCTTTTACGATAAAAATATTAAGCTCAACATTTAATTAAACGAAAATAACGGGTTATTTCATTGCACATAGAAGTTGTCCTTGAAAAAAGATAACCACCCTACCCTCAACTCCCGGTCTTCACATCTTAGTGCCCCTAACACCATGCCTATAACCACTAGAAAGGATTTTTAATACATTATCAATTCTGTACTTGCGTACATGATACAAGTTTAAATGTCCCAGTAAACCGTCAACTGTAGAAGTCGGTGCTTCTCGTAAAAGTCCAATATGCAATATCGAAATAATTTTGTTAATTAAGTTCATTTTTGTCATTGATTTTGAAAGGGAAGCATTATTTATACATCTTGACGTAGAAAATACAATATCTAGATTACATTGAAAAGAAGAAAGAAGACTGATTATTTTGTTACCAAACTTTAAAAATATGATTATTTTTTTAATAAAAAGAATAAAGAATAGAACTTTATAATTCATGGGGTTACCTACACTACAGATATGGGGCCCGTTTCACTAAAAGGCGTAAGATATGACAAAATTTAAGTTAGGCGTTAGGGCGTACGGCAAAATTTAGTCCGGCGTAAACTGCGTTTCACTAAGAGGCGTACGCCTGGCCGTAAACACTAGTATCTACGAAAGCCCAGAAGGCTCATTCGAGATTCGAGATTCGAAATACGAGATTCGAGATTCGAAATACGAGATTCGAAAAATTCGAGTTTCGAGATTCAAGATCCAGATTAACCAATCAAAAGCGGGTGTATTAATAACAACTGAGTCATTTGATTAAATTACAATGCAAGAAAGAGTGTTATATATATTAGAAGGAATTTAAATTATCATTTGATTTTTGATCAGCAAGATATACTTCAAATTATATAATGGTTTTTTAAATATTGAATAGAATACATATATCAGGAGTATATATATTTTTGTATCTGGGGTTATAAATAAGTGTCAAGTGTCTAAGGATTAACAATAACCCCACCCCTACCAACCCCAGCTGCATATTCTAAACACACTGAAAATGTTACTTTGTAAAATTTGAAAAGCGACGTGGTATTGAAAAACAAAAATCGTGTTCGTTTTCCTGATAGAGGAAATACATAAAAATTAAATATTTAATTACTTATCTTAATCTCAGGCTTAGATTAATTAAAAAATATATGTACAATACAGATTGGCAAAAAAAAGGCGGCATTTATTTTATCTCATATCAATTGTAGATGAGTCTAAATTAGATGCAGAACTATAGCGTCATGGTTTTCAATTATAGTCTCTGACCATACCGTTATGACCAAAGACTAAAATATACTCGTGAAACCTTGTAAGGCTACAGTTCGATTAATTCAGCAGTCAAGTCTCACTGCACAAATGTACCCTTTATAAATGTAATATAATATATACCCTTGAATTACTGTGCAGTGTAGAGACGATTCATGATACTAGTATTTATATATAATTATAATCAAATACAATATTTTCCCTCAGCATAGATCTGATTAAAAAACAAATAGTCGACATACTTGGTCCGCAAGTCAACGATAGGACCATATAATATTCTATACATACGTATTTAATATTTTTTTTAAATGAGAAAAATAAAATTATATATGTATTTTTCAAAATGGAATCCAAATTTTATTTTTATTTCGTTTTAATACATAAAACATTTTTTCTTGCATTATCATTTTAGCGAATGACCCATTTGTTATAAATACATTCAACGATTTCTTGATAGTAAAAACATAACAAAGGGGAGTAATCAAATGTTGAACCCACTTTTGATTGGTTAATCTGGATCTTGAATCTCGAAACTCGAACTTCAAATCTCGTATTTCGAATCTCGAATCTCGTATTTCGAATTTTGAATCTCGAATGAGCCTTCTGGGCTTTCGTAAGTATCGGACTAAGTTAAGGCCAGACTTACGTCATTGACAACGAGCTTATGCATATGCCCAGACAGATGATAAACAGTAGAAAAGAAGATAGATAGATAAATAGATATATAGATAGAAATATTTTCTTTAGATAGATAAAAATATATTTAGAAACTTTTCAATTGTGTTTGAGAGATAGAGAGAGAGAGAGGTAAAGTATTCAGGCATATTTATCCTGTTAAGTTACAAAATCACACAGCAAAACTTGCTAAAATGTTTTATTTGAAAGATATATTTGATGAAGCATATAGGATATGTTCATTCAAAATTATTAACTCAACAGAACTATTTTGTTATCGATATCTATTGTGATTTCACCATGCTTCGAACACCCTTGGATATTCTCTTTTGATCATGCGTCACTTATGGTCCGAGTATAAATATTTTTTTTAATTAAATTTTCTGGTTTCCTATTGCTAAATCATTGAAAGAAAATCAGTGAATTTGTTTAAAAATAGAAAATATAGCGAATTAATGCAGTAATGAGCTTTTTAACCATGGATTGGACAATATTAAGCAAGCATCGAACAACCATACAACCAGATACTTAAAATAACGAAATTTTAATATTTCATGGAGAAAAAATGTAAAAAAAAGAAGTGGCTCGGATAAATATATCTATTACTTTCATATTAAGATTTGTGTCAATAACGCATTCCAAAATCAAAACAGAAAATCTTTTTTTCTGTTTTAAGCATATTGCCCTTAGGTATTGACAAAACTCAACAAATAACACAGTTTACAAGATATTTATTGGTGCGAATATTAAAAGTTTAAAGAACACAAACCATCGTTTACATAGCTAGTTTTTACGGAGTAAATTTCCTCCCAAAACCTATCACTGAAACAGTTTTCACTACCACATTACAATTTGAAAAAGGCAAAAATCTACAGAGTAAATTTCCTCTCAAAAATGACACTATACAGTTAACATACAGT